TTTAAGGCACCCATTACCCCAAGCAACACGGCCTTCAGGCGAGTGAATGGACCAGAAGTTACTGCATTACCTGAGTCGATTAGATCTACTCGCATCAGTCTGGATCGTATGGTGTTTCATCAAGAGGACGAATCTGAATGCCAAGATTACAGTGACGAGGAAGACGACGAGGACGAAGATGAACCTTTTGATGAAGACATTGAATTCACTGAATCCATTGTTGATGAACCGGAAGCTGTAGTCGACGAAATCGAGGATCAAACACCCATAGTTGTCAACGGCGAGTTTTTTCCTTTCAGGGATAAGATACATCAATTGATGTATCAATTCTATTATCGGTCTGGGGGTGACATATCTCAAAGTTTGATGAAAGATATTGTGAAGCTTGTCAAGGACGTCACTGAAGCCAAGGTTGCCTATCCCGAAGCCAAAGTACCTGCAGCTGATCTCATATTCAACTTTGATGATTCAAGAAGAACAAGAAACCAGATTCCCTTGCTCAGACAGACGAAGCACTACGTCAAGGTTCAGAAAAAGGTGAATGGTCAAGAAGTCGAAGAAGATCTCCCGTTCTATATGAATCCTCCCTCCGAAGTCTTGAAGTTGTTGGTTGCAAACCCTTCTGTCACTGATCATTTATCAAAACTTCCTGATCATACAGAGGGCGAGCTTGTCGATAGTTACCAGTCGAACAAATGGCGTACCCACAAGATGTTTCAACATCCAATGGTCTCTGTCATAATCAACAACATCCCAAAGGATATCTGGGTTGGTGATCTGATCAAAACAGGTCAAACTTTTGTGATTGTGGAGAGGTTTTATACCTTGAATCATTCAATCGTTATGGCTGAAGGTTACCAAGTTCTTCCCGTTGATGGTAGGTTATACCTCCACAACATGCCCAGGAAAGTTTCTGTCGAAGTGAATCTCATTTCAAGCATTTTGTGTGATCGCCCGGAAACTTTGTCATTGGATTTCGAACGTAATGTGCTGGATGACTCTAATCTCCTTAGAGCTTCTAGTACCATTATTAGTAGATTGAAAATGCCAAATCCTTTGAAGCGCCCCTCTCCTTCTTCTGCTCGTAAATTCAAGCCCGTTAAGGTTATTCCCCTGAATTTCTTTACTGATGATATGAGTGGAAATCGAACCAAGAAACACAACAAGTTTGATAGTTGGATTATGGTACCCGCCGCTTTGCCTCTTGCTGAACGACATGCACTTGAGAATACAGCCTTCATCTGTACAGATCATTTGCTGTCAGCAATGCAAATGCTTCCTGCTATTGTTGAAGATCTTTTGTTGTTGGAGAAAGGTGTGGAGATGTTTTTGCCTGGTGGTGAGGCTGTCGTTGTCGTTGCTCCGTTGCAATTTATCACTGCTGATAATGCGCGTCATTCGGAGCTTGCCTCTAGTCGCGGTGCCATTTCAAAGATGCCATGCCGAAAGTGTGTTTGGGAATTAAAAACCCCAGCTCGACTTGATGGCAGTGATTATCGTTGTGACCCTCGCTCTGAAAAAGTGGTTGCAGATATGTACGCGCGATATTTGGCTTCTGGCGGTGACAAGACTTTGTTGGTAAATGTCGATACTGGTTACAAACTTGTTGGTGGTCAGGCTCTGGTAGACCTTCAATCGTTCGATACGATGTTGGATTGTCCAATCGAGCTCCTTCATACGATAATGCTTGGTGTCGGCAAAGCCTTGGTAAAAACATTGTTGCAAGACCATCTGAATCCAACTGAGAAAAGTATCCTCGAAACAAGATTGCATGGTTACGTTAGCAAAGGGTTTACCCGAAAGCTGCGTTCATCATTGCGTCTTCATGGATCTTTCTTAGGTAGGGATTACAAAATCCTCGTTCAGCAAGTACCAATTCTGTTGAATCAATTGATCTGTTCTGGTGAAATTCGACGTGATGACGGTGTTCTCTTGATCAAGACCTGCTTTGAAAATTTGGGCAAGTTAGCTTCGCTTTCTTATATCAGCAAAATCAAGCATAAGTCTGATTCGTACCTGAAGTATGTGGAGTTCACTTACAATGATCTTCGTGTCTCGGTGATGGAGCATGATGCTTACATGAAGCGAAAGTATCCTAACAGAAGGGGTGGCTCCGTTTATAACTCCAGTAAAATGCACATCATGCATCATCTTGTTGATGATATTTATCGATTTGGATCCCCAATCTTTTATGAAACTGAGAAGGGTGAGCAATTTAATAAATTCATTCGAGAGTGTCTGTTTCGTACCAACAGACATAATCCTTCAAGAGATGCCGCTGTTGCTTTTGCAAAGAGGTTGATGGCTCGACATGTATTGACTGGTGGTTCTTGGTTGGTGGCAGGCCAGGATTATCCAGTTAAAGCTTCAAACAAAGTCCTCGAGGTTGCTGTGTCCTTCAAGTCTACTATTAGAGACTTTGTTGATAATGACGATGATGACAAGACCATGAAAGTTGGCTCAACCGGAATTTTTCAAAACGGAAACAACCTCTTTATCGGTGAAGTCGTCAAAATCGATGCGTTGACTGGTGCTCCCACCATCGTTGAATACGCTCTTTGGTGTGAACGTGGACCTGTGACAAGATTTGAACTTCTAAGCCAGTCCGACGGTTTAAACTCCTGCGTTTATTACGTTTGTAACAAAGACAATGGAGGAAATCTTGTTGTTGAAAAGCTGTTGCGGACGAAGTCGACATACAGAGAAACAGAGTGTCAGTTCGTGGAGATGCTTGATTTTTCAAGAAAGATGAACCCTCGTTTCAACTTAATCAACACCAGCAAGTTTGGCACCTTCTGGTGGGCATTGTCTCATAAAGTTAAAAATTTATAAAATTTGTCTTAATAAAAAATCATGTTCATGTACATGTTAATTTCGCCATGTTAATTTTTACTTAGAAGTTTTTTTTTTTTTTTTTTTTTTTTTTCGTTATTTCATTGGATGAAATGATTTTAAAAGCATAATTGTTTCCCAGAAGAGACTATCTACAAATTGAGCTAAGAAGATTTGGTGGGCTGGCTATTTTATTGGACGAAAGATTTTAAAAATAAAGTTTACATTCAGATGAGGGCACCTTACTATATAAGTTGAGGAGACTCAGTTGGTGTGTAGTATTCATACATACGCCAATGGTATCACGTGAGATTTACCTTTAGTGACTTCTCCAAGGCACAGATAGTACTGTACATCAAATTAATGGGCGTTTGAAGGCTGTCCTTGTCCTCTTTAAATAGATCGTGAATAACAGATGATGGATATTTGAATTTTCAAATAGAAATTAGAGTTCGTACAAAATAATCTTGAATACCCATCGCCACTAGTCACATATAAAGAAGACCGTCAATTTATTTGCAGACGAAAATAATGTCAGGAATATATAACAATATGTTAAGCACATTACCAGTAACCGAGGTAATCAGGATCATTGGCATTACGCTATGACACGATCGAAGCATGTGGCATGGACAGGATCTCGCAATTATATGTAGTCCTTCTTTTTTGCTCAGATCAATAACACTCGAATAGTAAAGAGTGATAGAATTTTTATTTCAGCCTTTTTGTAAAAGATTTTATGATACGTCTTCAACTTTCAAGCACTTCTAATAATTTTCTCACATGGCCGATGAGAAAAAGTTACTGTCACAGATAATTCTTTTACACAAGTATACTTGAATAAATTTCAATGTGTTTAAAGGGGATTTTTCGAGTCATGCAGAAACTGTGCCATATGAATCCATGATTTTTTACACAGTTTTATGAAATTTGACTAAAGACCCGTTTCCCAATACAGCGATATAAATAAAAAGCTTATAGACATGAGGTGCTACATTAGTATTTTTTTTCCATTGTTTACACCACCTCGGCACGAAATAGTGGACCTTATCTAGTATGCGTACCCTGAGGTATCGTAAATAAAAAAAGAGGATAACTTTCCCACACTTTCCCCTTTTTTTTTATCAAATGCACTGACTTTAAAGCCTGAGTTATCTATGACAGGCTATCTGCCACCATCGACAATCCCCTTTGTTTTTTTTTTACAGGTACATAGCACTGATTTCAGTTATAAAGACATGGCATTCATTTTTATAAACCAACGTTGGTCAATCCTACACCGAGATTGTCAATTAGAGCTTCTTTTTTTTTTTTTTTTCTTTGGTGGTGGGTGGGGAAAAATCAGAAATTGACTGGACTACTGTGTGAACAGTAGAGACGGAATAGGAAATAAACCAAAGTAAACGGATTACACAAAGTATCAGCACGTGTTTTTAGTTTAAATAAAAACAAGTCAACTACAGACGGTCATTTAAAAAACAAAAAAAAGGGTGTGTGCGTGTGTGTGAATCAAGATAGAATAATGGATTTATCACTGGAATTAGATGGCTTTACACTTGGTTTACATTTGACGGACAGTTATTCCGAATATAAACATAGGATCTCCTGCGACAAAAAAAAAGAGAGAAGGTACTGTAGATGACACTTGGTGGTGGGGGAGGAGCCCGTATTTATGCACTCCCGATCAATAATAAAACTTATTTGGCACATGCATCTTACTTTCTGATTTGTTTTCACGAGTATTTAACCACAAGTTGTGAATAAAGTACAGACAAAATCAATTTTTGACAGGTTACAGTAGACATACTCAGCTGACACTGGACACGTCCTTCTGATCCCAGCATTCTAGAACCAATATATGATCATAAGTCAGGTCCTATTTTATTTAAATAAAATTAAGTGTAACCATGTTGCCAACACTCAGCCCTAATGTAAAAAGAGCATTCAGTAATAATTTTGAAATTGACAGAGTAAGAGAAAGTGAAGATACTTGTATAGGTAACCATGGTGATGAAATACAATGATGCTACAGAATAGAAGAAAGCTTTCATTTGAACAACCGCCCTGATGGTTTGGGTTCGCACTCCGGTGTTTATTTATTATTTTCGCAGCCTTTTTTTTTTTTTTTTTTTTTTTTTTTCCTTTTTCTTCTTTTTTATTATTTTCTACAGATATAAACAATGAGTGACCATCATCATGACGACGACGAGCTTGCACCTACACAAACCACAGGTTACAAGCCAGGAGAGAAGAAGACTCTTGAAGATTATCAAACTTTAGATGCTGGAGATGAGTCCCTGAACAAGTGGAAGGAATCTCTCGGTTTAAACAAGTCTACTGGCCAAAGTAAGTTTTTTTTTTTTATTATTATTTTCTATTTTACCCCCAGCCAACTAAAGTTACTACTCTCCAAAGCTGGTCCTCATGATGATCCCCGCAGAGTAAGTGGTTAAAAGCTCTTGTGAGATATTTAATGTATACGTGTTTTTAATACTTTAGTAGGTTATTGTTGAATACATTGCTCTTGAGGTTGAAGGTCGTACTGATGTTATGGTTGATTTGTCTACTCCCCGTAAGTGTACTTTCTCTTTTTTTTTTTTTTTTACTTCTTGCAATAAAGACTGACCTTGAATAATTGAAAATCAGAGGCCATTGACCAAGCCAAGAACACACCCTTCACAATCAAGGAAGGTGTTGAATATCGTATGAAGGTTAAATTCAGGTAGGATATATATATATATATATATATGGGTTTTTTTTTGTTTATGTATATTCATTGTATTGACATCCTTTTCTTTTTTTCTTTCTTTTAAAAGAGTCCAACATGATGTTGTCTCTGGCTTAAAGTACTTGCAAGTTGTCAAGAGAAAGGGTATCAGAGGTACGTACACCTTTTCTTGGTAGATAGTAAAAATAAAAAGAAGCTAAAACCGTCTACTAGTTGATAAGACCGAAGAAATGATTGGTAGTTATGGTCCTTCTGCTGAAGCTTATGAAAAGAAGTTTTTAGCCGAGGAAGCTCCTTCTGGTATGCTTGCTAGAGGTCACTATGATGCCAAGGTAAGAAAAAAGAAGACCCCCTTTATTTCACCCCTATATATATATATATAATATTTTATGAGTAACACTTCTTTTACAGAGTAAATTTGTTGATGATGATGGTGTTTCTCATATGGAATGGAACTGGTCATTCGATATTAAGAAGGACTGGTAAAAGATTAAACCTTTTGTCTATTTCTTTTTTCTTTTTCTTTTTTACTACAAAATTCAAGTCTTTTTTCAACAATCAACCCCCCCTTACCCCCTTTCTCTGCTACTTTCTGTTATTGCTCACATAAAGTATCGTAGTTTTTTAAATTCCCTTTCTTCATAACCCCCCATTTTTCCCTCTCCCTCCCCAAAAATACAAAAAATATATATTCCAGAATTGAAAAATATATAAAAAAAAACCTATATAAAAACAGGTCGGTCTATGAATTACCCGGGGACAATGAAAATGTATCGGGGGCGTTTTCCCCCCAAACGCGAAAAAAGAAAAAGGGAGGAGAACTTAAAAATGGCCCAGGCCTGTTGTGTGTGTGTGGCAATATAAAAACACCTTTTTTTAATAAAATCGCGGTTCCAAAAATATATTCTCTTATATCCGCCCCGGGACAACAAAACAGATGCATGCATGTGCTACAAATACGAAAAAAGTCATTTCCTACATATTCCAATCACTCAATTTTTACTTTTTTCAATAAGTATTTGTCAGTTGGAGGAGCCATCATTTGCACTTGTGGGTGTTTATTGTATAAGTTCAGTGTGTTGTTTAATGGTCTTGTTCTTGAATGCTGGTGTTGTAGTAGCAGCAGAAACTTTTACTTTTGTGCATTTCCTCTCAAAAGAAACCCAGCTACATAGTGGCATCACCTTAAATAAGTCTAGTTTACATAGACATGATCGGGTGGACGTATCACTTGAAATAAGCTACCCGGGTTGTACTTGTATTTTATAAATTAGCCTCCCCCTCTTCCATGTTGATAGAAATAGGAGTTATATGCTGCCCATTTCATAATAATGACATAGTAAAAATGAAATAAAACCCGTGTTGATGAGGATCGACAAGCTATTTCTTTGGACAGAAAAAAAAAGAACGTTGGTTTCGGCTGAATTTGGGAAATGTAAATGATGTCAAAATAAAAATACTCAATCAGGTATTTATACGATATTTCCGCTTAAACCATTTGGATTCAAATTTATACACTAAGCTTTAAATGTCATTCCCCCACCCTTTTAAATAAATTTTATGCAATCCCAAAAGTGCACGTAGACACTTTTTTTTCGTGTATTCATTATCCCTTTGAACAGCAGTAAATGGCATAGGATCGGTTAAACAAATACGCCGTAATGGTGTGAGACACGGAAAAGATTGTCACGGATTTTTATAAAGCGGAAAAAAATATCTCCCCAATTGACTCTTTTTCCTTTTTCTTTCCTAAACAATAAACAATGCCTCACAGAGTACCTCCCGAAGGTAATAAACACAACAACAAAAAATAGGCAGTAAAAAAGCTGACCCTATTTTCATAGAACAACCCGCGCTTGAAAGACTTTTGGGTATCCGAGCAAAGCTCTCGGTTGTCAAACGTGACCGTTCAAGCTATCTTAAATTAGAGGATATTATGGCGATTCGATACGAAATTGAACAAGAGATGAAGGCATTGAGTCAGGTTAGAGGTGGTTGTCTTTTAGACGAATCTCGCGAATTGAACAGAGCAGACGACATTCTGGACGAAGTCTTACAAATGTTGAGTTTATGTTTCTTGTCTTTGGGAAAAAAGAGAGAAGGTAACCATAGGCCTTTTAAATACTTTTCAACCTGTATGCTTATCTTTTTTTTTTTCAAACTTAGGGACCGCTGTTTACTCTCAAGTGGTTGCCATCAAGGTAAAGAATACCCAATCCAGTGGAAAATGACGTAGTATATTAAAAGCTTATTTAATTTTTTTGTAGCATATATTCGATCGTTTACAAGAATTTGGTGTTTACGAGGAGGAGTATTTGGAACCCTACAAACTTCGATTAGACGAAATTGATAAGCTCATCAATGTAGACGGATGTCCGGATCTATCAGACATTGTTATGCAAGTACTGCGATATCAATACAGACAATGCAGTAAAGTGTGGGATGAATATCGGAATATAAAAAAAAATGTTATCGGCTAAAAAAAAAACAATTTAATAGGACGTATTTATCAAAATCTAATTGACACCATTCACGAAGTTGCACCTGAATTGTAAGTTTTAATTACTAGGAGTAGACTTGAACAAAAACTGATTTGTTGCGGAATGAATAGGATCCCCATCAGAGATAAATTATTACGTATCAGACGTAATCTTGCCTCTGTCTGTTGTAGAAGTCATTTCTCACCAAATGACATCAAACCATTACAGGACAAAATTCGTGCCATTGATAATATGAGAATTGACGGTAAATTTGTTGGTGAGGATGGTGTGACTATTCCAGCAGGTCAAGGCGTCTTGGTCAGTTTGCTTGAACAGCTTTATTACTGGTCGCATGATCTTATCATTGTCTGCAGTGCCGATTTCTCTTCATCACTTCAAAGTGTACGTGAACGTCTCTTGGGTATAAAGGCTGAATTGGAACGCTTAGAATTAACTCACAAATGGACCTTGCGACAAACAGATTTATTCACCTATCAACATCAACTGCATGATATTGTCAAAATGAGATACAATGTAGCCAACGAAGAGACAAATACTAGACCTGAGTTACACGGCAAGTTCTTGGATGGCAGTGGAGAGGCGCCTGAAGGTCAAACCATTTTGGAGTTCTTGCTTCACAAATGTTACAGATTGATCTTTGTCCTGTTAAGCGAAAGCGCCCCTGTTTCAGAGGCACTTGCTCCAGTATACAATCAACTTGTCACAGTACGTCATTGTCTATTAGCGGTGAAGCATACAGGTGCTCCTTGCTCCCCGGAAGAACTCTATCCGTAAGTAAAGTAAAGTTCACCCATCCCCAGATTATTCACATTTTTCATATAGCTATCAAATGAAATTAGCCAGCATAGAAAAAGTACGCAAAGACGGTAACTTTTATGATGATCGAGGACAAATCCCCGAAGGTATGGTTCAAAAGATAATGACTATATGCCCTTGATTAACCAGAAAGGGGATTTATTTTGTTTGTTAGGTCAAGCTATTTGTGTTGATATCCTCGAAGATTGCTACCAAATTTTGGAGTCGTTGCGTGAGGAAACACCAGGCATTGATGAACGTTCATCATACATTGAGGATGGCACTAAAACAAAATAGAAACCTATAACTAACAAACCTTGTAATAATATTATGTAATAAATCCTTTTGTACTATGTCTTTCTTTTTTCTTTAATGATGAAATAAAACGCTCACAAGCATGTTAATCTTAGACTGCTTTTTTATATCTTTTATTTCTCTGTGTCAAATAATCCCAAAACGAGCAAAATGACTATAGGCGCCAGAACAAGTCTTGTACTTTGGACATTTAGTTTGGCCAGCATCCTCATCTCGAACCAAAACAAGCTCGACCGATTAGCTTAAAACCAAAATGAAAAAGTGAAAAAAGAAATGAGGGTCATTAAACAAAACGGCACGAATATTCACCTTGACTATCTGTGTATTCACTGTGATAGAAAGTGCATAATAGTTCTTTTCATGACTTTGTAGTGAAAATTCAGAATTATGTCTCCAGTCTAACTATGCTGCTAAACCTGCTTTCAGCAAAATTGTTGTCTTTTTCCCCGTATAACAAAATAAGAGTGCCCGCCTTTGCTATATCGAATAATTTGCAACCAACTCTCGCTTGAACTATGCACTATGTCCAACCTCATCGTGTTGGTTTGATATTTTCAATGGATCGCCAAGAGTAAAATATTATACTTGGTTTAAATATTAGATTATAGGAGAAAAAGGCAGAGACTATTGTTCGGCAACATTGTTGTATTGAGATTTTTCTTTCATTTAACGTTCCATCTTGTGAAGGATTGTTATTTATCTCATTTCAAATACACCCCATTAATAAAATGAGCTTAGTCTTCATAAGAGAAAGACATTTAAAAGCATACAACGTGGAGTTATAAAATGAGCTTTTAGTCTATTTTTGTATTTTTCATTTTCATTAATATTAAAAAAACGGAGGCCGTGCGCGCATCCGGAAAAAAATCAATAGTCTGATTCCTCCCCACTAGAATCAACGCCTCTCTACTAGACTGACTACCCGGAAGTGGGCTCCAAGACTCGACATAGCATCTACTGTTAGTGACTACAATAAATGTATAATCTTATCTCAAAGTAATTTTTTATGAGGAAAAAAAAGAAAAAGAAATTTGCCCAGGAAAAACAGGGAGCCCTTTTATACCTTTTTTTCTCTTAACCTTGTGACTTTTATAAAAGTCACATAACCCATCACAAAAATTTCTGGACACTTTACCTCCCTACATACACGTATGATTGACATCATTGTTTACATTGAATTGAGACTGCTGTGTATTATGGTCACCTGAATAGACACTTTTAAAACTCGCTTTCTCAATAAGGCAAGTAGTGTGGCATATACGCTCCCAATTTTTAAAGGTGCGCCTTCTATATCAAGGTCTTTTATTATACATCTTTAGATTACTCTTTCAAGAGAAGTCTCGACATTCAAAGAAGGCACGAGTTTACTTGAATTGAGAGCAACAAGCCATTAAAAAACCAACGCGAGTTAATGCAAGGCATTTCTTATTTTTTGCTCATGGAAAGCTACTCAACTTATTTAAATAATTCAGGGACACTCGCCGTGTTAAAATCTCACAAAAACCCAATAAAGCGTTTACAAAAAATATAGAAAGATAACTCTAATCGTGCATTCATTTAAAAGTTAACCTTTTGAGTGAAAACTGATAGTTTTTTTTTAAAGAGAAGAAATCGACAACACAAGTAGATATAGAGATTTTCATTAAACAATGGTATTTCATACAGATGTCTATGAGATCAATCTTTATACTCATCGTATCCAATATGGTAGGAAATTTGTGCAACAAAAAATGCATACAAGAATACGTTGACAACAATCGAATTACCTATTGACCCTTACTGGTGGTCATGACCAGAGGCGGGTAATTTTAATGTCCGATCTGTGGCGTATCACTTTTTTTTTTTTTCTTGAACAGATTGGATAAAAGACGACATTCCATCAATTTCATGATAGGTATCAAACTTTTGATATTATAATGCTATGCCCAAAATGTTTGTTATAATAAGACGCATCTTTTGATATTGTTTAGAGTGCAGTTTTCTATGTAAAAAATAAACTTTGTCTAACAAAAACTGGTTTTTTAATTAGGCACCAATTACAGCGATTACCATAGTAAAGTTGCTCCACAAAATATACCAATGGAAAGAGCATAAAATTTGGTTTGTAGTTTACTCAGAGAACTTTTTTCCAAACCTACAGGAAGGGTATCTAAAAGGTGCATTTGTAAATTTCGAGATTTTCCTCGAGGTATACCCTTTGTATTTTGGCCGATTTTAGGTCTTTTTTTTTAAAAAAAAAAAAAAAATAGACTTAACAATTAAATATGATACTTTAGATAATTCTGAGCATATTTTTGGCTTGAAAGGGTGTCCGGAAACGATGGTTTACTATATGAAAAAGTTAACTGAAAAAAGCATGTCAAGTGATAAACAAAAAGAGAAACCGATAATGGGCAACTTTTTTTATTATTACAGGAGTATGTAGTTTTTTTCAAATCATGTTTTTCGTTAGGATGTAGCATCGCAAAAAGTCCTGAATTTTAAGGTTTTACCTTCACCCATCACATCGCTAAAAGGACATAATTTTCCTAGTCGCAAGAGTGATTACAACCAAGATCTCGACATATTAATTCAAGAGGCCTAAAATTGGGATATTCATTCATTCTAAAGTTAAGATGCGTAGTAGTTTTTATGGGATATTTTTATTCTGGAACTGAGTTATGTCTTGCAAACCTAAAATAATTGCCGTCAAATACAGTTACAAAAAGCATCCAATTGAAGTAAAGACAAATATTGGTTACAAAGTTTAAATTTCTCTTTCTTCTCTTTTTTTTTTTTTTTTTTTTTTCTTAAACAATGAATATGGAACATGAAGGCCATGAGGGTCATGACGGCGCTTTTACCTCAGCTTGGCTAGAGGGTTCTTTAAGCGACGAGCAAATTAATGGGTTGACCGCTGAACAGCGTGCCAAGTAAAGAACAGGAGATAAAAGTGTGATAAACTAATGCTAATGCTACCCTTCTGAATAGCTACGACATACAGTTAGAATATTTGGTTGAACATAAAGGTAACATCTTCATCCCTGCTGTAAAATGAAAGCAACTAACATTGCTTCTTTAGGTCATGAGTCTCAACATGAAATTATGGCCTTCATTTTGTTATTTGCTTTATTCGCTTCACAGTTTTTAATCTTGTATTGGAAAAAGAAACATTACAAATCATACCAGGCTATTAGTTTGGGAGGTCTTTATTTCTTCCCCATGATGTTTGGAATCTATGCTGGATGGTACCGTTTCCTGATTTTCTGGATCTTGTTTTCAATCTTGAATGGCTTTGGTAACGGACTTACTTACAAAGGAAAACTAGGTCTAATTTATATATTATGTAGTCATTTACAAAGCATCGAGAAAACCCCTGGAGGCCATGACTCCTCGTATGGTTTACAAGTGGTTCACAGTTTTATATAATGTGTCGTTTGTTGTTGGTTTAATTGGATATCTTATTGTGCTCGGTGTATTCTTTGGAATCTTTGCTTTATTTGGTGTAGGTCCTGAATTTATTCAAGTCGGTGTTTTACTTCTTAGTTACGGTCTTTACTTTGGGTAAGTTTGTGAAACAGGGGATTGCGTTAACAGCTATTAACGATAATTGCAGTGTCTTGGGTAGAGATTTTGTTGAGATTTGTACAGATAGAATGGCCGCCACCATTGGTTATTATTCAAAGGATGGGTTACCAAATAAGTATTTGGGGGATGGTATCTGTGCTGTTTGTAATCATGCCACTTCAGCCACTACGGGCCATATCGCTTTGCATAATGATCCTGCGTTACGTCCTATGTTTTCAGATGATCCTGTTCATCAATTGACCTGTAAGCATGTTTTCCATGAAAAGTGTATTCGTGGTTGGGTTATGATTGGTAAAAAAGATATTTGTCCATATTGGTAAGTCAGTCTCTATATCCGGTCAAGTCATAAATATTAACGTAATTGTTTTCACAGTAAGGAAAAGGTCGATCTCAAACAATTTAAGCGTAATCCGTAAGTGAAGCAAGTGCAAATAAAAAAGGAATGGGTTGTCTAATATGAACTATTATATAGATGGGACACGCAGCAGCAACTCTATCTCAATTTGCTGGATGGTGTTCGTTACTTAGTAGTCTGGCAACCAGTAAGTGTTTTCTATGCACATTTAAAAAACTTGTTAATTAATTCAACAATCACAGATCATCTTTGGTGCCGTTCAACTTGCTTATTATTTATTTGGTTTGGATTAATGAAGGAGATTATGAATTGGGATGAAGGAAATCAAAAGTTATATCATAGATTTAATAAAGTAATACAATAATTAATATTCATTACTTTACATATTGTGACAACCAGCGAATACCGTCACCATAGCCCTGTCTATGTAAAATTGAGCACATAAATAGCTCCATTGGTCTACCTGGGCTGGCAATTGGAACAATTCCCTATTATTTATCATCAATACTCTTCATCGAGAATACTTTTCGCTACTGTTATTTTACCTTTCCGGTTGTGTATTCAAAGCCCAAACCCTCCCTAAGTTCCTTCTCACTAACCGCCTTGACTGAATCAACCTTATTTCCAAGAACTAAAAATGGCACGCCTTCCAACTTTTGATTTGTTAAAAGTCTGTCCAATTCGTACTTGGCTTCCTCAAATCGACTGGGTTCAGCGGAGTCCACCAGGAAGATAACGCCCGAAACATCGTACGAGTACTGATCCCACAATGATCTCGTTTGGTGATGACCTCCCATATCGTGTGTTGCAAAGATGATGTTTCCTACTTTTAACTCTACCATATCTATAATAATGAAAAAAAAGTCAGCACAGCATACTTTTTTAATTAAAATAAGCTTACTGGGGTGAAGTGTAGGTGGAATAGCACCCACCTTTTCATTCTTTAACATATGTAAAAGAGAAGTTTTTCCTGAATTATCTAGCCCCACGAACAAAAGCTTAGCATGCTTGTCCAGGAGACCTATTTTATGTCAGTAATACGTATATGTATGTCTTTCCGCTATGTCAAATTACCATATGTAGTCAAAACATCGCGAAACCAGTCTACCATAAACATTTTTTATTAGGCTATCAGAGTGATTGAAGTGTTAATTTGAGTTGGGCATAAGAAAGGCTAGGAAATAAGGCTTTTTATATAAGATTTGATACGGATAATCAATATGGTGGACATTATCACTACGCCCAAAAAGTTAATTGAAAACCCCTTTGTCTTTAAATATTTATAAGGGAACCATTGTCTTCTTTATTTTGTTGATTTAAATGTTATTTTAGCGGGACTAGCTCTCAGACACCCATTATTCAAGAGGTAAGTGTCTCATTGTGGCACTGTGCCTATTCTATCGATTGTAAACAATAACGTTGTATGTGATAGGATAACACATTTGTAACTTTTTAGAATACTTTCATTGGTGTTAAAAGGAATAGTATAAATGGCTACAAAATAACATCGGGTATACTTTTTCATGCGAATCTATGGTGCCACTTTTTTGTGTTGGTTCTGAGCGCAAAATATTAGTCCTAGGTACACCCTACATACTCCCTAAACCAAAAACGAAAAAAAAATAAATAAAACTTTTTAGTTTCTTCACTATTCTTTTTTACATTTCGGGGGGCGCGTCATGTTTAATAATGAGAAAGAAGAAGCCCCAGCTTCGAGCACCAAAGATGTATTTTTACCACCCATTATGTCAAATCAAGATAGCTTAGATGTCGGTCAAAAAAGAACTGTACCATGGGGAGAAGACGACCAACGGGATACAAAAACTCCTCGAACGGAAGAAAAAGAGCAAGGTATTATTCTTTTCAAACGCATGAAGGAGATGAAGAGCTGAAATATAACTTCGTTCTAGATAAAAAACACCAACAACCACAACAAATGCAGGTATCACAGCTTACCAATCAAGAGTCGGTAACTGTGGCAACGCCATTTCGTGCTATTTATAACGATCAATCTATTATCCATCAACGAGTAAACCGACCAAAGTTAAAACTAGATGATTTTAACATATCACGCACTCTGGGAACTGGATCTTTTGGCAGAGTGCATTTGATTCAATCAAAAGTAAATGCCAGATTCTATGCTATGAAGGTGCTAAAAAAGACAGAAGTAATCAGATTGAAACAAGTTGAACACACAAATAACGAAAAGCATATTCTGGAATCTGTAGCACATCCTTTTCTAGTTAATATGTGGGGAACTTTTCAAGATTGTAACAACTTATACATGGTGATGGATTATGTTCCTGGTGGTGAATTGTTTTCAGTCTTGAGAAGATCCCAACGATTCCCAGATCATGTAGCAAAATTTTATGCTGCTGAAGTCATTTTGGCTATAGAGTACTTGCACTCAAAGGACATGATTTACCGGGATTTAAAGCCAGAGAACTTATTGTTGGATGCTCAAGGACATATCAAGATTACAGATTTCGGTTTTGCGAAATATGTACCTGACATAACTTGGACATTGTGTGGAACTCCAGATTATTTAGGTAAGATACTTAGATCCCGCATCTTCTTGATTTATAAACGATTACAAAAAAAAAAAAAAAAAAAAAAAAAAAAAAAATAGCACCGGAAATTATTCAATCAAAGGGCTATGGAAAAGCGGTCGATTGGTGGAGTTTAGGTGTTTTAATTTATGAAATGTTGGCTGGGTAAGCATCAATATTGATCTAATGGGGCAGCACTAAAAATTAATGCAAAATCAGATATCCTCCATTTTTTGATGACGATCACTTGAAACTTTATGAAAAGATTTTAGCCTGTAAAATCAAATGGCCACAGTACTTTGATGCCAACGGAAAGGATTTACTAAAACGATTATTAACCCCAGATTTAACAAAGCGTTTTGGTAATTTAAAAGCTGGTAGTGAAGACATAAAACGCCATGCTTGGTTTACCGGTGTAGACTTTAATAGAATATTGGCGCGCCAAATTAGAGCTCCTTATGTGCCCCAGATTAGAGGCGAAGGAGATGCAAGTCATTTCGATAAATATCCAGAGACACAGGAACAGTATGGTGTCATGGGCCAAACAGATCCATATAGAAGTTTATTTCCGGATTTTTAAGAAAAATAAAATATACATTGTACATCTTGAAATCTCCAACTTTGTGAGCGACAATTGTCATGACACGCGTGAATGAAAAAAGACCATTTGAATCAAATACTAGAGTTATCAATCTAACAGCAATTATGTTCCACAACTGCTGATAAATACTTGATTTCTCGATTTTGCATAATTTTTTTTAAAAAAACTAGCTAAAACTAAACATCCGCGTTTCTTAGTCAATATTACCAATCGACAAGTTTATAAATGATAAATCATTCATTATTATTTGTATTGAGCATATTGTCTCTTTGTTTATAGCTCGTAATTCCAAGATTTAACCATCGTTAGGTCGATGTTTTTTATGAAACGCAAATCGTTGTGATGTAGGTCTTTGTGATATAATTTAATAATAAACGTACAAAAGAGGAGGTGTAAAAGGCCTATACAAATAAGCCAAGCTAGGAAATAATTTGAAAATTAATCTATTCTTGAATGATAATTTCCTGATCGGCTTGATAGAATTCTCTGTTATTAGAATGCATAAACCAGTAGCGAAATACTATTTACTTTTAAAATTGTTCCGTCTTTTTTTAATTTAAAGAGACGTATTGTCAAACAAGACTATGGATTTATCGTATTAAACAAAAAGAACCACCCCCGGTCTGCCTTATAAGGTACTTGACATTTGAAAAAGCATTGTAAATATTGATCTTGGCGGCGCAAACAATCACGATTGTAATGATTGATCATTGATCGTTGACTAGAACATGTCACTGTAAACAATATGCATTGACAACACCCTGCAAAAAAATATGAAACGGTTTTGGTGGGTTAACCCATTTGATGTACGCATTCTTTGGCAACAGTTCAAAAAGTTGTCATTTCTATCAGCCATGTTGTGTCAAAATTACCTTGGCTTATTTATGTTTTTTTTTAAAAAAAAAAAGAAAAAGCTCAAAACAAACAAACAATGTTCAAAGATAACATTGGATTTTATGACCAGGTGACTGCTTGGTACACTGTTTGTAGAAAAATGACAAAGGTCGAGACTGATAAAATAAAACCAACATGGTAAGGTGAGGACCGATGTCATTGTGAAGTTGTAATACGATGAAACATGTAAATGGCGGAGATCATTACTTTGATCGAATAGGCTCTGTGCACTAACACAACTTGACTACTTTCATTGGTGTAATTTAGAAGGTTCGATGACGAAAAAGAAATGTGGGAAAATCATACAAAAAAACGCTTTCTTGACAATTTTTCATGTAAAAGAACAATAAAACGTCTAGACTCAGTCTGTGCGATTTAATTTTTTTTTTTTTTTTTTTGTATAAATAAGGCCATAAAATTATTCTTCATGTTTCTAATAAAAAAAATATTATTGAAAAAATGCCTTCTCAAATAACTTGCTCAGATATACCCTCGTCTATTTTAACACCCTCAACTATACAAATTACCAAATTTTATGTTGATGCACCTGTGCGAACACCATTCCAGCGCCGACGACAATCATCCTCAGCTTCTACCGATATGAAAAGATACCTGCCAAAGAACCATGGAATAGTAAAAAGTGCTACAATGCCTTTAATTACAACCAATTACTTTGACACAGTTAGGCTATTGAACAGATATTCCCAAACATTCAGATGTCTTGATGATTGTTTAGCAGAAAACGTGCGAACTTGTATTTATTATAAACAAATTGTCTTTTTTTTCAATTTTATGTTAACCGATTTTAATATAGATTCGACCATGGTTGCCCTCTAGAATATCTGTTTCATCAAAATGGTCACTTGTTTATAGCCTTGATCAGCATGGTGCAAGTTTAAATACGTTATATAATCGTACATCTAAAAGTAAAGGTCCATGTTTAATGGTCATTCAAGATAACAACGATGAGGTATGGCTCTTTTTGTATTGTTATCTGATTGCTTTATCTAACAGTTTTATCAGATATTTGGAGCGTATCTATCAGAAGGTGTTCACATGGACACAAGCTGCTACGGAAACGGAGAATGGTAAAACACGTTAAAAAAATGACAGATTGTATACAATACTAACGTTTGGAGTAGCTTCCTATGGAAGCAAGATAAACATACAAAAATAGTCCTTGTGTACCCATGGACGATGCTCAATGACTATTTAGTCTACTCTAATGGGGAGTTTTTTGCGGTTGGAGGTGGTCAAGGCAAATTTGGTCTATGGTTACATTCGGACTTAACACATGGTCATACTGAATCATGTGTCACCTTTAATAATCCTGCGTTGTCTATTGATTCTGCATTTGAGTGTATTGCTTTGGAGATCTGGGACTTTCAGTATTAATAAAAAATCATATTTGTTTATATCTCAACATTTGCGTTATTTTCAGTATTTGTTTATTTGTATACAAAGAATGAAACGTAAAAAAGGGGTGGAGGGGTATTATTAGAGAAGCTCTTGCATCATTGTGATTGTGAACATATTTGATTCTTCAGCTGTCATTTTATGTCGTAATTGCGTATGTGCAATATTTAAATATTTGTGCATGGCATAACTCAAGCCGTCCATTGTCTTTTGTCGTTTCAATGTGTAATTATCTTCTTCGTAGTGTCTAACGTTTACTTCTATATCACTATCGAGTGCGTATTCTAGCTGAATTTGGCTAACCATCTCCATCATTGGTATCTTCTTGCGGATAACACATGGAGGTTCTTCCTCAACAGGAGAGAAATACGCAGTAATAGTCTTTTTAGGGATGATTTTTCTTTTGGGTAAATCAATAGGTTGAATAAATGCTACTGTGTTATCACTTGGTATGGCTTTAGAAGGAATATCATAGCTCCTTCCTCTTCTTTTTGTTGTAAAGCCAAATGCATTGAGTGTAGACATTTGAGTTAAATGAATAAAAATATAGAAAAAAAAAATTGTTCAGTTTTTGGAGGGAACGCGTCGGACAATAACTGGACTGTCTCTTTTGTGTGTGTGCCTTCTGAGTGCGTGTTCCGGGCAGGATAGCCCTTGTACGGGATTTTAGTCCTGATTGGTACGGTTAAACAATAAGTATATATCAACTTACCTTTTCTGTACAAGCGAAAAAATGGAGTTTGCCCTCTTGTTGACAGCTGAAGAAAGTGGCATATTTTTAAAAGAGAGCAAACCATAGTGGCGTTATATATTGTAAAACGATAGCGCCTCAAGGTCACCCGCCCTATATTTCAGGTACCTAGCAAACCGAAGGACAGTATTGGTTTTGGCACGTTCGTACTTGAGTTTTACAGGGCAATAATTGTTTAGCTCGCATTGTGGTCATTTTTTATTGCACTGGTATCGTAAATGCTTGCATGTAATACTTGGGAATATATATGAGGGTCAAATGATTTTATTCTCTTATATTAAAAAAGCATCGTTTACGCAAAAGTGTGGAATGACGCTAGAACCAACGCCTTCAAGTCCTGTATTTTTGATTTGCAGTCGGACCAATCGGTGCTGGTGAAAATCCCTTGTATGAGTTCAAATGATTCATCAAAAAAGTGACTGTGAATGAGTTTGGCACTCTCTATTTATTTTTTCTCATCTTGTATTATATTCCTTTTATAGCTCTTTTTGTCAAACAAAATGTTTATTCCTTCACTTGACTTGGCTGACGCCACTCAAGCTTCTCTCTATTCTTCTTTATCTTTCTTTGGTTCTGTAATTCTTCAAAACGGTAATGTTGACCAAATCAAGTCCTTAATTAACCAAACCGGATCTACTCTTTACTGGGCCCATGCCAACTCATCCGAGGAAGCCGTCCAACTCTGGGATGTTGGTGTACTCAAAGTCATTTTTACTTTGGATACATATCTCCAAATCCAAACTGAGCTTGCTGATATTGCTCAAGACCGTATCGCTATCATCTCTACCTACGATGAAAAGCTCAAGTCAATCGATGTGTCAACCTTCATTATCCAAGACGCTCAAGACTTTTCTGTCCTTAGCGAATTTGCTAAACAGACCAAGTCTTGTTTATTGGGTCATGGTGGTGAGAAATCTGTCGCTGTCCAAGTTTCCAATGTCACTATCGAATCTATTGCTGAGCTTCAAACTCAAAACCTGGACGTCATTGTCCCTGCTTCTCGTTTAACTGTCAATGTTGATGACAAATCTGACAAGTTAAACATTGCTGAGGCATTTTTGGCTACCGCTAAAACTGATCGCCCTGATGGTCTTTATACTACCATGGTCGTTGACGAATTTAATAAGGCACTCGGTTTAGTTTACTCTTCCAAGCAAAGTGTGGCTGAGTCCATCCGTCTTGGCCAAGGTGTGTACCAATCCCGTGGTAGAGGTCTCTGGCATAAGGGATTGACTTCAGGCGCTACCCAAACCTTGAAGCATATTGATTATGATTGCGATGGCGATGCTTTGCGTTTTGTTGTTGAACAACACGGTGCTGGTAAATAGACATTCTCAAAGGATTTCACACTGTTATTAATGTTGTTTTGTTTGTTTTTTGCAGGTTTCTGCCATTTAAACACCCGTACCTGTTTCGGTCATGATTCTGGTATCACTGCTTTGGAAAAGACATTAAAGGAAAGAAAGAATAACGCACCTGCTGGATCTTATACTGCACGCTTGTTCAACGACTCAAAGTTATTGCGTGCCAAGATCATGGAAGAAGCTGAAGAACTCTGTGATGCTACTGATAAAGATGAGGTTGCTTGGGAGGCCGCTGATTTAATTTATTTTGCTCTCACAAAGTGTGTCAGCGCTGGCGTTTCCTTGGCTGATATTGAAAAGAATTTAAACAAGAAAGCAAGAAAGGTTACTCGTCGTCCTGGTAATGCTAAGCCCAAGTGGGAAGAACCTGCTGTCGCTCAAGATACGGGTAGAATTGAAATGATGAAGTATTCTTTGGACGATATCTCTGTCAAGAAAAGAGCCAGCCTTTTATTGCGTCCCATTATCGACTCCACCGAGATTATTGGCCGCGTTACACCTATTATGCAAAAAGTCAGAAAGGGTGGAGATAAAGCTATTATGGATTTCACTCGTCAATTCGATCGTGTCGACCTTCAAAGCCATACTATTCAAGCACCCTTCGACCCTGCTATGATGGAATTGGATCCTGAAACAAAGAAAGCTATTGATCAAGCTTATGATAACATTTACAAATTCCATGAAGCTCAACTGGACAAAGAACCTTTAGTTGTAGAAACAATGCCTGGTGTTGTCTGTTCCAGATTTACACGTCCTATTGAACGTGTTGGTCTCTATGTCCCTGGTGGAACTGCTGTCTTACCTTCCACTGCCTTAATGTTGGGTATTCCTGCTAAGGTTGCTGGATGTCATGAAATTGTGATGGCCTCACCTCCTAGATCCGATGGATCTGTTGTTCCTGAAGTGTTATATGTTGCTCATAAGGTCGGTGCATCCCACGTTGTGAAGGCAGGTGGTGCACAAGCTGTTGCTGCTATGGCTTATGGTACAGAAACCATTCCTAAGGTTGATAAAATCTTTGGTCCTGGTAATCAATATGTCACTGCTGCTAAAATGGTTGCACAAAACGATACTTCAAGCCTTGTTGCTATTGACATGCCTGCTGGCCCTTCTGAGGTCCTTGTCATTGCAGATAAGACAAGCAACCCTGTTTATGTCGCTGCTGATTTATTATCTCAAGCCGAACACGGTGCCGATTCACAAGTTGTCCTTTTGGCTGTTGATTTAACACCCGAACATTTACAAGAGATCGAAACCCAAGTACATGACCAAGCAATTGCTTTACCACGTTGTGACATCATCCGTAAGAGTATTCCTCACTCATTCACTTTATCCATGAAGACACTTGAGGAGGCTATGAAGTTCTCTAATGATTACGCACCCGAACATTTGATCTTGCATATCGAAAATGCTGCTAGTGTCTTGCCTTCCGTTGATAATGCTGGTAGTGTCTTTGTCGGTCAATACTCACCTGAAAGTTTCGGTGACTATGCATCTGGTACTAACCATACCTTACCCACCTATGGTTATTCTCGTATGTATTCCGGTGTTAATACTAATGGCTTTGTGAAACACATCACTTCTCAAGAATGTACTGCTCAAGGTATGGACTTGCTCGGTGATACTGTCATGCGTCTTGCTGAAATTGAAGGTCTTGGTGCTCATCGCAATGCTGTGGCTGTTCGCATCAATGATTTAAGAAGAAAGTAAATCAAAAGCTGCTTGAGAAAAAAAGTTAAATAATGAAATACGGTGAACAACTCATAGTGTTTGGATATTTATATTTTGTAATAAATTAAATAATTTTATGTATATACCCGTCATGGGGTTAAATTTAAAGGAAATGTCATTTGAGGTAGTTCGAAATGCTCGTGCGATATTAATTTGTTGGTTTCAATTGAAAGCATCAAAATCTTGCTAAAGTCAGCGGTTCCCCTAAATCAATGAAATCTTGTCTTTTGGAAGTATCATCTTGGCCAACCAGCTTTGCAGAAAACTGAAGAAAAGAGGAGTAATTCTTGGCTCGCAATGTGATTAAGAGCGGAAGGTTTGCTTCATAATCATCACTATCGTAGCTTACAGTAACGGATTTCACCATATCATACGAATGAGACTCTAGGGAGATGGTATCTTTTGGCTCGATAGCTTGCCTCCATCTTATAAATACTATAATTATATATGATAATACAGGATAAAAAGGTTAAGCGCTGACGATTTAACAGTTTTTTCCTTCTTACCAATCTCAATATCACCAGTGCCATAGGTATTAACGTATGCTTGTTTGATATAGAATATCTTTTTTAATCCAACTGAGTCGATTACTTGGCCTCGTTTCAATAGTATCGCAGCATGACCATTTTTTATAGTATTTGCAGTGTCATTTTTGTAGTACAACGTTGCATTTGGATTATAAACTGTATCCACATAAAATCCATATGTCTCATTTGAGACTTGGTGTAGTTGACCCATCAAAAAACTTGTGTACGAATATGGCCGCTGACCCACTTCCAACAAATGATGAAACGAATTCAACATGGTATAACTCTGTGTCCCGACTTCTTTTAGCTCAATGCTACTTTTTAGTTCTTCTGCTAAGATAGATTCTAGTGTAAATTCTGGACCATACTTAAAATACACCGAAGCGAATAAATAAGATATAGTAGTATAGTTTCCAAACATGCTCTTATTGACTAGTGAAGATGATACAGTGTTGGCAATATTTCGCATTAATGGTTTGAGAGCTATTTCAATGATATCGCGTGTTGATAGTTGCAGGCTGCACATGCAACTGTCGCTAATCTGAATTTTGTCTTTCATATCGAAAGGAGTTACCACCTTAAAAATACATAAAAAAGCACGTCAATCTCTATCATAAGTAATGAAGATATGTGTCTGCGCTTACCTTTTTTAAAAGGTGTCTTTTCATGTGGGATTTAAACGATTTATAACCTTCATTTGAAAGACAATATTTAAGTACATGATTATCTTCTTCGTGTTCCTCACAAGGAGTTATAAGCGCACTTATATTTGCAATATGCTTCCATATATGATCACATAAGGAATCATAAATGCTTATAATTAATATTATTTCGTCTTGAATGATAATAGATGCCGCATCTTCTTCATCTGTCACTGTTTGAACGACTTGATTCAAGGTAAGCTGTATATACTCTTCGTTTAACTGGGCCAATACAAAATAAGATTTGATGGGTAAAACCATTTTAAAATGGGATTGAATCATTGACAGACATTCTTCTCCCCGGGTAACTATATGAGCCTTTTTGACGTTCTCATCATTCTGGATACTTCCGCTCAAAATTAAGAGTTCTCTAAGGTCTTTTTTGGTGCCGATTATGGTTTCCAGTAACATTTTTTCAATGGAGATTGCATATCCAAATCTTAGGTTTACTGATCCTAAGATATCATATAACTGGTCTGACACGGATTCCATGGCATAGTATAGATACATCATCAAAAACACTTTTATAATACTGTGGTTTTTGCGTATACAGACAAATCCACTGCCATCCATTTCCTTTTTAAAAACAATCTCGAGTGCTGATTTTAGTTCCGATTTTGTACCTGTAAAAAGGGATTGGGATTTTGATTTCTTATATCGTTTCTCGAATTTTTTTATCCTTCTCAAAAACCAGTTTTTTTTTCTTTCTTCTTTTAAAAAGTAATCAGTTTTGGAAAAGTGTTTGATAGCTTTCAGCAAATAGTCTTCTTTCATGAACGGCATTGTCCTAACAATATATAGCGTAAATTACTTTGTTGCATTGAATGATAGAAAACTCACTGCTTTCTAAATTTTAAAAAATTGGTCTGGCTTGAAATGCCAACAAAAGTTTCCAATGGTGGTAAGCTACACACATATAGTTTTAGTACGAGTTTTGAATTATTTATCGATGAATTTTTGTACCAAATAGTATGCTTTTCTACAAGGCATTCTACAACCCCACTGCTATTCAGTATTCCAGAGGAGCATGCGGTATCTTTCAGTGAAATATCTATTGATATGTCATGAGTGTTAAGAAAGCATTTTGGAGGATGCTCACCTGCCTATATTGATAATCACATTAGGTTTTGAGCATATAAAAACTGCTGACGAGTCTAGCATTCTTCCCGGTATCACTAACGGCAAAACATGCATATCAGAATATCTTGCCATTTCCATCATTTTTAAAGTTGCCCCTTTAAATACATCCGACGATCCGATGCTGCTATATGATTGTGATTGACTTGTCATTATTTTATAGTTCAGAAATTCAGCATTATCCTTGAGCATATATATCAACCATGGCAGCAAAGGTGAGTAGTAGTCATCAAATTTATGCTGGAAATAAGTACTGCTATCGAGAAGTAAAAATAGTGTGCGCTGTTTTCTGGAATTGTTCAATAGCATGGACCTAAAATCAGCCAGAATTTTTCTGCTGATCGAACTGCAGACATCTTTAACGCTTATTGTATTTATAGTCCTAATTTGCGACTCGGTTAGCCCATGTTCTTTTCTCAGGTGATTCGAAAGGTGTAAATTCAGCTCTTCTCGTCCTTCTTTTATCTAGAAAAATCAATAATCGATATGTATTTCGGAATCTGCAATGTTTTTTTTTTGTTTTCTACCTCCAATCCTACGCCGTAATCTAATGCGCTTCCTGCCATCAAAACCAATGCGTCTTCCAGCTCAGGAGTGACATTTTCCTTTGGGGATATTTTATGCTGCAGGTAGTTTTTCATGGCGTTTTTTGTACCATCGTTACACATCGAGATATCCACCGAATGTAACAATCTCGGTACGAGAGTTGCATCAGCTATCTCTACTGTAGAGTATTCTGCTTGGGTAACATCTACTGTTGCTGACAAAGTATCCTGACCGATTGATATTCTACAGATAATATGTTGGCTTCCTTGCTTAAATTTTTCAATGGTACTATGCTTCTTTCTGTATTCCTTAGATTGTATGAGCTGAAATACGGATTCTAATTGGGTAAAAAACAGAAGCTTATTTTCATGATCTTGCTTTGAAATTAACTTTGCTTGTGTAAAAATAGGGCGAAGCACGTTTTCCCTGATTGAAAAATCCCATTTCGTAGGAACAATAAAAACATAATGAAAGGATATTCTAGGGTTGCCTATCTGTTTTTCTAATGCTTCTTTACGATCATTTAGCAATAACATCAGATATTCGGACACACTATCTATAAAAAATCTGTCCTTGTCATCGTGTATTTTTTTGTCTTGTATAAGCTCTAGTTCAGCATAGAAATTGGACACGTGTGTCTGGTTTGTATTGTTTAAAGAATCATAGGATTCATTACCCCAACTCACACATTTTCCCTCCTTGTTGTAGCTAATACATGCTCGCTGCCTTTTAAAATACTTGTTAGAATTTATTTGTGACCTTTACTATTTAAGTACCTACATCAAGTAGTCGTGTGAAGATATTTCAAAAGAGAAATCTCGGGTTCCATTAAAGAAACACTGTGAGTACACATAATCTTCATCCATGCCTATTTATAATATGAATGATCAAGACAAAAAGGTTTAAACATATAAAACTTACATAATACAATACAATGAGTATTTACATGGAAATTATATGGGGTTGAATTCATAATTTAGTACGACAGTAGAAAAATAGAAAGAAAAGCAAAATTTCTGGTTTTGTCGGGATAGCTAAGTTTAATAGTAATATTTGTGTGCTACGATAGTTCTGACTTATTTAGGTTAATGCATGATGTAGCCATACTCTAATACCCTTTAAACAAGAGCTACAATAATTTACTAGATCAACTATCAGGTAACATTGATGATATTATAGTTGGCTGCTAAAAACTTGTTGAATAGATTGGCTTTGGAAGGTATGAAGAGGAAAAGTTATATCAGGTGTATACAGTTTATTTTATAAATATTACAAAAAAGGAAAATAAAAGCGTGGCTCTTGAAGCATTTACCACATTTCCAGACTCGTCTACGTCTACTACAATATCCTGGCACCGTGAGTACTGCAATCAGTAGTCAACTCAAGCTGTATTTATATAAAAGCTCCCGACATAAAAAGATACACACATACTATGCAAAGAATACCGATAAATGCTCGTGCAGAAAAATTTGCTTCAAGTTAAGCAGATGAATCTATTGAATAACTATAAAAAGACTGTATTTAAACATATCTATTCATACATTACTCTAACCGATAGCACATATCTTTTTTGATTCCAGGTACTATAAAGCATGCTACAAAAAGGGCTAAGCAAGACAAATGAAGAAACCATAATGAAGGATTGTTTTGTTTTGGGAATGTTTTTTTATACTGACGATTTAATTAAAGAGAAAAAAAGGATGGTAATACTAAGCGAGGTTAAACAGGCATCAAAAATGAGTGGCCCCGGCGACTCCATCCAGCTGATAAATTATGCGTTTTTGTTCAATTAAGTCACTCCAAAAAATGATTAAATCATTAGCTGTAGTAGCCATACCATATCCACTCCCTAAATACACACCATCAGGGAAGCAAAAAAGTTCAAATACTTTAATGTATTGTGTTATCTCACAAAACTGAAGCGGGACGGTGGCAGATCGGGATTCGATTAGTTGCCATTGAGAAGCCAGTGTGATTTTGTTTCTAATTCAAGGTTAAAAAAAGGCTTTTTTGTAATGTGATACAAACGACTTCAAGTTGTCTGATCCGGTCTTCATATTCTTCATTGTGAAAGCTCGTTCAAATTATTATATCTTAAAACAAGAATGTTAGTGAACACTGTTTAAAATAAGCAAGGAATCAATTTATCATACCCTGAAGACTCAATCAGAAGATAATTCAATTCTTTGCTTACAAGTCTTCCGATACCATCAAACACTTTCAAGCTACCCTTATCTTTGATAAAATTTCTGGATGTAAGCTGAAGGATACAATGCGTATGTTGCAGGATGGTTTTTGTTTAAGCGCGAATTAGGATTCAAACACGCGACTAGCACTGTGGGCATTGCGTTTACCAGAAAAGTCGACTTTTCTATTACTGTAAACAAACGGAAAGCATCTCGTGCAGATTTAGGAGAAAAGAAAGTCTAGAACTTTAAATTCAAACAAATTCTTTATTCAAAAAATGCTTTCCCAAAACTTGATTAGTCTTTGTTAGCTAATGGTTTACAGTACACTCCGAATACTCTTTTGGCGGTTGATTTCAGTTTGTGAACTTTCCTCATGTGATTGCCAAAATTGTTTCTGTTGTGATAGCTCCTATCACAAGTACAACAGTAAAAGTTGGGATCATTTGGATTTGGTGGTGGTTCAGTTTTAGGTTTAGTAGATAGTGGTGGAACAATTTTCATTTCATGGACAGTCCTTATGTGATTGTAAAAAACTGTCTTATCAGCATACTTTTTTTCACAGGAGCGACAATAAAAGTTCGGATCAAACTGATCAGGTACCAGGTCAGGATTAACGATACCTATGCGATTGCAACTAAGTGGTGTGGTTTTAACATTATGTGCCTCGCGTATATGAATACGAAATGTGTTTTTCGTTGCGTAAGTTCTGTCACAAACATTGCAATAGTTATTGGGATCATGTTCATTCGGCGTCAAATGAGGATTAACCGCTGGTTCCTTAACTCGTATTTTATGCATTCCAAACAAATGATTAACATATTTTCCCCGAGTTTCATACATTAGTTCACAAGCCCTGCAAAAATTCAACGGATCATCCTTATCGGGTTCTAAATCAGTCATCAATATATTGTGGCTATACTTAAGGTGGGTTTGAAAAGTTCTCTGGTTGTGATAAGTTCTGTCGCAAGACTTACAATAACAATTAGGATCGTGCTTGTCAGGTACCAAATGTGAAGTTGTTATATTGTGAACACCTTCGATATGAGCGTGGTATCGTTTTTTACTTCGATAAGTTTTAGGGCATTTTTTGCACGCAAAATCATGTCTTTTTTTGCTAGGCAAGGATACTAAATAAATTGTCAATTTTCAGGGCAAATGAAAATTCGTTCGAAAGAAAAAAAGTAGTACCTTGAGGTTCTTCAGGAAGAGATTCCTCAAGAAGAGAAGTATCTTGGGGTTTTTCTTCTGGTTTAATGTCTATTTCTTCTGGAGTCTCAGATGTTGGTGAGGTTTCGTGTAAAAGTAAATCAAACTCTTTACTATTATCGACTTCCTGTTTAATTACAAGATCTTCCTTCACATGAGGTATGGTATAAACCTTTGAGCGTGACATTGTGTTTAAAACTTGATTCTTCGTAAGTGGAGGTTGATTTTCAAAACAAAAATGCGTCAACTTCACACAATATTATGGCTTGAAGTAACTCCTGAAATAAACTTGACAGTCACGAATTGTATAAAAGCATTACAATGTCAAGTTTATAAGATCCTTAGATTTTAAGTTACACACACGGCAAAAAAAATCTATATAGAATTACGAGTATGCGTAGGCGTATTGGATGAGTGTATATTTCTTACTGTCATCACCAACTATAAGAATACTCGTGCTCCCGATCCACTGATAGGGGATAACGTTAACTGGAAACAATTCTAACGAGTAGTATTTATTTAACCCAAGACGGAAACAAAGTATTTAAATCTATTCCAAAGCCAGAACGGTTGACTCATCATCAAAACCCAGGAGAGTTGTGCAACTTATAAAAAGGATCAATTATTTCACAGCAGCAGAATTCTTTTAGTTTATTTTTATCTCATTATTTCTCAGGTATATTATTTTCGGGTCTCTTAGGGACAGCCAAATTTTCTTAGGGACAGCCAGGGTGCACGTAGTCGTAATGTTGGGATTATGATACTTTAATAGATATCAAGAGGTCAATAGAACTTAACAACTTAAAATATATACACATTTATCACAAATAACATAGTTTAAACCAGTATATGTATTTGAAAGCTAACTTTCAGCTTCTCGTTTGACTTTACATAAATATTTCTGCGTAAGATTTAATTCAAACGAGCTCAAAGGCGAAAGAGTGATAATAGAACTGTCAAAATAAGTATAAATCGTTTGGTGTACATTTATTTGTATTTTTTACATTGTTTTTTTGATTGTATATCCTTGTTCCCATGTCTTCATAACATCCAAACCATAGATCTTACGTTGCGACTACGTGCACTTTGGCTGTCCCTAAGAAAAGCGTATTATTTTTGTCAAATACCACAACCATATAAGTTGTATATGGATGATTCCTTTTGTAGCTGTCTTTCTTGTAAATGTACAACTTGTCTAACTTAATTTGTCCATCTCAATTTATGGTAAAGTTATAAATCAATTTCTCCAGCTCGTTAGTAACATTGTGTTGCAAAAAAAAACTCGTGTATTTAAACTAAATTTCATGCAAAATTGATGTGATATTTACTTAGAACGGAAATATCAAGCAATAATATATAAAATCATTTTCTTACATATTTAAAATTATACCGTTCAAAATCTCAGTAGACAAGGTTTTGCAATTGATTCATCTTTTTTAAGCTGGTGTACTTTTGGTGTATTTCTTATAAGCTGGCGTACGCTTGGTCTACTTTTTCCTGGTTATTGTATTGTTGGTGTGCTTTTGTTACGTTCATTTCTAATTTGCCCATTCGAGTGGATTCACATGTGCTAAGGCGTATAAAATTTTTGCATCATTGTGTATAGACTAAGTCATTTCTGTACCTCTGTCAAATATTCCAAGTCTTTATCAATCGGTCAGGTTTTTTTTTTTTTTTTTTTTTTTTTTTTTTTGTTCTTTAAAAATACAGATGCTGAGACTAGCGATATGCACCTGAATAAAATAGCTGAATCTTTAATCTTTTCAAAAGAAACCATCCAGAAACTAGAAAAACTTATATTTATGCGAATTATTTTCAGTAGGAATCGCTTGACATCCTTAATCGAATCTCTTCCAAAAAGTGGGTGATATTTTTTTAAAGTAAAATCCTGGTTATGTTTTACGATCTTAATACTATCTTCGGAGATAAATACTAAATGGTCAACTCAGTTATCATTTTATCTGAGAAAAGATGTTCAGCAATGGATCTTTTAAAGAAAGTATTGAAGATACATATGAAAACACAAAATAGGTATTTAACAAAATGAAAACGGAAAAAAATGATATGTTTCTAAACCGAACATTGTGGAGTTGTCTGTGACTCTTCGCTAACTTACCTATTTTATTTATTGGCGTCTGATGTTCTGCTAATCGACTCGTTAGAAACTGTTTACTTCAAAATCTCTTCTGTTTACACCAGTTTGTTCTAAACCTGAATTTTAATCGATCTTATTTTTTGTTAATTACTTTTGTGGTATTTGACAAAATATTACATAGAAAAGTAATGAGATAAAAGTAGATACTACTCGCTAGAATTGTTTCCAGTTAACGTTGTCCCATATCAGTGAATCGGGAGCATGAGTATTCTAATAAATCTTTAGTATTACGAGACACTTATTTATCAGATCATGCAGCGGTTACTGTAAAAGATGCATACTTGTTTGTCAAGTGTAATTGGCAATAGAACATAATAGCTGATCATTTATTCATTATCTTTGTAATGAATAAATTACGATCCCAAATATAAAATGTCTTATCGATATTTGTATATTTGGTTGTAAAAGATAGGTATCTATTAATTCATACACTATTTCTTTATACTCTTTATCAGCAGTATAATTATATCAATATATAAGTAAATGAACCATTTATATTAATAGCTGTTCTATTCTCTCTCTGGGTAGCTAATCCATTGAGAGAACTATTAATATTAAGTTTCTCTTTCTTATAATTCTTGATTGATCTGAGAAGTTTCTCTTCTCGATCGGTGATATCGTAACTCAGCGGTATAGCATTCTGTATCCAACTGTCATTCGTATATCGTATTTAGGCCAATTATGCAATCTTTAATATAGAAGTATGTACTCGAAGTAGGAGAAGTTGTATAGCAATATACAAGCGTATGCTGATATGAAGCATCAAAGGTTGTTTTAATTTCATAGTTTATTTATTTAAACGATTTGCTTAATTATTCTTAAGTGAAACGTACCCAAATACGACAACTTTAATCGTTCGTTTTGTAGTCGTTTGCTTTTTAAACCAGCTATTTTTTGGCAAGATTTTCTCGAACGGTTTTACATCGACATTATCATAAAACAATAAAATACTCCTTAACCAACATATTGGGGACACACATGCCATTTTTGTATTATTTATAATTATATCTCCAAAAATATTGCATTTTAAACAACTAGTTCCTTGGTAACCTACAGTAACCTTTAATGCATTTTTTTGTTCAGTGTGGTACTGTTTCTTCTCACATCTTCATTCACTCAAAATAGAATATAAAGCAAAAATATTTGCCGTGCGCATCCCTCCCTTGCTCTCATTGCAGATTTTAGATTTTTGTATAATCCACCTCTTACACGCAACATCAACACCTTTGCTCCATGTTTATCTGTTACCGAAAAATGGAATAGAGTGACAGAAGCCGCAACATCAATAGTGATTGTTTTTCGTGTTCGTGTATTTTTATTCTTGGTCGTATGGAGGCGCTTTTATAAAAGAAGGCATTCGTACCTACACTTCCTTACAGAGATTGAAATAGGTCTACATACACTACCGCAATTCAGAAAAAACAAAAAGAGGTCTCACCGAGAATCGAACTCGGATCACCGGATTCAAAGACCGATATGATAACCATTACACTATGAAACCTTGACATGTTTCTTTTTTGTTTATTTAATATATAAACGCAATTTTAATAAAACATCACGTGACTATCACGTGTACAAAATAATTTGATTGGCTGAATTGATGCTTCATAAGACTTGTGTAAATCAACAGCCCAGAAGCGAAAGATGGACCAATGCTTATCCCGTTAAAATAGTTACTATCAAACCACATATAAATACGTTTTCACTTTGTATAATATTTTCTGAAAATAGTGTAAGAACATATCATCGAATCATAACGTCAATTAGAATGAACACTTTTAAGTCGCCCACATGCTTCATCAAGTTTAGAAATATTTTAATTCTAAGCAGTTACCTTACTCAATATCTATACAACGCTTAAAATTGTTAAATTATAATTGTGTAAAGCATTAACGACAAACAACTCCGTTCAGGTACACAATGTTTAAAAATATGTATTATTATCCATAATTCTTTTAAAATTAACTTATTTCCACGCAAGTTAAAGCAATAACTCATCTCACTTAATATACTTCAAGTTTGATAACATGTATACATCAATTATTGATATATACATAGAAAAAAATAAAACTATGAATAATAAATAGACATTGAAATTGCATCATTGAACTTAATAATTGAGTCCCAGTCACGAGACCCCAGCTATTCAGTACTGTAACAGCGACGATTTAATCGTATCAAAAATACAGTATTAAATATTCATTTAGTATATCTTGAGCTATTCTTTATTAAATTGAAAAACTAGAGCAAAAGTTATATGTAAAAGAGGAGTTCAAAATGATTTTTTTGTAATAACATTAAAACTTGTTTACATGCTATTTTTACTCATATCGGTAACTCTTCCTGCAATCGAGGGGTATTGTTTAACATAGTAGAGATATCGAAATATGTTACTAAGCACCTTTATTTTTACCGCTAGGTTTATGACAACTGACGACTCCCTTACCATTTAATTAAAATTTCAAGTTAAATTTTTTATTAACTTCATGGTTTGCTTACACAAGACAGCAAAAAATTAGTTTATATCTAACAGGTACCAATTGTAGGTACCCATAATATTAATGAATAAATCATGTGATCTCAAAAGGGAACGTTGTTTATAGGGTATTTTGTTTTTGTGTGGTGAGCGCGGGCCTTTATTAAACTTCGAAGCCTAACCATAATGTGCTCACTAGTAAAGAAGAGGGCAGTTTGTTTAGGGATGTCTCATATTACTTTCTCGTAAACAATTATTCTCAGCATAATATTTTATTTAATCAATTGCAATTAAGCCCATCTTATTATATATATATATACATATATATGCAACATATTTAGGCAAAACAGAAGATAATTGAATTCACAATGGATTTATCTGTGGTATAAAAAGGCTTTAAGGAATATAAGCATAGAGACTGATTATAAGTTATTAATACCACAAAAACACGTATATAAAACGGACGAAACTTATTCTGAAATTGAAAAATACATGTAGAAAGTAAGAAACAAAGAGACAAGGTTTTTTCATTGATCTAAAATAAAATTAAGATTTACACAATAAAAAAAAGAGAAAAAACTATATCCTATCATATCTCTGTCACAATTGAGCACCTTTGTGAGCCTTCAAGATATGAATTATAGCCATTGCTTTATCAGGTACAACATGCGTTAATTGAACACAGGTTTTTTTTGTACTTTCAATAGAAAAAGACACATTACGGCAATATAGACTCTTCTAAGAAAAAATAACCGAGTTAAATCAATTAATTTTTTGACCCAACGGGACTTGGGGGGGTAAACAGTGTAATGGTTCCCTCAAGGCATTTAGAATGGTGGGAGATATCGCTTGTGTACGATGGTGTATGATTTCAGTTTTTGAAAAAGCGCCAACTAAGCCACCATGGGTCAACAATTTTCTTTTTGTAAAAAATAATCCCGGGTCCTTCTTTTTTCTTGTTTGATTTATTGCTTATATCTATCTAATGTCTGCAAACAACATTTTTGTACAGGGTGGTGCTGAAGCTCAAGTAAAGTATTGCCCCTGCACGCGCGTCATTTTTTCTTTCGTTCTCTCTCTTCATCTTTTTCTCTTCTAATTTTACAAAACGAATTCCATAAGCATGAAAAAAAAAAAAAGAATGAGGAAGATAAAAAACAGAGAGAGAAATACAAACAGGATCCAGTTTTACTAATGCTTGAAACAATAGATTACCGATTTAGCTCTTTATATCTCCAAGTTGAGAAACGAGCAAGGTGATAATGAAGCACCCTATGTCAAGGGAGTAGAGGCTCTTGTAAAGTCCGATAAAGAAGCAGTCTATGTCCAACTCGCTAAAGACGCTTCCATCTTTTTAACCGAGAACGATAGAGAAGTTGAAGGTGCCTTCAACTTGATGATTGTCACTCTTTTGGGTGCCCCTCAAACTGTTTTAACCGCTGCTGTACAAGCTTTTGTCGACACTTTGACCAAGACCGAATCCAACAAGACCAGCTTGAAGCAAAAGATGTAAAGAAAAAAAAAACATAGTATAAAAAAAACGAAGCCACGATATTAACAAAAAGCATAAACAGCTTACTCAATTTGTATAACGCTCTTCCTGGTAACTCACCTCTTCGTTACAATGCCTTTGTTGGATTAGTTGAAGCCACCACACAAGCTGACGAGTTGGAATCACTTTACGGTCAATTAGAATATGTTGACGCCTGGACAAAGCAATGGGGAATCGATCAACAAACTCAACGTGATTTGTACGATTTTTTGAGCAAGACATTGCTCAATGCTGGCGAAGAGTATGTGTTATAAAAATAGAGAAGGGAAAAAAAAACATAAACTAAACAGCCAGCGAAAATTTTCTATAGGAAGTTGGCTTTAGACTTTTCATTAAAGAAGTTGGCTACTTTTGATGGACAAGACGAACAAGTGAAGTCCCTTGCCAAGGAGGTTGTTCTCCGTGCTATCAACATGGACAACTTTTTTGCTTTTGAAGATTTACTCCAATATGCCGCTGTACAACAATTGAAAGGTACTGAGGAATATCAACTTTTAGACATCTTTTTAAACGGCACATTGAGCACATATCAAACTTTTGCAACCACCCATGGTAGTTTGGTAGATTCAGAAAAGAACATTCACAAGATGCGCTTATTATCTCTTGCTTCTCTTGGATCCGAGAACCTCTCACGTGAGTTAACATATGGCGATATCGCAAAGAGCCTTCAAATCGAGGAAGAAGAGGTTGAGATGTGGGTGATTGATGTGATTCGTGCTGGTTTGGTCGAGGCTAAATTAGATCAACTCAACAAAACCGTGATTGTTCATCGTAGCATCTACCGTGTCTTTGGTCAAGAACAATGGAAGAAATTGAGCACAAGTTTAAGTGCTTGGAAGGAAAACTTGAATGAGATTTTGGCTGTGGTTGGTAATGCCAAGTTGATTGCTGGCGGTGCCTTGCAAGGTGGTGCCACCTCTTCTGCCGCTGCTGTTGTTGTCGAAGGTGAAGCCAAATAAATATAAAAAAAAAACTAGATTCCCCTTCTTTTTTTTTCTTAAATAAACAACTCTCTCTCTCTCTCTTTATATATATATATATATATATGTGTATTCAATGTTTATTTACATGGTGTGGGAGAGCCTCACAGTCTCAAATTTGTGAATCCCTCTTACGCTTCATTTTCTTATGGATAGGTTGATGTCTACGTTTATTGCGCAATTCATTTAAGCAATCTTCACAATACCAAGCACCTTTCGGTGGTTCATCCAAGCCCACACAATCCATATGGAACCATTCAAATGGACAGTTCTCTCCATCACAGGCCACCATTTCACCATAGGACACTTGTTGACAAAAGCAGTAAAGTGGTTCATCTTTATCTCGTTCTTCCTTCTTTTTACGTTTTTGGTTTCGGTTGGCAATCATGGTCTGATAATCGGGCTGCTCCAATTTGATTTCGACGGTATTATCATCTTCTAATTCTGAATCTGTATTGGTGGTTGTGGTTGCAGTAGATACGCCATGAGGTATTGTATAGCTACGCGTTTCCAAGATATGTGGGACAGATTCGGGATGTGCGGCATCGTGTTTCTGAAGGTCTGAGTCGAGTCGTTGAAGGTGTTTTTCCACCAGGGTTAAAGCTTCTTGCGCTAGATGGATGCGCTCGTTGGCTAGATCCTGGAGTTTTGCATAATCTGTTTCGATACGCTGAATCAAGACAGGTTCATGTTTTTTCAGACGCTCTCTTTTTTGAGGGTCGCCGTCAAACCATTGACGATGTAATTTGGATAATTCGTGTTGTGCCGATTTAATACGTTTTTCAGGTGCTACAAAAAAACCACTATTTTTTTCAGTGTTTTTCTTTATCTCTCTCTCTTTTGCTATTGCCTAAGGATTACCTTTTGCCTGATCGTTTCTGTTTTTGATTTCAGCCCAATGGTATCGTATCTCACTCGGAAGATTCTCCAGACCTAAACATATTTTAATTAAAAAAAAAATGACACTTTTTTTTTTTTATTTACTTGAGATATATTCTTGCAAATATAATCCAGAATCTTCGTGTATATCCACCGTGTTATTCTCCATTATTGTAAACAAGTATTAATGATAATAATAATAAAAATAAAAATACAGAAAAGAAAAAAAGGAAAAAATAAAAATAAAACGAATTTATAATGCATTTGATCTCCGCCTTTGTTGTATGTATGTGTGTTATTTTTTAAGGCAATCGAGCCGTAGTGAACAGTGGTATTAATCACTTACAAAAGTCCAGCAGTATTCGCATCACAAGTTATACTACTTGTATGGATAGTATTCGAGATTTCACCTGATTCAATATCCATGACAGATAAATGGCCGTCTTCGTGTAACAAGTAAAGCCAGGTATTTAAATTAATAATGCTGTAAATTTGGCATGAGCGTCGAATGAATGCACACACTTGACAGCACTTGCAGAGACCGCGTCTGGTAAGTCTATATATACTCCAGAATCTGCTTTTTATAAACAGGCGCTTGCTGTAACTCTACCATGAATGATGTGAATCTCCTCATTCTAATATATTATTCAAAAAATGATACCATATGGCCTTTGTGCAGTTAAGGATTATCATAAATCTTAATATAAATTTATTTCGGTAGTCCACCATATTGATTAGCTCTGGTCTATAGACTTCACATTTGATGGTATAGCTGTGGGTCCAACCTGCTTCAAAATGCATAAACATATCCACTTTCACCTCCAACCGCCCAATCGTAGGTCACCATTTCATTACGTAAGAAATTACCCGTACAAATCAAATGGCTTAACGGATATGCGAGCTAGTCAGATGAAAGGGTTGCTATGACTTTAACCCCGATGTTATGTATATCATTCTCATTATAGTTGTCATGGACGTTGCTACGTGCCATGGTGGATATACATGTGCCACGGAGATGCTATTGAACCAGTCTCTTTCTATTTATGCATACCCATATATAGGATTGTTTATAGTGCGCATAGTCAATGTCAAATAGATATCAGATGTTGAATGGATCGATTCTTGCTCAGTAACACTATTTAGTTTTAACAAGAAATGGAATTTCTACACCATTTTCACTGAGCATGATCTTGTTGATGGGTAATACCATAAAAGTGCATCATTTGATAAATTACACATGCTTCCGGTACAGACTTAGGGAGTATAATCGATTGCATGCAATTCGTAGTGTTGTAGGTATATAATTAGTAATTGTCGAACATCTTTCGCATATTCAAATACAGCATAATAACTCAATGGGGACAAGTCGATGCAAATTAAAAAAGATTTTTTTTTTTTTTTTTTTTTTTTTTTGGTTTTACCTTTACTTTTACTTTTTTGTTGTTGCCATGAGTGAATTTGCCGTACCAGAAGCACCTGTAAAAGCAGCACCACCAGCACCACCTCCATTACCATACGAAAAGCCTTCATGGAGTGGACCCTGTGTATATAACTACCGTCTCGAAGTTTTAAAAAACGGCACGAGTATCGAATCCATCAAGGGTCCCGCCAACAAGGAATTCGTCACATTGGGAAGACTACCCTTGTGTGATATTCTCATGGAACACCCTTCTATCTCTCGCTACCATGCCATCATCCAATTCGATCAAGACGGCGATGCCTATCTGTACGATCTTGACAGCGCCCATGGCACGCGACTCAACAAGAATGCGGTTCCCGCCAGAGAATACGTTCAATTAAAACCTGGCGATCAAATTCGTTTTGGAGAAAGCACACGTCTCTGCATCTTTGATTCTGAAAAACCTTACGATCCGGAAGAGGAGGCTTTAGAAAGGAGGAAAATTGCATTGAAGCAACGGATAGCCAAACAACGCGGCGAGAGTGTGCCTACACAAGAGGATAATGAAGGTATCTCGTGGGGTTTTACAGAGGATGCGGAAGAGATGCCTGAAGAGGAAGAAGGAGATGAAAAGGAAGCGGATGCTACAGAAATTGAAGCCAATTTGGATAAATCCGGTGATGCTAGTCTACTAAATGTGGAGGCCGAAAAGATGGCCTTTGAAGACGCTAGTAAGTAATTAAAAGCTGAATATAATGTATATACAGAAGATTTTCTCAACAAAAAATAATAATATTATGTAGAACGACGCAGACAGGATTTAGAAATCATGTATGGTGACGACAGTGATGAAGAATTATACGACAAGACGAAAAAGAAGTCGAAAAAGGTGGCCAAGGCCGAAACACACGACGAGTTAGTGGCTAAAGAGAAAAAGGTCATGCTCGATATCAAGTTATTAGAGGAAAAGATTGAAGAAAAGAAGCGAATGGGAACAGAGAAAAAGGAAGAAGATGATGAGGATTTGGATGCCTTTATGAGCAAATTAGCCAAAAAGCCATTGCAAGGGGATAAATCCCTTTTTGTGCTCCAGCGTGAATTGACACAATTAAAAAAGGTAATCAACACAGGAAAAAAGATCTAAATTTGGGTTTACTGACAAAATAATGATGGGGGTGAATTAGGATCATGAACGCCTTGTAAGACTGGTCAAGTTGACAAAACCTTCGCACATTCTTTAAAGCAACGCATGTTCTCTTAAATAAACAAGTGCCATCCAAGCAGTTTGAACAGATGGTAACATCATTTCACCACGCGTGATAAAGTTCTCCAGCTCCTTGACGGGCACATCATTCACAACCTGCATGTATTCTTCTGCATCTCTTGCTAAAGGGTTTTCATCCAACGTTGGGTTTAAACACAGATACGGAATAAATCGATTTTTACCCCATTTTAATTCACTGATACCGTCGGGTGAATGATCCTTGGGTAATAGACTGATCCATTCGCCTCCTTTCAAGTGGGCTTCTTCCGAGAGTTCGTGTTGTGCTGCTTGAAGAACACTGTTATGCTTACGCTTGTCGTACGAACCTGCGACGCAAGTGTATTTCTAAAAGGAAGAGACATGTTCAATCATCTTTGACATGTAATGCAGTATAATATGTGTAAGAGAGTCTTACAATTTCGTTTGTTCCTTGTGCATACTCCTTCAAGATACAGGTGGTTTTCTAAGGTAGGAAAGTGTTAAAAACGGATGTATATGTATACACTGGGTGGGGCTGCATATGTACCTTGGTGGTGTCAAAGGTGAATACAACGACAAAAGTAGGATAAGGTGTGTCATGACCTACGACATCCCATTGAATGACTCTTCCATCGTTGAATTGGGTTGTTCTGTCCCAAACGGTAATGTATCTAGAAGAATAAGTGAGTGTTCTACTCTAAAAGATCCCTAAAATAATGATCGTGCTGTAACCTTTTGTGAGAGACGGTTTCCTTGACAACCTTGGCTGCAGTGCCGTCTGTGTTGATAGTGAGGCTGGGAAGCATTTGGCAGCTACGTTCGAAAAAATATTCAATTTATCAGAGGTTGGCCTAAATCATTTTTTCTAGGAAATGAAGGAAGAAAATTGATTGGCTGCTTTAAAGCTACTAAGTTTGTGACCTACGTTGACCATCAGCAACGCCTGGATCTAACCTGTGGTAGTTGATACAGGCTCTGTTGGTGGATACCATTGATTTATTCTCTTTACAGTTCATGATAGAATATCTCACGGATAACTCCAACAGAAAGATTCTTTGTAAGAAGTTAAAAAATCAGCATATTTGGACTGCGGGGAAAACTCTTCCACAGTCTTTGTTAATACTTACAGACTTTATTTATACTCACAAAATTTGTTGAGGAACTGGAGTTAATATGCGGCGGGTCATCTTTAGTCTAAAGCACTTGCATGATCAACAATATAACTGCTTCCGAGCACCCACACTATAAATTTCAGGGCAGAAACAGGGCAAAAAATTGCTATTTGAAGTTGAGATGATATAGTGAGGCAGAGATAGTTTTACTTTATGTAAATCAGACACTTCTAAGCTTATGCATTTGAGGATATCTCAATAAGGAAGACGGATTGCGTACAAGTACATGCATTTTGTTGATTCGATCTATATTAATAAGTGAATATAAATACCAAAGTTGCATGTATTTTGCATACCGTGAGTCTCTTGCGTTCGCCTAGAGTAGGGTGTCACTCTGCGTGAGTTGGGTGTCAATTTGGGTGAGTGTTGTGCTTAAGGCTTGCTGAATGCTTCAGAGAAGACTACTAACGATGCAAACGATTGCTTGTGCAATAAAATGTAGCACCACTTTTTTGGGGGGTTTGCAACCGCTGATTGGACAGAGGGTTTAGTCGGATAAAGGGAGGGTACTATCATGAGTTAGTTACAATGGTGTCTTCTTTGGTTATTGATTTTGTTTATGATTTATAAGAGCCAATGAACGGATGATAATAAATGGTGGTAGTGTGTATGGAAATTGACATATTTTTATTTTGGGAAAGGGCGCGTGATCATCCCAAGCACTCCTCTTATAATTTGTGTGGGCGTATCACAAAAAAAGAAATAAAAATAACCTCCTTTTTTTCTTATTGATATTATTTCTTTACTTTTACTCCCCTTTCCTTTTTAATATTACACATATATCTGGAGAGAAAAAATAAAAAGAAGACAAGCGATTAGAGAAACAAACAAAGCCCATGTCTCATTCTATTAATGTAAGTTGGACATGCCTCACAGAAAGAAAAATTATGCTAAACTGACTTGGAAAGTCTCTCTTTGACGACGAGGAGTCGAGTTGGACACCTTTTCCTGACAATAATATCAACAGTAGTCGACGACCTAGTTTATTACCACACCCTTCTGACCTGAGAACATGGAGTTTTCGAGAAGAAGAAAAAGACCTGTTCTCACCCGGTTTTCATCATGTGGTGGCAGAGGAAGAGGCTTTTGAAAGGACTCGAAGCAAATCATCCGCAGCCATCATGGATATCTGGAACACCACCGCTGATGAACCACAAGAAGATTCTACATGGAGAGCAGTGCATTATAGATTTGAACAACGTAGATTATCCCTTGGACCCACTGTGTCATCATTAGAAAGGTGTGTGTGTGTGTGCGTGTGTGTGTGTGAAATTTATGCATGTCTTATTAATCACATCATTTTGGAAATCAGACGTCATTCATTAGCAGGTTCAATGAGCTCATTACTAGAATTAGAGAGTCTATCCGTTCGAGAAAGACCCACATCAATCATACCAGTGAACGAATCAGACTTAAAGAACACGGACGAGATGGGTAAAGGTACACGATTAGACGCCGATGTGCTGATGGATGCTGTATTTTATGTGGTAGAATTTAAAGGAGGTCGATGGGATGTGTTTTACAGTGCCTGTAACTATAAAAAGAATGAACTGGTGATTGTCGAGGCGGATCGAGGTCATGATTTGGGTAAAATCAGTATAGACAATATATCAAGAGATCAATTAAAAGAATACTATACCTTATTAAAGAACATTAATCATAACACTGGCGAATTAAATACTACCGACGGTAAACTGCTTTATCAACAACATGAAATTTTTATCAAATCCATCTTTCGTACTGCTCTCAACGATGAAATCACTCTATTAATGGCTAAAAGTCAGGATGAAGCCAAGGCCCTTATGGTCTGTCAATCCAAAATTAAGCAAAAGAAGCTAAATATGCAGGTGGTCGAGGCTGAATATCAATGGGATAGACGTAAGCTGACTTTTTATTTTGTTGCTGAGAAACGGGTTGATTTTCGTGAATTGGTGCGAGAATTATTCAAACTATACAAGACTCGTATTTGGATGTAAGCTTTAATATTTTTTTTATATGTTAAGGGTCATACAGCCTGACTAATTTATAAATTTATTAAGGTGTGCCGTCAATTCCATAAAAGCCATTTAAATAAAATAACATATTATTTTAATCCATCAGCCGCTTTTCTCCTATTGGTTAAAACTGTGTCTTTTTTCAAAGAAAGCGATTTTTTTTTTCCTTTTTTTCTCTCTCTCTTCTTTTTTTATTTATTTTATTTCTTTCTTTATTATTAACTCATTTAAACAGCTTAAATAGTCATGCAGAACTCAAGTTTTTGCGTTGAACAAAAAAAATATGCAGACCTTCATTTGAGCGATCTAAAGAAGAGTGCGCTAGACAGAACGACCGCGGCTTTATCACCAAAGACACCACCCGCAGTGACTGCAGCACTTTTATCCGATTCATTATTTCCACCCCGAAAACCTAAAGCGATGATTGAAGATAGCGACGAAGAGGACGGAGACGAAGATTCTGATAAAAAAAAAGATCCTTTAGCCACACAAGTCTGGAGATTATATACAAAAGCCAAAGATACCTTACCTAATGGCTCTCGTCTAGAGAACCTTACCTGGAGAATGATGGCCATGACTTTGAACAAAAAGAAGAAGGCTGAGGCAGAAGCTGCTGCTGCCGCCGCCGCCGCCGCTGCTAATGATGATGATAGCAGTGACAATATGGAAATTACACAGAATCAAGACATCAAGATGTCTCCTCCAAAACCAGATGATACAACCACCTTTCTCTCTTCGTCTGCTCCTCCCTATATGCTGGACTTTATGGGGAATGCTATGCAAGAAGATACCTACCATGAAAAGAGAAATGTCATGATTTATGGCTCTGCTAGAGCATCCACTTCTACATCCACTAGTCTCCACATGACACCCTCCAACACCACCACTCACAAGACAGACACTAATGTAAGTTTCATCTGTTTTTTTTTTTTTTTTTTTTTTTTTTTATATACTAACTTTTTATATTAGATGTTTACCAATGTCTATGGTACAAACAGTATTACAATTCCTGCAGACTTGGATATGGCTGATGACTATCGTGATTCAATCAGTCCTCGTTCCACAGGCTCATCATTTCAACCTTCCTCCATGGAATCCAACCACTATAATTACTTCAGTCAATCCGTACCCAGTTATCAGAACAATACACACTTACAATTCGGACAGCAATTGCAACAGCAACAGCAACAACAACAGCAACAACAGCAACAACAACATCATCAACACCAACAACAGCAGATGATGCACAGCCCTACCAATGGGTTATTTCCACAGTTGGGCTCTACTTTACCCGAATCACAGCAGGCAGCTTATTTCGCTGCTACACCAAACGAATCCACACCTTCACCTGCCGCTGTTTCCGATCTCAATGCGGGTGCCATGAGTTTTGAGGATTTATTGACTATGTACTATGTGAATGGAAACACTGCTGCTGCTGCCGCCGCTGCTGCCGCTGTAGCTACCTCCTCTTCTTCGTCTTCCATGGTGATGAATCATACAAATGAAGCTCCGTCTGTATCTCATTTTAACTTACCCCAGTCTCAAGGTACGGGATATATAATTTTTTTTTTTTTTTTTTTTTTTTTTTTGTGTGTGTGTGATTATTAAGACGGTAAAGCAATAGATGGGCTGATAACACCTAATGGACATTCACCAGTCAATGCATCACCCCTGGGCACATCATTTAACAATACGACACTGCATCGATTGAGCAGCAGCGGAAGTGAAAAGGAAAAGAAGGAAGATCAACAGAATAAAAAGGACAATAATACGATGTGTACGAATTGTAGCACGACCACCACGCCACTTTGGCGACGTAATCCCGAGGGACAGCCGTTATGTAATGCGTGTGGATTATTTCTAAAGCTTCATGGGGTTGTACGTCCCCTGAGTCTGAAAACAGACGTGATAAAGAAACGGAATCGTAGTGGCAATTCCAACACAAACCCAGTATCTTCTTCTTCTGCCACTGTCATAGCAACCACCACGACCAATGGATCCGCCGCTGCCATAGCAACCAGCACCATTGTCACAGGGACCAGTCATAATAGTATATCTTCTGTGAAGAATAATAATCATAATAATGGCAAAAAACCCAATCCGTTTTTACAACAACAAAACATGTATAATAATAATAATAGTAGACTTAATAATAATCAAATTCATATTGCTCCAACCTCAACAACAACAATAGCACCAGGGACATCCTCTGGAAGACCTATTACGTTTGCCTCTCGATGGGGACCTCAAACCATCTCCAAACGTCAAAGAAGGCATTCTATTGATGAGAAAAACCCACAAAACCCACAATTAAATCAACAACAACAACAACAAGGTGTGTTTAGAGTAGGCTCATTTCCCTCTTCTTCGTCCTAAAAAAAATCAATAGATCTATATCGTAACACACAAACACACACATATACCTTTTTTTTTATTTTTCATTTCTTTTTTTAAATTACTATTATACATGTATATTTATTTTTATTTTTTATTTTTTATTTTTTAATCTTTTTACTTGAGTATATTCACCAATTTGTGGAAAGCATGACATTCCGCATCCTTTTTCTTCCTTGATACACCTTCCGTGATAATAAAAACATTCGCATATCTTTTCGATTTTAAAATTACTCTGGCGCTAAAGACAGGGCCATGCGGGGGGCCAACTTGTTTCGTTTCCGATTCACAGCTCACCTTTTCTCCATTCTGGAGTACCAGAGATAAAAATATACTCTTGGATTGGCCGGGCATGCCAACAGCCACGGAAAGGGTGTTGCGATTGTGCTTGAATACTTCCTTAAAATGAGCAAGGATCTTTGGATTTGTCTCGGCCGCGGGTTGCGAACTCAAGAAAGGGTTGTAAGAATCAATGGTGGATTCAGCAGGTGTGGTATCCTCCTTTATTGTCATATCTGTGGGTTCCTCTTTTACTGTAACCATAGCAGACTCATCCGCTGTGACCTGTTCCTCCTGTGTACCCTCTATCTCGACAGCCATTGTTTCTTCTTCCAGTCTTGTGTTGATGACTTCCATCTCATTCGTGGTGCTAGTGATGGCAGTAGCGGGAGCAGTGGAAGCAGTGGGAGTAGGAGGTGAAAAAATACTCTCTAGGCCCCGGGCTCTCTTTTTGGTAGGGGATTCTGCCATGTCATCATCTTGATCCATATCGGAAGGACCTAATAATAATTTGGACAGGAGACTGACGGTATCATCATCTTGTTTAAATGCGATATGCACGTTATTAGGATCACTCTCCATCGCATTACTTGTGGTGGCGGAAGGATAATTGCCGTTAAGTTCGGATACAACCGCGTAATCTTCTTCGCTAATGGGCAAAGGATGTACGTCAGTGGATTCAACATTAGGTTGTTGTAATTGATTCAAGAAATCAGGATGCTTTTCCAAATGATTCAAAATATCTTGGCAGATGGCAGCTCTTGCCTTTTGTTTGGAATGTGCGATACGTGAATGGGAAAAGTAGATGGATGTTTGACCGAGTTTAGCAACGATTTCCACTTGCCAGTGTTTACTGGGGGTCTCCTTGACTGTAAATGTCTGTGATCCACCACCTTGTTGAACCATCTCATGAAACTTTCCAATAGGACTGGCTTGTTGGTTCATCTTTTGGGAAATAGCAGTTGCCTCACCTAAAGCGATGGCTGCCACTTGAATCACTGCATTTTCAATAAATTTTTCTACTGCTGTTAATCCATAAACGTGATACAATACACTGGATAAAAGAAGAAGAAAAAAGGTTGTCAACACACAAAAAAACCACTGTACATACACGAAATGAAGTTTTTTACCCAGCCATAGTTTGAATGATGTCTTGTGGCAAAGGCTGTGATACATTCTTCTTCAACTCGATTTCCTTCCAGATGATTTTATTCACGCGCTGCAAAGCGCGGAATTTTTTAGCAAGTGGGTCTAAAATCCTGTCATCGTACTTTGGGTATTGTTTGGCGAGAATGCAACGTACAGCAAACTGACAAGCTGCCTCTCCCACAAATGCGTATTTCTGTGATTATGTTATTAAAAGGAGAGAGAGTATTTTTTATAAGAGAAGTTTACTTTGTCGGAATCATCTTGACCGCCCTTTACAATCAATTCAACAAGTGTAGGTAACGCTAACGTAATGTCAAGTTGTTGACCATATTCATCCTTTATTCTGGAAAATGTTGTAACCAAATATTCTTCTAAGGAAGGTTGCTCTGGCGTCATTGTGCCATTCATTTGTAGAATAATAAAAAGATATATATATAAAAAAAACGCCAAAAAAAAAAACTTTTGAGTCTGGGTTTTCTTTTTCTAGATAGCGCGAAAAAACGATTTGACAGTGGATACACTAATAGGGACCACAAGTTACTTGTTTTGGACTTGTCTCAAACGGTTTCTACAAAGACACTCTAGTACTAATTTATACAAAATTACTAACAAAGATAAAGTTACCTTCTGATGTTTTTCATTGACATCACTTTATCCTAAAGTCATGACGCATTTGATCAGAAAAAGAGCAGAAAGCTTATTTAATCATGACACTATCTTTGATAACACATACAAAAATCATGTGTTTTCAGTATGTAGAGTATGAGAGTGTAATCTGCAGAGTCAAGTTTTCTTTGTCTGAATTCTATGCAGAAGAAGAGATAGATTCAATCACAAAGAACACCCAGAAAGCATCATTTCTTACTCAAACAGATAAATCACAACCAAGTGTAAGCCCGATTCTCTCAGTGTTCACGTTATGCAAGATTTCATATTGAACATCTCAATCTGCGGTTTTTGACAACTTTTTTTTAACTTATGCCAATGTTATACTGTTCATTAGAATTTTGGCCAGCTAAATTCATCCAGTACTTACAAAAAAGATATACGCATGGGCCCATCTGACATCATAAAGCAAGATACCTGCAGTAGATATATTTAAGCAAGATAAGAGTTGATTAATCTATTGAACGCCACACAAAAAAGAAAATGTAGATGATCTTTAAAAATTCCAGGGACGGAAGGTGGAAACGGAAAAAAAAAAGAAAAGCATGACCGAATGATTTTAATACACAAAAGGTTACTCAATCAGGGGATGCCGAGATCAGCCCTATTTCGTCCATTGTTTGTGATACATAACCCATAAAAGCAAGATATACTAAATATACAACAATAACAACAACATACCCAACAACCTTTTATAAAAAGAATTCCCTTTTTCCCCCATTCCACTCTTTCTTTCTTCTTTTATTCTAAAAGACTCTTTTTTTCACTTCATATTTAAAATGTCTGTGCGTAATAACGCAAGAAATACTAGAGTAGAAGAATATTACTCGGACGAGGATCCAAAAATGGCATCGCATCAAAATACGCCAGTTCCTTCACCTCGTCAACAACATCGACCTTCACCAAAGTTTGCTCCTCAACGAGCCGCTATCAATCGCAACTCTCGGCTGCGAAACAGGTATAATGATCCAGAATACTACAATGGCGAGGAGTCATTGGACGAGGAAGAAATCGAACGGGCCATGTTTGATTTCGGCTTGGACGATAGGTCCGTATATCAACCTAGTTACGATTATTATGATCAACATGTTCCTCCCAGTCCCGGTTACTACATGCATCCACCACCACCACCACCACCTCCTTCTCGGTTTATGAATGACGAGGATTTATATTCACATTATCATCTACAAGATAGATACGCCCCTCCTCCACCACCACCACCGCCTCCTCCTCATTGGATGCAACGGATGCGACCAGAAAATGAAATGATGATGTATTCTCCTTCACCCATGGATTTACCGTTCGCCCATCGTTCCTCTTCGTCACGGTCGTACAACAACAACAGTCGACGTAATCGACCCAATCAACGTATACCTAGACGTTCCGTTGGCGATTTTTATTTGTCCCATGATGAAGAGGATTTTGATCATGACGTCGCTTACGAACAAGAGATGCAGAGACACCAGCAGCAAATGAGAAGACCCGCTACCTTGTCAAGACAGAATAGTAACGGAAGTAACGGATCAAGAAGACACATGCCCAAACGAAGATCCAATTCATTATCCGCCATGCATGGTGTACCTCTCATGCAACAAGATCCGTATGGAAGAGGGGCTTATAGTAATCCAAATTCACCTCCAAATATCTCATCGGATAGTGAGGACGAAGATCCGGACCAGATGGATGATGAAGTAAGGATGAGAATGTATAGTCAGAGAAGACCGGTGTCTATGGATGGTAGACCTCCCATGAATGAAGGCCGTCGTCCTCTCAATCGAAGTCATTCGTTCCAAGGTGTGTATCCTCAACAACCGTCAATACAGCAACAACAACAACAACAACAGCAACAGCAACAGCAACAACATCAACAGCAGCAGCAGCAGCAGCAGCAACAGCAACAGCCTAATGGACCTCTTCCACCAATGATGATGCATCCACCTCCACCGCCACCGCCCAATATGATGGATAATCAAATTCGACGAAATAGTAGCATGTTCAACCTCGCTTCAGGCGGTGTGGGTGGTGATTTTTTTGATCCAATGATGAACGCGGTGCAAACACCTAGTTCTCAGACAGGACATGATGCAAATAATAACAATGGGTCCAATGTATCAGCCAATGGAGATAATATGCATTGGATGGGACCATTACCTGGTTTCCCTACTTCGCCTGGTAATCCCATGTTTAATCCACAACAACATATGATGCCACCCAATCTTTTAAACCCCATGTTGCCTATGGGACTTCCAATGTTTAATAACGCCATGATGCCACCTCCACCTCCACCTCCTCCACAGCCCATGTGGAATTTTATGAACCCGCAAGACATGTGGTTTAATGATTTTCCGTTACCGTTTATGAATTCCAATGACCCCAATTTGATATTAAATGCATTGAATGGTGGTCCGATGCCTCCTCCTCCTCCTCCACCCAACGGTCAGGTACCACCACCACCACAGCAAGCGAATGGATCACCTGCTCATGGTAAAGGAGAAGAGAAAATGAAACGATCTGGTGCGGATGAAAAAAATCCTCATGAAATGAAGAAAGGAAAAGAGATGCATCCACCCAATGAAATGCATCGACCGAATGAAATGCAAGCACCACCCGAGCCTATGCTTCGTCGAGGACTATCTTTATTAGGCGGATTATTTGGGGCTGGAGGTGGTGGCGGTGGCGGCGGTGGTGGTGGCGGAGGAAAAAGAAATTACAGTGGTGGTGGGGGAGAAGAATTCCATCCGATGGGATTTCCACCTGGTAACTTTGCGGTACCGATGCAAGGTCAACAACCCGGACAGTTCCCAAAATCAAAAAAGGAAGAGAAATTAGCACGCGAGTATCAAAAATTAGGATCGGTCTGGTGTTGGCGTAAAGCGGATTCGGAGGACGGTCGATTTCAATCGTTTAGTATTCCCAATCAAAAGATTATCAAACGTAAGAGTGAGAATCCGGAATCACGTACACGTATCTTGTTGGGAAAAGAAAAGAAATTACCGGGTGATATCATGGTCGATTTGAATTCCTGCCGTGGTGGGTGCATGACAACAGAGCGTGGTCAAAATCAGTTTTATCACCTGGAGATTAAAGAAGAACACTTTGAAGGAAACAGTTCGTTTGTGTTTGATAATAGATAATAGCCCTGGTTTTCCTCTTCTTTTTTTGTCTATCTGTGTATATTTGTATTTCTGTTCTTTTAATAAAGTATTATATATTTTTTTTTTATTATTGAAAACACCATATCGACTAACGTTAGTCCAATGCTCACAATGTAAGACAATTTACCATACTGGTTTCTCTGGTGAGAGAGAGAGAGAGAGAGAGAGAGATAGTGATACATAGCAGACATACTTGCTGTTTGACCCAATAGCACTAGGTGTGACTATATTCACCCACATGCTATATTGTATAAACATCATGGTATACATATTGATTAGAGTTAAAATATCTGGGGGCTACATACAAAAAAAAATGAAACTAAATATTTTCTTTATATATATTTACTTAGAGGAGGATACATGCTCTGAGTATGACCATGAGAGTGAGGGTGTGCGTGTATACATGACAGGTTGGCATTAGCAAAATTATCATTTCCTCTCGCCGGTGCCCGTAGTCTGAATAGCACTAATCAGTACAGTGTATTACATCTTGTGTTTAAATAGTACAGTATGAAACAATATTTTTGGGATCAAAGCTGGACTAACACCTTTTAGTATGAGCATACCCATGAAAAACGGGGAATGCCAGAGTGTCATTAGCAGCCAAGTACGGGAAGTTTATCTACCATAAGCTTACATTAGTATTGATACGTCATTGGTATTACATGAGGTATAACCGTTAGTGGCTTCTCCAGGACACAAATGATGTTGTGCATTAATTTAACAGACGATTGAAGGCTGTTCTTGTCTTCAAACAGGTCTTGAAGAGCAGATATTGGATATTTAAATGTTCTAATAGAAATTAGAGTTAGTATAAAATAATTATCAATACCCTTCGTCACTATCCATATCCACCATCTTGAGGGGGAGGCTGTGGCACGCACACTGGGTAGTAAAAAGTTCTTTATATGAAGCGCCATTGTTAGAGTGTCGGGCCGAGTGGTGTATTCCTTCAATTTGTAAAGGCGGTTTTATTTTCATTTCCCTCTTATTGGGTTTACTTGCAGGTAACTTAAAGAGGTGGAAAAATCAAGTTATAAAAGAAGCCTGTATCGTAGATCTAGTGATAAAATACATAGACGTTATTTACATAATGAATATAAAGTGAACTGAAGAACTACATTATCAAGATTTCTTGTCTCATGCACCTTCTGCTAAAATGACAATGCACCATTTTTAAAAACAGCGTCGTACTTTATTTAATGAACTAGAATCCTTGTAGAGAAAAAGAAAATCTCAGTAGTTCATAACTGAGGAGTTTAACGAGGTTAATCTCATGAGTCTTTTGAAAGTATTCAGCTACTGCTACAAGCCAGGATGAACAAAAATGCACACGCTAAATGTTTTATTTTTACTCGGAATCTGAGTTCAATAAAGAAATTTCCACTGGTTCTGCTGTAGGTACTGGAGCAGCTTCATCATCATAGCTAAATTCTCCATATCCTGATAAATAAAAATATAATTCTTCTTCTGCGGTAACACAAATGAACTTGAAGACATCAGCGTGGTTCCCGGGAAGAGTTATCTTTTCTTTTTAACAATTTTGTTGTAGGCTTTGAAATCTGTTTAGCAGGAGAAAGGGTTTATCGATTGGTAGAGCACAGTAATTTTTGCTGTGTCCAGTGCATTCACGACGATCCTTGAAAATCCAAGGGAAAGAATAAATTTCTCACCTAGTCGTACTCATAACCGCAGCAGGTCTCCAAGGTGAAAAGCCTCCAGTTGATAGAACAATGTAGATAAGGGAAGTCGGCAAAATAGATCCGTAAGGTGGTATATCGCTGAAAAAAAAGTTACCGTCCCATCATTATACAGTTTTTCTACTGCCGCCAAAGTCTAGGTTGACCAGGCTGCGCTTTTTTGATGCAGGTCAGCCAGTGCTCTGTAATCTTATAATTTATGTTACTTTTATCTGTCAAGGTGCTATCGATGATATAACTTACGTTTCGCTCACTAGTGAGCTTTGCAATTTTTTGTAAGCTGTCTTTAAGTGACAAATCATGTGCGATTGTCGAGCGCTCTACTTGTTGACTGAGATCGCGTTTCTCAGTTTCAAGTCTCTCCACCTTCAGTTGTAACTGACGGATTGTTTCTGTTAAACAAAGTATGCAAGCGGTAAGTTTTTTTTCTAAAGGAAGGGAGTACTTCTTTCTTTTTTTACCTTCGTTATTATTCTGATCAACTGGTTCACTCCAGGAGGGTAAATATGATCGAAAAGCGCTTGTCAATCTCTTTCGCTTGTTGCAGTTTCTCTATTGGATTCCATTAGTGACACGCATTTTTTTTTCATAAAACAGGCTTTAGTTACATCAGTCATGTATGTCGTATTTCCTCCAATAAATATCGTATAGAATGACCTTCAATGTGGTTAAATTATAATATTCGAGTGGTACTCTCATATTACCAGTATAATCTTGTTACAGATTATATATTGGGGATTATATTATTATTGGTTGTTTTTGACTCTCATTAATCTGTTACTGAAGTATCAGCTAATGAGAATTTTTCACTTAATAATTTGGGCCAATCAATATTAAGAAAGTATTGATTGACTTGAGACCATGTAATTCTAATTACCATCTTTCAGAAGATAGAAACAAGCCACTTTTATTCCTTACCAGATTCAATCTCCCAGATGTTTGACATAAAAAGCGTCCTCCCTTTTGCGATGACTTTCTCTCCATAACTTTAATAAAGGATTAATAGAGACTCATTTCTTATTACTTCTTTTTTATTCTGTTTTATCTATTTTCATATCTCAAACATCACAATGAATTTTTGTGATACCTGATTCGATAGAAAGTAAATAAATAGAAAAGCGAAAGAAAAGCGAAAGAAAAGCGAATGAAAAGAAAAGTAAAAAAAAGGTAAAAAGTCAAAATATTTAAAGGGAAACCGGGGTTTAAAAAATGTTATTGGCAAGGATAATTTCGCATGAAAAAGAACTCGGCTATCAAATACTAAATTCTTACACTCAGCATGATTAGAGAGAGTGTAAAATAGAAAACTCTATTTGATGACTAAATCTCAATAATATTTAGAAGGAGAAGTCTTAATGTGAATAATACCGTGGTACAGCTATAGTGATACGCAGGTCAGAGTCACCAAAGACAACTACGATAGTTTGTGGTGAAAATGAAATAAAATAATGAAACATATAATCGTTACTGACAAAGATAGACTGGTCCTACAATACCTTGTCATTAATAACAGGCAAAATACCTTTCAATGCCGAGTTTATGGCTAATTTAGTGGTTAACGCTAAAAAGAAAACGTTTAGAAAAGAGCCCCACCGCCGTAATTTGAGAAGGCCTATTATAACAGATAAATATAAAGTATTGGTATCAATATTAGTCAATAAAACATAGGCGTGGCCTTAAATTATTTATCATGACGGGGATACGGGCTTAAGGAATCATGTGAGAAATTGTTTAATCTTGCAGATCTTTTTTTTAATCCGTTGCACAAAAAGAACATCTCCCATGAAAAAGCAAAACTTCAATGCTCATTTTCTCGACATCCAATGAAGAAAGTAACCATGATATGCACACGGATGTGATGAGAATTTGACGGATTATTCAAAGGATAATACATATGTTCAAAAAGTAATGAAAAAAAAATCAAGTTTGTAAAAGTAGCCTAGACAAAATCAACAAAGTAAACAAAAAAAAATTTTTTTTGGTATAAAAGGGACACTGCTGCGAAAAAAACGTCCTTTATCTTTTTATTCTTTTTTAAACATTAGAACAGAGAAGTTAGCATGGCTCGGCACAAGAATGACACTATCGACTCTGTTCGTTTTCCGTTAAATCTATCCACTTCATTACAGATCGGGCAGTGTTCCAAAGGCCGTAGTAATCCCTAAAAAGATTACATTGAGGAGTCTGCTGGTTGTCAAAGTCGCTAGGCAATGGCCTTGGTCGTTGTCTGTATCGCTTCATTCGGATTTCAGTACAACAATCTGACTGGGGCTTGTCGCCTTTTGTTCCAGGAACTTCTTACTAAAACTAGTGCCACACCCGTTGCTTGGTGGAGGGTGAATATAGAGCGTGTTACTAGACGGTGGGATGGTCGTAGCCGTTTGAAGCCAGTCGATACGTTCTTGGTCATTGGAATTGGTGTGGGTTGTTATATTTGGTCGGGATCTGATGACAGTAGGAAGTTTAGTACCCGAATGCATCTTGTAAGTGCTTTGCCTTGTTTACGTCTACGCTAGAGATATTGCATTCTATAGGTAGCCATAGATTGGCATCCTGTTGGACAGTTACCTCATCTACACGGAATGTTAACCTTAAAGCCAATACTCGTCCAGGTGCGGTTGCTACGATTCTACTGCCAGGGTAAAAAGCACCACCCCAACATGGTGTAGGGGGTATTTGGTCCTGGTGATTCTTATGTTGCGCATTGTGGGTAGGTGGCATGTAGGATTATCAGGTTCTGTATTGAAGATGGTTTATCGGAATTTACTTTTTGGGTCAGGATGTGCTTCCACCTTCTCGTGGTCTGGCCTGTTAACCAGCTATTTTATGCTGGGAACTAGGAGAAGCACTTTTAGTACAGTTTATATATTTTCATTATCATTACAATAAATAATTTTGTTTTTATGAATTTTAAAAACCTTCAGTTTAAGATGAACTTAAAGAGGTTCTTGTCCAAAGGATGTGATAAATGATCCTATTTAAGTTATAATAAAATGATTTTACCCTTAATATCTTCTCTGGCAATATTATCTTTTTTTTTTTTTATTTGAGTGATGCCAGTAATCTTGTATACAAAGAGGAGCAATCACAGCCACTCAAAAAAATTAATATTAAGATAGCACGATAAAGTTAATGTCAACCTTAGAAGTTTAACTGAAAAGTTATCTAAAGCAAGATTAAGTTTAAGAAGGTAATCAACCCAAGTAGCCTTAATCGCAACTTATGGACGACATTTTGCTTCTGCGTGGTTTTATTTTATAAATAGACTATCCAATGGAGGTCAAATAACTCATTTCATGGCATTGAATAAAATTCGCCAAGTGGTGCAATCACTTGTGAAATTGAGCCAAATAGAGTTTTATCATTATGTGTTTTTTTGACCAGTTGAGAAATGGTAGCTGAGTGAGGCAATTATGAACTTAAAGGGAATATATCAAAAGATTTTGAGGAACAAGATAAAGCCGCTACATTCGTATCATGTACCGCTTCTGTGAGTAGTTTTAGAAAAGCCTGGGTATTTTGACAGGTAATTGGCTTGTATATTGTTGAAAAGCACAAGGACAAGATTCAGGAGAGGATTTTTAAGAGCACGAAGAAGAAAGTATACAAAAAATGTGGCTGATTCTGGTCTATTTGTTTTTGATTTGCGGAAGAGTAAAATCCAGGTTTATTGTGCTGTTTAACAGTCCAACAAGTCTCTCAATCATTCAAGATTTGTATCGGATTATTTATTATGTATGTAGACTATTTGACATAAATGATATGTTGGTTTATGACACATATTATATAGGGACACAGATATACTTATACTATAGGGTAGAAAAATGTTATGAAATTACGTTATTTTCAAAGATTGTAGACAAATGATGTTGCCAATCCTGTAAATGACAATAAGCCTGGAGAGATACTTACCTATACTAACAACATTAGTAAGTCACAATAAATTAGGTACTTATTGACACAATATTCTAAAAATGGAGACGTATAAAAAACCACAATTTATAGCTTTGTAGAATGAAAGGGAGCTTTGTATAATGAAAGGGAGCTTTGTATAATGTCTTAAAAATCAAGCTGTTTTTCGATATTTCTTTAAGTGCCATATATTTTAGCAATAGCTACCCTCGCAAGCATATGGTCATCTGTCATAAGTTTTGGAGTAACCCGATGTTCAAATTTAATTGTTTACTTAGCACTCACTGAAAAGCTTTCACAGGGTATTGTCATGATCAATAATGTAGTGACTAATAAATTCAGAACCAAATAAAACACACTGCCATTGTATCACTTCATAAAGTCTTAACCTAATTTCCAGCTTTGCACCATTAAAGAGAATGGTATACATTTTTAAGCTTATTATTAAGTTTCATGGCATATAACGCGAAAACAAAAGAGCAACCTATTTTTAAAAAGTAGATTTATTAAAAAAAATATATATATATAATACAATCACCTTCATTGCTCCATCGTTTCCTCCGGCAAAACAAATGAAATTTTGTTTGCATTTATGGCCCTCAGGACAATCTTCATACACCTAGTACTTTGCTCTGAAGCGTGCTTTACAGGGACGCCCTGGGGCCAACCACGCATGACCAAGTCAGCAGTTCCATCACAAAGCTTTTTGTAGGGAAAGGCTTTTGCATTCTCCGTACAGGGGCATTTTTCTATTAGGTAACAGTTAGTGTTATGACAATTCAAAGCGAATAAATGACTCACGGTACAGCTGCAAAAGTCTTTCCCTGTATTCTTTTCTTAAACGATTGGCGCTCTCGTCGTAAATTTTAGCTATTGATTCCAATAGTCCTGTAAGTAACATATCCATAAACAGTTCAAAGTGATACATACCCTTTTTGCTTGCCCTACTTTCGGCCCCCAGACGTTCCAGCATATTGTTCTGGATTAGGCCACCCAACTCAAGTTTCAGCGCATCACAGTGCGCTTAAGATTTTAAAGATTAGAAATTGCTTTCAAAACACTATTTGCGCAAGCCTATCTTACCTCCAGCCGAAAACAAGTCTACCACGGGAGCTACGCTGCCATCTTCCAATGGCAAAGGGTTCTGGTAGACAGAAAGCAGCAGGAAATTCGAACCACAAATGGTATTGTAAGCGGTCAAGTGGTTCTTGAAATTCTTGACTGCCCGGGCATGACGCGAATGCTTCGAGGTTTCACTCAAGTTAGAGTCGATCCGCACACTTTTCACGAGATCGGCTTTGTCTTCCGGTCCTAGTGCCTGGTAGAGTTGCGAGGCCTCCCTTTGGAAACTACCTTTTCAATGTTTAAACAGTCATGATCAATATTTAAGTGAACATTTGATTTAGTAAAAATGGCTACCTCGAGGTTGGTCGCCAGAGTGGGGTTCAGCTTTTTTTTCGGCTGCCAGTCTTTCAGTAAAAACATTGTAAGGGCTTTTACGTTTTATCAAAACCATTGAAGTTGCCTCGTAATGGAAGCCAATTGAGGCTTCCGCCTCTGCCCTGGAAACGTTTTCTTCTTTGACCAAGATTTCTGTTGTTTCTTGAATCATTTCTCTAATCTTAGCATTAAGATCAGTGATTCGTTGCTTATTGGCGTCTGAATAGCTTCGCATTTCGTAATAATATTATGGTAAATAGGAAACGGTGAAAAAAAAAAGAAGGTTTCTTGTGGTGCTGGCTGCTGTCCGGGCAGATCAGACCGGGCGTGGTTTAGCTATCACTTGGATTCAAAAACTAGACCATCGTCTAATACCAATCTAGTCGCATAAAATTTACATTTATGGTAGTTGCTATATCTTAAAAATAGTCGCAAAAGTCTATCCGTCAATGTAACAATGTTTCGATGCAAATATGTAGTTGTATGGCTAGTTGCCGCGTCAAAGTCATTATTTAAGTAAAAAAAATTTACCGGCTAGATTTTACGACCACTACATTTTCTGTAATTATGAAGACACCATTATAAGGGTATCAACATCTTACAGCTATTAAACGCAGAGCGAGAGCGTTCAGGCTTAAGTAGATAACTTTAAAATCCCAGAATACGACAAAGCCAACTGAGCCGACTGAGCCGACTGTTTTAAACTGGCAGTAATATTGTTGTTGGGATAAGATAAAAGCAGCCCTAATGATTGTAATTAGATATGTGTGGAGGGATGCCATGTAGAACTATAAAAACGACAAAATTAAAGAATTAGTTTTGAAGAAATCTTTGCTATTATGAAGGGCTCATTTTGTTACTGACTTAGATTCTCGACGCCGCAATTCATCTCGGGTACTAATAGATAAAAAAAGTTGTAATAATTATGACCCTTATGTCCGAATATATTGAATGGCCAATTATGCAAAAGTAGCGGGTAATTTTTTATCTGCTTTATCATAAAACAACATTTTAAAGACATTATGGGGAATAAGATTATTCTGTAACGGTACCTGAGTTAGCGAGTAGTTTTGATGATTGAGCATGTATGTGCTAAAATTATCCGGGTTGATAGCTCAAGTGTAACCGTCAGGTAAATAGCTTGTGATTTAACTTTTTCATTTTTGATTTTTTGTGGGTTTTTCTGCCCTCAAAAGTATCGACATTTGATCACTAAAAAAGCAAACATGTGAAAGCAACTCAAAAGACCGAGAAGAGGGGCTGCTATTTGTTATTGCTGGCTTTGTGTGTGTGTCTATTTTAGAATGATACATCATCACGCGACAAAACATAGTACAAGGAATAAAAAAAAAATCCAGCTTCCCTTTTTGTTCTTGTATCTTTGTTATAAAAAAATGAGAAAAAGAGACCAGCAACAGCCGCTCTTCTTTTTGGATATATTTGAGCCTCCTCCACAGTGGAGAACTACTGCAACTCGAAGTAACAATGGTGGAGGCAATGCTGGTTATCATGCTCATTCACCAACTCATCGATCGCCCATTCATCACCAGCCTTCACTTTCAGAAATTGTGTACCAAGATTATAATAGCAATGCTGAAATTCAGGATGGTAATAAAAAAGTCCCTGGAACGCCTCCCCAAACCTGTAATAATTTTCATTAATTTTTTCTTTTTCCATTTTGCAACAAAGTTTACCCAATTTATCAGGATCAAACACGGCGTCACTTGTTTATAGATTCTTCGGGCAGCGATGCTAGATTACATGGATTTGAAAACAGCTCACTATCGCTCCATACTGTATCAACAAGCGAACCCAACGATGATGAAATTCATCACTATGACGATATTGAAGATGATGAAGGCGTGGATAAAAATGCATTTCAAAGACACCAGTCAGATAATGTGAGTATCACAAACTCCTTATTTACAGCCGTCGACCATTTGGAGGATGATGACAATAGTTCAACAGAAAACCTGCGTCATGGGTATTTACCACAGATTGATACCATTCTGGAGAATAACAAGTCGATTAATGCACAAGTCAAGAAGTTGAATGTTAAAACATCGATTGTTTGGCAAGGTACAATATATAAAAATAAAAAAAATATACATCATCACCCCTCCCTCACCTTGACTTATTTAATCATTCCATTTTTTACAGATTATAGACCACAATACCAATTATTAAATGAATCCTATGACGATGTGAAAAAAGGCAAGTGCATAACAAACCACTTGCATATATAAAAAAGGACTAATGTTTTGAGTTTATAGAAATTTACAAGGAAATATACTCTACCATAGAAAAAATGCAGGCTATAGATCACAAGTTCAATCAAACAAGGGTCAAGTTTCAACTAGAAATTGAAAAAGAACATGTAGACATGTCCAATAAGTTACTCTTACAATGTAAAGAGCTCAGTAAAGAAAAAGAAAATGCAAAGTCGGATACCGAACAAGGTAAGGGATCAATGTACTGTCCCTATATTTCATTTTTCTTTTATATATATATATATATACTGATCATCCTTATAGAAGAAGGTATGCGATTTCAATCAGAAAAGGTGCGGTTAAATGTTGGTGGAAATATATTTGAAGTAAAGCAAAAAAAAAAAAAAATACATCTTTTTACCGAATACTAAATTATCTGTGTGCAATAGACATCCCTTAGTACACTTCGACGTGACACAAACAGCTTATTGGCCACTATGTTTTCTGGGAAACATCCAATTATGGCTGAATCAGATGGATCTTATTTCATTGACCGTGACCCATCCCACTTTCGCCTTGTGTTGAATTATCTGCGAGATTTGAGGGTAAAAAAGAGTGGAGGTAATCATAACAAAGACTTTGTGTAACTAATCGACATTTATAGATTCCGCCTACGATCCTCCAAGATGTCAGGATGTAAGTCTTTTGTTACTGTCTTTTCGTTAATGTCTAACCTTATTTTATTGTTTTCCAACTAGTCGTCAGGAACTGTTCCAAGAGGTAAGCAAACTTAAGGAATGATTTCTTCTTCATTCTAAATATACCTTTATAGGCAAAATATTACAGCATTGATGGTCTAGTCAAAATTTTACAATAGAAAATAATCAGAGGGCTAAAACAAACAGATTTTTTTTTTTTTTGTTGAACATTTGTACAACCTCCATACCACCCCGACATATAAAAAAAAACTTTACAGCCAACCCCCTTCCAGCATCTATTCCGCATCTATTTTTTTTTTTTTTTTTTTTTTTTTTTGCTTTTGCTTTTCTCTTTACAACACTTTCTGGCGTACAATGAGATTAATCCAGGGATCAAGTGTTTTTATCATATTAACCAGTTTAATATACTGTGCCTTTGCGCAAGACCAATATGCAAATAAAGTGATTACTGGTCAGTTTACCAAACCCCGTTTTTTTATTAACATTATCCGTATCTGATACCCTTTTTTTTTTTTACATAGATGCAAGTAATGGATTCAGTATTGAATATTTTGACACTTACAAAGTGCTTCATAATTTAATCACCAATGAGAAATATGCCCTTGTCTGCTGTAATAATTCCTTGGCCAATTTCACCTCTGGCTATCATGCTGTTGTGAATACCCCACTGAATAATGTAGGCGTTGATAATGAATTGAATTCACTTCCGTTTTTCGAGGTAACGTAACCCTTTTTTTTCGAATATCTATGTGTTCATGTGTGTGGTTTAAAACTGATCACATGTTTTACATAGCTATTGACCCTGAGCGACAAGGTGTTATCTGCTAGACCAAGCATCAATGTCACCTCTCCTTGCTTTGATGGAATAACAGATGGGCCTAATTCAACCACCACAACGATCGACGCCATCTTTACAAGCCAGGCAAATAACGGCGTGGTAGGAATGGGTACTCAATATATCAGTGTTTCTGCCGACAGCTCTACTTTGACCCCTCTCCAGGTAATTTTTTTTTTTTGGGCATTCGATCCGAAAGATCGGGTTATTTACTTTTTCTTTATTTAGCAATCATCATGGATCATTTTCATTGCACACTTCTTTGAGTTGGAAAGTCGCGGTAAAGAAATCTATGATATTATTGCTCAAATGTATACCTGTCATCAAAGCAACCTCGCTAAATCCGGTAGTAAAAATATTGCGTGGACGACATATGATGTTGTAAACAATGCCTGGACTTTAAGAGGAGACAATTATTTGACAACACTTGTCAAAGATGCAGGTAAAAAAAAAAGTGCACTATCTATGTATATCAAAGCTAAAAAAAAAAAATTTCAATCAGGAATGAAACTGGTTACATCCAACACCAACCAATCGACGACCTTTAAAAATGTAAAGGATTTCCAACAGGCCCTGTCAACTGTGGACTTTGTAATTGATGATACTCCTGCTGCCAACTTTAAAACAGATTTCGTTTACGCTGATTGGCTCAATAAAGCAGGATTAAAACCCAATAACTCGGCATCTTTCATTGCACTGAAGCAGGTCTACCGTACTGACAACTTGATTAATAAGAATGGGTATTCAGGTAAATTTCTGTTTTGGTTAATGAATGAGTGGCAAATACTAACATGGGATTTTTTGTTAGATTTCCCGGTCCGTGGCACGGCTAGAGCGGACCTGATGATCTCAGATATCATTCACATGGTTTACAGCACGTATGAACCATTGTACAACATGACATGGATCCGTACTTTTGCTCAATTGAATAAGCCTGCTTTTGTATCTAACACCAGTTATCCCAGTTGCACTGATCCTGTTGCCAGAATTTCCAAGACAGATGTCTGCAGTATTGGCGCATTCAATCCTAACAGTAACTCAACAAACACACCTAATCAATCCACCGGTTATGGCGTTCATAAAAGTCTATCCGCCGGTGCTAAAGCTGGTATAGCAGTTGGTGTCATTGCGGTCGTTGCTGGTTTGGCCATGTTTGGTGTCTTCAAGTACAAAAGAAGATCTTCGGTACCAAAGGAAGGAACCTTTGTTAAAATGGACGACATGTAAAAAAAAAGAGAGAGAGAGAGAAATCATAAACACTACACTATATATAATAATCATAATAAAATTTCATACAATTATACTCACGGGGACAAAAAAAAAAATTTATTATTATTAGGGCGAGTGTAAGTTAAGAGGAAATTGGGGAATAATTTAATTAGCAAAAAAAAAAAAAAATCATGTTTTTACAGTTTTTATCAGGATTTGCAAATACCAAAAGCATTGGTGTTATCATCATCATAGGCACATTGCTGAGGATCAACAATCATCTCGTTTATAAGGGTCCTTAAGAAGGCCTGTTCATACTTTGAATTTTCAAATACGGTTGTCAAACTCTCTGCTGGACATCTCAGGAAATTGGGGGCAAACACCATGGCTAAATTATTAACATTCATGAGCGTATGCTTGATAATACTTGGGTCAGTGAATTCCTGTAAGAAACTGATGGTATATAAGGCAATGCGTCGATTGGTATTAGGTAATCTATTAATGATTGCAATGGCCTTTTCAGGATCTTCTGCATATCGGATACAATCATTATAATCTTCCGAGGTAATGATAGGATCCGCCAAGTCTCTTAACCAGTATTTTAAGAGCGAGGCAGGCACGTTAGGATCTGTAATACCTGTTGCATCGTAATTGCCGTTTTCTATTCGAACACGCTAAGAATGATTAAAATAAAACGTTAATTTCATGCAAGAGAGTTCCTAAAAAAAAAAGTCGAAACTTACCAAGTCCGTCACTGCATCTGCATCACCAGGAACACGAAATATGCCCTCTGATAATTGACCGTTGGTAGCTCTTACTGTCTCTGCTAAAAATGGAACAATTTGGGGTATCTGTAACTTCAAATCTGAATTACGTTGTTGTTCCATAATAAACCCTAATGGTTCACCGAATACGGATGGTTTAAAAGGTGCTTCCTACTTGCTATATGAGTATATGAAAGGGGAGAGGGGGTGCATATTTCTTTTTTTTTTAGTTTTTACCTTGGCGCGAAAAATCTCTGCGCTAGTTAAAACCTTGCCTTTTGCACCACGGATGCAAACTCTTTTTAATTTAGTAGACACATGCTGGCTCATGACACAAACTTGATTTTCTTGGACATGATGGTTTTGTTGCACGAAATCTGTTAAATATGCTTCCAGGTTTTTGGATGGAGGGAAAGTCACACTGATAATACACAGAATCTCCCATCCTTTACGAATACTCTCCCTATGAAATATTTGTTTTTAGAATTGTTTCTTTTCGTTTAATCATGTAAAGACAAACTTACCCGCTTGGATTATCATGAAGTTGTTTGCAAGTCTGGACATAGATTTCGTCTCGCATTTGACCTTTGGTAATACCACAGGTTAAAAGAGTCTGTAAATCTTCGACTTCGTTCCAGTTGCGAGGACGAGTTCTGTCGCCCATGACCATCTGAATCAGTTTAAAACACCTTAGAGCATCCTTATACAAATCTCTGTTGAGCATAATGAGTGGTTGCTTTATAGAATCTTTGGTCCACTTTAACATTTCATTCATTGGCACTCTTCTTCTAAAAAGACCTCGTTTGTGGGTTGAAAAGTATTTCTGGGCAAATCCATCAATAGCGAATCGATTGATCTCTTGTTGCAAGCCAACGGGTAAGATTGGTCTAAGAAAAGATGATGAATGAGAATAACTAAGGTATAGGATAGAAACTAGACGTACTTTCTGATGGTTGTATTTGGAGAGACTTGATTGGAATCGCACTCAGCCTGATTCAATGGATGCATGGCTATGGCGGCCTCTAAAAATTATAATTTAACACTTAGAAGCAAGTAATGGGAACAAAGAAATTCAATCTACCTGGATTGTTCATTGGAGCACTGACAGATATGGAGTATCTACTTGCTGCAGGGGAAGTGCCTGATGATCGTGAAACTAAATTTTTTAATGGATTTGTACTACCACTTGTAGAAGATTTACTCGTTCTTGTAAAACTTGAAAACGCCGAGAAATGAGATCCTCTTCTTGACTTGTTGATTTCAGTGGAAGGCTCCTATTCTCATAATATATTTTAATAACTATCCAAGGAGTTCTTTTATATTTTCAGTTTCAACTAACCTTTTGTACAATCGAAGAACAAAAGCTTGGTTTCCTTGAAGGTGTTGTTGATTTTCTGTTGGCTCCGAGTCCGAAATTAAATAATAAACTAGATGAATTGGTAGGGCTGCTGGTATCACTATCGGTTGCTACGGGCGATGGAAGTGCTGCTGATAACGATTCCTGGGTATTTTGTACTGGCATAATCGATGTATTGATACTACCTCCATCGGATGTCGATCTTGTATGATGACGTATTGGCTCCGTGGTGTGTATTGATAAATCCAGCGATTTACTGTTTCTTTTGTTCGACACTGGATAAGGTATTGACTCGGTCGTAATCACTTTGGTTTCTTTAATTAGCATTGCCATTTGTTTAGCAAATTCTTGTGAAGGCTGTTATGTTCAAAAAAAAAAAAAAAGTTGTTAGAAGAAAAAGAGAAGAAAGAAAAAAAAGAAAAAAAAAAGGTCTTACTTGTATCTTTACAAGCGAAATGACGTTTGTATCTGTGGGTTTCAACCAATTCGAGATGTTTGCACGTGTATGATAGTAATATGGTAGCGATGTTTTTTCGTCCCAGAGCTCCCACCAATCACCTTTTGGATCTATTTCTTTACTACTAAAATGTTCAGTAAGCCTTGTTTGAAATTTTAAAAATTCTGATATTTACACTGTTGATTCATCAATGGGTTTATCCCAAGTACATTCACCCGTTGTCTATGATACAGAATTAATTATTAGCTGAGAGAGAATCTTTTATATATACCTACAGGATTTGCATAAAAAGGCCTTATGAACTTTGGATTTGATATTTCTATCCATTCATAGTCTGCAGACATGTTTGAAGAAAGAAAGGAAAAGAAGGGAGAAATAGAATCATGGGTGACATACAATGGATGAAATACACGGGTTGTTTCGGCTTTTAAGCACAAAAAGGGAGCAAAAAAAAAAAAAAAAAAAAAAAAAATTTGAAACTCTCTCCTCAATTTTCATCATGATTAATGAAGATTTATTAAATCAACGATTAGAAGAATTAAAATTATCAACACAGTTGCCTTCAGGTATTGGCAATGCCTCTCTGAAGAAAAGACTGCAGGAGGAACAAGACTCTAATCCACCCAGTAACTACAATAGTGATACCGACGAACCAAAGCCCCGTAAACGCGATCGATTCGAAAGGGTTAAACACGAGGTTGTCCTTGATCAAGATTTCATTTCTCCAACTAATAAACCTCAAGTATCTCGTGACGACTTTCAACCTATTTGCGTCTTGGGAAGAGGAGCGTAAAGTATTTGCGCTTTTGCTAGAAAAAAGGCCACATTTAACTTTTTTTTTTCTTACTAGTTTTGGAAAAGTCTACCTTGTGAAGCATGCGAAATCCAAAGATCTTTACGCCATGAAGGTATTGAAAAAAGCTTCTCTCGTAGTTCATGGAAAACAAGCTCAACAGGCAAAAACAGAGAGAGAGATTTTAGAAGCGGTTGGGCATCCATTTATCGTTAAATTATGCTATGCTTTCCAAACACCCACTGAACTTCACATGCTGCTAGAATACGCTGTCGGAGGAGAATTGTTCCGTCACCTGGATCATGGTATTCATCTTTCTTTATCCCTCAAAATTTACACGGCAATTAAACTAATCAAAAATTTATAGAGGGTATGTTTTCAGAATCGATGGCTATATTTTATGCTGCGGAGCTTGTGTGTGCATTGGAGCATTTGCATTCATTAGGCATTGTCTATCGTGATTTAAAGCCAGAAAACTGTTTGTTGGATGTACAAGGTCATGTTGTATTAACGGATTTTGGATTATCCAAGGTACCAGTGGATGGCAAAACAAACACTATTTGTGGCACAGCAGAATACATGGCACCCGAGATATTAATGGGACTCGAATACGATATGACAGTCGATTGGTGGAGTTTAGGCATATTAATATATGATATGATGACGGGATCTGTAAGTCATTTAAACAAAGCTGCCGTTGTTGCAGATCTAATAATTGTTCCGCGCTATTTAGCCCCCATTTAGTTCCAACAACCGCAAAAAAACAATAGATTCGATCTTAACCAAAAAGATTCCAATGCCGTACTACATGACTGCAGAAGCAAGAGATATATTATCAAAGGTATAAAACCTGCTACTTGACAGTTGGATTACAAATTGACTTTTTTTTTTTGATAGTTATTGCGTAAAAACCCTAATGCACGTCTCGGTTCAAAATCAAAGAAGACTGATGCTATTAGACGACATAAATTCTTTCGTTCCATTGATTGGGTCGCTTTAGAACGTCGTGAAATCCCTCCTCCTATTGTACCTATTGTTGTAAGTATAGGATGTTTTTTATTATTTAAAGGAGTTACTAACTTAATTTTATAAAAAGACTGACCCTGAATCAGCAGAGGTAAGACCTAATGTCTGTTTCTTAGATAACGTTTTTTTTAATCTGTTATTTATAGAATTTCGACCCATTGTTCACGACAGAAGCCGTGGCTGGATCACCTAGCAACGAGGATTTATTACACGCTGCTGAGCCTAACAGTCATTTCCTGAATTTCAGCTACGTTGACTCCTCTGTAATGTAATACGTTCCCTTTTAGAAAAGCATAGACAAAAATATTTATTTAATAACTACAACCCTCCATTGCTTCTTTGTTACAGTGATGATATTTATCAACTATCTTAATTATAATGTCAATTTGAGTACACCGGAATCAACCCCAGAGAAACCAACCTAGTAACACTGGCTTACTGGTAAATGCTTTATATAAGACAAACCTTTCTTATAAAAGGGTCTATTTGTAATTGTATGTTCATTCGCCGTCCTACTTGGATGTACTTATTACATACTCACGTCTGAAGCGAGTTAAATATTTTAAAGAAATCGTCTCTGGCTCTTTTTTTTTTAAAGTAATATCGAAACACATTGCTACAAAAGATAATGGCTGTGTAGGTTGGATTGCCCGACATGGTCGGATACCGCATATTCACAAAGGATAGAAATTACTTGCCACCTAGTAATTTTCTTCCATTGATAATGAATGGATTACCTGAAAACAATTTCTATTCTCTTTTAGATACCTTAGGCCTTTACCTGTGCGAATGCTTTTTTCTGTGGCAACTTGGATAACAAATCCTAAAGTATGTATCAAAAGTGGTTCAATAGACGGAAGAAATAAAAGAGATTAGCCTTGAAACAAACAAGAAGAAATGACTTTATTTATATTGAAAAATTCATGTTGCTAAATATTTCATCTCTTGCTTTTTCCCATTTAAGGCACACAATAAAGTATTTCTTTTTAGGTTCATTCATGCAAACTAAATGAGGTCTTATATGAGGTGACAGCCCTTTTCCCTAAAGCTTTCCGGCGAAACAATTACCCGACAATCATTTATATTTTTTCAGCACAAAGGTTTTTTTTCTCTCTCCCCTTTTCGAGTTAAGAATGTCAAGTGGTATTTCCAAGAGACGAAAAGTCGACATTAAATGCCAATACTGCGATAAAACATATAGTAAGCCTAGTAAGGTAGCCGAACATGAACGATCCCATACTGGAGAGGTAAATGGTGTTTTCTCTTTAAATAAAGTTTGGCAGCTCATTCTTTTTGAGGTGTAATAGCGACCTTTTATTTGCACTCATGAGGGTTGTGATAAGGCATACTTTAGATCGAGTCATTTAGTTGTTCATCAGAGATCTCATTCCAATGACAAGGATTTTATTTGCTCCTTTGATAATTGCACTGCGGCATTTGTAACAAAGCAGCATTTACAACGTCATGAGAAGAGTCATACCACCACCATTAACGTAAGTCCTTCTTTCTTTTGTTAAAGAAAGAAAGTCAACAATAGGCTTATCCCTCTCTCTCTCTTTTTTTTTCTCCTCTCAGTGTGATTTTCCAGGCTGTCATGCCGAATACTCGAAACGTTGTCAATTGCGTCGGCATAAAATGACACATGAAGTAGGCACACATACATGTCCTACATGTAACTCAGTATTCGATTCGTCACTCCAATTAGAAAAGCATATCGATCGAGTTCATATTAGTAAAGTGTCATTATTGCACGACCCTAATTCGTACTGATAACAATTGACATTTTTTTGTAGATCCTGTCGTGTATAAATGTGGAACTTGCACAGAAACATTTAATAAATGGAGTGCGTTACGTAAGCACATGATGACAGAACATCCCTTTGAATGTTCTGTTTGCAAAAAAGCTTACGGCAAAAAATATAACTTGAAACAACACATCAAAGAAAAGCACATGAATATGGGAGTGGTTACTTGTGATTGGCCTGGATGTGGTGCAGAACTGAAAACCGTAAGAAACGTCTGATATGTCATACATAACATATTAACACCTTTAAAGAAACGAGGGCTTAAAACACATGTGGCTCTGGTGCATGAACAGGACATTCGATACAAATGTGACATTTGTAGCAAAGGTTTCCCCTATATGTCTATGCTTGAAAGACACAAAGGATCTCACACTCCTGTAAGGAAAAAATAACAATCAAATGTATCTTGACAAAATATTCAATTTTTTTGTTGTAATAGAAATCATTAAAGCCATCGCCACGCATAAGACATAAATCTGTAGTGGAACAGCTGACAGGATTTAACCATTACTCGGATAAAGAAACACTCGGATGTCCTTTTGAAGGCTGTCATTTCAAGTTTACAAATTCCTATTTATTACGAAGACATATTGAAGGGAAGAATCATAAGAGCGACGTAAGGTTATTTGCAGATACACCTTCCGATCCTACTGTTGCATCACCTCTGTTGGGTTTTGAACCACAATCAACAGATAATCATGATCTAATCATATAAAAGAGTAAGTTGACCTTTTGAGTTGTTTTAAAAAATATCCTCTTTCTTTTACCTGGCGCAATCATGATCTCGTGCTTCTTGGTTCGGATTCGAAGAAACGTCAAGTCATTCTAATAATAACAATAATAATAAAAAAAAACCTATGAATCAGCACATATTCAAGCAACCTATTCTCTCTCTCTCTCTCTTTTTTTTTACTTGGTCATCCAAAGTTGAAATGGTTGTGCGAGCTTGTTCAACAAGAGAGGAAATTAATTGCCCATATTTTTTTGTCAAATCTTGATCTAAAGTAGATCGAATGGCTTGACCTTCATTGTTTAAAATAACTACTGCCTTGACTCCTTTTCTAGCTGAAATGCGTTTCAATGTCTCATCTACGTCGATTGTCTACAGATTGAAATGGCTGTGAGTTTGATTTTTTGTGTGTGATATATAGCCCATAGCAACGTACCATGGTGAGAAAATAGGTATATAAATGGGAAGAGCAAAGGGTATATCAAGTGAATGAGAAATCCTCGAGTTGGATTTGTTCTTGGTTGCGAACCCATGATCGCGGTTTTAAAAAACAGAAAAAGGCCGTCCATCATTTCAAGACAAACATATCCCATTTGAAACCGCCTTTTGGAGACGTTGTATATCTGCAAATCTGCTGTAACATAGGCACATGGAAATTTATTGTGCATTGTCAATGAAAACATTAGAAAAAAATCCAGCAAAGCGAAATGCTGAGGAAACAATAAAACTCAGAAAAGGACGAGTTCAGCAGTTTCTGGATGATAAGGATATGGATTTTGAGAAGAATTGTGTCTTTCTCGACGAAGCTGGATTTAACCTACATATTGTGTGCTAAAGGACAACCCGCTAAGACTATCTTACGTACGAATAGGTTTACATCTATCACAATATTAAGGGCAATGTCATCTGTTGGGGTGATAGATATTTCGATAAGAAAGCCATCTGGTTCGAAGAAAAGAAAAGAACCAGATGGCAAGGAAGTGAAGGTTACCAAAGGTAAAAATACTGATCATTATTTAGCTTACCTTTCTAATGTCATGGACGTTTAGGACCACAATAATCTTAAGGGGTTTTACTTGGTAATAGATAATGCACCTATCCATGGACCTAAAGGTAGAAAGGTTCAAGAGTATATTGTAAGCAGAGGCTATAAATGTGTTTACTTACCACCATACTCGCCTTTTCTGAACCCCATTGAAGAATTTTGTTCAAAGGTCAAATCAGGCACTAAAAGAACGCCAATAGACGGTAAAGACACCCTTACTCCTAGAATATTAGAGTCATGCTCTAAAGCAACTTTAAAAGATTATATAGGATGGATAAAGTATTCGCTCTCTTTCTTTCCTCGATGTTTAGAAGAAGAACAGATGTTATGGTTTCACTAAAAAAAAATAAACACTCATAAGCATGGAAATATTTTTTAAAGTACATAAAGTCATATTTTACATGTAAGTAGCTTTTGAATGCCTTATTTTTTGTTCTACAAGATGCTTCATTACGTGTCTCAACAAGGGGAAGTTATAACAGGATAAAAAAAAGGCGTTTATTTCTTTTTTTTTTGTGATTTTTCAAATTTCATGAATTGATTTTTTAAAGTGTCAATATTTTTATAATTTGAAAGTAAACCGCTTTTGTGTCCTTCTTTCATACATAATTTCCAGTCCATACGCTCCTTTCCTTGTTTAATTCTTGCTTTCTTGAACTCCAAAACAAACTCCATACCCATTTGATATAGAGAAGACGATGATATGGAAGGTGATGATGTGGAAGGTGATGAAGGAGAAGACGTGGTAGTGGAAGTGGAGGTGAGAAATACATTTTCCAGTTTATCGAATTCACGTTTTAATTCAAGCTGTCGGGCTTGGGCCTCCTTGATAGATGTCTGCATTGTATAAAATGAGTTCTGTTCAGAGGCAAGTTAAAGAAGATGGCTGTACTGTTTTTCTTGATTTTGTACTACTTCTTTAACAAAATCAAATAGATGAACTTGATTTCCAACTACACAGGTATAATGATTTAAGGAAATGTCTAGACCTCCGTATTCTTTTCAAATGCATGTTTTTTATATCACTTACAACAAGTCTGGTCAAGACCAGCAGGCCAGTATGGTTAAAACTATTTACAGTGTACCCACAGCCATTTACAGCCTGTGAGTTCGAAAACTCAAGAACCCTGCTTAGGAGGTCGCCCTCCTATAGCAAAGACTAGCCGCAGCCGCAATATCGCAACTTTTTTTTTTTTTAATTTAATGTCTTTTCAAAGAAACAAGAGTCACTACTAAACAAACCTTTTTACATTATCTGTTACTTTCATGTGATGGAAGAAATATGTTAAGGGAAAAGAAAAGGAGAAGAATAAAGTGTGCGAACCAGCTTTATTTATAGATAAACAAGAGCTTATGTCAGGATGATTTCTTATCATCCAGAAACAAGCTTATGTCAGAATGATTTAATTGTTTGTTTCATCTTCTATAATGTTTGGGCCTTTACTTAAAATAGAAACACTTGCAAAACCTTCCAAGCAAGCAGTCAGAACTTGGTAGTTGTCTATCTGCCCTCCAGTAGTACTAGCTTGTAATGATAGTAAAGCAGATTTTATAGAAAACAAAAATCGATCATCCTATTAAGTTTAGACGATAGGGCATGTCAATTGACGTGTAGACCTTCACGTGATTCTAAAAAATACCTTTGAGTTCTAGACATTTCCATTTCTAGCCCAATTGTGGGAAGGGTAAGTTCGACATCCAAGAATGTTGCTTGATTTCGTCAATGATTCGACATCACTGGACAAGTTATTCATGCAAATAATTAATATAATTGGCTCAACTTGGTAACGTTTAAAAGCTTGTAAAGCGTATTCAATGGCATGTTTTATGAATATGTTGTTAACTGATTGTTGAAACTCGATAATGATGGGCGGTAAATTAGTAGAAAGAGATTTCGGCTCCAGTACGAGATCAGAGCGACAACCGTTAGACCATTCACTGTCTCCAACAACATAATCATCTGTGCTGCTGATTAGAGTGGAAGTGATTATCTTGATGACTGAGGAATTTCTTGTTACGCTTTTTGCCATCAAACGTATTTTTTACATATCGCTTACAATAATTCTGGTCAAGACCAGCAGGCCAGTATGGTTAAAACTATTTACAGTGTACCCACAGCCATTTACAGCCTGTGAGTTCGAAAACTCAAGAACCCTGCTTAGGAGGTCGCCCTCCTATAGCAAAGACTAGCCGCAGCCGCAATATCGCAACTTTCTTTTTTTTTAATTTAGTGTCTTTTCAAAGAAACAAGAGTCACTACTAAACAAACCTTTTTACATTATCTGTTACTTTCATGTGATGGAAGAAATATGTTAAGGGAAAAGAAAAGGAGAAGAATAAAGTGTGCGAACCAGCTTTATTTATAGATAAACAAGCGCTTATGTCAGGATGATTTCTTATCATCCAGAAACAAGCTTATGTCAGAATGATATAATTGTTTGTTTCATCTTCTATAATGTTTGGGCCTTTACTTAAAATAGAAACACTTGCAAAACCTTCCAAGCAAGCAGTCAGAACTTGGTAGTTGTCTATCTGCCCTCCAGTAGTACTAGCTTGTAATGATAGTAAAGCAGATTTTATAGAAAACAAAAATCGATCATCCTATTAAGTTTAGACGATAGGGCATGTCAATTGACGTGTAGACCTTCACGTGATTCTAAAAAATACCTTTGAGTTCTAGACATTTCCATTTCTAGCCCAACTGTGGGAAGGGTAAGTTCGACAGCCAAGGATGTTGATTGATTTCGTCAATGATTCGATGTCACTGGACAAGTTATTCATGCAAATAATTAAAATAATTGGGTTAACTTGGTAGCGCTTATAAGCCTGTAATGCGTATTCAATGGCACGTTTTATGAATATGTTGTTGACTGATTGCTGAAACTCGATAATGATGGGCGGTAAACTGGTTGAAAGAGATTTTGGCTCCAGTACGAGATCAGAGCGACAACCGTTAGACCATTCGCTGTCACCAACAATATAATCATCGGTGCTGTTGATTAGAGCTGAAGTGATTATCTTGATGACGGAGGAATTTCTTGTTACGCTTTTTGCCATCAAATGTATTTTTTATATATCACTTACAATAATTCTGGTCAAGACCAGCAGGCCAGTATCATTACGACTATTTAGAGCCCAATCACAGCCATTTACGGTTCTTGAGTTCCAAAAAAACTCAAGAACCCTGCCTAAGAGATCGTCCTCCTATAGCAAAGACTAGCCGCAGCTGCAATACCGCAATAATACCTTTTTTTTTATTTAACGTCTTTTGAAAGAAACAAGAGCTACTACTCAACTAACCTTTTTACGTGATCGCTTACTTTCATACGATAAAAGAAGTATGTTAAAGGAAAAGAAAAGGGGGAAGAGTAAAGTGTGTGAACCAGCTTTATTTATAGGCTGATAAACAAGAGCTTATGTCAGAATGATTTGATTGATTGTTTCATCATTTATAATGTTTGGGCCTTTGCTTAAAATAGAAACATATGCAAAAAAAAACCCCCCAAGCAAATCAAAACTCGGTGGTTGTATATCTGCGTTCCAGTAGTAGCTTGTAATGACAGTGAAGCAGATTTTATGGAAAACAGAAATCAATCATCCTATAAAGTCTAGACGATATGGCATGTCAATTGACGCGTAGAATTCAAAAATACGTTTGAAAAAAATACAGAGTTCTAGACATTTCTAATTTCTTCCGGAAGACAACTAACTCAGTGTCAGTAGAACTTTTTTATTAGCGTGATACATTATATGTTATTTTTATTTATTTTTTTACAGACACAATGGGTACTTTTTTAAAGGAACACGTTGTGATATTTTCCCCATCCTTTCTTTTGCTGTGGTTCAGCGGTCTTTTGTTTTTTGAGAATATTTGTTGTAGACATCTTATTTGGAGATTCAGAGGATTCAGGGCGTGGTCTCTTTAAATCGGACATAAATCGAACATTTTTACCGTCAATGCTAGGTTCCACAAGGTTCTTCCAGTGATCAGGTAAAGGAGCTTTATAAACTCGATGTGTCTTTTCTAGCAAGTCATCCAGGATCTTGAAGTTATTTTGATCACGAATAAATGTTTGATGTGTTGGATCTTTCATATGCTATTTTTTTTTTTATATTAGTAAAAAGTTAGTTTATTATAAGGGGTTTACTTACATCTTCCAATTTCTCAAATTGACTGTTACAATTTTCGCAGTAACGAAGATCCTTCTTCTTTTCTTTCTCTTTACGTGCACGGTTTTCTTTATTTTCCTTCTCAGCTTTCACAACTTGTTTAAGCATCTTTTGATGTTCATTTTGAGTGACATTCTCCACCATACGTTTGTCCAAACGATTGACACTTTCGCCTGGTGGGAATATTCTTTTCTCGTTCTGCATAGTCGACACGGACCGAGTCGAGGCTGATTGAGTATTATTTGTGTTGGTACATGATTGTTGAAATCCGGATGCGCGTAAACTATATTGGGAATCAGGATTGGCCATCAAGGTGACTGGTGTAGCAGGTGGAGTTGTGATATTATATGAAGCAGTAGTAGTTGTGGGAGTGCATGGTGTGATATTCGCTGTTGCTGCTGCTGCTGCTGCTGCTGTTGTTGTTGTTGTTTCTGTTGTTGCTGTTGTCACTGCTGCTGTTGTTGTTGCTGCTGCTGCTGCTGCTGCTGTGGATGTATTGGTAGGTGTTTGTGGTGGTGATTTTAGCTGTGCTTTGTCGTTCTCTTCTTCTCCCTTTTTAGGAGCTACACTTGTCGCGGAATGTGGCTGTCTTTTACCGAATGGGGATCTTCCTACAGGCGTTACTTTAAGGAATGGCCATGGGTAATCATTGGGTTTCTTCTTGAACATTTCTTTTGTATACTCTCTCGAAATAACAGGCCGGTGCACTTGTGATGCATCCTCGATGGTGAGATAATATCCAGTGTATGCAACGAAATGAGGTCGTTTCGCTTGTGTTTCGCTATTGACTCCGGTAGAAGGTCCAAATAATTTCTCTTCTTGTAATACTTTACCCAATGCCTTCTTTTCCTGTAACTGTTTGTTTTTATTTTTGAAAGGTGAGGCCTTCATAAAATAGTCAACAGTTTTCAACATGACTATTTTATTACAGTTTAATATATACATTTTCAAATATTTGTTGTTGTTTTTTTACTTACCATCTAAGCTCCATAATACAATTCCCCATGATAATGCGTTATCGACAATAGCATCTTTTGATTTGAATTCTTGTTGAGGCTGTGAGGGGGGGGGAGGTTTCTGTTAGTAAGATAAAAGAAATCAAAGCATATAAAGTCAATTACCTTCATTCTTTGTTTGGATGCACTTCATAAAGAAAACAGTCAGCTAAATTATAGGAGTATAAAACTTGAATCATACTTACTTTGTATCACAGAGTGATTGCAGCATATTTTCCTGTATAGGTATGCTTTTTGTTGTAATGAGATGAGTACACTTGTTTGAAAAAAACTTTTCCTGGGACTAAAAGAAGAAGTGGTTCAATACATTGTTCCATGTGCAAGAGAAGAGATATCTTTAGAAACTTACGGCTCCTAATAAGACAATGGCTCTTTCAAGACTAGCCTTAGCACTTGCTTCCAAGTTGTCCAAATAAAAAACACAATGAGTGAATTCTTTCTTTTTGGCACTTAATTCTGAATCAGATAAATTAACGGTCGTGGTGTACTTTGCTGCATGTTCGTTATTATTATTATTGTTATTATTCTCCTTGTCTTTCAATCCAGCTTGAAGCTTCAATTTTTGTTGCAATTCTAACTCACGTGCTGCAGAACGTGCTTGCAATCCGTCGGTTTTTCTCCATTGTTTAGCGCTACTGCCAATGAGAGTGTTGTTGCTAATATTGCCTAACTGATTCTTTGCATAAGACATGTTTATCAATATCCCAATAAACTGTGGCAATAAAATATGTTATTCACACCAACAACAAAAATTGAAAATTATAAAAAAAAATATATATATGAAAATGGATCAGTGCGGGATAATAAAAAAACGAATAGCCCGTCACAAATCCTCATCCTTTTGTCCTTCAACGGTCTAACTACACGGCAGCTTCTTCATAGACAGAATGGATAAAGCACATAAACATGAGAGAATACACTTTTATCTGAACCAACTACTCTTTCTTTCTTTCTTTTTGGAGCCTTACATACTCCCCGAAGAAAGCAAGAAAGGTACAACAATAGAAACGTTTGGTAAAGACATTGAGGTGTCAAGACAAGTAACCATTTGGGATAAGATATTACAATCTCGATCTATAATGAAAACAGCATTTGGCCATCTTTCCATGCAACTAATTCATGCTTTATTTCACCAAGACATGTCCTATACGGAGCCATCTTTTGAATCTGTACCTGAAATTTATCATGTAAGACAGACAGCGTACCTTTTTTCTTATTCGTCAGAATATTTCAATGTGGTGTTTCTATCTTTTTACCGTTCTAATATTCAAAATGCGTGATGTATCACTGCAATGAATGTATAGATAGTTTATTTCGAGTAGATATGAATTGTTATTTCATACCCGTGAGCTTTTCTCTCATGCAACAAACTTGATGATATTGCTGTCATGGAACTTCTTTTTCTCCTGCAATTGAATTCTATGTGCTAAAATGTACAGACATTATCTTGTAACTCTTATTTTGCAAGACAGAATATAGCATTTGATGATCTCGGGAAATCAGGACTTGTTTCTAATGTTTAACCGAAAAGCAATATTACTATCTATAGTTTAATTATGGTCCAACTTTATTGTTGAAGCTTTCCTTGATAAAGCATGTTCATGTCAATATTCCCACACACACAACATGCAAAATTATGTAAAATAACTGTTAATGCAAATAGCAAGAACCAACATACCCATCTGGACACAAAAGAAGTCTATAATAAATAATAAACATATTGAATAGTGTTTAGTAGATTCTACATATCGTGGATTATCAAACTAACAAAATGTTCCATGTACTTATAAGACTGTTTTTTTTTGGTTGTAAACATGTGAGCAACTCACATTTTCCAAGTACCGATTATTAATTGACAGTGGAAGCACTGCAAAACTAACGCTATACCTTTTAAAGGGATATTTAAAGCAAAAAATACTTGTTTTGTTGAAATTAACTACCGGATATGAACTAGTTTTTTGTCATATGTCTTGTTAGGTGTTCAAGATATTAAGAAGCCCATTTTTTGTCCACCCGTCCAACCGCTTTACCTCCTCCCCCCCCCCCTCGCCGATGCTCCCATTCTTCTCTCGATTAAAATAAATTATGAAGGTTACATTTTTTTTTTTTTGCAGGACGGAAGAGATAAGCACATGTATTAAGACAGCAGCGCCAAGTGATTTCTGATAAGATAATCACTGCTTATTACCCCGTTCTATAAGATTCTTTTACCGCGATATCCCTGAATGATATAAATAATGTTTAAAAAAACTTTTTATGGATTTTACATGCTGGGGAAATTGACAATTTAAGTAATAACCTCCAAGAACGGATGCGGATCATTGGGTTGTTCCCCCCATCAACAATAAGATGGGGATTTTTTTTTGAGGTTCAATGAGAAATTATAAATTTCCGTGAAGCGGGAACAAAAAATATCTGTTATTTTGGGTGATACACGACCCAACTCGATCCAGGTAATTCTTGAACGGAAAATATTACTACACTAAATCAGTAGATATGTGGGTTTTATGTATGGTTACTCAAGAGTGATAGCATCATGAAGTTTGTACACAGACGTATGAGTAACGTATGCTGACTGACCTAGAAACATTGTGGGAACAAGTATGGCTCATTATCCCGTAAGACCTTTTTTTTTTTTTAATTTCTTGTGTCATCATGCCAAGAATACTACAATGCTGAATTTATAAAAGTTTTATTTGTACACAGTGTCTTTTATTATTACCTGATTAAAAAAAAGAGGTACAGGAATAAGCCTCGGCAGGATGGAAAAAAGCACAGATTCGGGGTTACCTTAATTACGAATATTTTTTTTTTTTTTTTTTTGCAAATAGAATTCTTGGGCTCATTTGAATAATATGATGGGGTTCCTTAGTGATGGGGGGACTACGTGATTACATAACATTGACAAACAAAACGTTCTTGCTTACCTAAACTTCCCTCGTTACCAGAAAAATGAGGCGTTACTTGAGGCAACAAAGGATGACCCCACGCCATGTTTATATGTCCATTTGACAAGCAGTCCTTTTACGGAAATTTGTTTTTTGTTTTTTCTTTCTGCACAGCCATCATTTATACAAACTCGCTCAGCTGTTTCTTCTTCTTCTTCTTCCCGAGATTAACAACAACAAAAAAGAAAGGTCATTCGTTCCAATATTGTTTACTGGATTTGTGAATCACGCATTTATGATGGCAACTTACCCAAAGGTGGACGAAAATAGTATACACGTTACAAACATTGTCACAAACCATAAATCAGACCATTATTCAACTTGTAAAAAGGCATGACCTGTTCAGCCCCCCTCTTTCTATCCTAAAAGTTACTAAACTCATAGTTTGGTAATCCCACCGGGTCTTCCAGATTAACCTTGTATGGTTTAAGAAGGCAAGTGATGAAAACAATGACATCGAATGCAAATATTTGGGGGGTGGGTTGTATTCACTACTACTACTAATTTTGGGTTTCATTTTTTTGGGTGGGTAATGTGTACCGGGAAGTGAGCTAGCGGTATATCACATAAAGTTGATCATGGGGTTTTGTTGTGTGTGCAACTAAACAATATATGGGAGTGTCTGCCTAAATGATAATGCTCGGTACCCAAAAGATGTTTCCCAACAACAGGCGTCTTTTATAGAAAAGATAGGATGCTTAGTATTTTCACTCTATTTCACAGGGGGGTTACAGTCCCTCTGATGCTTATTAAAAACAAGAAATATCTGCTTTTAGCTTTTTAAATCCATTATGTTGCCTATTAAACTAGAGACAGTCTGTAGAACTCTATACAAAAGTACTCGTTGCTTCTAGTCATAGTAACAATGATCTCTCTTGGGTGGTTACGTTTTTAGTTTAATAGACACCTGTTATTATAAAGTAGTGAGGGGCAATGAAAAATTTGAAATATGCGAGCTTTGTGGTTTTTTTTTTTTTTTTTTTTTGACAAGCGGCGACCTAAGCTGTCAGTTCGGAGTTTCCACGGCAACAACATTCATTGTACACCTCAATAAGAGATAATTATGCTGCAATGAAATAGAACAATGAATTACGGCAGCACGTTAAGTCATGAATAAAAATTCTCTCAAAAGGAACTCCATGGTTTTAGCAGGGCAGCTTCTTTTTTCTTTTTTCTGTACACTGATTTGTTCGCTGGATTTAAATTTACTCAATCATGCAAATGTGTCAACTGTCTCTCTTTTGCTGCATATCCTATAATGAGAATAAAAAGCAACATTTTATTGAGTGTTCTGCCTCCTTATAAAACACAGAGATCATTCCGATTAGAATCTTGTTTTTTTTTTTGGAGGTGAAGCATACGCAACTGTTGGAAAGGATCATCATATTTGGTACATTTCTTGGTAATTAAAAGAATAACGCGTCTTTCACTCAGGAAAACAAACAAACAACAACAAAAAATTGAGCAATTTGAATGATGTCACACACACACACACACACACACATAATCGCGTTCTGCACGTTTTCTTTTTTTTTTTTTACCCCTTTCTTTTTTATTAAAAACTAATGGATTTAGCGTTAGATGTTACTTCTAGTTGCAGAGTGCGTGTACTGCTTGTACCTGTTTCACCCATCAAGAAAGCGACTTTTTATAAATACGTAGAGTTAGTAAAGACTTTTCATGTCGTTCGACTGGGCGATGTTACTCCTGATTTAAAAAAAGGTGCCAGTGGTAAAAGAAAATGCATAACATGTGTAACAATTAAGAATCTGAATTGAAAATGATTGTTTTTTTTTTAGCCATGTTCAGTAGTCAGGTATTTCAAGAAGGTCAAATGCATTTTCAATTTATTACGCATTGGACTCGTGAGCATGCCGAACTTGAAGATTTCCAACCCCATCGTCGCATATTTGGTGTAAACATTAGAAACAAAAAAAAAGTACTGATGAATCTGACTAACCATGTCTACTTTTAAAAGGTCATTGGTATTATGGATTGTCAAGAATGGAAAGACAAGGACTTGAGTGAAGGATACAAGCAATTTGAGCAGGACCTCGATAAAGTAAGAGTTGTTATTGTGCCTGTGGAAATGGTTTTAATCCCATTTACTTTGTAGTATCCAACAGCAGTGGCGACACGATGTTTTGCATTTGATCCAACTGAAACCCAAGAAGACGATACAAAGGGACTCATTATGATTCCCAATGTGGGTAATATGTCATTTTATATGAGTACCATGATTTGTGATTTTGCAAGCGAGATACTCAACCAATTTGCTCTGCTGGTAAGAAAAAAACATAACAAACAAAAAAAAAAAAACATCAACAAACAAACTTTTTTTTATAATTATTATTCAAAGGCAAACCGGATCGAACATCTTTCAGTATTGGAATCACCATTACCGAATATCATTCATTTACCTCCGCGAAGTCGACCTTCTCCACATCAAAATCGATTTTCTCAACCTCCCATCTCTGTATCTCCCAGTAATTCAGCAAGCTTATTGAAAAGAGCTTCTTTACAACCATCCATTCAAACCACTGCTCATCCATACCATCACTCAAATCTATCCACGGGCGATACCATTCGAGCAAAGAAAAGAACTCCCGGTCGAATCAGAAAGTTATTGGGCGATTTCTATTTACTCTCCGGAAGATTACCCGACGCTGTCAATCAGTACAGTATACATTTTTCCTCTTAATTGTAACCCTAAAGGATTTGCATGTCTTATTTTTTCTTTTGCTATTTCTATCTCTCTCTCTCTCTCTCTCTCTCTCTCTCTTTCTATCTTTTTTTAAATGTAGTTATGACCAAGCGATAGAAAGTGCAAAAATTACTTCTGATTTTTTATGGTTAGGAAGTGCGATGGAAGGTTGGGTGTGTGCTACCCTTCTTTTAGAGTATTTACAAGAAGATATTGGTGTATGCTCCCTTTCTCTCTCTCTTTTTAAATGAATATATACATTTTACATCAGCAGAACAACTTACCCTTTTTTTTCGTTAGCATATCGTGTCCAGAAGTCCTATTATACCCGATCCCCACTCTACAGAAGACGAAGGCGAAGAAGATCAATCACCTCCCACAGCCACCATTCAGGGCCCTCGATCCACTTTAACCGTGATTGTCGAGACCTATGCAAAAATCATTAGCTACTATTCACGTGTATCGACCACGGCTAATTTCGCCGTACCCGATCTCGTGTTTGCCGAATCCTGTTTAAAGATAGCGCGCGTATTAACCACAGCTTATTTAAACGATGGATGGAACGACCGCAGCATGTCTTTGCTGGTACACGGTCAATTGCATCCTCTCTCGGAGGAAGAAGAAAAAACCGAAAAGAAAGGGTTGGGTAGTCCCTTTTTGACGATGCACGATTTGGTAGCACATAAACGTAGTGGTATACCTCGATACGATATTGCAGATTGGGTGACCAAGATATGGGAGATTCAAATGGATGAGTTATCCTTGTTCGATCAAATTCATATCTGTAGTTCGATGGCGTTGATTTATTCGTCCGTAGGGTATCATCGAAAATCCGCTTGGTTGATGCATGAAACGGTGGATCGCATGTTGCCACTCCTCATCCAGCAACATCGACGCACACTGGGTAAATCATCGCCAACAAACCATGATGATGGCGTATTGGAGATTTTAAAGCGCATGTGTGAGATCTATGGGATTGGCGAGCGTAACGTACATGATGGAGGAGCGTTGGAAGCGATGCGACAAGAGGATCAAGATATGGTTTTAAAAAAGGCCACCCAAAAGAAACAAATTCAACAGCAATTGACATTGCCATTGGGAGATAAGAGGTTTGGTTGGCCCGAACTTCAAATGGATGTTCTAAAGCAGTGTATCTCTGTCTCGGATGCATTGATCGATAATGGGTCACGGTTATATTATACCACGGTTTTGCTCAAAAACTTGTATCCGTATATCCCAAAAGCAGAACAGATACGATTGGCTACCACCATTCAGGGGATAGTAGCTAGTAACAGTATTCATCAACGCGTGTCTACACCTGCGTCTGGTAAAATCAATTATTGGGGTGTTAATATCGTTTCGCGTGTGGAGGCCAAAAAGCCCATCTCGAGAAAAGCAGTTTATTCACATCCGATAAAGAACGAAGCCGTAGCGAATGCGAATAAACACACCGTGTCTCCAGAAGATGCAGATCCATTTATTTATAATCCATTTGCCAAAAAAGCCGATACGACTGTAAGCTAAAAAAAAAAAAAAAAAAAAAAAAAAAACTTGTGTTAAGTGGAGATATGTATTCACCCCCCGCGTTAGTATAAAATTGTGTTAGTGAAAGACGAAATATCCGAGTTCAAAGTGACATTAATAAATCCGTTTGGATTTGATTTGGAACTACAAAACATCATGCTAAGGTAAGCCCTTTTGTCTCTGTCTAAAATGGTGTGTAAAATCATTTTATCTAAAATCAAAAGTATGATATCAGTACATCGGGTGTGGCATTTAGTGCTGTACCAACTGCTGTCACGATCCCTGCCAATGCCACCATTTTTATTCAGTTAATGGGCACACCTGAAGAAACAGGCACGTTGGTCATCCGTGGCTGTATGATTCAAATCATTGGATTTTCAGAACAAGAATTTTTAATTGACCACCAAGAGAAAAAGTCACCGGAAAATGTCATTAATGAGCATTTCATCAAAATCAAGCACTGGTAAAAAGAACGGGAAAAGAAAGGGAAAAAAAAAAGGCTTATTTTTTTGAATTGACAAAAGAGTTATCTAGTGGGCTGGATGCAATGAAAATCAGTCGAAAAAAAGGTATTTTTATCTCGTACTGCTAAAAAAAAAAAAAAAGAACATGTTCACTCATTCTCTACTACGATTTATGTACACATATATAAAAAAAAAAAAAGAATCCACAGGTGAAAACAGTGTGTCGAAATTCTATGAACTAACGGTGATTGACGATCAACCGCTTTTAAAGATAAAGACCACTTCCATGATGCATGGTGCTGTCATGCTTTACGAAGGCGAGGTGTACGTGTGTGTGTGTGTGTGTGTACTTATGGGAAATTGAAACTAAAAAAAGAAACATCTCCCTCCTTTTACCTGTAGAACACATATTACCATGGAGCTAGAGAATATCGGAAATATTGCGGTCGATTTTATCACACTGTCATTTACAGATTCAACTACCTCACATCCTCAAGCCATCAATCCTGAACTTCCCACTGAAGACCAGTATGAAATCGAGCTACACACCAAGGGTACACGTGTCTTTTCCTGGGAAGGTACTTCCGATACAATATCCACGGATTTTGTTGGGAAAAAAATATGGTTGCCACAGGGAGCAAGTACAACCCTCCAAGTCAATGTCTATGGCAAAAGAGACTGGTAAGTGCACACGAGATAAACAAAACAAAAAAAGGGGGAGGGAGGATGCTAAAACTGGAATAATTCTTTTTCTTATAAAGCCATGATGGAACCATCCAGGTAGATTACGGGTATTTAGACAGAGCTGTATCTGAAGTCAAAGAAATTCCAAGTTCGAAACCAGACGAAATATTGGCTGCCATGTTTTATACACGACAACTGTATTTAAACGTCATGATTTCTGTTTACCGTAACCTCGAGCCGTTTAATCCGGACGTTGTCTATCTACGCCATAGTACACCCGCACCAAACGATGTACTGGAGCATGCATTAAAGAACATTCACCAGCAAGGAGACATCTCCTCACTGATGCAAAGCCAGCCTGTGGAGGACTTGTTACTGGTCACGAAAAACGTCGGATTGGAAAATCAAGAACGTAACGAGTATTGTCTTGTAACACTGGATGTTCGAAATATATGGACTGTGCCCTTTGATATTCATTTCGAGATTGATAACAAGACAGAGGATGCCAGCGACAGCAGCGGTGGTGGTGGCGGTGGTGGCGGGGATCTTGAGTCTCGCATCACGGTTTTACCGGGAACCACTTCGAGGTAAAAAAAGAAGAAAAAAAAAAGGTGGAAGACTGTTTAACACTTTATTTATAAAAATAAGAATTGTTCTACCATTGAAACGGTTGTTTCTACCTGCGAATGTGTGCCAGCAAGAGATCCCCTCGTTCGATCCCAATAAACAATTTGTGGTATCGCAAGGGCCAAAGATCTCGGAGGAGCAACAAAAGGCGCGACTTCAAATGTTTTGGTACCGCGAGGAGCTACTACAGCGAATCAAAGCCAATTGGAAATGCAGACTGACACAGCGATGCGGTATATTAAACCTTCGACCGTCGTTACGATTAACAAGTCTTCAGCTGGGGATCTTGAAGAAGGAGGACGTGGAATTTATGGTGGAGATGAAGGGAGATAGTGTACAGAAATTAAGTCATCGAAGATTTTCGTGTGTTTGTAATGATTATGTGGTGATGACAGTGTCCATCAGGAACCGATTTCGTAAAGTTTTGTGGGGGAGGAGTTTTTTTACTTTAATTTGTCTGGTCTAATACCCTATATCCATCTTTTTTTTTTTGTAGCTCATCCTATTAAGCTAATACTACGTATTCAACCTGTGCAAAGTTATAATGATGGAGTAAAGGAATATGATTTATCAGATAAGCTATTGATGGAAGGAGTACAACAAGTGATCTTGCCTGAGGTAAAAAAAAAAGATATAAATAAACAAGGAAACAATGAAATTGAACGAATTAACACTGATTGAATTTTATTTAGATTGCACCTTGGGTAGGAAGCATATCACACTCGTTTCCAATCTTCTTTCTATCTCGTGGACAATTTGAGCTCTTGTATCATGCAGAAGATGTACATACACGCCATATTTATTATGATCATGAATGGGCTGTAGTAGATGTGACAGAATTAAAAACGATTTAGAAAAAACTGATAAATATGTTTGGCATGCTACACAATCTGACTCTGAATAAGATTTTTTCTTTTTTTTTTCCTTTTAAAAACTTACTCGTTACTGTTTTTTTTTTATTTCTTCTTCTTTTTCTCTCTTCTTAAAAAAACCTCACTAAAAGAAGAAGAAAAAGAGAGAGAGAGAGAGTAATAGATGACCAAATTGGATTTGACGACTGAATATATTTTAAAAGGACTGACAGAAAGGACGGATAGAGAAGCAGTGAAAGTCAAGGACCACCGACATCAAAAGCAGTGTGAGGGAACCCATTTTAGAGTGGAAGAAAGTGATCTAGTGTCTTATTTCGAGACACTGACCTGTTTCTGTAAACGACCTGTATCACGATATTATACGTTGGAATATGGAGCTATTTTAGAATGTGCCAGCTACGACGAGACAAAACCATTTTTCAATCCACGTTTTGTTTGTGGGTTTCATGTGCATGAAATTGCCTGGTTGCGATTGTATGAACAACTTTTACAAGGTTATATGATTTGTTCACGTCTTGTTGAATTAAGAGCCTGTCCCTTATTTAATTTCACCTACTGTGCCTTGTTTAAAGTTCACAATGATTATCCATCTGTTCCTGTGGGTTTACCTACTTGCTTTTGTCGAAAACCCATAAAGATGGTTCATGAACAACAGGTCATCAAGAAACAGCAAGATACACTACTAAAATACCTCGAACGGACCTCTATCGATCAACCCAACAAAATCATTACCAATTTTATCTGTGCCAATCGAAATGAACAAGGCGTAACCAAGTGCGACTGGATGAATTCAGCTGATATGAGTGTCTTTCCGAAACCTAAAAACAAATTACATTCTCAAGTCGATCATTCGACTTATTATGAATACACTGCCTCGTTAAAATCAGACGTCAGTGCTTATCTAGCCACCACTCTCTTTTAAACTGACATACCCCCCCCCCCCACACACACACACACACCCTTTCTCTACTACTAATAAGCACTACTACTAATAATAAAAAAGAAGGCTACATCTTAAAATGTCAAAATGTTTGACATTTTATATAAAAGCATGTTTCATCCCATGTGCTTGCACACCAAAAAAGTAATTTTCCTGTAGTGACTCGTTCTTTTATACTCTATTATCAGCTTTTGACACCTGCAGTAGACAAGAGGGGGTGCAACAGGAAAAAAAACAGCCCAGTGTGATTGCTCTCTCTCTCTCTCTCTCTCTCTCTCGCTCTCTTTCAAAGGTCACACACTACTACTACTACAGCTCAAAAAGAAAAAAAAAAAAAAAAAAAGACAGTCCCTTTTTTAAAAGCGATCTCAGCCCAAAAGCGGGATCAAAAGGTAAAAACTTTCCCTTTTTTTTTTTTTATTAAACCTTACCATGCCTCCCAAGAAGAGTATTCAACGTACCAGTAATAAAGTTGCCCCTAAGGGACCTTCCAAGGCTTCCAAGGGTAAGAAGCAAACAACACCTGTAGATAATAAACCCAAGAAAACCAAGGAGCAAAAGGTAAACATTAGAAGAAGAAAAAAGTTTTCATAAAAATTACTTAGATCTCAAAACTTTTTTTTTTTTTTTTTTTTTTTTTAAATAGGAAAAGGAAAAGATACCTGAATATGTGGAAGTACCAGAGAACGATAATGACATGGCTATTTCTGATGAGGATATGGAATTCTTTGCTGAAAATAAGGCTTCACTTTCCTTTTTGACAGGTATGGACAGCAAGGAAATCACCAGGTATGATATTACATAAGCACCCTTCTTTTATATGTACCCTAATAAAGCCCTTATATCTTTTAGAAACGTCATTAAAAAGAAAAAGGTGGCTGTGAAAAAACCCATTGCTAAAAAGGAAGAAGAAAAGGAAGGTTTGGACTCTTCTGCCTCTGAAGACGAAGTATTTAACTCGGACGATGAATTGGATCAGTTTGAGGAATTAAGTGACAGTGAATTGTTAATGGTACCCGAGATTAGCGATGAAGACGATTTAGACGACGATGACATGGACCAATTATTAGCCATGTCAGAGGAAAAGAAACCCAACCCCAAGAAAAAGAAGGCCGCTAAACAAGCCAACGAATCTGACGAAGAAATGGATTATGAGAGTAAGCCAAGAAAGATTGCCAGTGAATGGAGTCGTAAAGACTATCACACAAAGTTACCTATCAAGTTGCCTGGTGGTAAACTTCATCAAATGGCTGAACCTCAAGAAGGTGATTCCTCTGATGAAGAAGAAGTCGAAAAGGAGGTTGTACCTGTTGTTGAAAAAGTAGAAGAAAAAGTGGAAGAAGAGGAAGAACAACCTAGATTAAGCAAAAAGGAGTATCTTTTAAAGAAGAAGGAAGAATTAGCCTTGATTGCTGGTAATCTTCAAGGTGATCCTGAGGAATATGTGGGTCAATTGAGAACTCTTCGTTCCATCTACAGAGATCGTAATGTCACTGTCAAGAAATTGGCTTTACTCACTCAATTGGCTGTTTACAAGGATATCATTCCTGGCTATCGTATTCGTCCCTTGACTGCTGTAGAAGAGGAAGTTCAAGTCTCGAGAGATATTAAAAAGATGCGAGAATATGAAAAGTCCTTGCTTGCTAATTATGAATTGTATTTGAAGGATTTGAACATGCTGTTATCTAGTAAGTATATATTCCATATGAATACTTTTTTTTATAGATGATTAAACAAAACAAAAAATATAGGAAAAAAGACAGAGGAAGATGCTTCATTGGCGTTTGTGGCTACACGTTGTTTATGTGAACTGTTGATTGCCAAGACACATTTTAATTTCCGTTTAGAGATTATGGTTGCTGTTGTGACACGTATGAGTACGATCAAGTGGAACGAAGCAGCGCAATTATGTAGCGAGACTTTAATTACGATTTTTGAAAATGATGTGTCTGGTCGATCTTCGTTGGATGCGGTCAAGATGATTATTCGCATGGTCAAGTCTAAGGGTTATGCCATTAATGAAAATGTCATTAACGTGTTCTTGCATCTCCGTCTCAAGGATGAGATGGCTCATAATTATTCTGCCTCAAACAATGAAGAGGTTGGACAAAAGCGAAAGAATAACCACAAGCCTTTCATGACCAAAAAGGCCAGAAAGACTATGAAGGAAACCAAGGAGATTGAGAAGGAGTTTCAAGAAGCTGAAGCGGTTGTTAGCAAAGAAGAAAAGGATAAAAACGTAAGTGTGTCATATGCCAAAGGAAAATCTCTTTTATGTGACATTAATTTTGTTGTGTAGCACACGGAAACTTTAAAATTGATCTTTGCGTTCTATTTCAGAATCTTAAAGAAACAAACTTCATCACCTCTTTTACCAGCCGTATTAGAAGGACTTTCTCGATTTGCACATTTAATCAGTGTTGATTTCTTTGATGATCTCTTAAACGCACTTCGTGATGTGATGCACTCCTTTGAAGATTCCAATGATATCTCTCGTACGAGTTCTGGTACACGTAAGCGATTACTTTGTATTATTACAGCCTTTGAATTATTGTCTGGACAAGGAGAAGCTTTTAATTATGACTTGAAGGATTTCTACACTGAAATTTACAATATCCTTTTTAAGGCCACCTTTCATACCAAGATTGAAGAGAAACCTGATTCTCAAAAGCAGACCGAGAGTGAAATGTTGATCAAGGGTCTTGAATTGATGTTTTTAAAGAAACGCCAAATTCCTGTGAATCGATTAGCTGCTTTTACCAAGAGATTTGCCTTGGTTGCACTAAATATGCCTAACAAGACTGTATTACAATGTTTGGCTTTAGTTGATAGACTTGTACAGGTAAATAGGAATTATAGGTGAATCGATATATATGCTCACACTGTTTTTTATGACCTATAGAAAGACCACCGTTTAGATGCACTTTTGCAGTCGGAAGATAGAGCGTCCAGTGGTATCTATGCACCATTATTACAAGATCCCGAACTTTGTAATCCCTTTGGTACAAGTTTATATGAGCTTTTCCTCTACCAGGTAAAAACAAGAAATAATTAGTGTGTATGATTGAAACTAACATAAATGATAGAATCATTACGATCCCAATGTGAGAGCCATTGCCAAAGCCTTACAAAAGGGTAATTAGATAATAAATAAATAAATAAAAAAATAGGGGAGACTACAGAAAAAAGTACGGTTGATATCGGATAAAGGGGGGGAACCAAGTTAAACATAAAGAGTAATGGATTGTGATCGATGCTGACACCTAAAAAGAGATGACGACCTTATATTATTTACCAGCATGTGAATCCCTTTTTTTGTGCTACGGTCCCTCCCCCATTTCTTTTTTAACTAATCAGGTTTTTTTAATATACAAGTGACATGACATTTAAAGAATGTGACACCAACAATAACAAAAGAAGAGAAGGGGGGCTTTTTTTATTATTATTGAGATTTCCCGTTAGATAACAATGTTTATACAGCATATGAAATTGTGTACAAAAAAAGATGGGATGATTACTATCAGAAGATAGTTTGTATTCCTCCCCCTACTTACCTACTTTAGCCCTTTATTTCCCCCCCCCCTTTTCTTACACTTTTTTTTTCTCACATAAAAAAAGAGGCGTCGGGTAAAGTTGCGGGGAACATCTCCCCCCCCCCCAACTTCCTCCTCCCGCGGAAAATGAAAAAACCATCAAAAAGTAACGTATCACAATAAAAGCGAAAAAAGAGAGTAAAAAATAAAAAAGATCCAGCATCGGCTTATTACACGTGGAGTATCAAAAAAAAATAGAATCCCTTTATCTTATATTTCACATGTAAGTGAGAGGAAGGACCAAAAAGAAGTGGGCGCAGAAAAAAAAAAAAGAGGATAAGAGATAAAAAAAAAAAGAGAAAGAAAGAGGGTTACACAGCGACTAGACCATTTATGTCATTCTACCAAAAAAAAAAGTGGGATCACACAACAGCATATTTTGTCAAATATTGCCGTCCATAAATGAGGATTGGTAATGATGATGATGGCAACCGGAAAGGGCGGAGCTGATTATTATAGCAGGCACGTTGTAAAAAGCTTAAATTCTGCTCAACTTCCATATTCAGTAATTAAACTATGGAGTGGAAGAATTAAAAAAAAAAAAAACCCTGAGAAAGAAAGTGAATATAATTGTATTTTTTATTGTTATTATTATATGATTTTTGTTATAAAGTGTGGGGAAACAGCAGTGTCTAAAGTAAAAAGTGGGGAAGAGAGAGAAAAAAAAAGGGGGGGGTAGCAAAGTCGCGTTGGGGGTATATGAAGTTTTTTTTTTTTTTTTTTTTTTTTTTGTTCCTTAGAGATCTTCTTTAATTTCTTGGAGAGACAGGACAGTTCTAAATGATAAGAGTTAGACAATGACCACACACACAAAAAAGAGTGAATGCCATATTTACCCTTGTTTGATGCACACGTGAGCCACAAATGAGACAGAGACATGCATTATTCACAAGTGGTTCTTGTGTATGCGAAGAACGGAGTGATTTAATATGTGAATAGAGAGATGAAAGCATAATTATTATTGTTATTTTTTTAAAAAAAAAAGATTAAAAGAAAGAATGAGTAAAATAATAATTTTTTTTTTTTTTGGCTCAAATTTAATAGAAAAGTCAAATCGTGTCACATAAATTAAGGTACAAATGATGTTTTCTTTACTGCAGATTTATGTATTTCACGTGCCAATGGACAAGTGGCCCAATTATTATTTTTTTATGGCGGAGTTTTCCTGTGGTTACTAATTAGAGGCCCAAATTAATCATTCGTTACAAGTAACGTCAACAATACCTCTCTCTCTCTCTCTTCTGTACCGGCAAATAACAAGAAACAACGCACACACACCCATGATCTACTTGTGAGCCACAACTGTACTCAATTCATGTATAGAGAGATACATGTATTGGTGAATACCGTCTCTCCGTCCACCAATAAAATTTTAAATAGTATATGCAGAAATAGAGTGTGGAGGAGGGGCTGATGCCAGAAAGTAAAATAGACAATGTAACCCAGAAACAACCAATACATGTTTCAACCGAGACTTTTTTTTTTTTTTTTTTTTTTTTTTTTTTTTTTTTTTTTTTTTTTTTTTTTTTAGCGCCGTGAGCCAAAACACATGTGTACCAGTAACACCTGATTAAAAATCTTGTCATTGATAACACAATGAACAAATTATTATTCTTACCTGTACAAAATAAATTACAAAACTAATCGCTATATAGTAAAAAAGTCACCCCCCGTCCCTTATCTGTCCTAACTCCCTCCCATCTTTCAATGCTTGACATCAAAAAAAAAGAGAGAGTTACAGTCATCCCTGTGTCGTAAAATAATTCTTTTATTTACTATTGTGGGATCCAGTCTATGTAGAGTCACACACGGAAGGTGGGCAGACACTTTTTTTTTTTTTTTGCAAATAAATAAATTGCTTAGAAATGATCATTACAATTTTATTTGTAATGATTTACAAATTCGTTGGTGTAAATTCAAATAGTCAGCTACTTTCTTATTTTAATATAACTAATACTTTTTAATTCGTCTTTTTTTAATATAAGCAGTAATCTCCCCACACACACCAAAAAACTCTATTTTTTTTTTTTTTTTTTTTTTTTTGTATCGCCCAATCTAACCAATCTCAGCTTCTCTATAAAAAGTCTATTTTTTACTGCAAATGGGAAACAGCAGTTTTAATATCTAATTAAAAAATTTATGCAGATATTGAGAATAGTGACAACAAAGAACCCTTTTTTTTTTCTGTTTCTACTCACCTAGTGAACATCAAAAAAAAAAAGAGTCAAACAGTGTAAATGAACTAGACTCACGTATCGATCTACTTCCAATGTCATAGTGAGATGATTTTCCAAAAAGTTAAAATTTTATGACAATAAACGTTACACAATATCTATTCAATTTGACACGTTTCTTAGTCCTGGATACAGTGTACAACTTGGGGGTAGGGAAAAAAGACACGTTTGTATAGCAATATGTATTATTATTTTTAAAACAAATGAAATGGCCTGTTTCCCTTTGAGGATGGCATTCCGCTAGTAGAGTGAGCAAACGGATCACTTTACTAATGGAGGGTTGGGTTGCTGAATAAGAGTACCCCTGGATTGATTCAAACAAGATCATCCGACCGCATCAACTGTTGAAGCATCCTTTTTTTTTTTTTATCTTTGAGGACACTTAACATGCAACAAGTATCACTCTTCTTGTCCCTTTGATACATTCATTAATGAAAGTACTTGGATATCTGACAACCTATACTGACACTTTCTCTTTTGCATGCACAAAGTTCCCATTTGTTCCCGAAACAAAAAAAAAACAACAACAAAAATCACACCTTCATTTAAAGTTTTTGTTGTTGTTGTTCCGCAGCAAGTTCCTCTCGTGGTTTTTCTTTTTTTTTTGACAGGACGATACCACCTTTTTTTTTTTTTTTTTTGTCTGTTAAGTGATGCTTGTTTTCAAGCGGTGGGGGACCGGTTACCATGAGATCACACATCATCTCTATCGTTACACCCCCGATCCAAACTTAAAAAGGGAAGTGCATGAACGTGGACCTTTAATAAAGCACAAAAAGTCATAGATCTGCTCATTCCGCCGTCTCCATCAAGAGAGAAAACGGGTGAGTTATTTTATTAAACGGGAGAAAGGGGGAAGGGTTACACTTTTGTGTTCCACTTCACTAATCCATCAGTGTGGTCTAGTCTTTCATTGACCCTAGTAACCCTAGAATAAACTGCCTGGATAAAAAAAAAAAAAATTTCCCCCAAATTTATATCCTCTTATAGACTAAATGATTGTTCGGTCTAAATGATGAAATGACTGCAATAAGTTTTAATTAAGAGGTGCAGCCGTATTTTTCCCTTTAACCGAGGCTTTATCTTATAACCTCTCAGATGATAAACAAATGTCTTCGACTCGGCTAGAAAGAGAGAGAGAGAGGAGAGGTAGTTTACTAAAAGAATGACATACATTGATGTTTTAGTTACATTGAAATGTTTCCCGGCTATCGGGTATAAGAGAATAACCACGTTTTTTTCTTTTTCAAACAGTCATTCTTGAAGACTTTTTTTTTTTAAAAAAAAAAAAAAGACGACCTTTCCCATATGAAGGTGAGCCGTTGTTGGTTTGTAAAGAAAATAATCATACGACAGCATGATGTAGACAATTTAATTATATATTTTTGGGTAAAACTCAGTCTATTTGTGCCCAATGAATGTCTAAATCTACCTAAAATAGCTCATACAGGTTTCTGGGGGGACCGAGAGGGACTTCACGGGCAGATGTAACTGTAGGACGAGCTTAACTAATTGCTGCTGATAAAGATTGAATGCGTAAGCACTTGTAACCATCTTTGGGAGGAGCAAATATAAAAAAAGGAACTTGCATTCGATTTGTCAAGTAACGCGATAAGGTTCTAGATAACTCACTACTAACAGGTATTTTACAATTGGGATTTCAACATCTTATGACGGTCTGTGCTGGCTGACCGGTCTAGAAAAGGAGTTTTAACACAGAAATAGATTACTGTTAAATATGGTTAATTAAATACGTAATCTTCATAAGCACAATTACATTAGATAATAAATGTGATCCGCCCCCCATTCTTTTATTTCTAAAAACATGTAAACGTCTGTCATTGAGGTTTAGCTTTTAAAATAAGACATTCGACATCCATGTAACAACCTAGACAGACTTGTCGTTTGTGACAACCATTAATATTAGTAAGATTTATCTAGTTACGAGTTGCTAAATTGCATAAATTTCATTTACTATGATGACATCAATAACTACAATGTATGACTTCATTGAAAAATTCCACAGGCAGTTTATTGCCTGTCTAGAATTTACCTGATACGACATATAAAATCACTGACAACCTTGAGTCTTGGCATATCAGAAGAATAAATGAATGATATCTAGAGGCGAATTACGGTGCTACTAAATTAAAAAAAACATCTGAAAAGTATCATTTAAAAGTGGGTCAACTAAAATATATTTGAGTAAGGTTGATTTTGGATTCATTTTCATACTTTATGCGAATACCCCCTAAGTGAATATTTTGAATTTCTCAGTGTTTTTTAAACAGTGTCCTTTTTTTTTTTCATGCAAATAATAATGTATTTGCTAAAGATAAACTCCTCCCGCCCTTTACACAGGATATGGGTTCATTAGAACTTTTAATGGCCCTTTTTAAATGTATTTGCTTTAGATAAAAATTATGGGTTTTGATTAACTACGGAAATTCGATACCTACAAGCACACCTTAAGATCAAGTATAATGCGACGCTCACAATACTTTTAAGAACCTAGAGACCATAAATGATAAGAAAGAATGTTAAAGACATTGAGGAGAAGAGTCATAACCAGCGAGACTTATCCAGACAAATCACTGAAAATATAAACTCTAACCTTGTCTAAATAATAAAGACTATTTACATAACCAACAGAGACTCTTACTCAGCAAAACAGAGAAGAAAATTGGTAAATTTTAGGAATAAGAGCGATATGTAAGCTATTTAAGGAGACGATTCAGTGTGAAGTCCACCCATTGAAAGACATTTTTCAGGAACAAGTACAATTCACGACGTAAACAGTAAGACTACAAACATTTTAAAGTTATTTTGCCTAACAAATGCCTCATAAAAATATAACGGAAAACTGCATCCTCAAAAAAAAAAAAAAAAAAGTGGCATCTTAGTGTGAATTAAATAAATTTTAATACTTTATGCGAATAAACACTTGTGAGATGACAAATGTCAACATTTCCTCCCACTGACATAAAAAATCAAGTTGCTTATTTTTCAGTTAAACATAAAACAAATGGGAGAGGGAAGGGGTTCTAAAGAGGATTTTTTATTATTTTGTACAATGGTTTAATTTTAATTCTTTTCTTTGTATAATATGTACATATATAAAAAAAAGAAAGAGAGAGAGATATTCTTGTTTATCCGAAATGGAATGAACTGTGGCTGTGATGTTGACGTCCTCCACCGCCGAATCCACCACCACCACCGAATCCACCACCTCCAAAACCGCCAGCTTGACCAAACATGGATGCGAACACATCATTGACATCCACACCACCTGGGTAGCCTCCACCACCACCCATACCCATACCACCATCTAAATCAGCACCCGAATCAAATCGTGCCTTCTTTTCGGGATCACTCAAAATAGCATAAGCTTCACCCACTTCCTTAAATGAAGCTTCTGCTTTAGCATCACCGGCGTTCTTATCAGGATGGTATTGCAAGGCAAGTTTACGATAGGATTTTTTGATTTCTGTCTCACTGGCTGATTTATCCAACTTTAACACCTTGTAGTAATCCTTACGAAGTGATTTCTTTAATTCAAGTTCTGCCTTACGTAAGAGGCCGTGGTATTCTTTTATAAATTTAAAAAAAAAAAAAGCATTAGCGTACGCAAATAGAAAATTATCTCTCTCTCTATCTCTTCTTTACCTCTATTGGATGCGTCTACTTCAGTCAACTTTTTATAATCTCTCACTGCTTCCTCATATTGCTCCGTCTCCATATAACAAGCGGCACGTCGACTGTACACCTTGTAAAATTCGTTGTCTAATTCAAGGGCTTTATCACAATCAAGCAAAGCTTCTTCAAACTTCTTTTGCTATAGATTCATAATTTTTTTTTTTTTTTTTACAAATGCGATGATATCAGTACGAATAGTAATAAATAAAAAAAAAGATGGTGATTTACCTTTTGCAAGACGGCGGCACGGTTGGAATAGAGACGAGAATTCATATGATCGTTCTTTGGATCGATTTCCATAGCAGCAGTATAGGCATCATAGGCCTCTTCTAATTGATTGGCTTTAAAGGCAGCGTTACCAGCTTCCTTTTGGCTGTCAATGGCACGAGCCATTTTTAAAAGGGCGCGGGCCTTTGAGAAATCGGGATCACAACGCAATGCTTCCACACAGTGAGCAGCTGTCTTTGCGTTTTCACCTTGGCTGTAAAAGACACGCGCTCTGAGGTATAAGGCGTCTGGGTTCTGGCTGTTCATACGCACCAAAGAGCTTTTTTTTTTTTTTAGAGAAAAAGGGTCAGTAAGAGAATAAAGTGGGGACCCAACAATATATATATATATATATAACTCACTTGACAATGCGACTGGCTTCAGAGTAGTTCTTTTCACCTAAAGCACATTCGGCTTGCATGACTCTCCATTTGACGGGCAATTGATCTGCGTCGACAAAAGCGATAGCACGGTCGAGACTGTTACGGGCGAGACCCCATTGATTGTTTGACATAAAGGTGTTGACCTGAGCCATATAGTTGTAAACGTGTTGCAAGTTATTGTATTCACGTTGAGCGATTTTAGGATCGATTTCTGCGGCACGGGTGTATTGACGACCGGCTTCTTCGAGATGACCTAAATTCAAGTGACATTTGCCACCACGTAAGAAGGCTTTTGCGTTTTGAGGGTCTAATTCCGTAGCGGTACGACAATCGTTGGCAGCATCCTTGTATTTCTTTTGCATGACCAAAGCGGCCGCACGGTTGTTGTAATACGTTGAAGTCTTGGGTGAAGCATCTTTTTTTTTAAAAAAATGGTTTAGTTGCTTTCTTGCCAATAAAACCTCTTTTTTTTTTTTTCATCATCATGATGCTTACCAATGGCTTGAGTGTACAAGTTGACGGCTTCTTCGTAATTACCAGCCTTGTATTGTTCATTGGCTTGATTCTTAATCTCCTCAGGGGTCCTGAACGTGAAGCGCAAGGTTAGATTTTTAGTGTATATGTTAAATAATTAAACTTTTTTTTTTTAAAAAAAAAAAAATTACATTGGAGTATCAACTTCCATGGGTGCTTCAGTGTCAGACATATTTTTTTACGGAAAAAGTTGTGGTAGAAACAAAAAAAAAATGAACAAAAAAAGAAATAATTGCTCCTATCTTCTACCCGATTCACAAGGAAAAAAAAAAAAAAAAAAAAATATTTTTTAGAAGATAAAAAAAAAGTCACCCTTTTAATGCGATAGAATTTGCTAGAAAGCTTTTTGGCACTTCCCCCAAAGAGATCAAATTACAAGAGCACCAGAGCAAAAAAAAGAGCGACACACACAACACACAGAGCGACAGGAAAAAAAAAAAAAAAACGGAGTTTCAAACATAATTTCAATGTCCTACCTACACCTGCGAAATACACACACACATTGGGCAACGCCTCATTTGTTGTATGGTTGTTCCCTTTATTCTTATTAATATATCTCTCCTTTCTCTCTCTATCTGATGAATCCTGGTTACAGTGAAAGTACTAGTCATAAGCGACAAAAGACGAACGAACAGCCAGCAACTGCGATGGATGCCAACGATTTTCTTAACTTTGATTATGAATTCCCCATGGTGAATGGGCAAGGGGAGACAACCACAGCGGCAGGAACAGGGACAAGAATTCCCGAAGATTTTTTCATGTTTGTGACGGATAACAGCCCGAATGCGACTATCGTGAATACACCTTCACCCAAGGCCATCAAAAAGATGGAGCCGCCGAACCAAGCAGTGTATACGATTGTGGTAGGTGGTAAACCCTTTCGACTGAGTTGGGAATCGCTCAAGAGTGATGGACCAACCAATTTTTTCCTCGAGTATTTTCGAAAAAAGAAGACGAGTAAAGTCATGCATATTGATCGAGATACAGATGTATTTGAGCTGATTGTACGTCATCTCCGTGGTTACTACATACGCCCCATTGACGACATTCAGAATCAGTCTCTCTTGTATGATGCAAACTATTTTGGCTTAAATCGTCTTAAGAAAATGTTGCAAGAGTATCTGTTTCTTAATGTTGGTGGTAGAGTCTTTCGTCTGCCATGGACACTATTCCAAAAAGGTATAAATAGGGTCACACACACACACACATATATATAATTAATAACTGACACCCGCTCTCTCTCTCTCTCATTCAATCTCTCACTCTCTCACTCTTTAGATGGGACCCATAACTTTTTTACGGGACCCTTAATGCACTCGTTGCTATCGCCTCATACAGAGGATGGCAACTCTCCACCCATCTACATTGACAGAGATCCTGACATCTTTGCAGACATTGTAAATCATCTCCGCGGTTACACAATTCATATTAGAGATGAAATGCACAGAAAGAATCTGTTGAAGGATGCACAGTACTACGTATTTAGGCAATTAAGTGATAAATTATTAACGGCACAACAGACGGTAGCTGGATTTGGAGATGGAAGCAATCCCGAGGTATTATTGCTATTACAAGATATCCGACTCGTCAACATGATTCGTCCAGACATGAGTGATAATCCATCGTCTTCTTCCGCAAATGGTTGGACTGCTACACAGGTCCAATATAAGCGCATTGTGGAGGGAACACCACATGCTTTATTAGTCCAAGTGTCTGATTTATGCATCCAAATACACAAATCGGAGACTATCACTAAGCTTAGTTATGAAATGAACCCTTCTGACTTGAAAAAGATGGTGAGTATGGCCAAAGCCATCAAGGCAACAGGAGGGATGAATATGGAGCTATTTTTGGACACCTATTGCGCAATCACAATTGACGATAATCAAGTCAAATCAATTGGGTACTGTCTGGAGAATGACATCATCGAGACTCAGTGGGAAGCATGTACTAAATGTAAACAGGATTGTCAAATGTCGAAATTAATATTGCAGCGAGCTATTTGTGGAGTTCATTTAATGGATAACATGATGACTTTGTGTGCATTAAGATTAGAGGCTATTAGCTCAAGATTTAGACTTAATTTAAAGAGGCAGTTTCTCTCTGGGTAGCTAAATAAACTTTGATTGGTGAATCCCATTTTATTCACACACACACACACACAACACAACACACACACACACACACACCCATTTTTTTTTTTTTTTTTTTTTTTTTTACATACACACACACACACACTACTACACTTTTTTACACACACTACAGACATTATGTATAAATATCCCTGCCAATTTTATTTAATTTTTAATTTCTTTTTTTTACTTTTCCATTTTTTTACTTTTTTTTTTAACTCTCTTTTACATAAACAAATATGCCTTTCCGTTGTAAGTGTGGTAGAACCTTTGAAAAGACCGACTCTTTTGCTTCTCATACATCTGCTTGTGCTCCCTTCCATCATCGACGTATGTCAGATACGACGCAGATGTCTACTGCTGCTGCTGCTGCCGCTGGTGGTGGTGGTAGTGGTGGATCACAGCCGTTTATCAACACCTCCTTTCGATTCTTGTCATCTTCATCACAGGCCAGTTCTCCCACCGACTCTGTCATGATGGACAGTGATTTATCTAGCTCTGTACCTACGAATAATGGGTTTTTTATGCCCACTGCGCTATCACTTCAAAATGCTTTTGAAGGTGCTAGAAGAAGATCCATGTCGTACGGCTCCTCATTTAAATAACCCTTTATTTTTGCATCTCTCTCATAAATACCCCCCATATCCGCTCTCCTTCTGTAAGTAACTGTTGTATATGATTTTTTTTTCTTCTATCAAAATAAATATATATATATTTAAAATTATCTATTTCCGCATAAAACTCTTTTTTTTTTTTTTTGAAATCGTTTAAAACTCTAAATATTAAGTGGTACACCGCCCATAAACAAACAAATCAAAAAAAAAAAAAAAAAAAAAAAAAAGTTGATTTTCTTGTATTAACCGGTAGAAAAAAAAATGAGCAATTTTTGTCCGAAGCCTCCGTTATTTAGAGTTTCCCATTGAACTTTTTTTTGTACGGTTGTAATACTAACATCACGCATATAGCATGTACTTTTACGCTTAAAAAAAAACTCAGATGCTTTGTCAGTATTGAGTTCTCTCTCACACATGCACTCTAAATGTTGAGAGCGTCAAGGCTCTATTCTATCGAAAATGTACACTTTTTTTTTGCATCTAAGGCAACATGCAGTGATAAAAGTGTGTTGAAAATATTGGATAGATCCTTCCTATATTTTCTGAAAATCCCACTGTGATAAAAAAGCAAGTCAAATTTTACTCACTTTTTAAAAAGAATAGGATAGAACAAAAATATCTGGTTGGGTTAGTTAGTAGTCCAACGTGTGAAATCTTATAATATCCGCTCTTTGACAAAAAAAAAAGAGTTCCCCATGTGATAAGAGGGTAAGTTTTTAACACAACAATGAACTCAGATTCTGAAGTGGGGGGTTTATCAGACGGAGAACAAGTGAAACAGTGTGTTTAGATAAGAAATGCTTTGATAATGGCCACTGCAGCAAAAAAAAAAAGAACTCTTTATTTGTAAAACCCCGCCTGTCGATGCCTTTATTCCCCTTCTAATTGAGGGAATGGACTTTTGGAAAGAAGAACAGATGATAACAACATACACACGTTATCTCTATGTATTATTTGTTTGTTCAATAAGGGCGGGGCGTACACTATCACTATCCCCCATTTTAGCCTTATTTTTTAAAAGTGAGGCGTATAAATTCATGCAAAAAAAAAAAAAAAGTTATGTAGTGAGAATTTTTATTAAATCGAAAAAAAAAGTACAGTGTGTGGGTATTTATTTAAGTGTAGACGAACTAGAAGACATGGATCTTCTTCTGGCACCTTCAAATACATTATGCAAGGATAATGCAGTAGGCATAAAAAACCCATTACCAGTGGTGGTGGGGACAGAACTGGATAGATCGCTACTACTACTACTACTAATGGTGCTACTGTCAGACTGAGCGGGGGATAGACTGGGCGACGACAAAAACCCAGTCAAGGAAACTTGCTGAGTTGTGTCCGACATACGTCGCTGGTGAAAGGGAGCACAAGCAGATGTATGAGAAGCAAAAGAGTCGGTCTTTTCAAATGTTCTACCACATTTACAACGGAAAGGCATATTTCTACTTTTTTTTTTTCAAATATAAATAAAGAAAAAAAAAAGTTAAATAAAAATATACGCCCTCCCCCCAGTCATATAACATCGGAGACTATTCCAATGTGTGCAAACACTCCCTTTTTTTAAAAAAGAAGAAGGGGGAGATATATGCCATGATGTCATTGGCGCAAAATTAAGAAAATCGCCATTGAATATCTCTCCTTGATAAAGTATATATGGTCAACCCGATATTCTCTCTTTAATGAAAGCAATTCATCTTGTTGTACGCCCATTCTTGTCCCAATCGTTCTTGGACTATTATTTTTCATGACTGTTTTAAGCCTCACATGATGAACAAAAAAGGATCGTCTAATAAAGTATCTTCTGATGCATTATTTGCATTCTTTTACCAGATATACTACAACTTCCCCCTTTCCCTTTTTGCATCCACACACATACACACACACACGCCGTATTTTCTTTATCAAGCAACAACAAATAGGTTGGCAGTTATTAACTGAGGAAACTGCATATCTAATCATTTTCTGTTTGGCCGTTTTAAAATAAACACACATGTAGCATAGCTTACTCTTTCAAATCGTCTCCCACGAGGATTTGTACAACAAACATGCTTATGTTTTACTTCGTCATTGTAAACATTGTGAAACGAATTTGCGTTCACAACAAAGATTAGAGCCCGCTGCATTTAAGATTTACAAAAAGAAACCGTTTTCCGTGAGCTCTTGGCGCCGCATGATGGAAGAAAGTTCAATAAATCAGTCTGTGTGTGTATGTATTTTATAAGCGGGTAGTTATGAGACCTATTAGAATTCATGCTGGGACACGATCTTTGTCGCTGCATATGAATACGATTCTCATAAAGACAAAGTAGCCCAATATGTGTGATACACCTGATTATCTGAAGTATCTAGCCTTTCAGCAGTCTTACTCATTCGATATGACAACAACAAAAAATTGATTCTGTGTAGTCTCACAAAAGCGGGAGATAATAAGAAGATTCACACGTAACTACACATTTCTCATCTTTGAGCTATCTGTCAATAAGCATTATAACTTAATGAGCTATCATACTTTAATTTTTTTTTCTAAAAGAACTCTTTGCGGCAATTAGCTTAAAAGAAAGCATCATTGTTTTATTTGTTGATAGTCAGTTGCTGCATAATAACGATACTCATACCCTATCACAATAATTTAAATTGTAAATTATTAATAACGAAGGTTACACTTTCTTATTGATGTCACGGACAGCGCTAAACTAGAATTATCTATGGCTAAACATTTCTTGCCTACATACATAATATAACAATCGTCTCGTTACGTTCATTTATGCGAGTAATATTCCTTGAATACGGCTTAAGCTTTTTTTTTTTTTTTTTTGTCAGGACCGTTTCTGTGCCTCTTGTCCAATTAGAGTCCAAGAGCGTGCTATGCAGCCCGTGCATTGGACATTTCTGTCAAGTACCAATTTAAGCATTTCCTAACTTATTGGTCACAGACAAGGGTTAAATCAGGTTCTGATCCTTGCCAAGCAAAACCCCTCATCATACAGACTGCATGTATGTAGTATTGAGCAGTTTATCGATCTTAAATCGAGTGTATTCATGTATGAGGATCATAAGATTTAACAGCATTTAAAGTCTGACCTGGTTGTATTTTCTAAAGCATACCTAGACATGTATGGGGACGAGATTTGATTTTTTAAATACTTGATCAAAACTATCTTAAATTAAAAAACGTGACTAACGTGGGCTTGTTTAAAAGAGAAAAAAAAAAGGGGGGGGAGGACATAATAATAATAATAATTAAAAGCTAGTCAGCTCATTTTTCTTCGATCGATATAATTTGACAATAATTCTCAAGCTAAATACGCATACATGTAATAGACTGATTGAGGAAAAGCATACAACAAGCTCTAAGCAGGTACCTACAGTGACATATAATCAGGATTTATTTATTTCTTCACTTCGCAACTGTTCCAAAATTAGACGAGCTGTCAAATATGCTCTTTGAGCAGGGAACTTCAGTGTAACTTGTCTTATTGCTCAAATATTCGTAATATAATTCATTTCAAAACTCCATCATGTAAAATTAGATAAACCCATTCAGCCTTTTGGAGGGCATATATCTTCTATTATCCATCATGATGGATAGGGGCAATGTGATAAAGACAATGGGTCATTTTAAAGCCTTTAATTTTGCAAATAAGAGAGACCCTATTTGCAAAAGTAAAGAATAAACACCCGGTCAAGACAATATCAGTCCACTTGCTTTTACAAAGGGAGAGGCCATTTTTCTTAAGGACAGACAGGGTGCTCGTAGCCGTAATATTGTGGTTATGATATTTTACAATATAACTTAATAATTTGAACTAGATACAAATTTATTACAACCAGCATAGTTTAAACTAGTATATATGTGTTATAACTTACTTTCAGATACTCGTTTGTACTTTACCTTATTATTTCTGCGTAAGATAAAGATCAAACGAGCCTAAAGGTGAAGGAGTGATGGTAGACCTGTCAAACCAAGTAAAAACCATTCAACATACATATATTCGTAATCACCATATTGTTTTTTGATTGTATATTCTTGTTTCCAAGTCTAAAAGATAGCCAAATCACAGATCTTACGTTATGACTACGTGCACTTTGGCTGTCCCTAAGAAAAGCCATTTTTAAAAGTGCCTAGAAAGACCAGCTACAACACCCTTTTCTCTGTACATTGTACATATCATATGGAAAATTGGAACCACTTACCACATGAACTTCTAGACGCTATATCCTTTTATACACCGTCGACTTTTTCCAATGCAAAGTCGATGGCAGTGAATAAGCAATGGTACAACTTTTATTTAAGCAAGCGATTTAAAACAGTGTCTATTGCTTTGCGATCAACCAATGCAACGCTCAAGCAAATTTTAACATCGCCCTTTCAACCTGGCCAATGGACGAAAGCCATTACATTTGTTGAAATCAATACAGTACCTGATCTAGACTCTATTGATTATGATCAAGATCTCTTCGATCGCTTAATGAAAGAAACACCAAACGTCAAAGTGGTGAGATTTGCAGAGAAAGTACGAGCATGGGCCTACTTTTTGCACATTCTTAAGAACAACCACTGGCAGTTGAGAAAAATCCCAGTAACTTGGGATAAGCGCTTGGCGCCATTCTATTATGAGTGTGCACACCATGTACGAAACACACTCGAATCGCTGCAAATAAACGAATACATGTTTCTTTCTGATTTGAACTTTTCCTTTCTAAAAGAGTTTATCGCATTGAATAGATTGTACATTGATGATGGCTTGATAGGGAGCCCACTGGGTCTGAATAGTATACTCCAGCATACGTCAGGTACACTCTCTATGCTTAATGTGGAATTTCCAGGTGTGTCCGCCATGGGGTCTTATCCAGAAGAAGCTTTGCCGGTGTATCCCAACATCAAGCATATCCAGTTTCTTGATTTTACACCTGAATCAAACGATCAATTATCTGTCTTTACAAACAGCTTTACACGACTGGAGAAATTGGTCATTGTGGGAGATATAGATGCTCCATGGCCGGGAATCCGCGTAGATGATGATACCAAGGAAATATTCTACAAGACCCTTCATGCATTAAAGGCATATAAAATTACTGTCCCAGGGTGTCGTATTGACCTAAGTCACTTTAAAAAGCATCTTACACAACCTGTACGGCTTTTCATTCGAAATTCGGGTCCTGGACATTATGTCATTGGTGATGATAAATCGACTACCCTTGTAAAATCGCAAGACTGTTCGTATATTTCAATGCGATATGAATGCATAGTCGACAATCGTAACAGAAATAGTGGATTTGTGCCAAATATTTTACAAAGCCTAGATGGTAATATAGTGCAGGTGAATCTTCGGGAGATAGCCAGCAATTTGGTCACTACTTTCCTTGATGCACTATTGGAAAGGGAGTATGTAAATTTGCACACCATTGTCGTGAGTGACACAAAACTTTGTGAATATGAATGGGATCCAGAAAGACCAAAAGTGGATCACGTGAAAACGTTGAAATTCTACAACTGTAGTGTGAGTGAAAGGTCATTATTCTCACTATCCCGTAATTATTTCGAAAAGTTGGATTATCTTCAATACAACACGTGTACACCTCGTAAGGAGAAATTGCATTGGATCAACTTTCGTGAAACCGAAATCCATACATTGTGCCTATCTGAAGTGGAGGATCTCGAATATCCAAGACGAAAAAGAAGCAAAGCGCACCCTTGTACCTTTGTCTGTGTTAATATCTTTAGGAATGGTATAAATCTTCGAATGTTTTTAGTGGATCAAAATTCTGTTATTGTAGAAACTAAAGAATCTGTGTCACATGAAATTCTTGACTCAGAAACAACGATTCAAGTTTCTATCGATGTCCAGTCTATTCAAACCATTATATTAAAGTCTCCTACTCGTAAAAAGGATGTTTATATTGATTTGCAAAAGAGTTATTACGCACAGTAAATAAAAAAGAATGTACATATATATAATTTGGAACAAAGTGATTTTTTTTTTTATTATTATTCAACCTTTTTTTGTAGATATATGGTAAAGAGAGAGAGAGAGAGAGAGAGAGCAGGCAAAGGAAAAGATTTAAAGTCTGGCATTAGCAGGGAATTGCTTCATGGCTTGACGAATACCTAAATCCGCCATAATTTCTTCTGAACCACCCAAGATAGCACCAAACTTGTAGGTTCTCTGGAAGGCTTCAACAGCACGACCCATACCAGTCTTGGTGATACCACGACCACCAAAGATTTGACAAGCGTCATCAGAGACGTTATGAGCGACACGAGTGGTTTGGTATTTCAAGAGCGCGATAGGACCAGCCAATTTAACGGATTGTTCAGCGTAAGACATGTTACACATTTGGTAGGTAATGTTCTCAAGCCAGTTCTCGACGGCTTCCAATTGAGCGACCATGGCCGCAAGCTTGTTACGGATCACAGGTTGATCGATTAAACGCTTACCGAAAACCTTTCTTTGGTTGGCCCATTTGAAGCAATCTTCAATAATGGCACGAGTGCCACCTGTCACGGCACCACAAATGTACCAACGTTCGTGGTTGAAGTTATACATGATAACTTGGAAACCTTGACCTTCCTTACCAAGAATGTTCTCAGCGGGAACCTTGACATTTTCAAAAGTGATGTAAGATGTACCGGCAGAGGGAGAGTAAGAGGTCTTGATTTGCTTGGTTTCGATGTTATCATCACGCTCGACAAAGAACATGGTCATACCCTTTTCAGTGGTAGCAGCCACGGTAAAGTAATCACAGAAAACACCATTGGTGATCCACTTCTTAACACCGTTTAAGATGAAATGCTTACCATCAGCTGTTCTGGTAGCAGTAGCGCGAATACGAGCAACATCAGAACCAGCATAAGGTTCAGTGATAGCTAAACAGATACGCTTCTTACCAAGAAGGACCTCGGGTACCACCTTGGCCTTGAGAGCAGGGCTACCAAAGTTGAAGATGGGAGGAAGACCGATACTGTAACCAGAAGAAATACCATCACAGAAACCTGGTGTACCAAGTCTGGCAGTCTCTTGATGAGCAATCAACTCATGGAAATAATCAAACTTCTCGGGTTCGATACCGCCAGGGAGTTTTAAACCCTTGAGCCAAGGACCGGGACCAATTTGTGTGGCCAGGACACCAGCTTCACCCAACTTGGCATATAATTCCTTGGAAGGATAAGTGCCTTGGTCTTCAGCTTGGATAGCTTCGGGCTTGATCTCATCATAAATAGCACGAATGGATTGACGGAAGTGAGTGTGACTGTCACTATTTGACACAGAAAATAAAAAAAAGAGGGTTAGTAATCACAAGAAAAAAAGGGGGGTGTGGGTAACTCAATTACTTGAAATAGGGACTCTTGAATCCCATCCAAAAACTAGGCTCGGCGTAAGGGACAGTAGAAAGTTCACCGTGAGCAGGAATATTGACTTGAGAGACTTCACCTTCAATCACACCAATCTTGATACGAGGAGCATATTTGACCAGTACTTCTTGACGATGAAGACCATAGAAATCCTCTGTTGTTAAGGGGGGAGAATGTAAATAAACGACCATATATGTTTATATTTGTTTTTTTTAGTTTTACCAGTAACATCCTTTCCACCTAATTCAACCAAAATCTGACTTCCACCAGGATGTAATTGGGCAAAGGTGGATACGTTGTAAACAGCACCATCAATAATCAACCAAAGATCATCTTCTGTGTTATGTTTGGCCACTTCGGCTCTGGTATATGACTTTAATTCTGGCATTGAAAAAAAAAAAGAAAAAAAAAAAAAGAGTAGGGGGAGGATAAAGAAAAAGAGAAAAGCTGTAAAGACACCTTTTATTACGATTTATGTGTAGGTGGGAATAATTACACAGATTTTCATCAAAATGTGGAGTAAGAATTGCATGTGAAAACGTATATGTGTGTATGTCATCACAATATGCGGAAGCTTAAAAAAATAAATAGGTTGGGTGGTATGATATTTAATGATCTGGTGATTTCTTACGCAACACCTTGTTTTGGAGGCCAAAAAACGATGTCTGAACTTGCTCTACCAGTGTAGACCAAGGCATAGTGATGACAGGTGGTTGAGAAAACACCAAATAATCATATCCTTCCTCTAAAGTTAGACGGTTATCCCATCTTTTTTAACTTGTTGCAGTACGTACCTTTGACTTTGAGTCGAGGATAAACGGTTTGAATCGCTGCCTTGAGACGACGATCCGCTCTGTTTCGGATCACGGCAGATTTACCAATCTGCTTCTTACCTGTAATGATCCCCACTCGATTAACCGTGTTCGTCTCATTGACCATCATTTTCAACGAAAAGGCATCAGCACGATGTTGTAATTTAGACTGTTTTGAAAATATGCTTGTCATTCGCTTTGTCGTAATACCTGGGATTTTCATTTCAGGGTGTAACAAATAATACCAAAGGCGGGGAGAAACAAAAAATAAAAAAATAAAAAAAAAACTGGCTCCCTCCTCCCCCAAGAAATGGGTCCTTCTCTCTTTTTTCACACAAAAAATTATGCAAACTTTTATCAAATCAATTCACGACAAACACCAAATACAAACCTTATTAAATCGTCAAAATGAACGTGATATTCTAAAAGAAAAAGATAACCATGGTGACACCTTGCTTCATTTCGCTTGTCGGATACATTGTCTCGACGTCATTAAGCTACTCATTGCCCATGGTGCTGATCCCGAAGCTGTTAATGAGCATGGTAAAGAAAACAAGAGTCACCGTAAAAAAAAAAAACTGAGTAGCCCTCCCAATTCTAGGAAGAAGACCGATACATGAAGCTATTGAGTCGATCGAATGCGTATCTTATTTGGTAAACACTTGCCATATTGATGTCAACGCAATGAAACGAGGTGATTGGACACCCGTGATGAGTGCAGGTTAAGCATGTCAAAAATGATCTGGTAGAGTTCTTGTAACTAAGCAGTCTTTTTTTTTTCTTTTATCAATAGCATTGAAAGGAAACCTGGATACCGTAAAGATTCTGGTGGATGGAGGTGCGTTGTTGAGCCGAACCACGAGAGACGGTCGAACTGCATTGTATCTAGCAGTACAAGAAGGTAAAAAAAGCGGAGCAAGAATGTTTTTCTATTTTATCTAAAGAAAAAAAAAACGTTTCAAATGGAGGTCACATCCAGCTGTCAAAATACCTGACAGATGCGTACCCAGGGGCCATAACACAGGCCACTAAATCGGGGAGATTACCTACGCAAGCGGCAGCTGCTTTGGAAGATACGACGTCAGCTTATATAATAACGAGATATTTATTATCCCACACTTCTGATGAGACAAAGGTGCTGGCCCACCGTGACAACTCGGGCCGAAATATTTTGCTGGATGCAGCGGTGGCACAGAACATTCAACTGCTCCAGTTTTTATTGGATACTGCTGGAGCGGATCCAAATGATTCGGATTCACTTGGTCGCAACATGATTCATCACGCTGCCATGATGGGACACTCCCACCTATTACAATTGTTGAGTGGGTTCAAGGTCGATTGGAACTCACCTGATGCCTGGGATGCTTGGACTCCTCTGATGCATGCTGCCAGACAAGGCCATTTACACGTCGTAAAGTATCTAGTAGATGTCATTCATGTGAGTGTCGATTGCAAAGACAAGCAAGGAAGAACTGCTTTGGATATAGGTATTTGTTTATAAAACTTTCTTTGTAATCGTCAGAAAAAGGCTATATTAATAGAGCATTCTTGTATAGCTCGTTTATGGAAACACACGCTAGTGGAAGAATACTTGTTAGAAAAGGTGGGGTAGAGTCATGTGCTCTACTCCCAATATTCATATGAAAGCTAAACAATAATAAAAAGGGGTTTTTATTTGCTGTTTTCTCTTTCTCTCTCACTCTCTCTTTTTTATTTATTTTTAATTGAACAAATGGTGACAAAATTGATCCAACCGTGTGCTAGTCAAGGATGCTGTGTTGTAGAAAATGGATTGGATTTCCTGACTGCCGATTCAGCTAATAAATTGATCTTGTCAAAGAAAGCCAATCCTACCGCTGTTATTCATGAATTGTGTGACACCGTGTACCAAATGCCAAATAGTCTTGTCCGGCTTGCCACAGATGTCTGGTCCCACGTAAAGAACGAACCCAAGAAACCTTCCTGGTGCATACAGACCACGGTTGTCATGGGATTTTTACAAGCTTTTCGGGATCAGTCGCAAACCAACAGCTTAGAATTCTGGAGACTCATGCTGATTGCACCGAGCTTAATTAAACCCATCATGTCTAGAACAGAAGCGGAAATTATCCCTATCAAAACAAGAAACCTGTGTGGCATTTTAAGCAAGATGGATTCGGAAGAGACAGGCTCTCGTACATTGGATGCTGAATGGATGTCTGCTATTTCTACCTGGGAAAGAATATGCGGTTCCTCTTTGAAGACTCGATTGGCTTTAGATCCGCCTGTCTCGGATGAAAAGATAGTCATGTATATCCACGGTGGCGCGTATTGTACCATGAGCGCACAAACACATCGAACATTGACCCATAAAATCAGTAAAGCTACCAAGCGAAGGGTTCTAGGTGAGTAATTGTTTATAGTCCAGTAAAAATTATTCATTAACCCATTGTGAATACATCAGCTGTCAATTACCGTTTAGCACCAGAAACTAGGTTTCCTGGGGCATTGTTTGATGTTGTGCAAAGTTTCCTTTATTTGATTGATGGCAATGACAAACACCGTTTCAAGCCAAGCAACATTTTGGTCATGGGTGACTCGGCAGGTGGAGGGCTTTGTCTGGCCATGATGCTTTATTTGCGAGACCACGGCTTACCTCAACCCGAAGGAGCGGCACTATTATCAGTAAGAATAAGATTTTTTTTAATTGTTTGTTATTGAAATCATTCTAATCAGAATAATGTTATGTTTATGAATTTAGCCATGGGTTGACCTGACATTCTCTTATCCCAGTTGGAAGGATGCCTCCCTGTACGACTACCTACCATCGAATCCAGCACAGTTGAAGTCAGTGAATCCGGCACTGCTTTATTTGGATGACCAAGAGCTCATTCGTCATCCTTATGTGTCTCCTATTTTTGCAGACAATTTCGATAATATGCCTCCTATCTTGATCCAATCCGGAGGCTGTGAATCACTTCGGGATGAGATTTGTGATTTAACTGACAAGATCCAAAAATCGAAATGTACCATGGTACACCATGAAATCTATGAGGTCAGTGAGAGAGTGAGAGTGAGAGAGAATATTAGGGCAAAACTTCAATAAATAACAGGGTTTAAGGTTGTGTCTGTGTTACTTAAGGTTACATTAAAATTTATTTTTCTGTAGGATATGGTTCATGTTTTCCAGGCCTTTCCGTTCAAGAAGTCGATGGATGCAATTGAAAGCATTGGGTGGTGGTCTAAAGTGGGTATTCCGCTGATTACACAGTGGCAATCTCGATCTCAAGAACTATCCATAAACGACATTCTGGATTAAAATCTACCCGAGCGTGCGCGGTAGTAGTCGATCTTTCTCTCTTATTAAGGAGTTGTTATTTAAACACTTATACGTAATTCTAAATTAAAAAAGATTTTCGATGGGTGGGGCCATGTAAAAAAATAAAATAAAAAAAATAAAAAAACGTGTTTAGAGAAAGAGAGTGTGTGTGTGTGTGTGGATCCGGAGAGGCCCTTGTTCACATGTAACATAAAGAAATCGACTGAGAAAGAGAATAAGATACCCCTTTCCCTTATTGCCTCTTTACTACTAGTAAAGACAATAGATTCGAGACGTTTCTATCAGTAGATTCTATCTCTGATTTTTGTTTTGTTTGGAATCTGAATGATGATAATCCACATTACTTAATTTCCAAAATAGCTTAAAATAAGAGTCATTATAACCAAATTGGTAATCTTTACAAAAATAGGCCCTCCTTTTATTGTCAAGGCTACCTGGTGGGAATTGACTAGAGTCTAACTAAATTAGACCACACGAATATGTGCCTGAGGAAATAGAAATGACGTACTTTTTCACAATTATTAAAATATGCAAGAATTCCTTTGCAGTTCAGACCAAGTCACTTAGATTGGCGATCCTACAAAGCTAAAATCCCCTTCCAGCAGAGGCAATTGCTTTTCTTTTTTTTTATTGAGTGGGGGGTTGAAGCTTATATTGACGTCATCAACATAAGCGAAAGAAAGTTACTTGAGCCTCCTTTGTGTGGAATATGTTTATTATGAGCTTCTAGACCCCCCTAAAGAGGAGTTCTAAATGGGGAAAAGTGTATGCACATCAACATCATTAAAAAAATATGACAACCTACGATCCTTTTTCCCCTTTTAAAAAAAAACGACCCCTATTTTTTTTTTTTTTTTTTTACTTGTATGCTGTTTTTATTTTCGTTCTTTTTCTTCCGCTAAACTTATTTAAAACGCGTATATAAAGCAACCCCAAATTACAAACAAAAATAAAAAAAAATAAAAAATTGCCAAAAAAAAATAAAAATTAGGGACAACCACCACTAAAATAAAATATGACTACAATGATGCTTCCACACGAAGACGTTGGCATGGACGAACAACAACAACCTTCTATTCGACTTCAGCCACCTACGGATGACAATACAGAGGAACGTCTCAACCAAATCGATGAATTAAAGTATTTCCTAGGCACAGCCACCAACGACTGGGAATCAGACCGACAAGTGCACTCATTTCCTTTACCTACAGGCGAAAGCCTTTCATGCGTCTTTTGGAACGACTTATTTCATGTGACAGGCACAGATATTGTGCGCACTTTACTCTATCGATTTCATCTGTTTGGTAGACCAGTCACAAACCTCAAAAAGTTTGAAGAAGGCATCTTTTCCGATTTACGTAATTTAAAGCCTGGTATGGATGCATCCTTGGAAGAACCCAAATCAGAATTCCTTGAAATGCTCTATAAAAACAATTGCATAAGAACCCAAAAGAAGCAGAAAGTCTTCTTTTGGTTCTCGGTGCCTCATGATCGATTATTCTTGGACGCCTTAGAAAGAGACCTCAAAAGAGAAAAGATGAATCTTGAACCAACATCCGTCGCCATTGCTGAACCAGCCACTTCTTTATCCTTGGATACAACACAGGAATTGTTCGATCAGCTAAGAAAATCCATGTCCTTATCAGCAGTCGCTGCTGCCCACGCCATGGATGAACTTCCTTTGGCTACTACCGCAGGTAATTAATCTTTTTTTGTGTGTATCATTATAATAAACAAAAATAATAAGAGATGGTAATACCTCTTGTTTTTTAAACTACCCCCCATTTTTTGTCTTTTCAATTACTATTTTTTTTTGGCTATTTTATTGACTTTACCCACCCCTCATCTCCATAATCATTATTAGACGAGATACAGGATGATTGGCCCACTCCAAAGTTAGGTCATAGAACTACCCGCTCTCTCTCCTCCATCATCATCCCTCCAACAACGCCTTCTGAACAAACAAGCTTCTCTGCTGGCACCTCTCCCAAATCTTCCCATCTTGACCTCTACCCTTCAAAATCCTTTGATGAAAAGCAAAAAATATTTGGTGCATTTTCTCTCTTTGAAGGTTCTCCTAGTTACAAACAACGTCAGCGGAGAAGAACCTTATCTTTTAATTTCATGGATGAAGATCATGGAGGAAGTAGACTCGAATTAGCAGCCATGAATGCAGGTTTAGCCATAATCAACCCGCATAATCTATTTCAAAATAATCAAAGCCAAAATAATCATCATCACCATCATCACCATCAACACCACCATGAACAACCCTCCTCCGAAAAGGTCTATACGTGTCCTTTACCTCAATGTGCTCGATTATTCAAAAGACTCGAACACCTCAAAAGACACTTTCGAACTCATACAATGGAAAGACCTTATTCATGCAATATGTGTGGTAAACATTTCTCTCGAACGGATAACCTTGCTCAGCATAAAAAGACCCATAATCGCACAAGATCCTCTTCCGTCATTAGCCGATGCAATAGCAGCAGTAGCAGTAGTAAATTAGCTACGGCTTCTCCTGACGTTGATCATGCTACTACCATGAGAAGAAAACGTGCCTCCTCACTTCGTAACAATTGCAGTGAAATCATTGATAAACTGGCAGTCCTATCCAGCCATGATGCTCCTGTCATTCCAGCTGTAAACATGGATTATTTCTCTTACAGAGGGGATGATTTGCGTGGAAGTACAACCAGTCCTTCTGGCTCTGCACCCTTAAGCGACGAAGAAGTCATGTACAATCACAACTATGAAATACCTTACCAAGTAACAGACGAGGATATCTACATGACGGATGAAAATGAAATGAATCATGCCGAGTCTACAGTCATGTATGACGAAGAAGATGAACATAGACAACCTACTCATGATCAATCTCTCATGTGGCACCCAACAAACTCTTCGCCCTTGTTATTTCATACACCTCCACAGCAACAACAACAGCAACAACAACAACAAGAATATTATCATCGTTTATCTTGGTATTCCTCCATCGACGATAAAAGTGTATCGCCCAATTCTTCACCTTCTTCCATGTATGATAACTCTCCCGTGTATTCGTGGCAAACCTAAATAACTCCCTTTCTCCCGATTGTGCCTCTCCTTTTTTCCACTCTCTATGATTTCTATTATGATGACCTATCCCATTTTTATGTATTTAACCTTTGCCGATCTATTATTGTAAATTACAAGATTATATATATATATATACTTTATATATACGTGTATATGTTCACAAACAACCCCCTATGTATGTATCTTTTTTTGCGTCAAACTATGCCCCGTCTTTTTCTTTTTTAAATAAATATTTTTTACCCGATGATAATTAAACCTGATTGATATACTATTTATTTAATGAAAAACAAATAAAAAAAGGAGCATGAGAGAAAGATGTAAATATTAATTATTTTGGTTTTTTATGGGTAAAAGGAATCTATAAAAACTTAAGAAGAGGCCTCGGGCTTCTTGGCGACAAAGAAAAACATGGGAGTGAACAAGTTCTTTTGGGCACCAGCAACTAAAGCATCAGCAGCGGTTTCCAAAAACTTTTGGGTCTCGACAGTACCCTTGGGAGCCAAACCAAGCTTTTCCAACACACGCACAAAGTTGGTGGTGGTGAAACGACCAGCCTTGGTCATGGCAAGTGTAGTAAGCATATCCTTGACAGTTTGACACTTTCTAAGATCACCTTCAAGAGGATAATACCAGTTGATGCTATCACCGACATTAGCCATATCTTGGTTCATCAACACATCAAAACCAACGTTCTTAAGGGCTTGCACACACTCTTGGGTCTTGCGCATCTTGGGAATACCGTTACCGATCTCGATACCATGAGCAATCTCTCTGTGTTCAGCGTTGTTCTCATCGAAATCATCAGTCATACACCATTCATAACAACCGAAGCTTCCTCCGGGCTTTAACACACGGTAGATCTCACCATAAACACCTTCAAAGACAGGTGCGTGACAAGTAGCCTCAATAGCATAGACAGCATCAAAGGTGTTGGCTTCGAAAGGCATCTCCATAAAGTTACCCTAATCATACATGTATTAGCCCTTCCATCCCATCCTTATCACATCTCTCTCTCTCTCTTATTTTACCTTGACGAATTCGGTTTGGTCTTGCAATAATTCCTTGGCGGCATAATGAGTAGCTCTTTGAACTTGGTAGGCATTGTTGTTTAAACCAGTAACATGGGCACCGGTGAAATGAGCAATTTCACGAGCAGGACCACCGACACCACAACCAACGTCAAGAACACGCATATCCTTCTTGATACCAATGTTGGCAGCTAAATAATGCTCATGGCGAGCAATAGCGCGGTTGAACTCTTCACCAACATAGTAACGACAGAAATGGAAACTGGTACCCCAACCTATTAAAGCAATGTCAATATTCCACACACATTCTTCTTATCCCAAGACTCTTTCACTTACCATATTCATAGAAATCGGTAGCCAAGTTGTAGTAAGAGTTGACAAGAGAGGTGTAACCATCTAATCTCTTATCCTCATCTTCCTTGGTCTCGTTCTCGGGCTTCTTCCACATCTTGAGGTAGGTGTCAGTAGCAACGTTATGAACATCGGCATTCTTGGAACTCAAGTTGGCAAGGAGACCACTCTTGATCTTGTTTCCGTGAAGGGCACGAGCAAAGGCAATATCCTCAGAGTTTTGAGCTGAAACAGTTCCTGCAGTCATGTTAAGATGAAAAGTATAATCCTTGTTGAAAAGAGATGATGATGTTTTTTTTTTTTCGGGCTTCTCGTTTATTATTTTATTTGGCTTTGAATTGAGCTGCAATCCCGTCCGACATCTGCTACAATGTCCGGCTACCTTTTTTATTCTCTCATTGGTCTACCCTCCCCACCCTCTTTCTCGCCCGCCTTTTTATCGCTATCACGGCCCCCGTTCTTTCCATCCTTTTGCTTGTGTTTTTTTTTTTTTAATCTTTTATTCCCTTCTTTCTTTTTGCTTAATCCACAGCAAAAAAAAACTGTTGATTAGGGTCATAGCGTACGAGGTGTAACCGTACATTTGTTATTGGCCAGATATTCAAGGACAGTTGACAGTCCTTCCCATCCAGATAAATAAACAAAATATAGCACATGCCAAAAAAAAACCTTCTTTTCCTAATGAATTTTAAAGCATCCATTGTCTTCAACTCAACGCGTATTTTACATTAGATCCAGCTGTCAACATGTATATTTCGGTTGATGCTTTTTTTTTAAAAACAAAAAAAAACCTTAAGCTCATACTTTTATTTTTGTGCGCGATACAATCACACCAGTTGTGTGCACCTTCTTAAATTATCATCTAGGTAAACAGGACCGCCTACCAATACAACGGCTCGCAATACAATTTATCTGTTGTTCCAGGTATTCCCATTCTAATGACTTAATTGCGTGTTACACAGTGTGACCGCTCTTCTTCTGATTGTAGCACACATCATAAGGCTATATGCACTAAAAAAAATTCAGGTTACTCGATTTCAGGCACATACAAACAAAGAATCCTAAATATCGATTCGTAGTTATAATAAGTGAGATACACAACGGAAATTTTTTATTTTACTGAAACTTGTTCTATCTTTATCCGAAATCACTATATATTCTGATGTCAACACAGACTGTGTTTAGTAGAGATAGATTAAGATGATTGCATCCAAGTTGGAATGAAGGAGTTGACAATATACAAGGGCGCTTTAAGATTATTATTTATTTTTACTGTAATGTGGAGAGGAGCTAATTTGTTCGGGACCCTTCTAAATTCGTGATTTTTTTTATTTCTTTGGTCCTTCTTCACACTGCGATGCGTCACTTTTAAAATGCACCCAACTGCGCAATTGTTTGGGGGGATATACAAGTGTGCTAAGAATTTTTAAAAGATCTTTACGTTTACTACTAAAACAAAATAGCCATATCATAATGACGACAGTTAGTATTGAAATCATCATCCAGCATATTCGATCGTTGTAGCGCGACGTTTTTTTTTTTTTTTGTACCGATAGAACCTTTTTTATTGTTGTAGTGAAATTTTATTTTGGCTATAACAGATCATTTCTAAACATAGTGACATGATGCCTTACTTTATGTAAACCCTGTAATAGACTTATGTTGTTAAAAACTATAAATCAGACCTGCATTTGTCTGAATGCTATTATATTCAGATTATTTCATTCATTATCCCAACCGCATGGGTCCAGATATATAATAAAAAAACTCGGTTGATATCGAGTCTTTTTCTTTTGGTTATCGATTGATGTATGAGCATTGACAGAATGTTCTCCTTTAGAAAAAAAAATGCGCCTGGCAAAAATGATCTGTATTGCATGTGATTTTATCGGAGATTAAACTGTTTGGTACTACATCCTACCATTGTGTGGCGTTGTCAGCTTTTTTCTGCTGGTTTTTTTTTCTTTTAGTCTTCATGTACCTATGGTCGGTCATGCGCTGATTACTTTGATTGTCAAATGGAGAAAAAGGGGGTGGAACCTACATAAAGTATAGAAGATGGAGTTATTATAGCACTCAGATTCTTCTTCTTTTATCAGCCCTTGAAATTTAGATGATTTATTATTCACAGTTGAAAATACTTCTGTAAATTTCTATTTGCATAAACTTATAGTTGACCAATTTGTGCTATTCTGTAACCCCAATCAGGCTAAAATTTAGAAAATAAAAAATCTAAGGTTGTTTTGCACATGCGATTGTAGCTTTAAAGGATACTTTTTTTATGGCCATAAAAATATCCATCATGCCAAAAGATCAACATGTCATACTCTACTTAAAATAATAAAAAGTCAAAAAGAGTTTGAAAGATAAGTCTTTGTTACAGACAATAAGAATCTTATAGAAGAACTATTATCCGAGCATAATAAGCTATTATCTATACAGAAATAAAGAATTAAAAAAGACTGTAAATAGCAGTGAAAGTCATAGGATGCAGGGATATCGGTTAATATTTTTGCATTTAAGTTTACCAAAAGATTGTCTTTCAGCAGTGAGACTTCATCACATAAGGCACATTTACATCGTACTTGTCAAAGCCGCCATTTGGAAACATTGTGCAACACTTAGAAAAAGCTGTTTGGAGTGATCAAGCTCAATATTGCTGGAGTATGGCAAACACGGAAATGATTAGAATTTTTACTTTGGCTAATGGCAAATGAGTTAATAAAATCTCAATTGTTTTATATTTTTCAGGTGATACATACACCTGTTACAGCTTTTTGCATTAAACGAATTGGTGAAACCTTGGATTTTAAAACGACGCTTTTCAAGGGCAATTGTGTCAGGAACAAATAGCTTGTGATTGACCATAAGTGAACCAAACAGTGTAACTATGATATAACGGGGAAAGTTATATTATAGCAACGTCTTCATAACTTGTTTATTTAATTTGAAAGACATTTTTTGCTTTTGAGTGCTTTCGTACTCTAAATTATTGTGAGCAGAAGCTCAGAAAAATAAAGTTCTTGGCGATATAAATGCGATTTCATAAGATAATACCTTACAATGTACTTACTACGACTAGGACGGCGTTAGTTCCAAAGGTATTTATTTTTAACATTTTACACTGTAAAAAATAGTAGTTTAAGTGAATTAGAGGACGTCGTTGTAAAAGAAAAATAAATTACTAGAATTTTGACATAGAATTTAACCGGTTATATGTAGAGAATTGTAGCTTCATGTTTATCTATCTATTACTAGAAAAAAAGGAAATAAATCTCGAGTCGTCTCAGAGCATAAGACTATTCGCCCTATATTAGGGGTTTTTTTTTTAAATATTAGAGCAGATTTTTTTCAGGAACTCAAAATTAATTTATAGCATGTATAAGGGTATACTTCATTCAAGGATGCATTTTTCTAGGATAGTTATCATCCATCCATTCATTAGTTAGCTTCGCTAAGTTCGAATTTTATCTCCCAACAGTTGTCACATATTTTTTAAATATTCAAAACGCGCTTTTTGATTATCTTAAGCGAGCTTAATAAGATGGGTACTATGCCGTTAACATGTTCGTAGTAATATTTATATAAAAAGACTGCAATTGACATAAGGAGCTCCTCTGATGTAGCTTGTAGTTACTTTAGTATAATTAAACAAAGGATCTGTTTTTATAATAATTCCAGGTCAGTACATTTTGTCTTGGCATCAGCATATAATTATTAGTCAAAAATATTTGTTCTAGATAAGGTATTTGAGTCATACGCTATTTTCAGAAAATATTGGATCAAAATGAAAAAAAAGATTGATCCACAGACCGTAAAAAAACTTGAGCTTACCACTTAAATGAATCTATGTTTGACCTGCGATAACAGGCCTGGAAAATTTTAGTCACGACATTGACGAACATTTCTAATGTTTGCTTAGTCATTTTGGGTCCTTGCTCTTCTTCGTTGGTCCTGCGGAACCTCTCCACATCGAAATCTTGGGGGAATGCCGTTCCCAGCACGAAGTGAACGAACAATATCAACCATGTTCAAGCAGGCAGCCATATCACGATTCAATAGACGAGGAACAATCCTATTTGTGTTATTAGTCATGGTTCTACAATTTTGGTTTGTATATCTGTCACAAGAACAAAAAAACTTATTAGCTAAAAAAATTATTAACAAGTGAAATCAACATTTACCTTTAGAGACCATGTCTAATTAAACGAGGGTTTGCTCTTCGTCTATGAGGGCACGGGTTATCGACCATCCGAAACGTTTCAAGACTTCTACGATTACAGGCTGGGCAGCACTGACTTGTTCTAATTTAATCAATCAAGTACACCCTTTTACCAACTTTTTGAAGTAACCGACGGAATTCTTGTATTAGGAGCAGCCAGTTACCCATGACATAAACAGCTTCGACACCAAACTGTTCATCTAGATGAGCTCATATTACTTCCAGATGTAAATGGCGTTACCAGACAAGGATCTATCAGAATCCTTGCTGGTAAAAAAGGGCAGTTATTTGAAGTAAGAAGTTTGCTATAATAACATGTTAGATAAATATCACTCAATTTTGGATTGGTTATTGCAATATTTACTTTTTACGTATAAAGTGTTATGAGTTTAAGAATAAAAATAGTTATACGTCAAATAATAATGAAAGATAAAAATAAAAATTGAGTAAGGATTGAGATAATTTTTTTATCGACTATTCATAAGATTTTATTGTTGTTTTTATTGAAAAACAAAAAATAATGAAATTCGTTAGAAGCGATAATAAATGTAGCTCTCATTTTATATCTATCTCTTTCGAAAAGAAGGCACATACCTCATATTCATTATAGAAAAAATAGGATTGCCCAAAAATTATACGATCAAAGCAAACGGAAAGTAATTGTGTCATTTAAAGTAAAATAAGAACTGCTTGGGATTATAAGGTAGTTAATTCCATACCCCTAATACATACAATGGAATAGGTTACCTTTTAAGGGTGCCAGGTAAGGAAGGAAGGAAGTCTGGTGCATCCATATCCATTCTTTTTCATATACTTATCTACTCATATATCTGTTGTCAATAAGGGTGTTGCTCATGACGAGGTAGAGGTATTTAATTTACTCATGGTAACGAAATACATCTAGAGTGCTGACAAGAGAAAATAACCCCCCGCCCTGTGAGTGAATAACAACAATGTCAATTTTTGTTCTAAGCGTGCACGAATAATATATGAAAATAGTGTATAACTATAAAATTTAAAGTATAAAGAACATCTGGGTATACGCAAAGGAGAAAGCTCTAAATATATATGGCAATTAACACTATCAACGTTTGCATACAGCATGTCCATAACCAAGTAAATCAGAGTTACATAACTTCTGGTCAGACTGAATTAATTATAAAAAATATACTGAATACTTATTGAATCGTTGAAATCAGTGGCTACGTGAAAAGAGGTAGCTGTAATAGATAAGAAGTTTTGACTCTTGTAATTTACGTAATTGTGCCAAAAGATGCATCTATCACGGGTGCTGATGGTCTTCTATGTGTAACAGCCAAGATAAATTGGAAGAACATCATTATAACTGACAATGGACTTTGTACATACAATATTTGGTTTTGTGAGCATGGTTATTTAACTATACAAAACATCTAAAAGAGCTCCTAGGAACATTTCGCTATTAGGAAAAAAAAAGAATAAAAAAAGAATAAAAAAAGTAAAAAACCAAATCAGTGAGAGATCTCGTCCTTGACAAATGCCCTTGCCATATAACACTTATTAGTAGCTTGGTGGCACGTATCATTTTTTTAATCTATTCAGGTATGAACGGTACTTAAAAAGCAATCGTTGGATCTGAAAATGGGGTCTTGGCTGTCTCCATTAGCTCTTTGTTAGTTCTGATTGTCTTACGCTGATGAATACAATTTCAATTTGGTATTTTCAGCAAGTCTTTGTCTAGTGCTAAATTCTTCCGCGTAAAATAATCGAATAAAATCTTTTTTTAGAACGAATTTTACTACTTTGCCAAGCAAATGCAGGTTAAATTAAGAATAGTCCGTTGTATACTGTCATACGACGCCTTCTGGCGCCTATAAACACGTATTATGTATGTCCTTGTTTGAATGTCACGATATAAAAAAAAGACTGTGGGTCACAAGAACCTTCTGTGCATTGTCAAAGCTAAACTAACCTAAACTCTCGATTGACCGGGTAATACTTTTTTATTCAACCTCGGGTAAGATAATTTTTTGACATACCGAAAGTAAAGCCAATAAAATAGAATGCTTTTAACCTATTACCCACTGATATAAAAGAATAACATTATCCCTTCGTCTAGATAAGACATCCCAGACCAACGTTATCAACCTTTTTTTTTCTTTCTTTTTTCTTCTTTTTTTTTTTAATTCTTCCAAGCTACTTGTTATTACATTAGGACTTAAAACCCGGATTTACTGACACACACGTATAGTAGGAGTGTAAAAATCTTTGTAGAATTCACCACCTCTGTCAAGAACAGCAAGTTGTACTCTTTAAATTTAAAGGGTAACATCTAGATTATGAGATATAAAATTACAATTGTTACACCAACTTTTGAGTGAGGAAACTATACAACTTTAGTGGTTTTATCTACCGAGCAAGCATTCTAAAACCCCTTTTCCTTAACCCTTTCTTTAGCTGTTGTTTATGAAGTGTCATATAATACGAAAGTAATGAAAGGAATAAAACTAACAGCAAGAGGCATCTATATAATGTTTCGTTTAAAAGTCAGCTGTAAATCCAATTAAGTCCCTGCATATGTATCTCCAATTTTACATACGCGTAAAAGGTTAAGTAAGACCCTAAACTAATAAATAAAAGGTTTATGAGTTATTTTAGGCTGTTATAGAGCCATTGTGTTAAGATTTAAAGAGCTGTACTATTTTACGGCCCAAAACCTTTTTCCAAAAAATGGGTCTATTTTCCTAAATCAGCCCTTTCCCGTTAGATTGCCCGGAATTTAATTTCGTCATATTAATCTTAAAAAAAGAATCAGATTACCAAGATGGGATAACCCAAAAGTGTCACGTATTTGCATAATAAATTGGTTTTAAAGATATTTAAAGTATATTGTTCAGGTGCTAACACTTGAAAAATCTTACGATAATATACAAAAAGTGATAATCACCTAGAATACACTAAGATCTATTGTCGTGCAAAGGATCAGCTCCGATTTCAGAGGCAATGGGCGAAGGTACAAGATTTACATGTGCGATCAATGAAAAAAAAAATGAGATAAGAAAATGGGAACATAAAAAAACCGGTGTACCCATTGTTCTTCCAGCTTCTTTGATAGTGCTATCACCTAAATATTATTGCTGCTTTCTTATATAAATGTAATCGCTTCATAACATCCAGACATATATATTATTATCTACGGCTGTCTTAATGGGCTGGATGCAAAACAAATGCATAGCACAAATTTATTATTTGACATGATAAGGATTTGAATGGCCTGCAAGTGATCGCCCGCGGCAATATTCGTAATACTTTTTCAAGTCCAGTTTTTTTTTTTTTTTTTTTTTTTTTTTCTGGCACGGTGGCTTTCGTTCTTAAAATAACGAATGTGTCACTGGGGGGTCACGTATAGTCCGGGTAACAAAGACTTAAGATTTATAAAAAAAACAAAAAAAGCTTTAAATAAACCGGCTCATTGACTTGGACACTATATGAATAGTTATCTAAAACTGATTTAGGTAGTAAAATTTAAATAAATATCCATTGTGATTGTTAAACGGAAGCTAATTGCAAACACGATAATAAAAAAAAAAGAAAAAAAAAATTGAGAAGGCTCCCCAACTTATGTGCTACACAGTTTTTATTCCAATTAACCTGATTTGAACAATATGCACTTAAACGGATCTAAGATATAGATCTTCCACTGTATGTTACTTATCAGATTTTTGCTGGGGTCATATGCTCACAAACCTATTTCCCCCATTGCATGTTCCTTTTTTTAAAATTGATTTTTTTTTTTTATATTTTAAAATACTAAAAGAAACAACCTTTAATGCATGTGCTTACCGGGATTCATCAAATCTGGAGTAAAACATTTATTTTTGTACAACAACTAAAAGTCCAGCAAAAAATCAGATAATACTAAATAAAATCAGATAACTTTTAATTGGATGTAAGTCAAGGTGGAGTTTTTAAGTTTCTTTTTGTTTATATACAATCAACAAAATTTTCAAGTTATCCTTTTTCTCTCTTTCTGATCATCCTATCTCAAATCGTTGAAAATGGCGTACTCTATTAGAACTACATCGAACTTCTTTCAATGTGGTCTGGCATACGCCTTTTTTTGGTGGGCCTTGTTTGCTCTCTATTGTGTTGGCTATCAAATTAACAAGCTTCGTGTGTACATGACAAGACAACAAAGAATTGATGGTAAAGATAAGACTTTACGACCTGTAATGCACTCCAAGTTCCTTTCTTCATTCAACATGGTTATTCGTATTCCTTTTGTCACTGAAATGATTGCTGTCAAACATATCCTTGGTATGACTTTCTTTACTTTCATCAACATTATCTTTATGTTCTATGCTCCCTTCGCAATCAATCCCGAAGTAGGCTACAAAGTTCCCGCTATTGGACAATTCGATCGTCGTGCCGCTTTTGTTGCTATGGTCAATTGGGGTTTTGTATTCTTCCTTGCCCAAAGAAACTCTCTTTTGCCTAAAATGTCCGGTTTAACTGTCGAAGAACTCCTCCCTTACCATCGCTGGATTGCCCGTGTTGGCTTGGCCGAGTTCATGCCCCACTTTGTGTGGCGTATGTAAGTAGCTGTTTAAAATTAAAGAATAACATAATCTGATCACATTTTCATTTTAGTATCAAGGGCTATCAAAGAAACAACAGTTCTTTTGAATCTCTCTTCAGAAATACTGAGCAAACTACTGGTACTATTTCTATGTTCGGTTTCCTCATAATGTTTGTCACATCGTTTGAGTATGTCCGTCGTAACCACTTTGAAGTTTTCTACTACAGTCATATTTTTGGTGTACTTGTTGCCATCATTTTTGCTTGCTGGCACGAGACCACTTGTTTTGCCTTCTTCATTCCTGCGGTTATCTTATGGTTCGCCGATCGTGTTATCCGTTCTTACCAATCCTGGTATATTAAGTCAAGCTATGTCAAGGTAGAACAAGTATTACCCTACTCTTCTGTTCAAGAAGGTATTGTCAGAATCTTGTTCGAAAATAGCGGTCTTAATAGATTCAAGCCTGGTCAATATATGTTTGTGTCAATCGTTAAAGACGGGGGTCGTAAAATTTGGGAATACGCTAACTGGCATCCTCTTACTGTCTCTGAAACATTCCGCGTCAGTGGCAACCAATCAGTAACCGACTCCGCCATTGAAGAACGTGTTGTGGGTAACACTGACCATCATATTGCTAAAGAAAAGAAGGCCTCCCCCAACGGAAGTGTTTCGGATGTCGATTCTGTTTCTGATGTCTCTGAACTTCGTCGCCGTGCCAATAACTTCTCTAAAGATGATTCTACAACTATTGCTTCCGTTCACATCAAGGCATTGGGTGGTAAAACTCGCGATTTACTCAAGGCTGCAGAAGCTAATGAAAAACTTACTGTCAGATTTGATGGTCCATATGGCCCTCATCTTGAATATCAAGATTATGAAGTCATGGCTTTGTATGGTGCCGGTATTGGTGTCACTCCCGCTTTAGCTATCGTCAAGGATTGTCTGGAACGTAGAGCAGATGGTGTCAAGACTGTAGCAGTTGAACATATCTATCTTACTTGGGCCATCCGTGCATCAGGTACTTATAAACATACATTTAATTATATAAACATACGTCTTACCATTTTTTTATTTTAAAGATGAAATTAATCCTTTCATGGACATGTTTTCTTACTGGTCCGAAAAAGCAAAGAATGCTATTCAACCTATCAAGCTTCATGTCACTGTCTTTGTTACACGTATGAACGAAGGCCCTGATTACTTTGAAGGTATGGAAGGTTTTGAAGTCGTTTACGGCACCAGACCTGACATCGCTGCTGACATGGATAAGATCAAGACCACCAACTCTCGTCAAACCGTCTGGGCTCATGCATGTGGTTCCTTCTTATTCACAAGAACCGTCATTAACGAGGCTATTCGCCATGACTTTGACGTACATAACGAAACTTTCGAGTTCTAAACCCCTTATATATACTTAAACTTAATCATTCCCCACTCTCCCCTAATACTACATACTTACATTGGCATATAGAAACAAACTGTAATTAATTATATTGAACATACCATCAACACTTATAATATCATTAAAACGTATTCACATACAACTATCATAATATAATCCGAAAGCTATTTTTATTTGATCTGTACGTAAAGCATCTCTAATTAATATTACGGGGGAGAACTAAACAATTAGTTAGTAAATAACAAGGTTTTATCATAGCACAGATAGAGCTTTTCTTTTATTTAGAATTGACACAGAACCCACTCATGGGTGTATTTTTATATGGTGGTTCACTATATTTGAGAACACACATAAAAATATTGAACACTAACTTTTGCGATTTATCTAACATTACGTGTTCAACTTTAACGAAACAGAAGACAAGATCTGCAAATGAAACACTGTCGTAAATTCTATTTAAGCGTACAGTAATTTTTTAAATTGCCCATTGTTTTGATTTGGCAATAATAAATAGCAGAAAAAAAAGGGATAACCAAAACTTATCACAAAAACGAAAACCTATCTAACAGAACAATTTTGAAAACAAAAGACATTTACTGATAGTGCTAATTGTGTAGAAGGAATGAAAAGTTTAAAGCCAAGTTGTCTGTCGTATTATAAGACTACAAACTGAACGATAAATTCTGATTAGTATATTGTTATCATAAAAAAAAAAAAAACTTAAGAAACGTAGTGTTTCCGAAGGACAAGCTTATTATGGATTCTTGCTGTTCTATATTCGGTCTATGAACCAAATTTGTGTCGTGTTAATCTTGAATATAACGCAGGGCTAAGATTCCCTGATTTTTGAGCTATTCTGTAATCTTCTACATTTTTCTTAAAGGGACAACAAGTTTACCATGGTTCTATTTAACTATGATTTGTAAGATGCATCTTTTTGAGGTTTCAATGAGGCATGTCATTTCTTTCTCCTAAAAAGATCGCAGCTTATCGTTTTAGTGTACAATCTAATCTTGTTCTCCTTAAGAATATATGTCCGATCGTTGTGAACTCTCGGAATATAAGACTTTCTAAGGAGCTAAGGCTGTAAACATGGACTATCCAAATTAGAGTGATGTAAATAATTAAACCAAAAAAGAAGCCGAAATACGACATTTTCGTCCCCTACACTCTTTCGCTAAAAAAATACTACGTATATCTGTCCGTAGCAAGTAAAATGATTTTTTTTAGATAGAAGAGTTATTGCAATGCATATGACGATGTCAAAATATCTTCATAGTCAAAGAAAGTGGAAATTATACATATTGTGCAATCAAAACTTTACAAAGACAATTGCCCAATCGTCGGCTAGCATATGTAGCGACCATATATTACCATTGTTGTTTTATCTCCGTCATTACAAACAAACCCAATTGCTACTCAATTTTTACAAACAAACAAAAGGAGCTCCTTAGTGTTTAGCTTCCATGTATATGTATTGCAATTAACTAAACATAGCATGTTCATTTGAACTACCGCATTTTATAAGTGCTGCATTAGAACGAGTTTAATATTTGTTATTTATGCAATCCTTGTTTAAAATAATATGAGGGGTCATGGTAGTTCAAAGAAGGAACATAACACCAAAATACACACAAAGAGAGGTACATTAATGTGCTTTTTTTAAGCCGTATTATTAATTTTTTGGTGTTCCACATTCTCATATCGTGTTACAATGATGGGGGGGTGTTTTTTGTAAGCAGTTCCACATTCCCTCTGCTTTATCAATTACCTGCTTTGGTATTCCTAATAATGAAAAAAAAAAAAAAAAAAGACGTGAGTCTATGTATTTCTCTATGTATATAGAATTTACCAGCTAAATGTGCCACCTTTAATCCATGAGATTGTCGGCAAATACCCGGTTCAACCTTATGTATAAAACGAAACCCGCCTGATGGGGTTTCTTCTATTCCAGTTCGGTAAAACTTGATATTGTCGTAACTGGTCATTGTATCAGCCAATTCGTGGTAATGAGTTGCGTATATTGTACGACACTTAATTTGACTGTGTAAAAAATCTAATATACCAAAGGCTAACGAAAATCCATCTATAGTTGAAGTACCCCTGCCAACTTCATCCATGATGACAGTTGATCTTGCAGTAGCCTGTCTGAGAATAGTAGATACTTCGGACATCTCAACCATAAAAGTGGACTGATTCTGAGCTAAATTATCTGCTGCGCCAACGCGACTAAATATTCTATCTGTGATACCAATCCAAGCTCGATCGGCAGGTACAAAGCAGCCCATATGTGCCATTAAAACAATAATCACATGTTGCCTTAAAAATGTGCTTTTCCCTCCCATGTTAGGGCCAGTTAAAAGCCAAATTCGCTGATCCGAACCGAGATCACAGTCATTGGGTACAAATGTTTGACCTTTTCGAGACAAATTAGCTTCGACGACAGGGTGTCGACCACCTACAATCATTGTTCTATTTGCACGTGTTATACGGGGACGTACATAATCATTTTGACGAGCAAGTTGCGAAAAAGACGTAAGCACGTCCAATTGAGCCAATTTTCTGCAACTTTGTAAAATTGTCGCGCTTTGATCCAAAAGTTTGTCTACGACCTCATCAAATACCTCACTTTCGATTTCTATTATCTGAGATTGTACAGTGGTAAGACGCACTGAAATATCTGTCCACTCTTCTACCTGATATCTCTTCCTGCTTTTTGTTTGATTAATAAGTAACGCTTGAGGATACATGTCTAATAGGTTTGATGCCTTTCTTGTGCTGACTTCAATAATGTGTTTAAAAGGGCCATCTGTCATTAAGGAGAGTGAGTTACCGCATAAGGCGCGAAGTTCGTTCTGAAGATTTAATCGTTGAGTCTCCAATTGATCCAGTTGATTATGGAGCTGTGAGAGAGCAGGGTGAAATTTATGATTTACATAACCGTAGTCCCTTACGTCCTTGGCCTGGATTTTTTGATGATCAAAAGCATCACGAATATAATCTGCTAATTTTTTATGGGGATCCATAGTCATTAAGAGGGTTTGAGTTGCTTCTGATTCGGCATCTTGTAATTGATCATGGATGTTTCTCATTACATCTAAGGTATACCAAACTTCCATTAAATCGGAATGCTGGCCCCTTTTTAAAGCTAGTCTCTGTATTGCTCTTTGTGCATCAGTGCTTTGACGAAGAAGATTTCGTACACCATCCAAAGTAAAGGTGTTTTCTTTAAAATATTCCACAATATCTAACCTATTTCTAATTTCATCGATAGAAGTCAAAGGAGAAGATAGCCAGCGGGTAAGCAACCTTGAACCGGCGCTTGTTGATGTACAGTCTAATACTCCTATTAGGCTATCAGTTCTTCTGCCTTGTAAGCTCCTGACAATTTCAAGTGACGCCATGGCCGCACTGTCAATACAAACCGAATCATGCATACTGAACCGGGTTGGCTTTTGCCATTTCGGTTTCCTATTGATATGAGTTTCATTGACATACATCATCAAGGCCATACTTGCAGCTAATTCCACTTGACTGAATTCGAGTTTTGCGTTCTTAAACATATTTTGTAGGGTTTTAATCGCACTACCAGCATTATACTGTATATCGGCTTCATAGCTAATAGCTATGCTTGAATCACCCATAATTAGTTTGGTCACAGGATCATATACATCTTGGTCAAATAATCCTTGCTGCAGCAGAGCATCAGAAGGTTTCATTGATTCAGGTAAAATGACTTCCCTTGGCCTGATTCTTGCAATATCGTCTTTTAATGCATTTAATGTAGTCTGCTGCATTACAAATTCCCCTACAGATACATCGACCCAAGCTAGGCCAATTGTAGAATCCTTATTAGGAAATACGGAAAGTAAATAGTTATATTGATTGGATTCCAAAAATCGCTCTTCTATCACAGTACCAGGTGTAATTATTCTTGTAATCTTCCGTTGTATCCCAATTATTGATTTATCATCTCTTGATACAGAACCGAACTGTTCACAAAGAGCTACCTTGCATTGAAGTCTATTGACAAGTATATCAAGATATCTATCTAGCGCCCTTAAAGGAAATCCAGCAAAGTCAACCACGTTACCAGCATTAATAGTTTTCTTGGTCAGCTTCAAATCTAATTGGGGTGCATATCTGCTTGCGTGCGATTCATAAAGCTAAAACAGCGGTTATATGTCAGGGAATATCACATGTGCATGGTTTATTGTTTTACCTCATAGAAATCGCCCACCTGAACCAGAAGCACACAAAGAGGGTACTTTTTAGTATATTCCCGTACTGTATCAAGAACAACCGAACCAGTCGAGATTTCTTTGGCTTCCAGCGGTTTTATAGGCGTATTAGTTTCTGTTTCTAAAACAAGTTCACTCAAATTGATCTTAGAAATGGTTTTGCATGTCGGTCTACTCGCAATGAAAGATCTCGGTTTAGCAAAGCATTTAGAAACAGCAATAGTTCTTTTCCCCAATGTTCTCAACATGTCAAAAGTCAAGGGGTAAAGAGAAAGAAGCGAGAAGAAAAAAAAGGTCTTATGTGACTGCCCAGCTTAGTTACTGCTACCAGACTTATTTGCATATTGTAAGCTACCATAGGCACCAAACAAACACAACTCAAGGCGAAAGCATCCTAAATGCATAATAAGAAGGAGAGTGCAATCAAGACCAAGTATTGTACACGGTGAAAAAATTAATTAGACTAATTTTTTTAAGGAAGAACATAGGCGATCCTTACTAGAATATTCTTTAATTCTGATATGGCTATAACAATATTAATTACTTTCATATACAAATTAGACCAAAAACAAATATATACACACACAAAAGCTGACCAGGTTATAAAAGGAGAGTAACCCTCCTAAGTATTAGCTAGTGGATTAGGACACTTTCAATATCCGAGATCGTCTATGCTCATGAAACTAATGACTATTATGAAGTGTTACAAGATTCTTGGATGCCATCAGGGGCTGAGTTAAATTTGGGTGTTCTCAATCAGATCAGTTGCTGTTTATAAATTGCGTGTTTACAAATCACTACACACAATGTGTGTGTGCGCATGTTTGGGCGTGTGTGTATTATACTAGCTCTGTCTCTTTTGCTCTGTGTCTTTCTCCTTGTTTAGGTCTATTTCGAATTCAGAATAATTATAGAGTTTGCTTCTCTATATCTTTTTTGTAATCCCTGACTTTCTTCTTTTCTTCTTCTTTCTTTCTCTTCCATCTTTTTAACTTGATTGATATCATCTTCTTCCTTTTTTTTGTATAAAAAAATTATACCTCATAGCATGGAGCACTATGAGGAGTCTCAATTTATTCCTAGTGATAGTAGTAGCGACATTATATGGGAAACAACTGCGGAAATGTCGTTACAAGAAGAAGAAGAAGCGGACTCTGATTATTCCCTAGACTATGAATTTTTGGGCCCTCGTACACCAGTATATAGAAATGACCAAGACGCCGACTCCGATGCCTCGGAATTGTCTTGTTCGTCTTCATGTCATGAGGGTTTCGACATGTGGGACGAGGATCCTTATAGTACAAACGATTTTACTTGGGAATCAAACGACATGAGATTAACTGGCTTTATAAAAGAAAGACAAAAAGAGTTAAATAAAATCAACACTATTGCGCCTTGGAACAATTCAACTTTTTGGAAAAAAGAGAAAGGCTGGCCAAAGCAATTACCATCTTCCAGTTCCACAACCAATCATGATCAGTCAGCAAATGCTTTATCACTTGTTTTGTCTGATTATGGACTATCCGAAAGTCTTCATGCTGTGTACAGAGATCGAATTGTGGAATGTGGAAAATTCAATAAGAATTGTCACACTAATGATATTAAAATCAACAACACCAATTTAAAGAATATCACAACATGGCTCGATACCAGTTCCGATACGACTAACGACACGATAAATGAAACCAGTACTAAATTTATTGAAACCCACGCATCAGTGCCTCTTGAGAAACAATCAACTCCAATTCAACATTGTTCGCATAAAGCACTTCCAAGTAGCACAAGTAACAATAACTTTCTTTCCAAATTCACACCTTTCACAAAGTACATAAAACGATCACAATTTCCGGCGACATTTCCTCAAGACGCATACCTCTCTTTGGGATTTGAGCCGTTATGTTTGGCAGAGAAATACGGTTACATGGCTATCGGTGGTGTCGAAGGCGAATTCGAGTTGTATTGTTGTATGGAAGGAGATAAACCAGTGAAGATATGGGGCACGAAATTCAAAGGCAAAAACAACGTGTTACTAATGACAAATGCAGTCCAAATTGTACGATGGAAGAAACCAACATCCGAACAGGACGAGTACAATTATTTTCTAGTAATCTGTATGAATGCTGCGGGAGTATTAATTTATGACTTACCAAATCATCATAATTGCCATTCAACAATCACAAACTGTCATTTACATCACCATATCCGTTGCTTTGATCATGTACCCATCAACGATGCTCGTGTAAGCCCAAACGGACAGCATTTGGTGTGTGTTGGTGACGACGCCTATGTATTCCATTTGGCTGTATCATTTAACGAGCATGAAAACAGGCTTGAATTTGGATCACCGCAAAAGATCAGAATCCCATTAACTGTAACTACATTTTCATCTCAATACGTTTCATGGAGTAAATCTTCATTATTTTTTGCACATACATCAGATACCCATAACACTGTATTTATATGGAAAACACAACCAAAATTCGAAATGTTGTATAGGATTGATGCTGGAGGTTATACCTATGCTATACAGTTTCATCCGCAGCAAGAAGGTGTACTTACTTTTTCAAATAGATATGGGTACATTCATACCGTCAATCTGGATGAAGTCATTACACGCGCTGATCCGAAGAAAACCATTAGCATCTTTGACTATAATCAAGACCCTCAAATATTCGCAAGGCATGAAATCACTATGGTCTCATTTCGCGGCGAAAAAGATAGAAAGTTGAGAATTCTTGCTAAAATTAATGGATTGCAGTGGTCAAAAGACGGCTCTTATCTATATGTATCAACCAAAAAACGCGTGTTAGCATATGAATTTATACAGTCTTCAAGACAAATAAGAAGCCTAGAAAAAATGGCTGGACTAGAAGCATTGTCCATACTACAAGAACAACAAAAAAAAAAGAGAAAAAATCAAGACATGGAATCATCTGAAGGAAAAAAAAAAAGAAAGCTTTGGTCTAGGAAATGGAATAATATACCAGCACATGTTCGATACAACATGCTAGGCAATACCAACTTGGCGAGCCATTGGTAAAATCTGTAATCATTATCTGTAAATTAGTTAAATAAAGCCCACTTTAATTTTTATATGTATATAATCCTTTTTGGTTTTTATTTATTTAATAATTTGGATACAACAAAATGGCAATAGATTTAAAGCTATCCCACTTTTTCTTTACAATAAGCCTTTTAAAAGATAATTTAAAGCTTATCGTAGTACTTATCAAGACCGGGAATATCTTCAACGAGACCCTTTCTCTTACGGACAGTACGGATGATATCGTAAACCTTGTTACCGGCTTCGGTAGGGTTTCCGGGCATGATTTGCCAATGATCGAAGACAGCTTGAGGGAAAGCTTGACCACCGGTAGCGGCACGAAGATCAGCAGTGAAACCGAAAGATTCGTTGACGGGCAAGTAAGCCTTGACGGCCATCATGGGGGTACCAACCTTTTGTTCTTCAGAGAAGACTTGACCACGACGTCTGTTAAGACAAGAGTAAATACCACCAATAGCAGAATCGGGACATTGGATTTCGACGAGGTAGACGGGTTCTTGGATACCGGGGGTAGCGGTCAAGACAGAGGCGTACATGACACGACGACAAGTGGGGATAATTTGTCCACCACCACGATGGATAGCATCAGCATGAAGAGTGACATCGAGGATGTTGAAACGACAACCTCTCAAACTTTCTTCGGCAACAGGTCCTTCCTTGGTGGCCCATTGGAAAGCGGCAACACAAGAATCCTTGATTTCACCGAGGTATTGGACTTGCTTGGTGATATCAACAAGGACGTTAGGACCAGTACCATCGGGACCGAAACACCAGATCTTACGAGCTTCAGTGACATCCCATTCGTACTTATCGGCTAAGACACGAGCACGGAGCTTGAAATCATCCTTGGAAGAGATCTTACCAGCTTCGATTTCATCAGCGAGTTCATCGTTAAGAGGAGTGGCACGCATGTAGATACGGTTATGCTTGTTAGGGGACTTGGAGAGACAGTCAATGGTGGATTCAGCAGTGACGGTTTCACGGTATTGGACAACGGGGTCACCAGTCTTGAGGGGAACTTGAGCGTGATCCTCCTCGAGATCCTTCAAACAAATTTCAAGATGGAGTTCACCAGCACCGGCAACAATATGTTCACCAGATTCGTTGGTGAAACACAAGACACAAGGATCGGACTTGGCAAGACGCTTAAGACCTTCAACGAGCTTGGGGAGATCGTTAGCGTTCTTAACCTCAACGGCAACTTGGACGACAGGGGAGACGGAGAACTTCATGACCTTCATGTTGTGAGCAACTTCGGAGGTGGTGATGGTACCAGACTTGACCAAGAATTGATCAACACCGACAAGACCGATAATGTTACCAGCGGGACAATCCTCAATGGCTTCGACGTTACGTCCCATCATGAGAACAGTACGTTGGATAGACTTGACAGCAAGATCAGTCTTGGAACCGGGAACGTAGTTGGGACCTTGGATTCTGACCTTCATACCAGCACGAACGGTACCGGAGAAGACACGACCGAAAGCGTAGAAACGACCCTTATCGGAGGTGGGAACCATCTTGGAGACATACAACATAAGAGGACCGTTAGGATCACAAGCACGGATACCGATGGCACACTCATCATCAGTGGGACCTTCGTACAATTGAGAACAACGGTAGGCTTGAGAGGTAACGGGAGAAGGAAGATGGATACAGATCATCTCCAAAAGAGCATCACCAGCAGGCAAGAACTTACGCATAACGACCTTAAGAAGGGCCTTACCTTCCAAATCCTTTTCGTCACCAGCAAGGTTGACCTCCAACTTTTCGAGGAGAACCTTGGTTTGGTCCTTCTTGAAGTTCATGATGGAATCAAAGACACGGTAGATAGGATCCAAGATGAACATGTTGAAAGCACGCTCGAGGTTCTTACCCTCAGCATCAGTAGACTTGGTGGTCCACTTCTTGGTCTTAGGGTTGAAGTAGTTTTCACCCCAAAGCTTACCCATCATCTTCTCCTTATCAACACCAAACTTCTTGGCATAACGGATAGCGAATTGACGGAGAGTGAAACCCCAACCGTGAAGACCGGAAGCAAAAGCAACGGTACCCTTTTCGGGGTAGACTTGACAATCACCGAGAGCTTCATCAACATAAGTGGAGATGATAACGTTAACGGACTCGATGGTACGAGCGAAAGACTAAATTGGGAAAAAAATGGTAAGCGATTGGTAATACATAAAAGATGATTAAATAAACATACGTTGTAAAGTTCTTCCTTATCCAATTGGAGTTCGAGAAGAGCACGATCCATCTTGTTAAGACAGATAACGGGCTTAATACGTTCGTTCAAAGCTTGACGCAAGACAGTTTCGGTTTGGACACAGACACCATCAATACAATCAACAACGACAAGGGCACCATCGGTAACACGAAGGGCGGCGGTAACTTCAGAAGAGAAATCCACATGGCCTGGGGAATCGATCAAGTTAATCAAGAAAGCGGAACCATTGGTCTTTTGACCCTTGATTTCGTTAATGTCATCGGGGTTAGCCATTTGGAAATACATGGAAATAGCAGTGGACTTGATAGTAATACCACGTTCTTGTTCATCCTTACGGGTATCCATGAAACGGGCTTCACCAGCACGACCGGAAGAAATAATACCGGCCTTGGAAACCAAGGAATCGGTCAAGGTAGACTTACCGTGATCGACGTGAGCAATAACGGACATGTTACGAACGTTGGTAACCTTGTCCATCAAACCACGGATTTCTTCAATTGTGAAATTCTACATAAAGATAATGTATTTAGTTTACGATTCTAAATCTTGAAAAAAAATAGATAATGTACTTACAACTAAATGTCATTGAATGAAAATGAGAATGAGCAAAAAAAAAAGTTGTTAGTTTTTCTTCTTTTGATTATACATCCATCTAGCAGACCACTTTGGCTTGATGGATGATGCAATTTTATCTCTCAATACATACCCATTTTGACTTATAAATGAAATTGGAATGAACAAAGAGATTTTATCTTTTCCACATTTTAACATTAAACTAAATGCTCGCCGCAGCGGATAAATTCGGAGTTCCATTTTAGTGTTTTTTAATTGCATGATGTTTACACAGTGGCGGACTGGGTGGTAAAAACCCGCAACATGTGGTAAAAACCCGCAACATTTGGTGGTAAAAACGTCCATTTTATACCACCGAATGTTGCGGAATTGTGGTTCATTTACCACCGGATGTGGTAAAACTCCAAAATTATACCACCTAATGTTGCGGGTTTTTGCTACATGTTGCGTGTTTTTACCACCTAGTGTTGCGGGTTTCTTCCGCATGTTGCGTATTTATACCACTTCTAGTAGCTACTAAATTCCACTTGATGCGTCTTTTTACCATAATATAGCGTCCTTTCACTCAAAACGTAGTACGTACGTTATTACATCACTTTAACTATATTATTATTGATGCTGATGAACCTTTATACTGTTGCGAAATCAAAAATACATTATATAATAAAAAAGCAGGGTTTAAATGAAAACGTTTTATTTTATTCAATTTTTATTTTGTATTTTACTTTATTTATTATAATTTTTGTACATATCATCTCCAAATTGATAAGGTACACTTACCTCCGTAATACTTCTTGCACTTACCTCCATAATACTTCTTGCACTTACTATTAACGGGCCCAATTAACACCATACTAGCCAAACAGACGCCTATAGATACAGGTAACATTCGAGAGTCCCGCGAGATGTAGCAGTATATAGACCAAATCATTTTATCAGCCTAAAAAAAAATGCAGCCTAAAAGAAAAAATTGCAGCCTAAAAGAAAAATTTACAGCCTAAAGAAAAAAATATAGCCTAATTGAAAAATTTTCACAGCCTAAACCTGCTTTTCAAGTCCAAAGACGGCTCGAAATCTATACAACTCTTTAGAAAAACCGTATTGGAAATTCAAATGATAATTACCTTCAGCATATGACAATGTATACACACAAATTCTTGGTACTTTAAAGTGTAATGACATAATAATAATTTGTATTTCATATGTCATATTTACCTAGTTTGTATAATCTACGGTATCTATTACTTAAATAACAGCACTTACAACACGAAGCAGAATTCCGGGCTGCCTTAAAAAAAGTTATAAGAGAAAGAAAGGGAGAAAACTAAATGAACAAATTTATTAATCTATAGCAAATTATTTAAAGTGCGAATCACGCTAAAACATCTTCTACAGTAGCTGATTGTAACACTTTTTTGTAGAAGCACATCATCCATTTTTCTACGGATTTGCTCCTTATTGGTCAAAGAAGAGTTATATTCTTCTTATAAAGCTTGTTTGCCTTAAATTAACTATACTCATAAGGTTAATCATTATCCTGCTGGTTCTTTAGCTGATTTGTAAGTTGGTCGTATCTTTCTCTGTAATGCGTAGACAAGTTTTATTATAATTAAATTCTTTTCAACAATTGATCTAATGACAGTGCTTGTAAAAGAAAAAAATTTAAAAAGAGGAAAGGAAGGAAAAATAAAAATAAATATTAATAAAAAATTATATGCCGATGGTTGCGTGTTTTATCCACCATGTTGCGTCTTTCCGCAACATGTCGTGGAATTACGCAACATGTTGCGGGTTTCCGCTACCGAGTCCGCGGCTGTGTTTATGTACATATTTTTTTACGGACTCGATCAACTGTCAGCTTTTCTAGTGTTTCATGTTATACACTATTTTTTTAAATTATTCGTGCAGAGCAAGGAGGAAATTCGTTCAAGCTCACAAAAAAAATTCGATCAAGAATAAAAGAAAAATTAGTTTGATAATAATTGAACGAAATAAACGAAAATAAAATATTTTATAATCCAAACAGTCATTATATGCATTTAAGATGTTGTATCTGGATTCAAATTACCTTTTGACTTAACAAACTAAACTAATAAACGCTCTTCTTCGCTATAATAACAAAACCTAAAATTTAAAAGGGTAGTTGTCATTCTTCAAAATTAGGGTGTAAAAGGCTCGTTTTATTAATTTTATCTTTTTATCTAATTTATATTGTATTTGAGTAAGACACAGTGTATCTGTTACCACCTACGAACACATATACTCTTCAATTACTCTACCGGTGTAAGGGAACACACTACTGGTATTCGTTCTTAATGTTTTATGTACACTCCGGCCCGGACAAAAGTACCATATTACAAAGGAAAATCATTTAATGTTCAAAAAAAAAAAAAAAAAAAAAAGAGAGAGAGATATAGACGATCTTCTCCTTTTGATTAAACTTCTTTCTCTTTCAGCTTTTAATCCTCTCCGAATTTTTAGGTAATCTTTATATGCTATTTTAGAAGCAACCTTTCTTATACTGTTATTATATAGTGTATCATGGATGAGGCATCTCTCTCGACAAAAGACCGGATTATCACAGTAAAGTCGTCAATTACTGGCATCGGTTGGAAGCAGTCGTCTTTGACAACATTACACAATTTCGTTAGAGTTGTTCATACGACTACAAAGCATGCATATTATTTTTCCAAGTATATATTCCTCAATGAATTGCAAGCAGACCCTCAATGTGACCTCAAAGAATATATCAACAAAGAATTTTTTGCTGAAGTATGGCTTTCTTTGGTAGACTATACAAAGGGAAATGCTCGTGCAGAAAAAGCTATAAAGTATCGCAATTATATTAGCCGCTATTTACCAAGCTATCTGAATATCACAAACTATCAAAGGTTCAGACTAAAGTAATGCTCAGCAGTCTTCTCTAATCGAAGGAAAAAAAATATATCAGTCGTATATCAATAACATCAGCATGAGATTTGGTCAACATCTTAGACAATCAATCAATGTTTTACTGAACGTCAAGCAAAGAAAGGCGGAAATGTAGCAAGCTCTTCTAGAACAAGGCGTCCACCCCAAAATCATCGAAGATCTTATTTTCCAAAATGTAACCCAGACCGCAAAAATTTCAAAATGGCCATCAGCACACGTCCCACAAACATGACTTTACTGCCACAAAATTCACAGGTAGAAATAAATGCATACAACGCGTTAAGACCTGTTTTGGATTCGTATGGTACATCGTATTCTTTTAAAAAACGCAGCATCTATTATGATGCAAAAGCGCAACCTGAAAATCACTTTATGGTATTTGTTCAACTAGCTCGTCTCTTCGAAACATTAGGTTTATCTCCTTTTCGTTGCTTTCCTCTCCGTCGTTCATAGTCTCCTGGTTATGTACAAATTGATAGTAAGATTCTTTGTCAAAACATTCTAGATATCAGATGGTCCAATAATATTGATAAGCTGGATTACTGGAAGCAAGTGGTTGATCTAAATGCAAAACCTTACAAATGGTTTGATACCAGGTAACACTCTTTTTTCACCTTGGCTGGTATCAACCAAATTCTACAGCATGATATGCCAAAAATATGAAGACACAAAAGGTTTGATACCAGGTAACACTCATTTTTCACCTTGGCTGGTATCAACCAAATTCTACAGCAGGATTAGCCAAAAATATCAAGACAAGAGATTTGATACCAGGTAACACTCTTTTTTCACCTTGGCTGGTATCAACCAAATTCTACAGCATGATATGCCAAAAACATGAAGACAAAAGGTTTGATACCAGGTAACACTCTTTTTTCACCTTGGCTGGTATCAACCAAATTCTACAGCAGGATTAGCCAAAAATATGAAGACAAAAGGTTTGATACCAGGTAACACTATTTTTTCACCTTGGCTGGTATCAACCAAATTCTACAGCAGGATTAGCCAAAAATATGAAGACAAAAGGTTTGATACCAGGTAACACTCTTTTTTCACCTTGGCTGGTATCAACCAAATTCTACAGCATGATATGCCAAAAATATGCTCAAGAAGAGAACAAGCTCCTTCGGTTTTGCGGTACCATTCAGACAGACGGTGTTGGTGTAACAGTTCTTAAGAAAAGAATAGACAGGCAGTCATCTTATACCTCAACCATAAAAGAGGCAGATGAGAAGTTCAAGTATATCAGCGACTTAGGTGCTCAAGAACATAAAGCTGTGAATGGTCGGTGTGTTGCTATTGCTCCCGGAAGAAGAGACCTTTTGTTTTGTGTCGATGAAAAATCTATTGTAGAAACTCCTATTAAGTTTTGATATACTAAGCAGGACCAGGACAAAACCAGAAAATCCAAAAAGTATTATCGTAATATTCTACAAGCAATGAAGTCGAACAATCCTGCTGTTTATCAAGCCGAGAATGTTCTTGCAGAAAACCAAAGCAGCTCACTGGAAATAGAGGGCTACCGTCGTTTTCTCGAACGTCTAGACCAGAATTACGCTGTCCTCGACAATTTCTATGGGCATACAACAACGTCTTCTCAAAACCCACAATTCATGCTCCGGAAGTTGCGTTTAGCTGCGTATTTTAACAAACAACGTGCTGACATGCAACTTATAAATTCTTTAAAGCAAAAGTTCGGTAAGGATGCGATCTTTGTCTTGGGAAACTGGTCTGCCCCAAACGCACATTATCATGAACCAATTCGAGGCATCGGATTGAGACGACTTCTTTTACGAAATCATCTTAGTCTATTACTCATCGACGAATTCAACACGAGCCGATGCTGTCCGTCTTGTCATAATTTGAGTCTAAAGAAATTTAAACAAATCGACAATCCTAGGCCCTACCAACGAAGCAACTATCCTTTAACCCTTTGCCATGGTCTTTTAAGGTAAATATATCTCCTTGAAACGTTTATATTTTTTTTTAAACTTTTTGATGTAGATGCACCAATCAAACTTGTGTGACCAAGATGCAAACCCAAGGATTCCAATATAAGCTTTGGAACAGAGATTTAGCCGCCTGTTTGAACATGATTTCAATAATTCTAAATTTAAGAAACACTGGTCAAATCCCAGAACGATTTGCACGTCATGTCCACTCAAAAAAACGTCCTCGAATGGGTGAATAATAATCCATGCCAGTTATCGCTGGTGTTACCCGTAATACACTTTTTGGTAAGGCTTTTTATTGTTGCTTGCTAGATAACTAACTGTACTTGTTATATTTTATTTCTGTTTATATTTCTCTACCTCTCAACCCTTTCCATGTAAGTACATTGCATTGTTTAACTTTCTAAAGAAAGCTCTTACTTTTTATACCCATTTTTATTTCCATTCTTGAATGATATTATATTTTATTTTTGAACGATTTTTTCGCAACAGTGAACGAATAATTTCTGAATAAAGTGTATCTGAGGTAGTTAATGCTTAAATCAATGCAACGCGAGAATCGTGACACAGAGGGGCTAAGAAGGAAGCTGTTAGACAATAAAATCTGGCTGGTTGCACACGTACGAAAGTACATAAAAATTTAAATCGTACAGCCAACTATTTTTAGAAAATGTAGTTTGAAGCGTTTATTATATATACAAAAAAGACTGATGGTGATTATGATTATTATTATTAAGATTATTATTAAAGTGGTTTTACACGAGAGAAACGTTTCGAGAAATCTATACCATAGAGATAGGACGACGACATGACAATAAATGCACCCACAATAAACACACCAGAAGGTTGGAAGCCAAACAAGTAGATACTAATGACACCAGATACAATGATCGACAAACTTGTGGCGAAGCCCTTTAAAATATTGTCTGCATATTTGACAACAATTGCAACTAATAAACCTCCCAATGCTTGGTTTGCTACTACAACCCAAGTAAGCCAATTATATCCCTGCAATAATCCACCATCCATGATAGGTTGAATATCATAAGCAAGCATCCCGACCAGCGAAAATAAGGCTCCTGATATTCCCAGTTGAATATTACGTACCCACATTGAAGTGTCTGATGTCTTTAAAATCTTTTCGAAATAACAACCTGCAAAACCTGAAGAAACACAGCTTGTAATGACAGCCATTAAACCAATAAAGGGGTTTTGTGGAGCTAATATGATTTCATCCACTTTGGAGGTGGTTGTACCAGATGTAGAGGACATACTTTGAGATTGAACAAGTGTAACACCAATCATTAATAGTAATAAAGCCAGCCATTTATCTCGAGTTAAACTTCTTCCCAACAAAGCCACACTGAATACAGCGGTAGACATGATTTTCATTTGATAGGTCACCTGAAATGTTGCTGCTTCCAAGTTACTTAATGCAACGTATAATAAATTGTTTTGAAGTGCATAAAGTCCAGAAGGGATAAGCATTTTTAGTGTTTCGTTTGGTTTCCCCAAAATTTCTCTTCTAACCATCGAGCTGAATCTATCCCAAGATCCTTGCTGATGTCTCATGACTACAAGACATGCTATAATCTTTAATACCTCTGCTAAAAACACTGCGGTCGAAGCAATATACATGGTTTGTCCGGGTTTCTGTACGATTCGTGAATACCTCATCATCAATACGAGTGTACTATTTTGAACAACAAGAACTATTAACGACAATTGCTTTCGGGTTAAACCAAAAAGGACGGGCCGAGCTAAACAAGACTTAGTAACGAAGATGGTAAAGGATGAATACTCTGTTGTGCTTTTACCTAGATTATTTTTGCTCTCCATGTCATTTGTGGTAGGTAAAACGCTCTTGTTTCCAAACGTCCGCCGCGATTGTTGATACACGGACATAACGATTATTTATTATTTATTTATAAGACTGTTTAGAAAAGGAAGGTTAACGCTGCTTTCGAAAGTTTTTTTTTTTTTTTCAGCAAAAACATAAGGACATTAAAATAAACATTTTTTTTTTTAAATACATTTTAGAAACAGTGACCAATGGTAACACAGTCCATTAACGCTGAAAATAAAATCACATGTAGGCACTAATTGTTTGTACTTTCTTCTTTCCCTTTCCGATACTCAAGAGTATTTATACCACACACGTAAGACAGCCATCACTCTTAAAGGGCTAATTGCACTTCATCATTTATTTTTAAAACCCTGAGTTATTTTTGTACTCGCGAAAAGCCTGTGTAACCCTAGCTTGTACGTCGTATGCGACATGGCAATAGGCAACTGATGACTTGTACGGTGTTCACAAAACTAATTCGCACGATTTGGAGTGATTCTTCGTATTAGTAGATATAATCTTGTGTCGATACATTCCATATTAAAAGAACAAGTCATGTTTCCCAAAATTCTAATACGCCTCGAAACAGTATGTGCTCCAGGATTTGATTAGCAAGCAAATTGAAATATTAACTGACACAAGAAACAATAAACTATGCTAGTTAACCTCTGGTGTTTGGTCAAAATTTAATAAGATGTGTGATTACCGGGTCCTGAAGTGAACTTGCAGCATTCAGTTATTGTATTGATACATGTTGTTTAGTTTTTAGGACCTGAAGCTCTCATTTAAATGCACAATCATACATTGTAATATATAATTAAACTGATCTTATAAGAGAATCCCCGAGCAGTAATTCTAATAATAGACGATACAAATAAGTGAACACTTCTTACATAAGTGTGCTATTCTCTGGGATATCCTACAATCTTACATTATTCGAATACCACACTGCAGTTGTTGTTATTATTTATTACAGACTACAAGCGCAATATTTTTTAATAATAGGTAAGTAAAACACTTTTTGTTTTCTCTTTCCTTGTAACAAATTGATATTTTACAAAAACACTATTCTTTTTCGTTTCTTTTGTGCATAACATTTGTCAAATAGATTCTATTCGACGCCTCTTAAAAAATTGATAGAAGACATTCAGAAAATAAATAAGTAGACTACTCTCTCTTTTGATATAACAGCATAACGATTTTTATTGGCTCAAAGCTGATCCACGTTTCCGCGATTACGATCGTCGTCAGTATGTTTCACCAACTTCATTTTCTTCTTTTATTGGGTCTATATACCTTCCAGTTGTTAATGGTCACCCAAAGGTGAGACTAAAGTATAAAAAGCGTAATATAGATTGATTTAAGCAAGCACTTGACATTTTTTGTGAAAATTCACAAGGACCTGCTTTAGTTTTATTTTTTATTTTTGCTATCTATAATAAATAGAAAGGGACTAAAGAACAGGTTTTTCATAGAATGACAAGATATTATGGGAGTATGTAATTGACAATAGGTAGAGATTTAATTGAAGGTATACATGCACATCAGATAATAGTTTCAACTATGTTTTCTTAGATGAATGAGCGTTAGTGTTTTTTTGCAATTACATTATCTTACAGAAATGAAAAAAAAATGTAATTTTATCTATATGAACCTTAATATCCAATGTTAATAGTCGACAATCTAGAGCACAAATGTTTCCGTTCTTACGATTGAGTGACCATTAAAATAGTTGGTACGGGGAGGAAATCACTAAAAAAGCACATCGACTGTAGTACACTATTTTCAGAAAATATTAGATCAAAATGTAAAAAAAAATTCGTTCACAATTAAAAAAATAATTCGTTCACAACGTAAAAAAAAAATACGTTCATCTTCCAAAAAAAAAAAAAAAAAAATTGAGCTTACCACTTAAGTGTATCTATGGTTGACCTGCGATAACAGGCCTGGAAAATTCTAGTTGCGACGTTGACGAACATTTCTACTGTTTGCTTGTTCATAATGGGAAGCAATTAAACACAGGTAATTCTATATCAATAAATGATAAAGCCAGTTCGTAAAAAGCTCGCATATGCTCAACTGGTCTTGCTTTGGAATCATAATAAATGCTATTCCCACGAAACCGGTAGTCAACGGGATAACTGGTAAGGACAGGGCGAAGAATTTCAAGAGCGTTATTGTAGATAGGGTCCCCGAACTGCTCTCCGTCCAATACAAAATCTTGAGGTAACCTTCTAGCTATAAGTTCCTTGAATCTTGTCGCCGGCTCAGTTATTTCTCTGTATACTTCAGATTTTATCAGTGCATCAATTAATCCTTCACGTCTTCTATAAGCAATTAATTCGGCTTTTCTTTGTCAAATACGGAGTAGATGATTAACAGCTTGTCTAAGATGACTTCCCAAACGCATCTGAACATTGTTGCTATAAGATGTAAAGATCTTTGCTCCTTCGATTAAAGATGCTTGCTGACCATAACGGAAATCCGGTGGAACAAAACCAGTGACCTCCAAATAGTCATCAAGATAAATGTCAATGAATGCACGAGTCGCCCCAGTTCTTCCGCCAGCCCTTCCTCGCGCATACCGAGTCAGTTTGAGCCAGACCTCTGCAAAAAAATCACGATTGATACATCGCCTGATATCAAAGTTCTCATCTTATTGAATGGCACGCAAAAAAATGTACTTTGAGAGTGAGTATGCGTGTGTAGTGATGTTGTGGACTGTCACTACATATTCTTCGAGCCTTTCACGTCGCTCTGGGTCCCAACCAATACCATCAATAGAGGATTTAACAGATATAATACGATCGCCAGGAGCCAAAGAGCTAGATGTGTTTATATTGCTTCCAGGTGTACCCGGCGTACCAGACAAGGATCTATCAGAGTCCATGCTGGTAAAAAAGGGCAGTTATTTGAAGTAAGAAATTCGCTATAATAACATGTTAGATAAATGTCACTCATTTTTGGATTGGTTGTTACAATATTTACCTTTTACGTACAAAGTGTTATGAATTTGAGAATAAAGATAGTTATACGTAAAATGATAAAATAAAAATGGAGTAAGAATTGAGGTAAACTTTTTTACCGACTATTTATATAAAATTTCATTGTTCATTTCTGACTTTAAAATAATTCGTCAGTGTTGTTATTGAAAAAAAAAGGAGAAAAACAAAGAACAATGAAATTCGCATGAAGCAGTAATAAATGCACTTTTTCTAGCTTTCATTTTTTATATATATATCTTTTGCAAGAAGGTGCATACCTCATTATCATTATAGAAAAATTCGGATTGCCCAAGAATTATACGAAAGCAAACGGAAAATAATTGAGTGTCATTCAAAGTAAAATCAAAATTGGTAGAGATACCCCTAATACATACAATGAAATAAAACTTTATTTCAAGTAAAAGTGTAAATGTCATGTACTTGTCTGCGCGTTTCTAGGTCTTTTGTTTCTAGTTTGACAAAAAAAAAACAGGTTACCGTTTCAGGGTGTCAGGTAAGGAAGGAAGTCTGGTACATCCATATATTTATCCACTTATACGTTTGTTACCAATAACTGTGTCGTTCATGACGAGGTAGTGGCATTTAATTTACTCTTGGTAACGCAACACATCTAAAGGGGGGGGGGGTTGCTACCCCTCGCTTCCCTTATGGGTGAATAACAACAATATCAAGTTTTTCTCGTTTGTGCGTATCAAAATAGGCCTAAAAAGAAGACAATAATTATTTGGTTTAAACCCAATCGTTCAATTTTCAAGAGCAAGCTCGAGCAGGTTAGTCTTTTGGATGAAGTGACATTAAATTAAAGTCATATTATACGCATACAATAGTGCACTTATTCGGGCCCTTCAATATGATGAAAAATTGTTCTTCTACTTTTAGCAGTATACCCATTTAATGATAACAGATATATTTCTCTTTCGTTCATTTCGTTTGTAAACTATGCATGGAAAATTAATTAATTTTTAAGCGATTATTTATTCCGTCGCTGATTGGAGTTTTATTCTAAGCGTGCACGAACAATTTATGAAAATAGTGTATAACAGTGTAAATATGGTAAAATCTAAAGGGAGCACCAAGATTCAATAACGAGTGATTATTTATCTCTTGTAAATATGTATGCCTGATTTTGGAAGACAGAGATAATAAACTAAAAAAGCCATATCAAGACAACAGTTACACATTCTTACAATAAGATGTAAATCAAAAGCAACAATAGGCCTGTCACACAAACGATCGGAAATATGCTTTTTAACATTATATTGATCCTTTAAAAATGATAACAGGTGAGTTATCCGATTAAATTAGAATTCAGAATGACCAAAGCCAATAAATTATTCGTATTATTAAGCTTGATTACACATATCGTAGTCCCAAGATCGACATGGGGTGACATAATTGTAATATCTGCTGATGTGGGGTAATCGTTTTTTTCTGTATACCAGCAAAATTTGCGGGGTGAGTGTCATTTTATTGTATTATTGTTTACATATTGCGACAATCCAGCCTTTTTTGGAGACTGAACATAGAATCCAGCACATAAATGAGGGAAATTTTTTTTTAGCGTGCATATAATTTGGCCACTGATTGGATATTGTTACATCTCGTTGTATAAATTAATTTTATATAATAAAACAAGGAAGAGGACATGCAATCAGTTCGTATTCCCACCAACATAATGGATTTCTCACATGCACTTGGAATAAATAAGCATCATGCTATAATTTTCGTTCCCGCCACAGTCACAGGCAAAGCACTTTGCATTTTTATAAAAAGCGGAAGCCTCCTGCGGTTATCGTTTCAATAATAATTTATCATGCCTTCTTCTGCATACGATTCAGCTTTTGAACATGTCCGACAAATGTGGATACGAAGTGTACTATTTGTCACGCAGCCCGTCTTTCAAAGACTGATGCCCGATCCTTACACACAAGCGGGCAATGTACGTGTTGATGCAAAACCAGCACATGCTAGTCGCATCACAATGACTGAGATCATCTCGCCTGCCCAATGTAACATAAAAGTACTGTCTGAACCAAGGAACTTTCATTTAAAAAAAAAGAAAGAAACTTTAACAATTTGTATAGGGTTATGCTTATGCTGGAACTATTTTGGGATGGATTGATATTGCTGCAGGAATCGCAGCCAAACGTCACGCAGCATGTCCTTCTGTAAGTAGACAAGAACCATACACTTATAGAAATGACATTTACACTTACAACTATAGGTAACCCGTTCTGTTGATGATGTCGCATTTTTACATTCTGTAAAAGTGGGTGATATTGTAAGTAAAAGAAGTGACATTCGCGTACACTGTTACCATGCTGAAGCCATGTAAAATTAGGTATCTATTCAAGCATCGGTTAATAAATCGTGGAAGACATCTATGGAAGTGGGTGTAAAAGTAGAAGCAGAAAGCCCATTATCGAATAAGAAATTTTTTGTGGCTCACGCTTATCTTACATTTGTGGCACTTTCTCCCCGTCCTTCCGCAAAGACACATCTTGGCAGAATGCTTTCAGCGGGATTTCAAACAGTCATGGTACCTGAATTACTACCTTTATCTATTATGGAAAATAAACGTTTTGAAATGGCCGAAAAAAGAAGACAAGCAAGATTCACCCAAAAAAAGCCGAATCACCAAGCGATTAGAAATGAAATGAAGGAATGGTCTCAGGGACTAAGAGAAAAGGCGGATGCGGATGCACCCATCAAGAGACACCCGGGTTATTTTCCTAGTGGACGCTCTTCACCAAACAGAGATACAAGTGCTGATGAAGATGAGGAAGACGAAGATATTGTCTTGTTGGCTAGAAAAAGGCATCGAAGGTTCTCACAAGACCCAAGAATGACACAACAAATTAAAGAGAGACCAATGGACTATACCTTTGCGGAGGTAGTGGAGTTGGTAATGCCTCAACATGCTAATACATTGAGTATCACCTTTGGAGGTCAAATTATGGCATGGATGGAGACGTGTGCTATTGCTAGTGCAAGTAGACTTGCAAAGGCGTACCTATTAACTGCTAGGTACAACTAGGGAGAGAGAAAAAAAAAGAGGGGGGGGGGAGATGAAGATGGGGGGAGAGCGGAGTGAGTCACCATCAAATTTATACTGACTCACTTGGATCTTTAGTATCGATAGTTTGAATTTTATTACTAGTTCTGGTGTAGGTGATGTAGTAACAATACGGTCGGTAGTGTCGAGGTCATTTATTTCGTCCATGGAAGTATATGTCAGCGTAGAAGCAGGTACGTAATCACATTGGTTTTCACACATATACTGACTTTGAGTACGTGCAGAAAACCTATTGACAGGTGAAATTAAGTTTACAAATGATGGCTTTTTCACAATAAGTAATGTATGAACAATTATTATAATTTAAATCACTAACATGCTTTTTTTTATATTGACAGCGGCGGTAGATGATGATAATATCCCCGTCATTATACCAAGGGCGATTCCTCAAACAGAATCTGGATGTGAACTCTATGAGAAGGGCTATGAAAGAAGATTAAGGCGTCTTGAACAACGTCAAGAGTTAATAAACCTGGTCAATTCTTCTCGTCACGGAAGTACTGATGTGCCAGAAATTCACATTGATGCAAGCCATGATTCAGACTAACAAATTAAGCGGAGATCTTTTCCTTGTTAAAGCGTCAATCACATAGACTGCTTTTTTTCTATCCGTTTTAAAAAGCCACGGCCATCTCCGATTCTTCTCGCCTTTTTTATTTATTTATTTATTATTTCACTCTTAAAATTATATTACGGAATAAAATCATGTCTTGTAAAACAATTCTTGCTTCAAAGGTTTCCGCTTCTTTCAGGTAAGATTAAAAGAGAAAACGACGTAATGATTGGGGGATTTTTTTTTGACAAGCTATATAGAACCCAAATTAAGGAAGATATCAAGGAACGTAATATTCGTCCCAAGTTGGTAGGTTTCCTTGCCAATGAAGACCCTGCTGCTATCAAATATGCTGAGTGGACTGCAAAGACTTGTGCTGAAACTGGTGTTGAATTTGAACTTCGTAAAACAACCAAATTAGAATTGGAGGAAAAGATTACAGAAGCCAACGAAGATAAGTCTGTAAATGGTATTATGGTCTATTATCCCGTGTTTGGTGGAAAGCAAGACTTGTATCTTCAAAGCTGTGTCAGTGAGCTTAAGGATGTTGAGGGTCTTTGTCATAAGTTTGTACATAACGTCTATCACAATATTCGTTATATGGATGAAACTGAAACTATGAAGTGTATTATTCCTTGTACTCCTCTTGCTTGTGTTAAGGTAAATGAATAATAATTTAGAGTCAAGTGTATGTTTCTTGAAACTCATATGTATAATTAGATTCTTGAATATATTGGTGTTTATAACCCTGTTATTCCTTATGGCAACCGCCTTTATGGCCGTACAATTGCTGTTATCAACCGTAGTGAAATTGTTGGTCGTCCTTTGGCAGCCATGTTGGCTAATGATGGTGCCAAAGTTTACTCCGTTGATGTCACTGGCATCCAAATCTTTACTCGTGGATCTGGCATCAAATTATCCGCCCATAAAGTGGAAGATACCGACCTTACACTTGAACAAGTTATACCTCAATGTGATGTTGTCATCACTGGTGTTCCCACTCCTCATTACAAAATGCCCACATCTTTATTGAAGGAAGGCGTTGTAGCCATCAATTTCTCTTCATCCAAGAACTTTGAAGAAGATGTTAAGACGCGTGCATCTATCTTTGTACCTTCTGTTGGTAAAGTCACTGTTGCAATGTTGGAACGTAACTTGCTTCGTTTGCATGATTATCAACATGATTTGACTGAAAAGAGCAAAAAGTAAACCATTACACACTAGATAACCCTACACACATTGTACTATAATAATAAAGCTAAATACATACATGACCATGCTAAGAATACTCTGATTTTGACTTTGAAGCAAATTAAAATGCATGGCCTGTCATCCAGCGTATCCCTGGAAGACCTGAATCTCTTTCAAGTGAATCAGTTTTACTTGACCCCGTTCTCATGTCAATAAGGTCACTACTTCAAAATAATTCCTGGATGTCAAAAAGACCAAGCAATTATATCAAATCTTCTCGAACTTGAGCAGAAAAAGCGTATAAGACTGGTGTCAGCTTCTAGCATAGATTTGAAGGCCATATGCTGCTGCCATTGCTATTAAAAGGGGTGTATGTCTTGCTGCACTTCTCTTTTTTTTTCTTGTACAGTGAGAAAGGCTCCTTTCTTTGGGAAAAGCATTTATCTCAAGGATAAACATGGATTAGATTATGTTGGAGGTTTAGAGTTAGGGTTAGATCCAATTTTGGTGATGCGTTAATGGATCGTTTTATTCATGACTTATCTGAAAAATATTTGTGACTAGGTGGGCCATTTTTACCCCATTTCTGCAAACCGCGTTTTATTTCTTTTTTCTTGCTTTTACGTTCCTTTATAGCATGCCACGCGAAATAATAACATTACAGGCCGGTCAATGTGGCAATCAGAGTAACAAATACTAATTTCTTTTTTTTAAAGATTTTTATTTAACGAGTACGTAGTTGGTAGTGAATTCTGGAAACAAATTTGTGCAGAACATGGCATCAGTAAAGACGGAACTCTGGAAGAATTTGCAACAGAAGGTGGAGATAGAAAAGACGTCTTTTTTTATCAAGTGAGTTCTAAGCACTTTACAAAAAGATCGTCTTTTATTAATGTGCAAAACACAATAGGCCGATGACGAGCATTACATTCCGCGTGCTTTATTGTTGGATCTTGAACCTAGAGTAAAACGAAGTGAAAATTATGACATGCTTTAGCATTAAAACTGGAGTTTTCAATAGGTCATAAACAACATTAAGGCTTCACCTTTTGCCAACCTTTACAATCCAGAAAATATCTTCACGTCATCGGATGGAGGGGGTGCAGGAAATACTTGGCCCAATGGTTATTCTCAAGGAGAAAGAATGTGTGAGGACATCATGGATATGGTCGATAGAGAGGCAGATAATAGTGATTCATTAGAAGTATGATGATGAATGTTAAATAACTATAAAAGGTTTAACATTATTGTACCTCTTTTAGGGGTTCATGCTTCTTCATTCTATTGCAGGTGGTACTGGTTCTGGTTTGGGCTCATTTTTGTTAGAAAGATTAAATGATCGCTATCCTAAGAAATTGATTCAAACATACTCGGTATTTCCAAACAGCGAGGAAGTATCTGATACTGTAGTTCAACCATATAACAGTATGCTGGCGTTAAAGAGATTAACTAACAATGCAGATAGTGTAGTAGTTCTTGATAACGCAGCATTATCGCGTATTGCGACAGACAGATTACACATTCAGCAACCTACATTTGAACAAACAAATCAACTTGTATCGACAGTCATGTCAGCTAGTACAACCACGCTTAGATATCCTGGATATATGAATAATGATCTTGTCGGTATTGTGGCCTCTTTGATACCAACTCCTAGATGTCATTTCCTTACAACAGCATATACACCATTCTCCAGCGAACAGGTAGAGAAGGCTAAGTCAATTCGTAAAACTACAGTACTGGATGTTATGAGAAGATTATTACAGCCAAAGAATCGAATGGTATCAACTGTTCCGTCTAAGCGTAGTTGTTATATATCGGTATTAGATATTATTCAAGGTGAAGCAGATCCAACGGATGTTCATAAATCCTTACTGAGAATTCGCGAGAGAAGATTAGCTTCATTTATACCTTGGGGACCAGCAAGTATTCAAGTAGCTTTGTCAAAGAAATCTCCCTACGTTCAGACACCTCATCGTGTCAGTGGACTCATGTTAGCTAATCACACAAGCATTGCTTCACTATTCAAACGTACATGTGATCAGTATGATAAGTTAAGGAAAAGAAATGCTTTCTTGGAACAATATAGAAAATTTTCCATGTTCTCTGATGATTTGGATGAGTTTGATGATTCTCGCAACGTAGTGCAAGACCTTATTGATGAATATGAAGCCTGTGAAACCCCCGATTATGTCAACTATGTAAGTTATAATAGTGTCTGATTGCTATAAACTTATACTGATTTTGTTATGTAGGGCAGAAAGGATAGTCCAATGGACACAATGTAATAAATAATAAGATATAAAAAATAATAAATCCGCAACCCAGTCACTTTTTACACAGCTGTGTTAGCCGCGAAATTCCCGTCTCTTCATTTCATTTTTTTGCCTTTTTTTATACAGTTTCCTCAACGCAAACATGGTTGCTGAAAATGCTGTTTTAATCAAGCAGGGAGCTGAAGCAGTAAGTGATAATTAGTCATTGTCTACAAAACCGAGTGTAAATGTATATTTGTAGCGTGTGTTTCATTTACCCACTTTTCTTACACAACCTGAAGGTTGCATTGCCAAAGAGAGATTTAAAAAGAGCTATCGCCACCCTGATCTCGACCAATACTTAACTAGTCGACGTGTAGCTCAAGAAGCCCGTAGTTTGTATAAATGTAAGAAGGCAGGCATGGATACTCCCACTGTGTATTTCATCGACATGGCCTCGGCAACCATTTACATGGAAAACATTACGGGTGAAACTGTCAAACAACGACTGTTAGAAAATCAAGAGAATGAATACAAAGATGTCGATACAGGTAAATTTGGATGCGTTATGCAAACAGCCCTTATTGACAACTAAACAGAAACCATGGCAAAAAGAATCGGCGTTTCACTAGCAAAGATGCATAGCTTGAACGTTATTCATGGTGATCTGACCACATCCAATCTGATGTTGAGAAAAGCCGGTGATTCAGTGGTAATTAACTTTGATATGGATCTTTTTGAAAAAATGTGATGCTGATTATTTTATCAAGGTGGTCATTGATTTCGGTTTAAGTTTTGTTTCTTCCTTGATTGAGGATAAAGCAGTAGATCTCTATGTTTTGGAACGCGCATTTTCAAGTACTCACCCCAAAACAGAAGCATTGGTAAGTATCCATGTGATCTGTGTAGATTATAGGTTTTTAATCAAGTGCATATAGTTTGAAAAGGTCCTTGAACACTATTTAAGTGTCTCTAGTCAGGCAAAGTTGATTTTATCCAAGTTAGAAGATGGTAAATGCGAAACAATATGTGAACTACCAGAATACTAATATTTGTGATATAGTGAGATTGAGAGGACGTAAGCGAAGTATGGTTGGATAATAACCAATATTCAATAAAGTGTAGTTACATACATTTTGTGTGAACGGAATCCTCTTTTAGAGTGATATGAACAAAGTGAATTAAAAATAAGTAGAATATCAATCTTTCAGTTATTCTCTTCAAGTGGTATTACTGAGTAAAATTGGAATAATTTACTTGCTCCTAATAAATAGCACTGAGAAAGCTTTGATTGGGAAGTCAACATAGTACTTGATGATATAAGCTTGATTTATGAGAGGCTTCTTAATCCAAGGAACAGTTGGTTTTTAACGTGATCTTTTTTTTAAAAACAAAATAATTAAGAAACGGTACTTAGAAAATTGATTTTTTGGAGGTTCTGGTGACCGTATAATTAAGCTGTTGTCTAATGCTTAATGGTAAGCTCTTTTAACATATCAATATGTTCGTACTTCCGGTACGAGTTCCCCAGCAATCTATTGGGCCAACTGCCGGAATTTAAAGTTTGTTACGCAATGACATAATGCTCTGTGCTTCATAAAAAAAGGCCCTTTTGTTTTATTATTTCTTTTTGAATATTATAAACATGTCTACCCAGTCGATTTTAAGCAAGGACGATGTCAGCCTCGAGAAAGGTGTTAGGTAAATTTAAGATGGAGTCCGAAAAGAACTATCCGGAACTTACATCCTTTTTACTTGATGTAGCAACATTCAACTTGAATCAGATGTAAAGGTATGTTAAAACGTGCTCAGAAACTATGCATCGACATTAAAAAAATAAAAATAACCTTCTACAGAAAACGATTCCCAAGTTTGGTTCCCATAATGCCACGGTATACAAGTATATCACCGGTAAATTTTATCATCCCAGTACTCGTTTCGATGATCTTCGTGGTCTTAGTATCAATAAAGGCGGTGATTGCGACTTGATTCAGGTAAATGACACGGTTCTGATAGACGTATCATTCGTATTGACATCTATTTAGGCAAACTCCAAATTTATCGCAGTACCAATTTCTGGCCCCGGTGGCCGTGTTGCTATTATCAACGCTGATAAGCCCGGTCGTCTTCCTACACAGATTCCTTGTGTGATGTGTGGATCAGAGGTTATCAACTTTAAGTTCAGTCCTTTTGATGAGTCTATATTGGTTACTGGTAAGTTAATTGAGCAAAAAAAAAAAAAAAAAAAAAAAAAAAGCTATTGTACTAACATAAAAAAACATTTAGTCTCCAATGATAATAAAATTCGTGTGTGGAGTATTCCAGAGGGTGGAATTGAAGAGGATGTTGCTGAACCAAAGTTCATTTTAGAAAGTACATAACATAGAAAAATGAAAAGATAAAATGTTAATTAAAACTAATAATTACATAGCTCGATCCATGGATAAAATTCATTTGCTCGAATTTCACCCTACCACAAAGGATATCTTGTTGACTACCTCCGATGATTTAGGGAATCCAACTATTCGTATTTGGAACCTTGAAACACAGAAGGATGAAATTACTTTGAGTGGCATCCATAAAGATGTGATTTTCAGCTGTGCCTGGAGTCCTGATGGCAAGCAAATTGCAACTACCACAAAGGAAAAGAAAATTCGTGTTTTGGACGCTAGGACAGGTAACATCATTTCCGAAGGGCCTGCTCACAACAGCATTCGACCTTCTCGTCTTCTTTGGCTTAGTCAAGAGACTGGTTTGTTAATTAGTGTTGGGTTCGGACTCGGATCTGCTCGTGAAGTCTTGTTGCTTCAAAAGGATAACCTCGCCAAACCTGTAGCAAAGAATATGATTGATGTTTCCCCCAGTGTTATGAGCGCTTACTTTGATAAAGACTGTCAAATCCTTTTTGTGGCTGGCAGAGGTGACCGTACTATTCATACTTTCCATGTAGAGACCGATACCCAAAAGTTGGTTCCTCTTGCAAAGATCGAATCTGCTTCCCTCCAACAAGGTTTCGCTTTCTTGCCAAAGCGCGCTTGCAATGTCAAGGAAATTGAAATCGACAAGTTCTATAGATTAACACCGACACATATTGAAGTGGTCGGTGTTCGTGTACCTCGTGCTAGAGTAAGAATTTCTTTTATATCAATGTTTGGCGTATGATCCTAAATCTAATTCTTAATTAGCCTGAGTATTTCCAAGATGATATCTTTGTACCTACTCCCGATATCGAGCGTCCTGCTCAAAATGCTGCTAGCTGGTTTAACGGCGATGATAAACAATTAGAGCTTATTTCATTGCAGCCTGAAGGCATGACTGAATGTAATTATTTAGTCGCATTTCATACACTTTCAATATAACTAACTTTATCTGTAGTATCGGTCGCTCCCCCTCCTCCTTCCCAGGCCCAGTCAAAGAAGAAATTTGAAATGGGCAAGCAGTATGTTAGCGACGAACAACGTAAACAAGAGCAAATGGAGCGTATGTTCAAGGCAGCTAAAAACCTCCCCGAACCAGAAGTCAAACCCAAGAATACAAACCCTGAGGATGAAGAGGTCGCTGAAGATGAGTGGGACGATTAAATTATAACAGTAAAACCATACTCATGTATATAGAAATAAATTAATGAATAATATTACTTTTTTTTCCTGCTAACCGAGGCAATTGAAATGCTCCTTAATTACAAAACTTGAGAATAGTGATATTTTGTTTGCAATCGTATGTTGTGCATTTTTTTTTTTTTTTTAGCTCAAACACAAATTAAACAGTATGTCTCAATTGATTTTGCTGTAGTTTTAAATTAGGGGGGCATTTTCACTAAACTTCTAAATAACTATTCTACCACGTCGTTGTTTGGCAAGGCAGAGATTGTCAAAAAGGACCTGATTTATTTCTTAAAACAAAAGTGGCAATTGTCACTTACATTTTACGCAAAAAAACACGTAGTTAAACAGCAGGAGTAATGATTTACATAGTTTTTATAAACGTTTTATGTATAGTTAAAAAGGATGTGCAAAAGCAGATGTGCATTATTATTACCAAATTGAAAGTAAGGAATCTTCTTTGCAATTCTTATTTTTTTTTTTATATGCATGTAAACCCCCTACTTCGTTTTACTCGTCATAAACTATTTCTACGTTATCACGCACCCATTCTGCCAAACTCGGAGATTGGAAATAGTACTTAGCGGGTTGCATGGGCTCCTTATGTTCATTGCTGATTTGAATAGGGATCGGTTGGGGAGAAAGGCTATTGATTTCGCTGGCACTAAAACTATTGGAAGGACTTTGGGGTAATCTCTTTTCAAAGACCTTCTGGACATACTCCCCTGCTTCCTGCCATAAATTCCCATACGAATCTGAGAACCCTCCTTTTTCATCAACATCGGTCAAGATGGGAAAATCCTCCGATAATTCGCTCGTATTATCCCCACTATTTCTATCAATCTCTATGGGTGTGGTTTGGGCTCCCATTTCTCCCATCCCTTCAATGCAGTTCGATATATCCTCATCGAAAATCTCATCAAACAAATAATCATCATCATCCTGTTTGAATGACATTTCAACTGCTATCGAAAAGATAAATCAAATCATACGTACTCGATTTATAGATATATCTATAAAGTATGACTTACCAGTGCTTCCGGTTAAATCAATATCAACTTTCGGACCATTTAATTCTACGCCTGAAGGAGTTGTTTGGTAAATAAAATTATTAAACTCCCTGAAGCTTGCATTTTACCGATGTCAGACTTCTGTACATGTGTATTCATCTTGGGGTTAGTCAATTCAGTCCCTTCAGGTTCATTCACATCTACTCTTTGATCATCGGAGGACTTCGATTTTTTTGTGATCATGATGTCTGTCATATCTTCATTTTCTTCGCAACTTCTTTTTATTCCGACTTGGCTGTTATTGAGGTTTGAAGGAATATGCAGCTTACAGCAAGTATGTTTGCACCTATTTTAAAACGTAGAAGATATTAATTGGAAGTCGCAAGTACATAGAACCCTGTGTCTTACAAATCCTTTGCTTTGCATCGATGTTTACAGCTACAATTAATAAGTTGAGAAATCAATACACGATCTATATCCTTTTCGAAATAGTTGCTTACAGTCCACCAGAAGGATTTTTGCCAACTTCACGGTTTAATGGTTGTTGCACTTGTAAATTAGAGAAACTGGTGCTAGTTGATTTAGGATCAGAACTTTGGGGATTTCTTGTTCTGGTGTTGTTATTCTCTACGTCAATCAAGCTCAATGCTTCTAATGTCGGAGTATCTATATGAATTGCATCCTGCTCGTTATCGAAATCAGTGACTGTGTCGGTTAAGCATTGACGGAAAGTATCCTCATGATTATCAAGACTGACAGATCTGGCTGCAACCGGTCCATTTAACTTGGGCTTTGTGTTTGAAATATTGGAATTTCCTGCTAAAGTAATATAGCTTCTTGGATTCACGTTTGGTTTTATTTCTTTTGTCAAGTCCACTCCAACTAAAACATCAACGCTGCGTTAGTTCCTTGTTTGCATTTGGCCATGATTTTGCTTACCGAAATCTTCACTCATCAAATGACAGAAAATTCCCATGCTCGGCGATGTTACTTCGACTTCCAAATCAAATTTTTGTTTGCCCTGATGCAACTTTGATATACTGAATAAATGATTGTCAGCCTTCTAAAGTGAAAAAAAAGGCTACCATAAAACGAAGTATAACCTACAGAATGCGACGGAAATCCAACAAGTTTTTTTCGGTTGTTTCGACCCAGAATTGAGCATAATAAGGATGGCCGCTCTTCCCCTTGTTGACCTGGCGGTTAAGCAGCCCTATGGTAACATGCATATTTATGAACTCGTACGGATTAGTCTTAGTCAGTCTTTTTGTGCTGGGAAACTTCATGAATAGAGTTTCGAAAAAAATCAGTTTTACTAAAGCTTTCAATATAATGTGATTAATGCGCATACCTGTTCTACGTCTAAAACAAACTGGGGTATTAATTCCAAACACCTTTTGATCTATGCACAGAACAACATTAGTAGAATTAGGGTAACCAAAATCAGTTTACCTTGGTCCCAAACGGAGGATTACGATGCAATATCTGTTTAACATTGGTGTTACCAAGAGTTTACTTTAGTTGCAAGAATTATACTTACAACTTCGAAACGACCTGGATCGCATCCTTTCAATTGCTCCATAGTAATTAAGTTGGCCTGTGAAAGCGTTTTTGAGAACTGAGGTCCGATTCCTTCAATTTGTCGTGATACGTATGGCGATGTAGACCATATTTTGGCTTGAATGCTTTGGTATAACTCCAGCGCAAACCTCAATTTGGTAGAACTTTTTTCTTGAACACTGCAGTCAATCAAGCCTAGTTATAATAGATTAGACTGTCGATACAGTCACAACTACGAATAATTATTACATTTTACGATACGACAAACATCCTTCATGACAGTTGTCGCCTCCATGACAAGTAAAGCACTTCCAACATTATTTAATGATATATCACCAAGCACGCACTAAATAACTGTAAATAAAAACTCAAAGGCACATCTTTATAAAACCTACTTGAACCAAAAGGCATATCTTGTCAGATACATTTACAATTTTATCTAGAGGGAATCTGATATTTGGGTTGTTTTTGAGCTTAATCAAAAACTGCCTATCACCGCTATTAAACCTTATCGTGTTCATCTCTTGTTGGCATTCACTTATGAGATTGAGCTATGTAACATTAATGAGTGTAAATGAATAGAATCATTTTTCGCCCTATATTATTCAGCTTTTTATGTAACAGGGGGAAGGCGAGGGAATTATATACCGTGTCCTTGACAGATGTGGGATTTTCTGCTTCCATGATTTTAATCATTGTCAGAAACTTGATGTAATATTTATCCATGATCAATCCGTAAGCTATCATTTTAGAAAGAAGCTTTTCTTAATCAATACACAATTTTTAATTTCATTTTGCTACGCTTACGAGTAGGTTTTAAAAGAAAGTTGGATTGTTTTTCAATCAAATTGTGTCGTTCTAAAAGCTCCAGATCTTTGACACAAATTTCTTTAGAAATGTTAATAGGCGAAAGCTTTCAATGATAGTCCAAGCAATAAAAAATATTACCTTTTAATATGACATCTGTGGACATGTTTTCTGTGGGGTTCAGTTTATAGTGTGTAGGATTCTTTGATAGTCGTACATATAAAAAAGTGGATTGCAGCCTATAGTATACAGTGATTCATAAAGCGTCAGATTAAAATTGAGATGAAGGTAATAGTATTACCATGTCAATGCAGTAGACATATTAGTAATTGTGGACAAGCAAATTTCGGATAACAAATGCTCAATCAAATTTTCATGCAGCCTTTAAGAATGGTAAGTGAAGATAGAGTGCGGAATACCTCAAAGTATCTATTTTACCTGCTTTCTAAGTTAGTGCCTCCAGCTATTAATGAGCGATAACGTGTTTCCATCTGAGAAGTAGTCATAATAACTATAGTTCCTGAAGTATCCAAACCAGGTCTTCCTGCTCGTCCGATCATTTGAAGAGTATCAATATCCGTGTACTCACTTAAAGTTCCATTTTGATAGCCTTTTTTGTATGTTTGTTTATGGAAACTATTTGTTAGTCCAACCGTTGTAAATTAGTAATTTTGAATAGATCACCTTGTGTAGATTTAATAATAACCAAATGCGCAGGAAGATTTACCTACACATATAATTAGTTAGTCTCGTTTCTTTGTTATTGTTGTTATAGGATAAACGTCTGTAGAATGTAAATATTTACGCCTACTGCTAATGTAGATGTTGTGGCTAGCATAAAAAGTGCACCTGTATATTAGTACGAAAAAAAAAAAAAAAAGCATGTACGCTTTCAAAAGTTGCATACCTATTACTCTTATCTCTCTATTCAAATATAATTTTTCCATCTGAGAGCGATCGCTAGGATCCAGACCAGCTGTACCATAATGCAAATACAAGCAGTACTTATTAGTCCTAGTTCTCTAAAAAAATGTTCAATAACAAACCATGATGGAAGCCAATTCCTCTTTCTCCAAACCCGGGTAAAAGTTTATTCTTAAATTTTGGCTTTGCTACAAGCTTTTTTCCATTTTCACTGCAAAAGGGGGCAATATAAATGTATTGATTTTTTTTACATATGTATTATCCTTATACCATAAAGAGGAAATATTTTTCTTGTCCATCATTTTTAAAAGTGTATCACATGACCCCTCAGCTGATTTCCGAGTCGAACAAAACTGCATACAAAGTGCATGAGTTGACTTATGATGTATTAATGCAACTGATCTGACAGATATCTCTTACAATCAATACTGGTTTCATATTACTATGTTTTATAATAATATCCAAAAGTCTACCACGGGTCAATTTTGAGTATCGAAAATTGCACGATCGTGTTATTAAACTTACTTCCAATCCAACTTCTTTTCGAAAAGAAACATGTTGCAATCTTGTGGATATCCGTAAACGATTCGTTCAAGCTTGATGGGACGGTATTCTTCCGAAAAAGATATAGCTAGACGTTTTTGAATATAAAACTATGATTACGACGCATGTTTTTCTGGTTAAATTTCGGATCAAATTACTCACGCTTCGCTCTGAGCCACGTGGCAATGTCTTGTAAATTAGGAATTGTTGCTGAAACAGCAATATATCTTAAATTAATATCCATTGTCTAACATGAATCCTTGTCATTAAAAACTGTCGCTTGTCTAATTGAGAAGACATTCCTACCTGCATTCGACTGACACAGGCTTCTAAACAAGCGCCCCGGTTTTCATTTAAAATATGAACTTCGTCAATCTAAAACAAGATTTCTTGTCAGCCTTCAAGTACAGTGTCAAGAAAATACTTGTTTTTATTTTACTAAAAATAGACTGATAAGTTGCATCAGCTGCCGATTATCGATCCAACGTCTAGTCATAGAGTCCCATTTCTCAGGAGTTGTGATACTATGTTTTAAACAATTGAATGGACAATTCATCCAGTGCCTATGTATATAACCTACATGATTGAAGCATTTCGTATAGCTGACGTTGAATAAAACTGAGTATCACCAGTGAACTCTTTACCTAAAAAATTAAATGATTGATTGAGGGGGAGTGGGTTTATTTTTCCCACAATATAAGGTTGAGCTCCTTTATTACTTACATTCAATACCAAAAGGGCCGAACTTGCTTCCCCAGTCTTGTGTTCTTTCACTGCATAAGCTTTTGGTAGGAGCCATATATATTATTTTAGTGTCATTTCCCTGATTTAAGAGTGTACGAATGATTGCCAGTTCCATCAAAGCGGTCTTTCCGGATCCAGTCGGGGCTGTGCAACATGCATATTAGAAAACTTAATGTCACCAAAGGCGTCAAACGTAAATACCTGAAATTACCAAATTGTTGTTTTCATAAAACGTCTAATAAAAATAATAAAAAAATGCATGGTTGTTGTCAATATAAACATTGGTTAAAAAGTCTGTTTACGGATTACATCATCTAAGCACTTTGACTGAATAATATTGAATACTCCAAACTTAAATATGGAACCAAAAGGTTTTGCTAAATAAAATGGAGGATCAGTAGGATAGCATAAAATTACACCCATTATACACTCACGTATCTCATTTGTCGGTCTCAGTTCAGTGTTTCCTAATACAGGAAGAGGTCTATTACACTGCATAGTAGGTTGAGCTACATACATTACGGTATATCAATTAGGTGTGTATCGTCAACATAATAATGCAGTGTAACCCTATAATCATGTAATGTATGCAACCTTACCACCTTTATTTCTTGAATGCCTGTTTGATAAAGTATTAATAGCAGCAAGATCGCTATACTCAAGCTCCTAATATTGCAGTTAAATCATTGTTACATATTTTTTTTTTAAAAAAAAATAACAGGTTTGGGCGAAACTTTACTTTACTCGGACGGAACATGGCGATATCCTGTTGATTGTCAAAGAAATTCATAGGAACCTCTTCAAGGGATGCTTCTTCATTTGCCAGCCATTCCGTAATCCAGGAATCCATGTCTATATTCTGCGAATCAGTAATAGGCCTGTTATTTGCATTTGAGCTTTCTGCCGTTGATTTATGCACGTGTTTGCTGGACGGTGCGCTCTCCGTAGCATAATTGCAGCGAGTGCTTCGATTTTGGACAAGATGAGATGCCTTTTGCCACATTTTATAAATTGTATGTAATAATCAAAGAAAAAAAAAACCGACAACAACAAAAAAAAATCTTACGATTATATTCTGACTGGGTGGAATTTACCTTGTTTTCCCCTCCTCTCCTGCCGCCCCTAACTCATAAATCATATATTGTGATTTATTGCGGAACACCCATGCCTTATTACCACGACTTTTATTTTGTCTTGCATAAAATTATCTAAATACAGTCATATTTATTCTAGTCATCTGATTTGTGTATAAGAAAGTGCAATCATTAGTTATGCAATAAATTATGTCTTTTGCTTTCGATCGAAAAGAAGTTCATGTACGGAAGAATTAAGGATCTTTAAGGTTGACAAGGGATTTCGTGAATTGTTTGTTATATTAGTATGCTCATCTAAAGTTATTGTGTGACTAGAGAAAAATATAAAGGAGTAGAAGAAAGGAACATTCGTTTTCTACCCCTATGATTGCTTTTGGAAATAAAAAAAAGCTAGTAGTAATGATAACAACAATCCGAAAAAAAAGCCCCATTCCAAATTTAAAGATAAAGTTTTGCCTCCTTTAAAAAAAGTTTTTTTATTTTGTTTTTGCTCTTCTTCTTCTTTTTTAATAGATTCTTTAAAAAAAAATGACAGATATTATATCCAATATCAAAATACAAAAACCAGTACCCATTAGTAACAGAAGGGTTAGCCTTCAACAGAATGCGAGCAATGATCATCCTGCCACCAATAATAGCCATCAGATAAAATCAACTCCCCTTTTATCTCACCATAACAGTTTGCCTGCCAACAGTTATGCCTTGGCATCCGCAGAGCCTTTATCATTGTCGTATAAACCTACGAAGCAGCACGAGCTCTTGTTAAAATCGTCTCTTAAACTCCATAAAAATATTCCTACCATGGCTAAATCTGTCCGTTTTAACATGCCACTTGTCCAAATTTTGCATTTCCACGTTCCTTCAACAAACGAAGAGGAAGTGTATGATGAGGTTTTTGAAGGCGTAGACGAGGAGGATGAAGACGACGGCAATTATTTTGGAGACGACCAAGACGATCAAGACGAAGAGGAAGAAAACGAATTGGAAGATGCCTTTTTAGAATTATTCAGTAAAAGATTATCACCATGCTCCGATTACGATCCTAATCTTTATCATCCAGCCATCCAACAAAGTATATTGGATGCCTCGCTCGATACAACCTCTCTGGACTTGAAATTGCCAAACTGGCCAACGGCTAGCCCATTAAACCGCTCCATCACTCAAATGGTTACTTTAGAAAGTTTGGGCTGGGAAAATGCGCGTAGCATTATTAAGGGACGTGTCCTTGTTCGTAATGTTGCTTTTGAAAAAACCGTAACCGTCAGAATGTCTTTCAATCACTGGCAAACGTGGATTGATGTTGATGCACGTTATGAAGCGTCCTCTGAAGACGCTGCTTTTGATCGATTTGTATTTGAACTGGTCACCCCCAATCATCTTTCTTATATGAATCTTATAAATAGCGACTCGCATTGCAGCTTGGCTGTAAAGTATCAGGTGGATGGTGCTGAATACTGGGATAACAATTCTGGTAAGGACTTCCTTATGCAATGGGCACCACCTTGTGGCTACAGTGCTTTCTTAGGGGCCAAACAAAACAATGAAACTGCCTACTCTTTCCCTACTACCACCACCGCCATGGCTACCATCGCTCTTACCATGGCCAACACTAAGGCCACCACCATGTGCACGACCACCATAGGCACGCCAGCCATAGTTAAGACCACCATAGGCACGCCAGCCATAGTTAAGACCACCATAGGCACGCCTACCATGTACACACCCACCATAGGCACGCCAACCATAGGCACACCCACCATAGGCACGACAGCCATAAACAAGACCACCATAGGCAAGAATACCATAGGCAAGACCACCATAGGCAAGACCACCATAGGCAAGACCACCATAGGTACGACGACCACGACGACCTTTACTCCCATGCCCACGGTAGTCGGAGGAAGCCAGATAGCTTCATTGTTGTTATTGGAGCAACAGAGAAAGATTCCTACCCCGGCTATGCTATTGTATCAGGAAGATCCCATCATGCAATTCCGAAAGGAGGAGTATTATCCTACCACAATCATTTCAGATGGCTACCCTGCCTGTAATAATATGTACATTGATCCATCACCCGTAGATAGATATGGAAAGCAAGGCCTGTCTGATGGTGCATTTGGTGTCTCTCCGCAACAGCAGCAGATGAGTGCGCACTTTCAATACTATCTGGATAGAAAAAAACAGGACAACGAACAAGTGAGAGAGTACCACTATCCGCGTCTGCTTTCAGTAACGGATCATGACGAAGGGCCCATGCGTGTCTCTTTGACGCCTTCATCCCCGCTTTTAATACCGCCCAATAGGAACGATCTGGTCATAACTTAGCATTTTATATTACATACAATAAGTGTTATTAAATATCCAACCACAGATTTTTTTCTTTTTTATATCATGCTACTTCAATTAATGTTTTTGCCATTTTCATTATTCTCCTTAAAATTTCAAAACACTATGGCTAAAACTTTTTTTTTTATGAGAAGAGAAAATCACTTTGTCTTATACTATATTTAGTGCATTTATGCATCTTTCCAAATTTTTCATATGCTTCCGTCTGTTGAAAGCAGAGTTAAAAAAGAAAGGAGAAGCATGAAGGAGGGAAGGAGGAAGATTTTTTTTATTTGTTATATTTGAGCCTATTATCAATATTTGCCCTATTACAAGTTCAAAGGGATAAAGTGAAACTGAAAATCGAGAATAATATGATGGAGAAAGATGATGATGATGGTGAAAAAATGGAAGCGCTCGATTTTATCTTTTCCGCGACAGCAGGTGGTGCTACATGTGCTGAAGGTTTTTGTGTGGCTTTGGAACTATGACGAGCAACAGATCGACTACTTTCCGGGGCCAAAGTAATCGGACTGAATGTAAATTCTGACCCTGCTGTCATAATAGATTCTGCTGTTGTTGTTGCTGCGTAAGTGCTTGTTGCGTTTGCTTGTTGAAGCATAGCATTTGCGTCTTCTGAAACAGCTTCATCTTGAGCTTCGCCAATGATCTCGCCAGCACCGATGCCATCTGCAACATCTCTGCCAGCAGCAACATCCGTAGTGATAGCGGATGATGGTTCTGATGTTTCTACAGCTATGCTTCCACTACTGCTTATGGTTTTATCTTCGGCTGCTGCTGCTGTAGCTGCTGCCATCGCGGCAGCTACAGCCATATCCGCCGCAATCGAAAGTACGTCATTTTGGTCAATGACTAGCACTTGGGCAACTTGCTGAACCACAGCAGTAGGCATCGCATTCTCCTGCGCTGATTATATTAAAAAAAAATTGGGTTAAGCATCGTCTTGGAACTTTTTTTTTTAAAAAAAACATCACAATGGGTTATTTACCTTGTATATCGTTTAAAGATGATCCAGCTATATTTTAAAATTAAGTATATTTTGTCTTTTTCTAATTCGTATGTATTACCTTCAATGTCAGCGGCATTGACCAAAAATGAAGCGGAAAGCGTAATCAGCAAGTAACAAGTTAGGGTGGCGCGCATAATTTTATTGTAATTTTGGGGGGTGAAAAAAAAATACAAGGAGGGAAAGAGGTTTATGGAACATGGATTTAAAAGCTGGCTTGTTCATATTATAAGGGGAATGAAGGATAATAATAGCAGACATGATTTGAATTATCCGATTAAACATTTTATTTATTTATTTTTTTTTACATTAAAAATTAGAGCAACCAAAAAAAAAAAAAAAATAGAGTTTAGACTAAATAAACGTGTGTATATACGAAGGTGTGTGTGTAATTGTATGTATGTATGGGATTATACTTTTTTTTTTATATGTTGGAGTGACTTATTGAGTCATGGCTTCCATGGTCAAGTTTCCATCCATTTGCTCCTTGACAAACATTTCAAAGTATTGGAAGACAATCATGACAGTCATCAAGATACCAGCACCGGAACCAATGGCACCAAAGATATCACCCACAAGGGCAACAGCGGCTAAAAGAGCACCACCAAAGGCAGCAGCAACAGGAATCACACGCTTCAATTCCTTGACCATGGAGGCATCACGGAAACCAGCAATAGCAAGTTGTTGATCCTTGAGGGTCTTGGCAACATCACGGGGAGAAGAGCCAGAGACATTGACCCAGACATTGGACAAGTAGGCACAGATGATGACAGTAATAGCACCATAGATAATAGTGTGGATAGGATCAAAAATAGCTTCGCTTAAACTGTGAGGGGCAGAGAGATAGTAAACAACACCACCGGTAGCAACAAGTTGGTTAGATTCGGCAAGAGGCTCCCAAACACCGAGAATACGGATAAGAATGTTGTTACCGAAATAAGTGTAGAGAGTTTGAGAGATCAAGAAAATGTTGGCGAATAAGGCAGATTGAAGCATGACAGGCATGCTGGAAGTGTAGAAGAGCTTGATGGGGTAAGAACCACGTTGGCCACGAAGACGGTTAGACTTGACAGGAAGCTCGAAACGGAAACCTTGGAGATAGATGACAAGACCAAAGGTAAGAAGTGTGGCGAAAACGTTCATGACGTTGGTTAAATCATCACGATAAAAGGCATCCTTGAGAGCACGAGCCTTATCACTACGAGATGTAACCAAACTGACAAAAGAGTTGAGAGCACCTTCATATTCAGTTCCACGGAAAGTGGCGATCTTGGAGAATGACAAGGACTTCCAGAAGATGGTTTGAGCAACATTGGCAGCAACAAAGACGTTGATACCGGATCCAAGACCGTAACCCTTTTGTAATAATTCATCCAACAATAAAGTCACGGTAGAAGAAAACACAAGTTGAAGAACTAAAAGACCGCAACCAACAGTTCCAATTTCGGTGGGGTTGCCATAGAGACCAGTGAAAACGAGAAGAATAGCTTGAGCAACAGCAATAACAATTGCAAATACTAATCAATTATATGTATTAGTCAATGGCTCAAATTTTCCTCCAGTCTGCTAATTGTTCCCCTCCATATAAAATCGCATTGACACATGGATACACACGTCTCTCAATTTACACCCAAAATTCCCGGTTTTTAAAACATAAAATATAAACTTACACTTCTGAGCACCACAGAATAAGGCACGATCTTCCTTTAAACTGTAATCGACATGAATAACGTTAGCAACGGCTAAAATTTGCATGATCATTCCGGAGGTGAGAATGGGGAGAACACCCAATTCCATAAGTGTACCACGGTTAGAAGCGAGCACAACACGCATCCAGTAAAGAGGATCAGAGGATTCTGAAGAGATGATTCCGTAAAGAGGAAGTTGAGACATGACCAAATAAGCGAAAAGTGCAACGACGGTATAGAGTAATTTTTCGTTGAAAGGAACCTATCAATTTTTGTCAACATCATCATCATCATGTCATGATGACTCTCTTTTCTTACTTTGCTTGAAGGTGATTCGATTTCGGGAAGAGCAGCCATGAAAGGCTTCAAGATGTGAAGTACCCGGACTATGCAACAAGCATTAATACGAACATTCCAAACCCACTACTTTTAATTAACATATAACACTTACGGCCCATTTTTAAAATATATGTATTTTGTTTTTGACGCGAAAGCAAAAAGGGAAAAAAAAAAGAGCAAAAAAAAATATTGAAAGGGAGTGGGAAAAATAGTAAAAAAGAACCAATGATGAACAAAGGTTGGAATGAGCCAATCATTCGTCCTCTTTCACCTTTTGTTGTAAGATGCACAGACTAAAACGCTACACCATCGTTCCGTGTAACTCTAATAATTTCCTTCCAGATAAGATATACCAATCAACAAACACGAGCAATTGACAAGCTCTTTGGTTCATGCTTTGTTTTCGGTTGAGTTATATCAACATATACAGTAAACAGTATGTAAATGTGCCGAAAGCAAAGCAGTAAAACTAGAATAGCTTAGAAAGCCTTTAGGAAAAAGAAACGACCCTGTTTTATTATGTACTCCGCGTACACAATATTAAGCATTGTGCACCAAACACGTATGTCAATAAAACTCATGTGTTTGATCCATAATGATTTTGGGCAACCCATCATTATCTTTATAGAACTTCTCCTTTAAAATAACACTTTTTACCCTAATCATCCCGGGCAAATCATTTTAAAAAAAAAAATTAAGGGGGCACAAGTTTTCTTAGCCCATGCTGTTATTCCCGTTATTATTTTATTGCTCCAGCCTTTGCTTGCCCGAATCATCCTTGTTTCGAAATAAGTCTTTCTGCTTTTATTTTTACGAACAGGTCTCTTTAATATATGAAATAATCTCACTATACGAGCATTACTACATGTCTGGAATGTGCGGGTACATGGCTTATTGACAGAGAAACCAGACTGATGTTTCATTGATTAATGCATGGCTCCCTCAGCAAAATTCTTTCTTCGGGTAACTATACACATATTTACTTTTTTAAATTCGGTCCATCAACTTTTGGACAAACTCTTTCACCTCGAGATTTTATTACTAGTGTAGCAAAGCAATTAATATGCCATAAACAGAGAAAATGCCGTGCACAGTATTTATCATCTAAAAAACTGCAATGATGTGCTGGACACTGTAAACAAGATGTTTATTAATACTAAACAGGTCAAGTTTAAGCGTTATGTTCTGAAGCAACCATTGCAACCATGACAACACAAAATGAACAAGATTCAACAAAACGCAACTAATCAAAGTTGTCACAACTCTGTTAGCTAAAAGAATATAAATACCCACTCAAACAAAGAAGTTGAAAAGAAAGAGGTAGCCTTAAAATGAAAACAGGGTAGCGAACAGTGATTGTATAAACTTTGAGTAGCTTTTCATGAGCACAAAAAAAAAAAAAAAAAAAAAAAAATAAGAAATGCCTTGCAATAACTTGCGTTGGTCTTTTAGTGGGTTGTCACTCTTGATTTAGGTACAGTCATGCCTTCTTCGAATGTCGAGACTTTTTTTTTTAAAAAAGAGAAATTTGAAGATGTATAATAAAACACCTTAATATAGAAGGCGCACCTTTAAAAAGTTGAGGGGTAGAATCGTGTACGCCACTACTTGCCTTATTGAGAACGCGAGTTTTAAAAGTGCCTATCCAGGTGACCATAATACACAGCAGTCTCAATTCAATGTAAACAATGATGTCAATCATACGTGTGTGTAGGGAGGTAAAGTGTCCAGAAATTTCTGTGATGGGTCGTCTGACTTTTATAAAAGTCACAAACCTAAGAGAAAAAAAAGGTATAAAAGGGCTCCCTTTTTTTCCTGGGCAAATTTCCTTTTCTTTTTTTTCCTCATAAAAAATTACTTTGAGATAAGATTATACATTTATTGTACTCACTAACAGTAGATGCTATGTCGAGTCTTGGAGCCCATTTCCGGGTAGTCAGTCTAGTAGAGAGGCGTTGATTCTAGTGGGGAGGAATCAGACTATTGATTTTTTTCCGGATGCGCGCACGGCCTCCGTTTTTTTAATATTAATGAAAATGAAAAATACAAAATAAAAATAAGCCAATGAATTTTTATTTTTATAGAATTTTTAGCAGGGCGTTTTTTGCATCCTCTTAAAATTAAAATCTTATTGGACCTTTCTTCTTTATTTAATTTTTTATTTTATGGTTGAATACCCCTAATAAACACTAGTAAAGCATATAATTTTTACTTATAAAGATAGACGAGCATTTCAATACCTTGTCATTTCTAACAGGCGAAATCCCTTTCAATGCCGAGACCATGGCTAATGTAGCGGTTAATGCTAAAAGGAATTCGCTTAGAAAAGAGCCTCACCGCCTTACTTAGGGAAACCCGATGGAGGATATGTATCACATATTCATATCACCAATTCTGCATGTATTAATATCGAGTGGACCCTTTTATATCTTTTAATCGTTACATTCGTGATAAATTCTGCGGAGGCATGAAATCTTACTGATTTCTTGGAGGGGATTATACATATATAAGCTTAAGTGCTTGCACTAAAAATTAAGAAATCTGGGATGCACACTATGGGTATGACCATAATACAGATAAAGTAAACTTAAGAACTTTTTTATCGATACTTCTTGTCTCGTGCACCTTCTGCAAAAATGATTATGCGCAATTAAAAAAAACAGCGTTGTACTTCTTTAATGAATTATAATCCTTAGAAAGAAAAAGAAAAGCTCAGTACTTTATAACTGAGGAGTTCGACGAGCTTTAATCTCATGAGTCTTTTGAAAGTGTTCAGCAACTGCTACAAGCCAGGTTTAAAAAGAATTATGCTAATGTTTTATTTTTTACTCCGAATCTGAGTCCAATAAGCAAATCTCCACTGGTTCCGCTGTGGGTACTGGAGTATCTTCATCATCGTAGCTAGATTCTCTATCTCCTGATTCATAATAATCTAGTTCGTCTTCTGCAGCAGAATCATCCTCCAAGTCGTCCGACATGGATCCGGACGAGCCTTCCTCATACGCTTGAAATCCATCCTCATCCATAGTATCCACAGGTTGAGCGCTTTCGTAGCCAAACTCAACCATATCATGATCCGACTCTTCTGCTTCTTCATATCCTTCTTCTTCATCATTATATTCGGCCACTCTGTCGACTTCCATCTGTTCCGGTGCGTCTGCAGAATCAACGTTTTCACTGACATCCTCAGAGGCTTCATGCACTAGATCTTGATTGCCATGTCCAACAATGAGTTCCAAAGCAGCGGCATTCAGAAAGGCAGGTATGTTTCTCTCTTGAACGACGTATCTTTGATAAATATCACTAAATAGAGCTAAATACTCATCCTTCTTGGCACCGACAATACGTAAAAGATTGTCTTCATTGACCAGGAAATATAGATCAGCTTCATCCACATGTACAGATTCAATCCTGATCACTCCTTCATTACGGAGCGTGAATTTATAGCCCAAGTAATCACGTACTTTTGCCATGATATCCGTCAATTTTTCATTCCAGACTTCGTGCACTCGATCAATACGCTTTAAAAGTGCATCGCGTTTGGCTTGGAATTCATCCAGCTCTTTAGAAAGATTGGTGATGCTTGTTTTGGGAAGGATCACAGTGTCGACATTGGGGTTTTCGTCCAATCGTAATTGGATCAAATCCTTATTCTCGTTCTGTAATCTGTTTAAAAGATCTTGACGGATTGCGAGCATCTGAGAAGCTGGATTATCTTGGAGTGAAAGCACACGTGTACCAGCGGGTATATCCTGTGTGGGTGATGGTGACGGCGATTGCTCTCGTTTGATGATAGGTGCCACGGATGAGTATGATTCTCGTGCAGGCGATGGAACTGGTTCCTGTTTGATGGGGATTTCGTTTTCCCGAGTATGCATACAAGAATTAACTGAGAAATGCTGCTTAACTTCATTCTTAAATTCCGTGAAATCTAATCATAATATCAATTAACTTATACATCTATAATAAAATAAAATATGATTTCTTAATACCTTCGAGAGCTGATTCCTTATCATTGTAAACGTTTTCCAAGAACTCGGTGATTCTGGCGCCAGATGTGAGCTTTTCATAAGGACCGTTTTCGACGGGAGGAGGAAAGGTCATTGACAAAGCCTTGATGTAAAGTTTACCCTCTTCAACGAATTTATTCTGAAGGTTACGAAGAAGCTCTTCGAGCTGGGAAATACGCTGCGTCTTCTTTTCATCATAAGTCGTTTCAGACTCGGCTACTTCTGCTTCATCATAGAGACGTAACTGAGATTGCAAGATGTCAATATGTCTCTTAAGCATGCTTTCTCTCGAACTGTTTAACTTGTTTTCTTCACATAACAAGGCATTTTCCCGATCTTTCTTTAAGATCGCATCTTTCACATCACGGACGTGGTCCTCCATCAATTTTACAAGCTCTGTTTTATCATGCATTTCTTTTTCCAAGAATGTCACTTTTGTCTCCAAATAGTCTGCTTTGTCTGCTACCTTTGTCAAGTTGTAGACTATTGTGCCGGGTGTTAGATGATTATATTCGGGAACGGTGCTCAAGTAACGTGTCCAAGTGTCTCTCTCTGCTCGAAGATTAGCGTTTTCAATATCCACAGACAGCTTCTGGTTTTCGATATCTGATAAGCCTTTCAGTCTTTCTTGTAATGAATTCCTTTCTTCTCTTAAGTATTCGATATTCTGGTTTAGGCTTTTGAAGTGCTGTAATTCCTTCTCGAGTTTTTTATCTTTTGTTTGAATTTCAGCTAACTTATTGCAAACATCTAAAGGTAGAAGGATTGTTAGATACATATAGAAGTAATAGTGGTACTGTGTATATGGGAAGATGTTTACGTGTGTAGTCTGCTGTAATTGAGTCCTCCAAACCATTTGTTGTGCCTGTAACCGATTGAGTAGCCTGACTTTCCAACTCGGAAACTCTTTTTATTAATGCAAGTTCTCTTGCTGTGGATTCTTCAACCCTTGCTTCCTGAAGCTGAAGCTATACGATAGAAGAAAGTCAATAAAAATCTCAATCCAGCATGTGTTCTATAAATATTACGTCGTTTTTAAGCGCGTCATTCATATTGACGAGTTCTTCAATTTGAGACTGCGTCTCTGATGTTTGACGTTCATTTTGCACTACATAATTGCTATGGGTATACTCTTGTTGGTCGAGCTCTTCTTTGAGTTGCCTCACTTGGAGGTTTGCGCCTTCCAAAGAGCTCCTTAACTTTTCCTTTTTTTTAAAAAGTTTATGAGTTTCATGAAAGTGGTATGTCGTTGAAGAAAAAAAAGTTACCGTCGCATTGATGTGCTCTTTTTTTATTACCGCCAAAGTCTGGACTGACTCGGCTGCATTTTTTTGTTGTTGGATAGCCAGTGCTTTGAAATCCTATAATTCGTGTTACTTTTATTTGTCAAGGTGCTATCATCATGATAAAACTTACGTTTCGTTCAGTGATGAGCTCTGTGATCTTTTGTGAGCTCTCTTGGACAAACAAATTATGCGTAATTTTAGAGCACTCGACTTGTTTATTGAGGTTGTATTTCTCGGTTTCGAGTCTCTCTAACCTCAATTGTATTTGGCGAATTTTATCTGTTAACCAAAAATATGCATGTGGTTAGTTTTTTTTCTTTTTCTAGAGGAAGGAAGTGTTTCTTACCTTCATTAGTGTCGTGATGTACCGTTTCACTCCTAGAGGGTAAGTACGATAGAATGTCACTTGTCACTCTCTTCCGCTTAAAGATGTTTCTCTATTGAGATTCCGTTAGTGACACGCACATATTTAATGAAACAGTATACTTACATCGGTCATATATGATTGTGTTAAAGTAAAAAGAAAGCAAAAGAAAAAGGGTAAGAAATTGAAATTTTCAAGGACAGTCACTTATACGCTTTAGCAGCAGCAGCAGCAGCAGCGTAATCGGAATTCAAAACATGGTAAGAATATAAACAGGGTTTATCATGAAATCTCCTGCCTTTTTATTACGCCCTTTTGGAAATTAATTACTAATCCGAAAAAAAAAAAAATGCTGCTGCCTCGATTCTCGACTTCATGTCTGAGAACTGCAACATTGAAACAGGCATGGCATAAACCACCTTCACGGGTATTTCGAGCCTTGAGTACGAGACCTACTTTGACCAGCTACATACCACCACGGATATTTACACCGCCTAAAAGAGTCTTTTCAACTACTCGACTTGTTCTTCAACAAAAGACTGATAACAAAAAAATTCCTACGATTGGTGGTAGTGCTGTCGCCAATAGTGATCGTAATGCCACCGATTGGGCTATTATCAGACAATTGATGAAGTATATCTGGCCAAAAAATGATATCGGCGTAAAGACTCGTGTTGTGATTGCATTATCTCTACTGGTTGGAGGAAAAGTAAATTATCGTCCATCTAAATTACCAGAATCTATTTATTTTTTTACTGACATGACAGGAATATTAGTTATTAAATGTCCAGGTACCGTTTTACTTTAAAAATGTCATTGATTCCTTGGGTGTAACGCTTCCCGAAGAGAGTACTCTTTGGGCTGTATGTGGTGCTGCTATTATCGGTTGTAAGTAGACTCACAATTGATAATGATAATATGAATGCCACTAAAAAAAAGTTAGATGGTCTTGCTCGTTTGGGTGCTAGTGTCTTTCAGGAACTCCGTAATGCTGTATTTGCTGCCGTTGCTCAAAAGGCCATTCGTCGTGTCGCTCTTAATGTATTTACTCATCTTCACAAACTGGATCTTGGTTTTCATTTAACACGTCAGACAGGTGGATTAAATCGTGCTATTGATCGTGGTACAAAGTAAGCTTAAATTTAATCTTATCTTTTTTATATTATTATTCATCACGCGCTAGTGTAGAGGTATCAGTTTCATGGTCAGCTCCATGGTATTCCACGTCTTGCCTACCGTTTTAGAAATCAGTATGGTCTGTGGTATTTTGGTAAGTATCTTTATTCATATCGTATCCCTTACTCTCAATAAAATTAATATATATTTAACCCCCATAGGCTTATAATTTTGGAACACCTTATGCGCTTGTGACATTGGGTACAATTGTGGCCTACACTGGTTACACCGTTACCACTACTGCATGGAGAACCAAATTTAGAAAACAGGCCAATGCTGCTGATAATGTAGCTGCTTCTAAAGCAGTCGATTCATTGATTAATTTTGAAGCCGTCAAGGTAAACGATAGATAATGTTATACAAGCATTTTGGATATATACTAATGTCCCAATACCCAGTACTTTAATAATGAAAAATTCGAGGCAGAACAATACGATAAACCTCTTAAGGATTACGAAAAGGCATCTTTAAAGATCGCATCCAGTTTATCCCTTTTGAACGCTGGCCAAAACGCTATTTTCAGTACATCCTTAACCATCATGATGCTTTTATCTGCTAATGGTGTGATGAAGGGCACCATGACAGTCGGTGATGTAGTTATGGTCAATCAACTTGTATTTCAACTGTCCATGCCCTTGAATTTCTTGGGCTCGGTCTACCGTGAACTTCGACAATCTCTCATCGACATGGATACCTTGTTTAACTTGGAAAATCGTACGCCTCTTGTACAAGACGCACCCGATGCCAAAGAATTTATTTTTAAGGGAGGAGAAATTCGTTTTGATAATGTTGTTTTTGGATACCATCCCGATAGACCCATTTTGAACGGTGTCTCATTCACTGTCCCAGCGGGTGCCAAGGCAGCTTTTGTAGGTCCTAGTGGATGTGGTAAGTCTACTATCTTGAGATTGCTCTTTAGATTCTACGAGCCTCAATCCGGAAATATCTACGTCGATGGACAAAATATCAAGGATGTTACAATGGACAGTCTTCGCAAGACCATTGGCGTAGTCCCTCAAGATACTACCTTGTTTAACAACTCTATTTATTACAATATCAATTACGGTCGTATCACTGCCTCCCGCGAGGAAGTGGAACAAGCTGCTAAACGTGCACGTATCCATGATACCATCATGTCCTTACCAGAAAAGTATGAATCTACTGTTGGTGAACGTGGTTTGATGTTATCTGGAGGCGAGAAGCAACGTATCTCTTTAGCACGAACCATTTTGAAGCGCCCTCGTATCTTGTTTTTGGATGAAGCTACCTCGGCTCTAGACACACACACTGAACAATCGTTATTGGCCAATTTCAGAAGTATCTTGCGTGAATCCAGTATGACCAGTCTTCATATCGCTCATCGCTTGAGAACCATTGCAGATGCAGACCAAATTTGTGTGTTGGATAAAGGCAAAGTAGCTGAGTTTGGCAGACACGATGAATTATTATTGATGGATGACAGTCTTTATAAAACCATGTGGGAGAAGCAAGAGAGCACTCTGGCTTACTTTGGTGAGGTCGAGAAGCACGAGCAAGAATTCGATCAAGACAACATCAAGAAATAATTTATTTTCTAATTCACTATAGACTTCTTTTCAAACTGGATAAAATAAATAATGTACATAAAAAAAATATGTTTATTCTATCTTCTACTCTGATTTACTGAACCCGCCATGTCCTTTTTTCTTCTTCTCAAACGAGCATTTTCGAATTGAAATCATTACATTGCACTTCATATCAAGTCTAGGAAACTTTAACAAAGCTACATAAAAAAATTGGCATACTTGACAGTTCTACTGATTTATAAACGTGTTTATACCTGAGACAGTATAACATATTATTCGCTTTCAATATAGATGGGCAAAAGAAGAAAATTAAGGGCTGATGTTATTGATTGATTAGCGAAATGTGATAATTGTATCTACACCGGAATGAGATAGTGTGCACGACTGCCAATGCCATATGCAAAATGGTGCCTTTTTTATTTCTTTGTCAGTTTATAACTGATTACATCATTGGCAGAAAAAGGAAAGTGTGTGTGTACGTGTAACTTATTAAAAAAAATGGGTAATTTTAATAATACAAAATCGTATAGTGACACTAGGGGATTGATGCGGGTACTTTTTGAATACAATAAAAATACAGGGGAATATTTATTACAATTTGGTATACATTAAGTGTAATTTTTTTTTTTTTGATGTGTATCTATCTCTCTCTAAACTCTGGTATCACCGGGATATAAGATCTCTGGAAATATATTCATATTATCCGTTAATTCACAAAAATGATGTATGAAACGCATGGGATAGACAAGATCTACGTAAAAGTAAATGTTGGCCAACAGGTAATCATCTGATGTCACGACCTTCATAATGTAATACAGTTCCAGAATGATGTAAATACAGACAATACTAGCCACGGTAATAGGGAACAGGATTTCCAATGGGTCCATATCATAGACATACCGTAACCATGGTGAGCTGAGACAAACTGCTCCCAAACTACAGACACTGCAAAAAAATTCTGTTTAATTTTTTTTTTTTTTACTTACCATGTGAGGCATGCACGAAGATACAAATAAAAAATAAAAAAAATTACTTACAATGGAAGTGTGCCTCGAAAATAGTATTTGTTTTGAAACGTGTACAGTAAAGAGCAGACTAATCCGAAACCTGACATAACAATAACAAGAATGGCTTCTTCGTAAACTAATTTGGACGCTATGTTGGACACAACGAGTGCCATCAGGACAGTAAAGATGGATAATAAGGTGCTTCGGGTGGATCCTGCCAAATAAAAGTACTGAACGTAGAGTTGCCAGATTACAATCATGGCCATGATAAACGCAGGTATTAAAGGTAGCCACCAAGTCCATGTACTAAAAGATATGATTATGTTGAATATCTACATATTTAAAAACAAAAAAACAAAAAAGAGACTAGTAAAGCTTACCTGTCTTTAAGCCACTGAAACAAGGGACAGACAGTAACAATGAAAAAGACCATGAATGCCATGGTTAACAGTTGACAGCAAGTAATGACAATGACTTTGCGGACAAAGGCTACTATTTCATGAGAGTCTTTTCTTGTGTTTTTTTTTAATCAATATGAGTTACCCATTTGTTTCGCATTGGATAAGCGAGAAACAGCAATGCCGAAAATGTCTTGGTCGAGATGCCCTGAGCCATATCTTTGTAAAGGGTCAGGTGGTATAGCGGTTGGATAGTATGTACTTGGTGATTCTACTAACTGATTATGAAAAGTGTCGTAATTAAGGTTGTTCATTCCCTTGTAGTCTAAATTCTATGTTAAAGAGAGAGAAAAGAAGAGAAAAGAGAAAAGAGAAAAAAAAAAGAGGGCTTTCCGTTTGTTACGCAGGATTTTTTAAGTGTCCGGTGTGTCTTGTGTTGCCATCAGTATTGAATATGGACTTTACTGTATGAACGATATATGTGTGCCTGAATTTCCATGTTTTTAAAGGAGCATTTTTACAAGGAATTTTAAAACTCCCTTTGTGAGTGTGTATATGATAATCTTTTGCAGCTATTTTATCTCTCTCCCTCTTTTTTTCCTTTTTTTTTATTCTTTCTCTTTTTTATATAAAGATGATGGCTGAAGAAAAGATAGATGCGGTTCACCCATTATCCAAAGTGGAGAACCCTTCGGAGTCAGTGTTGGATAGTTTACCTACATTAGATGATGTTCTTCATCGCCAAAGTCAGCCACCCGTGTGTTTATACAATTACTATATTGTGCTTCGAGACAGATTAGAGTTGGAAACATTGCTTGATTTCTGGTTAGATGTAGCGCAGGCAGATATACTGTATAAACGTTATTCGAAATATGCAGCCAGGCGAGGCAGTACAGCTAAATTCACTAACCAACACCGACTTTCTTCACCCGTGTCGATTCATCCGCGAACCTCAGATATCTTGACGCATATGCTACTATTGCACCCCAGAGCCTCATTAGCAACTACAATGCATTCAACTACTACAGCCGGGAGCACCAAGAAACCGCCGCCAACGCAATTAGAGATGGCAGAGACGATTGAACGAATTTATCTGCGATATATTGTACCCAGTGCAGAGAAGGAGATCAATGGATTACCGCATCACATTAAAGAAACCATCGGAAATCATTTTTCCATCACTATTCAAGAAGATAATCCAATAAAGAAGAAATTAAATCCAGATAATCCTATTATTTATGCACAAGCAAAAAACTATGTGCATCAACTACTCCAATCGACTTTTCCTTTATTTCTACGCTACAAGGTCTTTATGAACTTGACTTTACCTCAACAGATCGGTCGATTAGCCTGTGGTCTCTTGCTCTTGTTGGTGGGTTTTTCGTTGGAATTTACCTTGATATTTTTAGATGTTCATCCCTGGCAGAAAAGACTATGGGTATTTACCACCAAACATTCTAAATCAAACCTCTATCTTCCCCCTTACATTTTTATTTATTAGGGTATCCTGCCTATTGTGTCTGGTGTATTTTTTACCGTCACTTCTATCACTGGTATTGATCCCATTTGGGTGCTTGCATTTAACCTAAGGTAATTTAAAACTCTCTCTCTCGACTCATTCATGACTGTATTTTAACACATATCCAATATTAGTGAAACGGTGCCCTTTCATTTCACACACATCATACAGCCCAAAGTGAAAAAAATATTACGAAAACGATCACTTCATGTACTAGGTGTCATTCTTTTTATCTCCTTTTTATTCATGCTATTTTTTTGTCTTGTTGCTGGAAAACGACTCTAACTATTATTATTATTTTTGTAATTCTCATCCCTCCCCGATTAATAAACCATTATATTTTTATTTCTTTTATAAATTACAATGCAAGAGAGAGAGAGAGAGAGAGAGAGAGAGAGAAAAGAAAAGAAAGGGGGGACGATAGAAGAAAGATGATCTCTTTTTTTTTTGCCCTATACTAACACACTCTCCTTATTCGATGGACCACCGTTCTGGACCAAGCTGTGCTTTTTCCATGCCAGTAATACCACCTGTAGGATGCATTGGGTGAGACGAGGAAGTAATGGATGTTGTATGCGATACTACAGACACTTGTTAATAGAGTTCAGATAAAAAACGGCTGATGCACTTACTATGATTGATGAGTCCATGATCAAAGTTACGTAGACATATTACCGCGGCTGGAACAGATGCCTAAACAAAAGAAAGAAAATGAATAAGCACATTTTTTTTTAAAAAAAAAATATTCGCTTTTCATGTTTTACCAAAACAAGCACCATGGCAACGCACACTAATAAACATACAAAGCATAGTTTAGACAGTGAATCAACAGATAATAATAATAATGATACTTACGAAAAAACGTCAGAAATACTTTGGAACCAATGAAACGATCTGGGTTTTGAGATATGGTGGCCAACATGTAAATGAAATAGGCCATACTGGCCATGGAAAGTCCGATAAAGAAATACATGTGTAATTTCCTTTCTCTGCGCAGACCCCAATAGGCCAATGCCAACATGGCAATAGAGACTAAACAACTCAAGACGATATGCTCGATTAACTCCTTGATGATGTTGGATTTAGCCACGCCATCTTCTGCTTCTGGTAACCAGGCAACGATCAGCAAAACGAGGTATTGGATGGAAAAGCTGAGAAAAAAGAAGAAGTCAAATTTGAGCAACATCATGAAGATCTGATACATTTTATAGCGATCTGGGGGGGATGATGGGGGGAGTAGGGAAACAGTTTTAGTCAATGTCCACAAAGATAAAACATATGTCAAATTACCTCGCATAGCTAGATCGGCACCAATCTTTTTATAGATTTGCCAACCAAATTCGAGATAGAGTTTGTAAGCTAAAAAGATAAAGAGGATGGAGGAAGCGAGCATGACACATATTTGAGTGATTTCTGCCCAGCGAGAAGCATGATAGGCGTCTCCTAGGAAAGCCAATACGAGTACAACACTGGGATCTTGTGTGTTTGAAAAGAGAGTGGATGACTGATGATATTGAATAATTGTATATGCACTCATACCCAATTCAAATGCGACCAGCGCAATCAATTGAATTGTATTTTTTTGAAATATCTATTTTTGATTAAAAGAGGGAGAACCTTTTTTTTTTTAGTAAATAAAAAAAGATGAATAGGTTATTTAGGGTACCCCTTTGAGAGTTTATAATAAGAAAAAACTTACAGCGTCTAGGACAAGGATGACGGTAAAGATTTGGGCAATAATAAACAGAACGAAATAAACCAAGAGTGACCGTGCGTTTGCATAGGCTGTGACAAGACTCTGTCCAAACGCCTTTTGGTTCAATCTTTCTTGGTTTATAATGTTGATCTCATTAGCATGACAGGAAAAAATAATAGCTTCAAAAATAATCGCAAGCACAGACTGTGTTAATATCGTTAAAAAGATTGCGCGTGTCCACTTTGAGTCTCCAAACTACGCAATAATTTATTAGCTCTTTTGTTGTGATATTTTGCCAGTATAAAATAACTTACGACTCTTGATACGCTGTACATTTGAAATGGACTGTTATTATATAGACTTAAAAGGATGCAGAAATAAGTGAAAAAGAGCGAAAAAGAAGAAAAAGAAAAAAGGGAAAAAACCAAGATATTTATAGGGGAATCATGTCCCTTGAAAAAAAAAAAAAAAAAAAAAAAAAGAAAAAAAAAAAAAAAGTGAGAAAAAATTATAAAAAAAAATAAAAAAAATTAAACAAAGCGTAATCTTTCCTCATAAAATTCAATTAACTACACTGTACAATTAGAAAATAATAATAATAATATAAACAAACAGTGAAAAAAACCACTTGCCTTCTCTGGACACTTTTTGTGACACTCATCCAACGTATGAATTGTCTTATCTCCATTTTTCCTATCAAAAAAAAAAGTCTGTTAGTTCTTCCTCCTACTCCTCCTCCAACCCCTTAAAGACAACCTCCACCACTCACCATTCAATATAGGCCATCTTTATATTCTTGTCGATAGGTGATAATTGTACCGCGCGAAGTTTCACCATATCCGTCTCCCACTTGGTTTTTAAGTTGGGCCATGTCTTGGGGTATGAAAATCCCCTTTCAGTCATATATTGCGGTACATGCTCCAAATCAAATTTAGTTTTCTTGTGACTCTCGCTTGATTCACCGTTCTTGACTCGCTTTAAAGAGGAACTTGCTGCGTTTCCTTTCTTTGCCCCATGATTGGTACTCGTACTAGCACTAGCACTACTACTACCAGATCCCTTTTTGAGACTACTGTTACCATGACTACTACTGCTACTACCGGTAGTAGCAGTGGTGGCAGGTGTTTTACTAATAGGCTTTACCGCTGTTACCTTCCTGGGAACTGTCTTGGGGGCTGCCTTGGGGGCTGTCTTGGTAGATGGTGTCTTGGCGGGTGTAGCTTTCTTGGCGGATGCTGCTGGTGCTGGTGCTGCTTTCTTCGTAACTCGTTTGGGTACCTCAGTTACTTTCTTCTTGGTCGTAGGCTCCTTTTTGCCACTACTGGATGGTGTTGCAGGCAAGGTGGGTGAAGCGGGTGCGATGTTTCTAAAGATGGGAGCAAGTTGTTGCTTTTGAGCCACAGAAGCAGGAGTATCAGCAGCAGCAGCAGCAGCAGCAGCAGCAGTATCAGCAGCAGAAGTAGTAGTAGCAACAGCAGCAGCAGCAGCAGCAGCAACATTATGAGTGGTAGGAACAGAAGGGGTAGTCTGGGAAGAATTGTTTCTGCTGGCTGGTGCATTGATGGGTCTTGGTGTATCGGTTAATGAATCCCAATAAGCAGCACACAAGTCAGCTACATCACTGATAAAATATGCAAAAGTAATATATAAGAAGAGAACCCTTAATATGAACACTCCCCTCTCTTTCCACTGACCCCCCTCTTTCTCTTTCTCTATCTCTCCTTGAACTTACTTGTGAAGGCTATCTGCTTTTTCTACTGTGTTTTCTTCAGCGGAATATCCTTTCCATTGAACTTCATAAGAGACAACAGCACTCTATCAATTATCACTAAAATTAATTTTTGCTTTATTTTACTCAAGCACTGAGTCTTATAAAATATACACTTACACGATACAAACGGTGACTGACGATGGTTTCGATTTCATATTCTTCTTCCACCTCCTCTACTTTTGTTTTTTGTGGTGCTTGTGGTGCTTGTGGTGCTTGTGGTGCTTGTGGTTTTGCTGGCTGTGTCTTGGGTAGCGGTGTATCTACTTGTTTTGGTTGAGCTTTAGAGCGAGTTTTTCTGGGCTGTTTCTCGGTAGGTTTCTTTGGCTCTTTTTGTTGCACTTTGGCTGCTTGAGCCTCTGCTTCCAATTGTTCGACAGCTTGGGCAAACTCGACATCTTCAATATCCTGCAAGTTGTCAACTATAAATCCAGTATTCACTTCATCCAGAAGGGAAGTCATTGGCTTTACTACTTCCTTCTCCTTATCCGCACCGGAGCTCTCTCCTTGTACTTCTCCTTGTTCAGGTTGCATAGTGTCTGGACTAATACCTAAAACACTTTCAAGTGATTCTGTTATCATTGACATGCTTAAAAAAACAACAAAAAAAAAAGACGCGACTTGTGTTGTTGGCCTGGGAAGCTTTTATTTTTTTTTTATTTTGTTTGTTTGTTGATTTTTAATTTTTCCTAAAACCGTGTGACGTTGCATTTGCGGCTCGCCCATCACCTGTCCGGGAACGTCTTTGTCCCGGACCCACCCATGATTATGCAAAAAAACCTGTCAAATTTTATTAGTCGTGATATACGTGTAACTTCTTGGCAGAGACCATGTCTTTTTGGTATAAAAAAGGCCGTCTATTTGCTTGAGTTGCTTTAATGCCACAGGATGTCTACTGGTAAAAAAAAGTCATCTATCGGGCTTTTGATTTATTTGATATCACAGCAGAAGCAGGTGTCCACTTTTTGGTGATTTTTTGACTTCATTACCAACTCACCCCATTGAAGTGACATTGATTGGTTACAACGCTCTTGATGGAGGTGGGACAAAAAGAAAGGTGTCACGACTCTCTCTTAGTTTGACGTGTTACTTTTGGAATCTCTTTTTATATTGCGCAAATACACCTTTTGCCGAAATAATGTCGCAAGAAAAAAAAAATTAAAGTCTCGCACTATAAAAAAAACAGTGGTGTCGTATGTTTTTGAAGAGTGTCGCACAACTCTTTATATATCCAAAAAAATATGACACTTCAAAAAGAAAAACAAGAGGAGAACAGGCTACAGATTTTTGATGGGAAAAGCAACCATGGAGCTTCTGAACCGGTTTTTGAAGCTAATGACTACATTTATCCTCGCGTTAGATCAAACGCCATCTAATTTTTAGGTCTTTTGGATGAGCCTTTGGTCCCTATAAACTTTAATATCCAATAAAAACTTTACATATGCCACTTACTCTCAGTCAGTCTTTCACTTAGTTTGTAAGAGTTTTCGATTCTCAGTCAGCTTCTTTATTTCAAGCCGAAAATCATTCACTCAATCTGTAAGACATTTCGATTTTCAGTCAGATCCACAGTCTCATGTTTACTTTATCCTATAATTATAAATGATACCATTGGTAAGAACCTGGAAGCTTAAGACAGATAGGTTTTTTCTTCTTCTATAAACAAAAACTAAATATAATCTAAAACCTAAAACCGGAAATTGATCTTAATAGTAATATATCCACAAACACCTCTTTTAGAGCCATGTAAAACATACACATCAAATGAAATTCATAAACCTGGCTTTTCCCAACGCACTTGGAATTTGTACATTGTAACTTCTAAAGTCATTTTTCAACTTGTGTGTAATTCTCACCATCACAAGGTAGAGAAATTATTATTCTCAACTTGTCGTCGAAACCCCTTATTATACAAAAATGACGTCTCTAAGAACATTTCATTATACTATTATTTTTCAACTTATAAAAAAGTTTCTTGAGATTTTTTTCTTTCTTTACTCCTTTGTTCACCAAAAGAAAGAAAAAAGAGGACGGAGGTATTGTAAAAATAAATAAGTGTAAATGATACTTAATCTAATTTATTAAGTTTGTAGACAAAGGGTCTATTCAAGTATCAAAATGTGGTTGTTTACTTTTGAGCTGATCGTGCTGACCTTTGGTTTTTTTTTTTAATGGAAGCAAAAGGTTTTTACTGATGGCGGGGCTGGTACCAATACAACATTTATCTATCTAAGGAAGAAGGTAGCATAGAATTTGGTTTCCGTTACAAACAGTGTCTTACACTGCTACAGGTATGATAATTTTTATATATGTTTTATGCAGTTTATTCGCAAAAAGTCAGTCTTACAGTTTATTTTATCATTTAAAGCATTACATCATGATGTATAGCCTATTGGAGCTGTTCCCCCAGTGTCCAGTGGGTGTTATCTGATTAATTGGTAAGTGATATAACTTTTTTCTCTATCATATCTGCATGTATTCATACCAACGCGAAATTTGTATTACGGCTAGCTCAAGACGATGCAAACTACAAGGAAACTTAGAAATGTTTCTATAGCTGCGGTTTCAACACTGGTCGGTCCCATCTCTTTACCAATTAAGGTCATTCCGCATACTTTAAAAAGTGAGAACCTGAGACTTTCACTTTACCATAACTACTCAGACAATGTCATCTCCTCTACCACCAGCTAAACTAGTGTCACTTAAAAATAGTTGTTTCAGTTGTCCTGAAGAAGATTTTAATACTCCACAAAACTTGAGGAATCATGTTCTTAGATTCCACGACCTATAAATGCCTAGCCGCGACGTTAGAATGAAACATAAGGATACAAATGAATTTATGTACATTTCTCAAAAGCTGGATCATCCAATTACTGCTGTATCCTCTGTATTCAATACTTTATCTTGCAAGTATGGTCGTTACGCTTGGTGATGAGGAAATGCACGGTGGTGCTGGTGCTTGATGATGGCGAGGTAAGAGTGTATGGTGAAGCAAGTTTTGTTCTTTTGACCAAGCTTGATATCTTTGGGTATATGATATAGTGTGATTGGCTTAAGAAACACGTTAAAGCCCAGCACTATACTAGTAAAAGAAATCTCATTGACGTTGAACCAGAGAATTACCAAAAAAGAAACTTGCGTTGATAATATATCTGTCTCCACTACACGAGACATCATTGCATTCACAGTGATGGCTGATAATCTCTATACTCCACATCAACCAAAATTGGCGGTAGAAATTATCAAAATCTTGCAACCTTTGGTGACAATATCTGCAGGTTACAACCGTAATATGAGTAGCAACCTCAAACTTAAATTGGAAGAGAATTTGACTGCACAAGCCTCATTGTCATCTTTGAAATTTTTTAAAAATGCTTTTGATTTGCTAAAGAGTGCTTTGGAAAGAACAATAAAGACCCCGAACACAGCAGAGATGACACTCTAAAAAACGTACATGGTTCTATTTGTGCCCTTGTGGCCATTCTAAGGCGCTACCCAACGCCAGCTTCGCAACGGCATCAAGTTTATTGTCTTTTGCCGTCAAATCTATCTGTACTACGATTACATTGTTTATCACAGCTCTTGTTCCTGAAAGCATTGGTAGCTTTTTGCATCAAGAATGCCGCTCCGCCGAAGTCCCCGTCCATTACGATGAACGAATTAAATGGATGAAGGTCTTTGAACTTGTTTCAAAACTGGTTATGATACTAAGAAAACAAGCGTTGATAATTGATCAGCTGCAAAAAGAACAATCTGGTATCATTCCCATCGACAATGTTGAAACTGTACGATTTGTACTTTCCTAGTTTGGGCTTTCTTAACTTATAAATATATTGCTTTAAGTATTTTTATAATGTGACTTTATAATCATATACTCATCTGTATTACTTTTACGCTAGTAGTATATTATTTATTATAAATAAACATCTCCTTTAATACGCGTACAAACTTAAAAGATTAGCTTAGCATCTTCGTATCGAGAGTGAACATAAAAAACATGGCAGATGAAAACAGGACTTCAAGGCCTGAGCTGTTCAACTTAAAGCAACATCGATAGGGGACGGCACAGGAAGGATATTCAGACAGACTCCGCTTCATCGGCCAGCTTTCATATTCCTTCACACTGTATCTTCTTGTACATTGAAATTGTTTTTATGCTCGTATAAATATATAATTCTTTATCTCTCTTCATAGCAATACGTGGCTAAAACATAAGTAAGTACTCCACGACGATTCCACCTTCTACACAGAATACTCTAAATAGCTCAATGAATGATTCGTGTGTATTATCTTAGAACACGTACTAGATCTTAGTTTTATATACTCGTTAACTTTTTTGAGGATGATGAAGAGGCAATGTATTCGAGGGGCTCCCAAACCTGTAGCTGGATAATATCCTGATTCATATCAACCTTCGTTAAACTTTAACTATATTGCTCCCTGCCATTCTTCTTTCCTGAATTGTGCGACACTCTTTTCAAAAAACATACGACACTGTTTTTTTTCAAAGTGCGACATCATTTTGGCAAAAAGTGTACCATCTTGTGTCTCCACATACACACATACACATACACACATAGAATTTTTGATTTCCCGTCTTGTAGTGAGATACACAAACATAATTTTTTTTTTTTTTGTTTTTCCTTTCTTGTCCTTTAGTCCCCCCTTGCAACATTCAGATGAATCATTTCGTGTTTGCACTGTGTTTATCCTCACTCATCGTGGTGTATTCCAGAAAAAAAAAGTCTCTGACATGGGATGGTGCTGCCGCCGCATTCGCACTTGGTATGGTGACCTTTTCTTCTTCCCTCAATGTCTTTACCGTCGTGCTCTTGACTTTCTTCTTGACCAGTTCCAAACTCACCAAATTCAAGGCAGACCGAAAACGCTTATTGGAAGCTGAATATGAATTATCCAGTGAACGTAATTGGATTCAGGTACTCTGTAATGGCTTAGCGGGTGGTGTCGCTGTCTCTCTCTTTCAGATTCTGTGTGAGTCTTCTTCTTATGCTTGCTATGATCAAGCACGTTGGAGTACTGTCTTAATGTGGGCTTACATTGGGTGAGTTTCATCTCCTACCTAAAAAAATTGTGTTTATTTAACTTCGATTTTCTACTTTTAGTCATTATGGATGCTGTGCTGGTGATACTGTAAGTTCAAACAAACATAAATACAAAGAAGAGTCACTCATAGCAACTTGCTTTAGTGGGCTAGTGAATTAGGTATTCTCAACAAGAGTTTACCCACACTTGTTACCACACTCAAAAAGGTCCCAGCAGGCACCAACGGGGGTGTCTCGGAACTCGGATTAGCTGCGTCTTTGGCCGGTGGCGCTGTAGTAGGCTTATCCGCTGCCATCACTTTAGCTCTGGAACAATCCTGTCATGGCTTTGCATGGGAGATCGTGCTTGTTGGCTCTTTAGCAGGATTAGGCGGATCCATGGTAAAGTGGAAACAAAAATATTTTTTTTTTAAAAAAAATGATAACTAATACGTAGGCACATGTAGATTGATTCGTTCTTGGGTGCTACAGTACAAGAAAGTTTATATTCAGAGGATCAAAAGATTATTGTGCCTGGAAGAAAGGCAGGTGAGAATATCAAGGTGATTTGTGGTTCCCCTATCCTTAGCAACCACCAAGTGAATTTCTTAGCTTCTTTCCTCACCACTTCCATCTGTGCTTTTGCTGCCTACTATCTCTACCCACTTGCTTAACAACAACAAAAAATTGTTTTTAATAATATATATATATATAAATGTTTACATATATCCCCCTCCAATTCCTTATTTTCAAATAGTTTTATTATTCTCTTTTTTTTTGTTTTGTTTTTGTTTCCTTATTGTGTTGCAGTAGTGGTGGTAGTAGTGGTAGCTCCAACATTTTGTTCCTTCAACAAGGCATCAATTTCCTCAGGCTTGAACTGATCGTATTTAATCGCATCTTGAACAAGTCGAATCGTAGCGAATTCCACTGTAGGATATAAAATAAGAATTATTACCAACCCTTTCCATCATTCACAAAAAAAAAGGTACAAACAAAAACTTACACTTTTCACTTGTCAAGGTTGTACTATCCATGGTCTTACTCAAGACCTTGATGGCTAAAGCCTTTGCTTCTTCCAGTGTCATTTCTTCTTTATAATCTTGCTTCAAAATACTTTGTGCTGTAGCATTGTTGGCGCCGATACAGGTGGCCTTCCATCCACCGTAGTTACCAGAGGGGTCGGAGTGATACAATTGGAAACCATGATGCTCATCGTAACCAGCAAAGATGAAGGAAACACCAAAGGGACGCAAACCACCGTATTGAGTATAACCTTGCTTTAAATCACATAATGTCTGAACTAATTGTTCCACGGGGATCTCTTCATTATAGGCAAACAAGTAACGTTGTGCACTGGCTCTTGTCCAGTTAATCAAAATATTGGCATCAGCTGTAATACCTGCAACACCACAAATAATGTTGCTATTGTTTATAAAAGACTACATTAGCACAGTGAAAAAAAAAAGTTATAAGAGGCAAAGGGCAGCTTACTCGTTTAATTTGTAAATCTTTTCAGAAGAGGCATCGTTTTCTAAAAGCTTGGAGGTAACCTTTTTTTCGGCGGCGATAACAATACCGTCCTTCGTAAGAATACCAAGCGCGATACCTGCTTGAGAAATAGCCTCCATGGCATATTCGACTTGGTATAAACGACCTTTTTTTTTTGTTTTCAGAGAAATACTTTTTTTAGTTTACAACGAGTCTCTGTCTGTGCTTTATATGTTTACCTTCAGGTGAAAAGATGGTGGTTCTCGAATCGTATCTTCTTGCCATTATTGTTGTATGTAAAAAAGAGAAATATAAAAAAAATAAAGTATAAGAGATAATTTATGCCCTTTCTTTTTTTTTTTCTCGCGTTTAGGTGTTTTTTTTAATACGTAATCTGTGACGTCGAGGACTGACATTGAAATGCAATATTTTTTATTTATTTATTTTTTTATGATGTAGTGAGAGGGAGAAATCTATAAAATGGTTGTATAAGAAGCTTTTAACTTTTGCACACGAATATCAAATGCATCTTTGTCGGACACTTCTTTCGATGCTCTTGTATAAACCGTGTTGGCCAATTGGAACTTCTTTTGGGAGTAAAGGTAAGCAAGGTAAGCGATATAGGTGCCTTCTTTGTCCTCAGGTAAACGCGTAGCTCTTTCATACAAATACTCCACAAATGCAGGACCCGTCTTTGCATCACCAAACTCGTTTTCAATGCCAATACAAGTGAGGAAGAAAGGATGTGTAGGGTAAAAGTTGCGAATGATCTTTTTATACACACTTCTGGCCGCATCAATGCCTTGTGATTGGGCTGCCCATGTCACATAGCTGGATTGTAATAATTCCTTGATGCTGTTACGGTCGGCAGAGGCAGATGTGACAGAAGGTAACAAAGTTGTAGCCTTTTCACAGGCTTCAAAAAACAAGCGGTCCATATCTTGTTGGCTTAATCCATTGTGTTGACCTTGGTTTAAAATCCAGTCATTGTACGACTTCCATAATGCCAGTGATTCTGGGTTGACATCTAATGCACGTGTGTACAATTTCATTGGGCTTTCTTGACCTAATTGAACGCGATGAATCCAAAGTTTGGTCGAATGAGGATATTTAGCCAATCCTTGTTGAGCAATGGCATCAATCTGCGCAGGTTTCACCTTTGTCTTCTCAGCAAAGGCAACCCATGATTCATACAGAGAAGAGGATAACTTGCCCTTCTTTTCACATGCCTTGAAAGTCTTTTGTAATAATTTAGAGAGGTATAATTTCAAATTTTCTTCCGAGACAAGGGAATACCAATCGGACAAGCATTTCACGTATAATTCCCACATTTCCGTCACATCTAATTCTTGGATGGCTGTCTCGAATTCAGCTACACACGCTCTCAATGCAGGAATAAAAGCAGGGTCGTTGCATGAAATATACTGTACTTTTTTATCCTTCTTATCCGCCTTAGTATCCAACACATACAAGTTGCGTTCGGCAAGGAAAGCACGTGCAGCAGGTAAATCCTTCATATCACGACGGATAGTATCAAACACATATTGAATATCCGTTTCCATGTCTGTGAATTCTCGATAGATATCGACAAAGCGTTGTCTGAATCCAATGTCGTTAGGGATCGCCTTGATCGCATTATCGTAAGTGATCCTTGCTAAAAGACCTTGAAGAATGGGATTGTTATCTTCCATCTTCTTAATCTTGTGATGAGGTAAAGCTTCCTTCTTCATTTCCTCCTCTCCCTTCTTCCATGCATCAGCTTCTTCGCCTGTCACAGCAGGTAAATTGATGGTGTTGTCCGTATCCACTTCCTCTGCAGCACCCGCTTGAGGCATCTCCTCATCCTCATCAGTAATACCAAGAACACGTCTTCTAAGCTTGATCTTTTCAATGTAGATCAATTCAAGACGGAAATACTCGTGCCATAATTGTTGATTTTCTGGCATTAAACGGATGGCGCGTTGTAATAAAATACGGGCAGATGCGATATTTGCATTGTGATCGTTTTCCCATGTAGCTGCCATGATCCACAGCGATGCGTTCATTGGATGAAATTGGATTGCTCTGTGTTTTTGAGTGTCAGTATAGGTAGGTAGGACATATATACATGCAGTATAGAATGAAAAAACTTACTGGACAAAGACGGTGGACAGGATGTTGTAAGCCTTGATCTTTTTGGTATATTCAATGTACTGTAACCAAAGTGAAAGATCACCGCCGAATTTGATGGTGGCTCTTCTGAATAAATTGTTGATTCTTTTGATACCCGACCATAACAACTCTTCTCCCTTCATCGCATCCTTGATACCTGTCAAAAAATGTTTAGTCTTGAATTCTATGTGCTTGATTATTTTTAACTGTTTGCTCACCTAAACGCACAATTCGCTTTTGACGAAGATCTTCCAAATTAATTTCATACTCTATGCATCGCAAGAAATCAATTTTTTGTTTGATACGACGTTGTAATGCATACTCGAAATTCGTTCTCTTTTTAATAATCGACTTGATTTCAACCTAAGAAAGAGCTCACCTGTCAGTCATTAGCTTTTTAACATTAAAAACAAAACAAAAAATGCCTACGGGAGTAAAAATATTCTTTTTTTCAAGAGCTTCGAGCTCTGGGATCATGCGCTCGAGGTAATATTGTACAGATTCAGCCATTTTCGATTCAATGTATATAAAGAAAAAAAAAAAAAGGAAACAATTTTTATTTTATTTTTTTTATCTGGGATTTCATTAAGGGCTCCCGCACTAGGCCAAAGTTGTGACTTGTAAATAAGCCACACCTTTCAAAGTAAACCTACACGTTTGCCAAAGACCAGACAAAAGGTACAATACACGGCCATACCACCCAAGATCCAAAAGAAGTAAACGGTATCCACAAAATCTTTGCCGGGTACCTTGACATTCATACCCCACAAACCACCCACCAGCGTCAATGGGATAAATACCGTAGCCAAGAAAGTCAACCGATTCATGACATTATTCGTCATATTATACGTCTGTGTCAACTCGAGATTCACTTGGGCAAGATAATTCGTATGCGCACGATGCAAAATGCGATCATAATGATTGATATTCTGTACCATCGTCACTACGTGATCTTGGATATCGCCTAAATACAACAAGACATCGTTAAATGCCTTCTTTTCTTCCATGGCGTTATGCAGTGGCGTATTGGAGGAGGTATGGATTCTCGAGTTTGCTTTTTTCGTTTGATGGTTCGCATTCAGTAACGCATGATTCACCTGTTGTGGAAACGATTGTTGTTCGATCAATGCGAACTCGCGTGATTTATCCTCGTAACGCTTCATTAGACTCTTGATCACATCTAACTTGGAACCCAATAAACGAGAGAGTTGAGTGGATTTCTTGCGACATCGACTGATTCGGCGCAACATGTCTCCTTGCTCAGATTTTGTCAGGACCAACGAGAGCTCGTCAATCGAGACTGCTTCAATCTCTACTTGCAAGATGATGGGAGCAAAACTATCCGTGACCGCATCAATCAGTGCATAATTCATCCAGTCGGGTGTAATCATCATAAACTCTTTCAATTGATCTGTTCTATCACGTACTGTGTCACAATGATGCGATTTTTTATAACGAAACTGATTTTTAACAAGAACAAAAAAAAAAAAAAATGTCAATAAATTGGATGCAAAGAAAAGACTGAACTTACGGTTAAAAGGCCTTCCTTAAAGATCAAGGTATAAAAGTTAAAGGGCTTGATTTGGTCGGACACATGATCGATATCAAAAGCTCGAAAGCATACAAATGTATAGTTCGGGAATAGTTCTACTTTTTCACGAGGTTCCTGAGCTTGAATGTCTTCTGTGGTTAGCGGATGAATCCGAAATGTCTACATTAATAGTATATTAAAATAGATGAAAAAAAAAAAAGAGATTGCATATTTATACCTACTTTGCTCAAAATTCGCATCTCTTCGGCAGAGGGAGATAGGACATCCAACCACCATCCCTTGGAGGTAACAACTGATTCTAGCGCCTTCTGTCCATGTTCAGTCAATAACTGCTCCAAGCCTGTAGAGACAGTGGCATACTTTTGCGAAGAATAGATATTGAAGCGGACACCTGTCGGCATTAAATCGCCGTATTTGGACTGACCGTATAACTGGTTTTGGCGACTGGGTGTCCTTGCGAGTGGGATGGTGCCTGTGGTGGATAATTTGCGGGTGTGGTTCTGAACCATGCGTTCAAATGCAGCAATATCTACTTGGTCATCTTGACTAGCATTGAAGCGAGGATAAAGGACATCGGTCTTGACATCTTCGTCACTGCCCGACCAACACTTCTTTTCGCTGAGGAAACTGCCGTGAAGACTGGAGGCACGTTTGCTGGGGATAGGAGGAGGTGAGGTCGGTAAAGGATTGTAACTGGCTTCATGAAACGTGGGTAGATTGTTGGGGAAACTACTGGGCGTGGCTCCCGTAGTCACTCTTCTGCGTACCAAGGAGGGATCGTTGGACATGCTTGTAATTTAATCTAATTTTCCTAGATGGTCTGTAAAAAGCATCTTTTGTAATGGTAAAAGGCATATTTAAAAATGTTTCTCTCTTTCTTTTTTTTTTTTTTTTTTTTAGTCACAGTTGAGTTTTAACTATGATGGTGTAAGATTAAAAAAAAGGGCCAATTTATTTCTAAAGCACTGTAGCTGAATGGAGAGATCAACGTTCTGTTTTTTGAAGGGGGATGCGTGGGATTATATATAAAAATGAGAATAAGAAATTTACAAGAGATCGTAATCGTCCAACTAGAAACAAAATAAAAGATTAGCATCATAACACATGCAACAAAGGAATAACAAAAAAGGTGGCTTACCTTGTCGTTGTATTTCATAATCTTTCTCTTGATCTTTGAAGTATCAACCCAAGTGACATAATCTTCCATGGAGCGATTCACCAAGAAGGCAGGATCGTTGATGGTTTGAGGACCGACACGAATATGACCCTGCTCAACAAATGTAACTGCTTCCTTGACAGTCTCTGCCATCTTTAAACGACACATGACAATGGGCAAACGTCTACGACAGAAGGCAGACACGGTGACTTTACGAGTGTCTGAGAATTTAGTGGTGGAGGTCAAGATACCCATATTGTATAATTTCTCTAACAAAGCCTTTTCTTGTGCACTACGGAAAGGATCGCGAGAATCTAAAAGTGAGATCTTGTTGGCCAAACTTCTAATACTACCCACTAATTTGTTGTATCTATTTTTAAGTGTTAGTAAAACAAGAAAGAGGGGTTTGACACACGATCTATATTTACTTGTGGTAATCTTCTCGTTGTTGAAGAAAGTAGCGACGAATCACCTTCATTTCACGCATGGAATCCTCCTTCTTCCATTGTAAAAAGTCGACCTTTTTTAAGAGCTTTTGTTCATGATGCTTCAACTGTCTCATTTGTGTATCTTTTTTCTTTAAAGCGAAAAAAAAACAATTCACCCATCGAAATCTGTTATAAAAAAAACTTTAAGACAGTCACGCTTACAGTTTATTGGTTTAAGTAAAATGCCTTCACTACTGTGCTACGACCATTTGCTAAATTAAGCATTTATTATGTGATGTAGGTAAACTTCCCTTGGATAAAGTTCACCTGTGGTGTATTTTAATATATATAATTCAGGAAATTATAGAAGGTTTTAATCCAGCAGCAACACTATATATCCAAATATTACTATGAGATGCACTATATAAAAGAGATACATGAAGCATATTATATTAATTGTATAGATGCAGATCAGTCTTAGTAATCAACTGGCGGGTCCATGTAATGGATCAAATACAAGGGGGGGGGGGGGAATAAACAGAATTTTATGAAATAGAAAGCATGCCGATGATTTATATAATACAAATATTGAAGTGAGGTTACGTTTATTATACATAAATTTACATTTTCTTCCATTCCCCGCCCTCATCCCCGGAAGCAGAAAGCAAACGATTAAAACACTCATCTCTACGAAGAACATTTTCAAAATGAAGCGTGGTCCCATCGGCTAGCGAAATATCAACGCCATTCGAATGCCATACAAGCATATCATATTGCTTTGTCTTTTTCACACCAACAATATCTGTGTACGCACATTCAACAATAACATTACTGCCTGTCATGCGTGACGTCTGAAAAATAAAGCCATTCTCCTGGATTCCAATACGTCCAGGAATTGTGCCTCGGTATAAACATCCAAATGCTACAAATGTATGTTAGCTTTGTTTCACACCAACACAATTTATTTTTTCTTTACCATCGTTATCTTCATCCGCAGGAATTTCATTTTGGATTTCTAGCTTCTTTTTTTTCTTGTTATCGATGGTCTTCTTAACTTTGTTGACTGCAGCAGCAGCTACGAGCATGCCTAGTGTGGTAGCAGCAGAGGTTGCAGCATCTTGAATTCCACTTGAACTTTTTTCGGGTGTCTTGTACCCTTTGTCAACTGTTGTTACCGAACTAGTGGGAATATCAGACATAGATACAGAAAACTTTTGAGGTGTTGGTCTTGGTGGGCCTTGTGTTGTTGTTTCTGTCTTTGGCTTTCTTAATGGACCGTTTAATCGTACAACTTCTAAAGCATATTCAGCGTCATTAGGTACATCCCATAATAACAAGTTCAAGATATTAAAAAGTCGACGATGTCTAGGATAATATGAACGAAGTGCTTGCAAAACAAAGAATTCAATACCGATATGGAGAAAGACCATTTTACCAATTAGTTTGAACGGCAGAATGGTTAGGAAGAATGATGAACCGATTACCATGATTAGTAGGAATCGTGTCTTGGCGGGTCTTTTCCAGGTGACGAGACTAATATATAGATGGGTTAGCTCTTTAAAAAGACTGTATGGTTTGCTCATTTCTTTACTTTTTAATGCGCTCGAGGTAATCGACTGTATCAGACAACTATGTATAAACCATGATTAATAAAAATTGTGGTACATAGGTGTAAATGTGTATTTACGACAAGCTGAATAGTAGGGCCATATTCCGTATAAATACTGTTGCGCCACTCCGAAATATTCAGGTCGTTAAACAAATCAAATGGTTTATATTGCGAATTTTTAGCCACAGTTGTTCTCATCTTCATCCAAAATCCTCTATCCCATGACTTGACAGTGGCGTCTGTTTCAGGTTGCTCTTCCAATGCATCGATACCATATTGAGCAAACGTATCTAGGCGAACCCAAGCAATGCCGATGGCTAACCATGTACACACAAATGCTAAAATCAGGTCGTACCACCATAATATCACATACAACTAAAAAAGGAAGATTACTTAAATAAGGATCTACTTTTTTTTTTGTCTGTGGTGTAACCTACACTGGCTAGACCGGCTGTCAGAGGTTTATTTTCCCAGCGATAAACCGACCTAATTTTTTTTGCAGGCCCAATGAATGGAGCTACCATCGGGTAAAGTCTATCTAAATCGTGCTTAACTTGGTTTAACGAGAGAGGTTCTAAAGGACGATCAATTTTATCGTATGCAGCAGAGGCCACAAAGTACTTAATCCACTAGATATATAGGCGTTTAGTTTAGCAGAAAGAGGTCATGTGTGTATGTATATGGGACGCCCAGTGATGCTTACAGCCTCTAAAAATTCGACCCACTTGGTAGATATAACAGTATCGCCCTTCTTCTCTTGAAATTCAGATAGTTTGGGAGAAGACAGGTCGGTTTTTTTGCGTCTTCGTACTTCTTTAACGTGTTTATGAAGGTGTGAGTAGTGTTCGTCCATGCTTGAGTCGCCAGTGGAAGGAGCAGTATGACTCTTTTGAATAGGCTGTTTATTGACGGTGAGTTCACCTACAGATCTCGAACGGTCTGGTAAAGCAGGTGGTGTACTAGCTCCAGTTTCGTTCATTGAGCTCATTAGTTGCGTTTATTCAAGATTGTTGATTAACAAAGAGAGAGAGAGAAACGTGGGGAAAGCAACAAAAAAGAAAAATATAAATAAGTGAAAACCTGTGCGCATGTTTAAATTATTATGGAGTTTTATTGTTCCATAAATTTGACACACCGAGATTGACACTTTTTGACTTCTTTTCTGCCTTGTTTGTCCCAATATACTCGTTGCAGATGACAATTTAGGCTCTGTATAGCCTGCATTTACAGTTGCTAGAGAAGTTTTTCCTTGTTCTTCTGGATCCCTTTTCCCTGACAACACCTTCTAAGATAGAATCTGCAGACAATGTGACGGCGATTATGCCAGGAAGGAAAGAAACTTTGATGGATTGATTTTTTTTTATGTAGGAACAGAAGCTTACTTATGGCTACTGCATTCTACAGGCTATAAAAAGTATGTAAAAAGAAAAAGAAAGGAGATAATAAAGAGATAGTCGAGGAAATTGTGAGAGTATCACTGAAATTCCGTTTTAGCTAATCAGATGTTTGTCCCCATCACTTTTATATATGTATCTTTTTTTGGCTCTTATGATAGTAGCACCTTTTTGACAACGTTATGGTACGACATAGGCATCTTTCCAATCATGCTAATTATGCGCGCGCACCATTTTTTTCTGGCCGGTCAAATAACACCATGCTTTATTATTTTAAAAGCCAATTTTGAAAGGACGATAAGGGTCAATGGCAATTGGTCCAATTCATTTATTTTTTCTTCAAACCAAAAAGTCCGAGTTTTGCAAATTATTTTCTTTTATCTCTTTTTCTTTTTCTTTTTTGAGAACAAAAATGCCACCTCAAGAATCACAATGCCTTGATAGTGGATTAACTAGGCCAGTGAATTTGTCGACGGAATCGCTGGATATGATGAGAAGTGATTATATACAAGGTTCAATGAAAAAGTAGGTAACTGTCAAAAAATTAATTGTACAAAAATAGAGAATTTTTTTTTTTTTATTGGCCCTGTTGAATTAACAATTTTTGTGTATGTGTCTGTAGATCATCTACCACTGAGTATACCCGGGAACAATTGGTAATATAAAATAAAATAAAAAAGATTTATGCAAATTTATTAATATATATTTGCTTGCATTATCGTAGTTATCCTTTGTGAAATGCTTTGCTTCAGATACAGTGGAAACAACAGGCCGATGGAAAGAGATGATTGATTCTGTAGTAGCTATACCTAGTGCCTTGATTCGTTATGGTATTTTGTTTCCCCTTCGATTTGTGGCACTCGGAGCATCTACCGCTGCCTTTTTTATTACTTTACCTATTGCTGTAACCCTGCAGAATAGTAATCTCGTCGTAAGTAATCATTGTCATTAACAAAAACTAACAAGTATTCTCATCGACTCTTTTCTTTCTCCTGCATTCATTTAGTCGCTTGCTGTGAAATATTATTGCAAGGGAATCTTGTTCTCCCTGGGTGTCAAGGTGAATTACATTGGACAAAAGCCTGAAATAAATGAACCCCATGTCTTTGTGGTAAGGACTGAACAGAAAAAAAAACTGAAAAAAAACCTGTCTAACCAATTTGTTAGGCTAACCACACTTCCTATCTTGATTATATCTTATTAAGTGCCAACAAATTCCCTCACGCAGTGGTCATGGCACGACACACCGGTGCTTTAGGTATGTAAGGTTGAATAATAATAATAATTTTAAAAAACTGACATTCTGATAATTTTAACAATAGGCTTCTTGCAGAACAATGGATTAAACTATTTGCATTCATTAACCTTTGATCGTGCTAATATTACTGAACGCAGAGACTTATCCGAAAGGTAAATGAATTATGATTGAAATATATGTCACCCAGTATTAACCATAAATCACCTAGTTTAAAACGACATGTGAAGTCGGCAGATACTTGGAAAAATCCAATGATTATTTTTCCTGAAGGTACCTGTGTGAATAATAAGTATGTGATTCGATTTCAAAAAGGTGCGTTTGAATTAGGTGTCAAAGTCTGTCCTGTTGGTATCAAGTAAGTTTGTGTGTGTGGTCTATATATCATAACATGTGATAATTAATATTTTTAATAGATATGGCCGACAATGGGGAGATCCGTACTGGGATACACGTAAAGGATTTATGCATTACGCTTATTATAGAATGACGAGATGGATGACGTCTGTAAACATCGTGTATTGTCCACCTGTATCCCCTAGAATTGAAGAAACGGCCTCTCAGTACAGTGATCGTGTCAAAGATGTGATTGCAACTTCCATTGGTCTCGAAAATGTAAACTTTAACGGTATGGCCAAACGTGACTTATTGTTGGCTCAAGCAGAAAAAGAAAAATAATCATCCCCCCTCCACACACACACACACACACACACACACACACACCCTATCCCCTATTTATTACCACCCCATTTTTACTAAATATTTCAAAATATATAAATACAGTGCTTACCGCTCCAAAGCCCATTGGCGTTATAAATTTAGCTTACACTTTTGCGAAAACGATGTTCTACTTTAAAAATCTAGACTGATAAAAATAAAAAAAGCGTATCGCAGTCCTCGATGTGGAGGTCGTTGTTGTCGTTGTCGTTGTCGTTGTCGTTGTCGTTTTGCTTTGCATAGATTTAAATGAACGATAACGGTAGGAATTTATTCGTAAATAAAGATTTTACTTTTTGTCTTGAGTGCGTCTTTTGCTATGCTCATAAGAGCTTTTTAAGCTATTAGCAAAGGTATATTGTTGTAATTCGTCGAAAATAGAAAAAGAGATAGAAATCATATAAAGATAAGTTTTATTCCTTCGAAAATATAAAAAAGAAAAATTAAGAATTGACCTCTTGGACGGCAAAGGATATCCAAAGTTAAATCAGGCTTATATATGAATAAGACTAGTTCAGATTTTAGTAAAAAGCAAACTAAAATAATCTTGCGGTCATTTCACATGTAAAAGACTGGAAAGCAGGCGAAAAGACCAACAGATGAAAAAGGTGAGGTAGTTAACAACACCCACCATCGACATTGATGACGACACTGGAAATTGCGATACATTTTTTTTTTCGCGAATTAAAGCCGTAAGCTCACTGCATATAAGATAAAAAGATAATCAGGTAAAAAGAGGACATGTGATATCTTTCATTTGTCACACACAAAAGAGAGATCAAGAAAAACTTTATTTCATCAAAAGCTTATCTGTGCCACAAACATTTTTGTTACATTATAAATTATTGGAGATCCACACAACCTCATCTATTTTTTCTTCTTTTTTTCCTACTTTTTTTTTTCATCTTAAAAGTTTGCGATGCCTCCTAAATTGACCGCTGCTGAAATCGAAGCAAATGATGCTGCCAGATTAAATGAGCTTGGCTATAAACAGGTAAATTTCTACCATTATTTTATAACAGAGTAAAAGGACGATGATCTAAACGAACTTATTCACAGGAATTAAAAAGAGAATTGGGGGTAAATAAAAAAGCAAGTCAATAATAAGATCAGCATTCCTTAATATTAAAATGTAGTCGTTTGGAAATTACGGTTTGGCCCTGAGTGTCGTATGTATCTCCTCTGGATTGACAAGTTTGTTTTCCTATGGTTTGAAAACGGGTGGACCGGTAAAATGTTAGGCTGAATGTGAGAGAAATAGCGATATTAATGTGGGGATGTAGGTCGTTATGGTATGGGGTTGGGTTGTGGTGGCCTGCTTCACTTTATGTGTCGCTTTAGCTATGGCAGGTAAAACAGATCATAAGAAATATCGAGTGAGAATTTTTTTTAAAAAAAAAAAAACTAATAAAAGTATACTAGAAATTTCATCTGCTTATCCTACTTCGGGTGGTCTTTATTGGTGGGCAGCACGATTAAGCTCAAAAAAATATGCACCTGCTACCTCGTGGATGACTGGATGGTTTAATTTAATCGGTCAATTTGCCGTGACCGCAGGTATCATGTATGGTATTGCATTAATGATTGCAGCTACCATCAGTATTGGCACAGATGGAGCGTGGGTGCCAACAGTAGGTGCCACAGTTGGAATACATATAGCTCTTTGTGTGACCGAAGGCATCGCAAACTCCCTGGGATCGAGAGTCATGACAACCCTGAATAGTAAAAATAATAAGCGAAAAGATCTTTTTTATATCATCAAAAGATGACTGATAGATCAATTTTCTAGATTTCAGTACGTGGTGGCAAGTCATTGCACCTGCTGTCATTATGATCACCATTGTAGCCAAAGCACCTACCCATCAAGCTCCCAAATTTGTCTTCACGGAATTCAATAATGATTCGGGTTGGACAAATACTGCCTATGTGACGGTAGTAGGACTTTTACAAGCACAATTCACTTTGACTGGTTATGATTCCAGTGCTCACATGTCAGAAGAGACTAAAAATGCAGAGATTGCCGGCCCCGTGGGTATGACAATGGCTGTGATAGGTAAGCTGTTTTTTTATGTTTAATTAATGAATATATGTAGATCATAAAAAAAAAGCTAAGCATGTAAAAAAAATATAGTGAGCTCGTTGATGGGTTTCTTGTTCATCATTGCGTTCTTGTTTTGTATTCAGGATTTTCCCAATACGGTGAATACAGCCACGGGTTTCCCCATTATGCAAATTATGGTGGATTGTGTAGGTAAAGTGGGGGCCATTGTCATGATGGTCATGTTGATCATTGCTTGTTGGCAGTGTGGATTTGCTAGTGTAGCAGCCAACTCTCGTATGATTTATGCCTTTTCTCGTGACGGTGCTATGCCCGGAAGTCAATACTGGCACAAGATCGATACCAAGCGACAAGTAAGTTCTTTTTTTTATATATATGTACATTTAAAGACATGTGTCTCTGTGGGATGAGCAAGTGTAACATGTAACACTATCTTTTTCTTCTCAGGCTCCTATCAATGCGGTTTGGTTATCTGTCTTTATCGCTGCTATCTTGGGTTTACCTGCTCTGGGTAACTCTACGGCCTTCTCAGCTATCACATCAGTTGCCACGATTGGTCTTTATATCTCGTACGCAGTTCCTATCTTTGCCAAGATTGTCAACAAGAAACAGTTTGTAAGAGGACCTCTTCATTTAGGACGATTTTCTGATGTGATTGGAGCGTAAGTGCAGTGTAGGATGTATTTATGTGAATATGGGGTTTCTAAACTCATTTTTGTTAGAATTGCTGTTCTTTGGATCTGTATCATTACTATCTTGTTTGTTCTTCCACCAGTGTGTAAGTCTGCTAATTTATTTTTATAAGATGGGACTTTCAGAGACTTACTCGTATTCGTTTATTGTAGATCCAATCGATGCAGTCAGCATGAACTGTGAGTAAATCAATCTATATGTAAATAGTTGACATTGGTTACTGATACAAATGATAATTTTTAGATTCTTGTCTTCTTGTGGGCCTTGTGTTATTTGGAGCAGGTGGTAGTTGGGTGTTTAGTGCCAGACATTGGTTTACAGGTCCCGTCATTAACTTAGGTAACAAGGAAGAAGGGGAGGTCAACTTGGAGAATGACAAAAAAATGTTCAAGACAAGTGATGATCTTGAAGAAGGTGCAGATTCAAAAGAAGGTGTGAAAGTATCTGAGGTTGAAAGGGTTGCCTGATGATAAAAGTTCCCATATACCTATAAAAAAACACATATCTACATCATAACACACTTAATCCCACTTAATTTAATAAATGATTAAAACTTATATACTTTTTGCGACACATGTATTAAGAGGAAACTGTTGTATTTATGTTTGTTTGTTTTGTTTATTATATAATAATGATTAAAGGGTTTAGGTTAAGAAAGAAATATGATGTCTTTTTCCGAATCTAAGTATAAAAGATGTTTTCGTTTTTTAAAAAAAATGGTGTGTGTAAAAAAGGGGGGGAATAAATAATAATTTACAGGAAGTTGCAATATTAAAAAAAAGCTTTTTTTGGTTTCTTTTAAAGCTTAAAGATAGCTCTGTTCTTGTTAGGACTTGCCTTTGTACGCTTGATAGCCCAGTCACGACCGATCCAAAGAATACAAATACGTTCCCAAATGATGGTAGCAGCACAGTTAGCCACCATAAAACCCCATAATTGCCAACGGAAATAATGAGGTAAGACGTTATGACCCACTGGTGAGTTATAAGGCGCAATCTCCCAAGTAGGTTCAGGATAACCCAATTCCACCAACTTACTGGCAGTACCACAGTTCAAACGGAAGATACAAGAGTATGGGTTAGGATCGGCCAAAGTAAGGTAACTACAACTGACAAAGAAACAAACCCAGACAAAGACCAGAGTATAGTTTCTCCACCAGGATCGACGGAATTGAGAGCCGAAATTGACAATAGCACCATTGTTAAAGAACTGGAACATAATGACGAGAGAGATGATTTCAGATTCAAAGTTATCACCAATCAACCACCATTTAGCAGAATCCACAGAGGAACTGTCAAATTCGTTACAGATAAACCAATCTTGTTGGAAAAGCCATACAACACTGCAGACAATAAACCAGAAATTGATAAAGATACAACCAAGCAAAGAAGTCAAGGTATAGACACCCAATGGCTTAGCAGAAGGACGAGAAGCACTTAAACGAAGAGCAGGTTGAGCTTGAGTAATGGCAAATGTCATGGTGGTAGTCATGAAACCGTCAATAGTGATCCAGATAGATTGAGGAGCAATGACTGTGAAATAGAACATGATTAATTCCCAGAAAGCCATAGATTCACCGTACAAGATCAAGAATTTGTAATTGGCGAAACTTGTAGCGAGAGCAGCACGACCTTGTCTTAAAAGTTCAACACATTGCATGATGGTACGGTTACTGGTACTGAAGGGAGAAACGATAGAAGCTTCGGCTTCAGATAAGGCAAGACCGACATGAGCAGCACGGAGAGCACCACAATCGTTACCACCATCACCGCACATAGCAGTGACACCCTTTTCCATATGAAGTTGAACACACATAACTTTATCGTTGGGAGTCATACGAGCGAAAACACGCGTCATAAAGAGATACTTACGGATTCTTTCCTCCTTAATCAAGGCTTCAAAGGCACGGCCTGTCATGGCTAATTCGATTCGTTTTTCGTGTTCCTCATGAGGATCTTGATCAATAACGTGATCAACATCGACCTGATCTCCAGATTCAATATCATGCCAGACAACAGCACCAGCAACAAGGTCAGCCAAGAGAACACGTTGATGAGGCTCCATCATACCACATTGACGAGCAATATAAATACCTGTCAATGCAGTATCACCGGTAATCATAACAACACGAGTATCACCGTTCTTTAATTCGGTGATGGCTTCAGCAGTATCATGTTTCAACATATTTCTGAAGAGAACAAAACCAGCAAATTCACAATCTTGTTCGAGTTCATCACGAGACATTGATTTCAATTGCTCCATGGTAACATCTTGACCGAGAACACCGATATCACGATGAGCCATAGCAAGAACGTAACAACCTTCTTGTGCAAATTTAGCAGCTTGTTGATCATAATCCACAGGAATGGAGTCGGGATGAGAAAGATACTTGACACGTTCGAATGAACCCTTGAGGAAAACATGGACATGTTGAGTTTCGGGATCAAGAACAGCAACGGATTGAGAAGCACGAGCATGAACAAATTCAAAACGACGAACGACATGAACCTTCTTCTTTTCAGTGGTAGCGTTGGGAGTAGGGGAAGGAGCGGTCAATGTATCAAGATAGAAAGGTTCCTCAGGTTCCAATAAGTCCCATTTCATGGCATTGTAAGATTCGATATCCACAGGGTTACCAATGTATTGATCCTTGACTTTGGTGACAGCATGACATGTAGCAATACCCATAGCCAAGATAGGTTCCATCTTGAGAGGATCTTCTTCACGATGACCAAAGGGACCAATGACAGCAGAAGGTGCGGAAACAGAACCGTAAAATTCAAGACCTTCCCGCGTCAAAGTACCAGTCTTATCGAAACAAAAGATACGGACTTTACCAGAGAGATTGATACGAGGAAGATCAATACAGAGAATCTTTTTACCACGAAGACGAGCAGCGCACACAGATTGATTGATGGTGAATGCAGCAGGTAATAAAGGAGAGAAAATTTGAGACATGACAAAGACACCATAGAACCAGCTAGTGATGTTACCACGACCCATCAAGTATAAACTCAGACAGAAAGCCACGAGACCCCAGATCAAAAGGATACAGATGGCCACCTTGATATGTTCATTAAAGATGAAGGAGACAGGAGCAGGGAAGAGAATCTTGTGAATGAGAGAACCCTTTTCGGTAGCGATACCGGTACGAAGAGCCAAAGCATAGACACGACTCTTATCACCCGTGGCGGAAGAGGTGGGTGTAGTTTGTGAGACGCCAGTACCAGCATATAAAGTATTGACTTTACCGGAACCGTTCATTTCATACACATTATCATCGGTTGCAATGGCAATTTTACGAACAGGCATAGCTTCACCGGTCAATGAAGATTCATTGACAACGACAGTACCGGAAAGAATGACAGCATCACAAGGGACGAGTTCATTCTCTTCAACTTCAAAGACATCACCAGGGATCAAATCGGCGCTGGAAACGGAAGCCCATTGACCATCGCGTAATACAGTAACGGGCGTAACATGTTCTGCCATATCTTGAATACGAGTTTCGGCACGAAGACGTAAAAAGACACGAATAAAAGCAGCGACAAGAATGATACATGTTTGAACAAGACCCAACTTGTAGTATTGGAAATAATACCAAACCCACATACACATCATTTGATAGAGATACAAGAAAGAGGTAAACCTAAAATATATAATTGTCAGTTCCGCAGAAAAAAAATTTGTTTGTAATTTACCCAAGTAGGTAATTTTACACCCGAGGTAAACTTTAAAAAAAAAAAGGTAAACTTACTCTTCGATGACAGCCATAAAGATAGTGGGTACATTGACCTTGATGATATTAGCACCAAGCATAGCAGCTCTACTGACGGCTTCTTGAGTGGTAACACCCTTGGACCAAGCTTGAATTTGACGATTGGTTGAACCCAAATCAAATTCATAGGGTTCAAAACGAGCCTTTTCTGTGTTATAAATATATCTCATACATTGGTATTCAAAGTAACGGAGCTTGCTTTCAGTAATCTTGACGGGGGAAGTGGAAATCAAGATATCTAACCTATTGGATGAAAGAAGAATAAAGTTTACAATGGTTAGGCTTTCGGACTAAAGATTTACCCTATAAGAGTACAACAAGTTTTTTTTTTTTACCCCAGACGCTTTGTTACACGGCCTTCAATTTCTCTGAGTTTGGCGAGCCATTTACTATTGTCAGCCAAAAAGATCTGACCTTCTTGTCTGCGTTCAATTTGAACAAAGGGACTCTTGTGAGGATAAGATTCAATTCTGAAGTAATTACGAATGGTGTTTTGTGCAAAGATCATGACACAGAACCAAGCAGCAGAAATATGCCAGACAGCGGCAAAGATTTTGGATGAGAGATCAGAAGTAAGGAAGATTGCTAATTCTATGCCACCTAACGTGCCATCTGATTGTGTGACATTGTCAGTAAAATAATAAAATAAAGATGTGGTACAAGTAACGTATAATAGGGTTTTTCAAACTTACAATAATCGCCTACGATACAACCCAAGAAAACAAAGAATAACAAGGTAGTAATCACCACAGATCCAAAGGCGAAAATACCGAAATAATCATTGAGGAAACCACGAAACTTCAATTTCTCGGATTCTTGAATTGATTCAGAAGAAATTGAGGTCTCAGCGGACTTGTCGAACTTTTCCTTGTGCTTTTCATCCAATTCTTCCTTCTCTGCCATATCCATTTTACACTCCGATTCGTCGAGCTGAGAATTTATCATGATGGGTTTGTGCGTGGTGGTGGAAGTCGTATCAGCAGTAGCAACGGCTATTTGTTTGCTGTGAGCAGCAACGGCACGGTGATATTTGGCTTCACGAACATTCTTATAAAACATCCACAGCACTAAAATAACTGCTTGAACACCCATTAACACCCAGACACTAATCCACATTGGTTCAGTATAGGTAAAGTTAGGTTCAACCAAGGGACATGTTAACCACAGGGAAGAAGTGTTAAAATCACCCCAGAAGCCAATGACGGAATTATCGGTATTTGCATTTGCGGCACATTCTCTTTGGGTTTGTACGATTTGGTTGACAGGATCGAAATGGGTAATATTGATAAGTTGGCCAGCGGCACAGGGTAAATAGTCGACAGCTGCTCCATTATCATTGCCATCACACTGACAGGCGTTGGTAATACCTTCGCAAGATGCTTGACAAGTACCGTCAAGACAGAAAGATAAACCGGTAGGACATGTAGCAGCTAATGCAGTTGGGCATGTACTTTGATCCTTGACACAGAGGACAGGACACTCAACGTCGTAATGGGGGAATAAAGGGCACAATTTACCGTATCTATCATAATCGTTTGCTTTATACAAAAGGGAAGGTTAGGATTAAATAACAAACAAACAGATTTGTTTTCTTACGTATTTCAAACAAAGGTAGAGCAGTAACAGCCAATACAAATGTGGATAAACCACAAAGGACCGTATTAATCTTCATGTTTTTTTCAAAAAAAAAAAAAAAAAAAAAAAAAAATGTGAAAAGAAAAAAAGCGATACAAAAGAAGACTAAAAAATTAAAAAGAATTTCTCAGCTTTTAAACTCTCGTCACAAAAATATGGGTTGATACCAGGTACGACAGTAAATTATGATTGGAAATTTGTATTCCCCGCCCAAAGCTTTTAGAGAAGCGTCCAATCAATGAAATGAATTAGAAATTGTTTGTAGTTTGTGATCCATTACATCTTGTATGACTCGAGTTTTTTTTTCTTTATTTCTTAAAATTCATTTGAACACAGAAATTACAAAAGAAGGCACCCTGGTTTACCAAAAGGAACCCTTCTTTGATTACACCTCACATTGAGATTACATAAAAAAGGGAATTAGGCTTACATTGTTTCGCTGAATCGCGTATCTTCTTTTTTTTTTTTTTTTTTTTTTTTCTTGGTTACCTCTTTTAGTCAGACCACTTTTTCGGAGAAAGACTCCTTGTATGTAAACATGTCTTATTCCGTCCACGAACCTTTCATTGTTTCCACAACATGTTATATTAAAAACCAAGGTAATACAAGTTATTTTCCTGTGACCCCTCAGCCATTACCTTTGTCTTTTTTTGTATCTCTTTTATACGCACAAAAAAAAACCTTGTAAATAAAACCTTATTTTGTAGGTCAGAGGCTCTCCATTTTCAATCCTGCTTGCTCAGGGGTGATCTGATGAACAAAATTTGGGATTTTCTTAGCTTTATCGAGACAGGGTCACGGGGTGTCGGGCTTGTCTACCTCGATCTGTTTTAACCTTAAGTGTATATATGTACATATATAAATATCTATTGTAAAATCCATTGGGAGTGGCCTCTTTTTTTCATTCACAGTACAACCTGTTCGCTTTTACCCAAAAACAACTGTCGGTCTTTAAAATAATTAGCATAAGTCGAAACGCATTTGTCAGTTCATTCTCATATGTCTAACTTAAACAACAAGCCCTTTGTTGATTAACAATTATGGAAATAATCGCCTGTAATTTTTAATTGTATATCGCTGATTCCTTGCATAATTTTATCCTCATTGATCTCAGGATTCTTTAATTTCTTACAGTAGTTATGGCACAAGTCTTTTGCATATACCAGATCTTTACAGCTATTTATCTAATTATGTATATTAGACATTTATCTCTTGGTAAGATTATAGACCAAATTTTGAGCTTGGGATAACATCCAAAATCTAGTGGGCATATGAGGTATATGACGGCTTGTAGTCCTGTATTACGGCTACGCGCACCATATGCTGTCCCTTAGAGACCAGTTCCTTAAAAACCATTAGACAGATTTTCGCCTTTTGTTTCTCCCATCATAGCTGATTCACACCAGCTGACCTTAAGTATAATTTTTGAGATAATAATTGGCTGCTTACTCGAGTTATTCACGACTTGTACATCTGTAATTAAAATAATTAGTAACCTTTTGTTTTCCTATGTACCATTATACCACGCAATGTAATTATTAGCGATCGGGTCTTCGCATGAAGAGAGTAATACGGCATCTTTGTACGTTTTATAAAGGCTTGGTTGATTAATGTTTTCATTGAGATTTCACACGGGAAGGCGTCTTATGACCGCCTTGCGAAAGCCTTTCCGGGCGTGCTTAATTTTTAAGATAGTGCCGCTTGGTACTTTAATTTACTTATTTCCACAAACATATATCAGGGTGTGTTTATATATATATATATATACTAAACGTCCTCATGATCGAATTACTGATACGTACATTTTATTGTAACCACCTTGGCCAAGCATTTCCAGGAGCTTTGTTCTGATGGAAGGTATATACCTTTGCCAACATGCCAAGCATGTGTCAGAGTATGTGTATAACTTTAATTTATAGTGCGCTTATTCTTCATCACTCACTTGGTCAATTGCTAATTTATAACCTTTCTCGTAACATGAGACTCAAGCACGCAAAGCAAAGTATTGATTCTCTAATAGTTGGTCATTCTATGTATAAAACATTATTTTAATTGGTCTCTTAGATTGTCAACTGGCTTCAAATATTGAACTTATTTTATGATCGCTGTCAATATTTATAGCCCTTTTACGCCTTATACATGTCTAGAAGACAAAATAACTGACTGTTATGGCTTTCAAATGAGTACAATAATTTTCAATGGCCGAAGGTTACGACATTCAAGTTTGTTTTTCCAAACTGACGAAATCAATAGGTCGCACTAAATGCTATAATCAATATATCGAGCATGGCGTACACAAAACTACGCAAAATATAGCAGCAGGCTGCTCAACTCAATTCTTTGATATCAATCCTACATAATTTCTACTTGACTCATTGCGGACCCTCATTGGCAGTAACCATTTCCGCAAAAACATCTTTTGTTCTCGTGGTGAGGTCCTTGGAAGATACCCAGACTTAAGGTGACAGAGGTATTCAATGGCAGCAATTATATCTTCTATAATCAGAAATCATGAAAGAAAATGGAATCATTTTTCTTATGGTACCTCATCGAGAGATAAATTAACATGTGTTCATACAACTAAAAAAAATGTTTAGTTTTTTTTTGACATGGTGTTCAATTCAGGCACATCAGTTATTCTTGCATTGTAAGCAATTTTAGCTGATTTACTTTTTTTTTTTTTTGGTTGGCTAGGAAAGATGACGTAGTGATTTTTTTTACCCCAAATCAGCCTTTTTAGCTTTTTAGGCATAAAACTGGAGGAATGCACGCAGATACACACACAAGTCTGTAGCTCAACTGGAATTTAACTTTTTTTTTTTTTTTTTTTTTTTTTTTTTCATTCTTTTTTTACAACAGCAAAAAAAGATCGCCATGTCGTCGAACGGAAATGTTAAAAAATATACTAATACAAAAGGTAAAAACCAAAAAGAATTGGAAATTTACAGCTTTCTTTTAGCTAATCTAAATGGATGAAAAAAATACAAAAAATAGATCTATTAACAGAGGAACAGCAAGATGTGCTGCGAAGTAAAGTGAATAAAATCGAACGACTCCAGTCAGGTAAAGAGAGACACTTTGAACCCAACACACAAAAGAGAAGCACCGAGTTGAACAACAGTAACCTTTTTGTAGATATCAACAACTTGTCGAAACCGCTGTTGCAATCGGATCCGATGGCAAGCTGGTCGAAACATGTCACACCCAACACTTTATCTGTTTTCCAAGACGAAAAAAGCTGGAATGGCATAAGTAATGTAGAGATAAAAAAGAGTCAGGGAAAGGAATTTCGAGATGCCACTGGGTTAGCTTGGAGTACGCTGAGGGATTCCATGCAAATAGAGTCTGAAGGTATAAATATATAAGGGTGACACGGTTGAAAAAGAGAGAGATTGTTTAATACGATGTATATATATAAAATAAAAGATGATAGCGAAAGTGGGTCACCGGTAACAACACAATTGGATGCGAAAGACATGGAAATATTTGGTGCGATGCCAATGCGAGATGATATTGTGGTGGTGAAATGCAACCACTGCCAACGGCCATTATTAGCCAGTAAATTCAAGGAACACTCAGGTAAAAAATAAAAAAGACGGGAAAGTCAAAAAAGGAGATATTGATCGATATATGGTAATTATTGTCGAATATAGTATCTTGTCTGGGTAGTGCTTACGCTGACGGGAAACTCAACCAACGAGACTTTTTCTCGGATGATGAAGAGATTGAGTCCAAAAGAAATTCTAAAAAGAAAAAGAAGTCAATGAACCTTGACGGTAATCCTAATTTAGCATTCGATTTAATTTCATACACATACAACATACACATACACACACACTAAAAAAACACACACACAGATGATTTGGATAGTCTTTCGACAGCTGCAAAGCGACCTCCTTCAGCGTCGCTAGAGAAGAATGAAAAAAAAAAGGCCAAAAAGGAAAAGATGAAAAAACTACCAAGCAAAAAGGTAGGCTTTCTTTATATAAAAAGTGTGTGAGTGTGCGCGCGCGCTAAGTTATACAGTAGCACCCCTAGATCTGGATAAACAATGCGGAGTTATTCAGGGTCTCAATAACATGCCGTGTACTCGGTCATTGACATGTAAAAGTCATTCTATGGGTGCAAAACGTGCTGTAGATGGCAGATCACAGCCCTATGATGTATTATTAGCTGCCTATCAAAAGAAATCAATTGGAAGACCCAATGGTAAAGAACACGTGTCAAAGAAAAAAGGTTTTCAATACACAGTTCATTCCATTTCTTTAATTAAACTAACCTCCCCCCTTTGCTTTTAATAGCCACTACTTCACAGACTACGTCAGGTTCCTCTCTAGTGAATAATTTGAGTAACGGTGTGTCTGGGAAATCGATCAAGAATCTGAAGCGGTTACAAAACCAGATATCTTCGACATCTGTAAATGGTAATAATAGCTTAAATAGTGGCGTTAACAACAGTGGCACCAGTATCACACCAACAACTCAGACAAATGAAGAAACCTATGTGGATTCGGATGAAGAAGTGGAGAATGTAATGCAGGCACTTCGTTTGAGTAGGCCCGCTCCATTGGCTCAAAAACCCTTCTTTTTTGTCAAACGTAGACGTCAATGTTATCGTTTACGAGACATCTTATTGGATGCCATGACGCCTAAATCAACCGTTATCAAGGACACGAATTCCTCAATAAGTCACAGTGTGTTGGACAATAATGCTGTTATGCGTCAATCCTATTTTCAGCAGCAGCAACATCAACAACAACAGCAGCAACAGCAGCAACAACAGCAGCATCAACAACAGCATCAACAACAGCACAGTTTAGGTTTAGGGTTTGCCACTAACGGAAACAATTCGATGGTTGTTGATAACAGTGGTATATTTGGTGAGCCGAACAGTCCATCTTTTTCAGTACGTTGAAAACGTGATTGTAAATATATATAAAATCTATATACATATAACCACGAAAAAAAAAATTATAAATATTGTCTTCTTTTTATACACACTCATAATCACGCCCTCACACTCTCTCACACAAAATCACATTTTTAAGTAGCATCGCCACGCCTAAAATAGTCAAGCATCTGCCCAACTAAACTAATAAATCATTACGTGAAGGTTGCTATCCCATCTGTTGTGGGTAAAAAATAAATAAAAAAAAAAGGTGTATGTGTCACAGAGTGGAAGGATTAGCACCATGTGATCTACTGTCTCACTCTCCTTCTTTGGTTCAAAAGAATGTCACATTGATATCAATCAAACAAAAAAAAAAAAAGCAGCCTTACGACAACCCTTTTTGATTAATTTTTTTCCCCTTCTTCTTTTTTCTTTTTCTTTCTTTTATTTCTTTTTTTCTCTTGTATCTCTCTTTCTCTCTTTTAATACTAATTATCTACTTATTATGACACATTCATCAACATCTCGGAGGTAAATATTCTCAGTAATTATAATACAGAGTGTATCTTATGTGTACTTATGCATTATAAAACACATGCAAACATAAAAATATTAAGTAAAGACCTCCATCGTTTTAACTTCTTTGATCTGTGATGAATAGTAGTAGTATGGATCATGAACAAACAACACCATCTAATTCAGAACGATTTATACTGCCACCTATTTCCTCAATGGACGGTTTCTTCGCTAGTCGATCTTGGCCTCCACCTTCCACCACAATCCATACTTCTTTAAGCTCATCCACTACCAGTAAAAATAGTTATATGGACATGGCATCACCCATATCACGAACTACAAATGACCCATGGAGTCCTATTCCAAATAGACCAAACGATGCGCAAAGATTAGATTACTTCACAGCTGGTGCTTCTGGTGCTTCTGCTTCTACTACCGTTCCTGCCGTTCCTAGCACTGGTGTGACCACTACCAATACTAACTCAAACTCTGCTAATTCGTCTTATTCATCCTTATCATTATCTCCCATGGATAGAGACGATGTGCGATATCAAAGTCCTTATGAAAGTCATTATCGCCAAAAATCATTACCACAGATCTCAACCTTTCGAAAGAATACACACCAACTGAGTCTCCTCAACTTATATAGTAAGGTGCCCTCATCTGAATGTAAACTTTATTTTTAAAATCTTTCGTCCAATAAAATAGCCAGCCCACCAAATCTTCTTAGCTCAATTTGTAGATAGTCTCTTCTGGGAAACAATTATGCTTTTAAAATCATTTCATCCAATGAAATAACGAAAAAAAAAAAAAAAAAAAAAAAAACTTCTAAGTAAAAATTAACATGGCGAAATTAACATGTACATGAACATGATTTTTTATTAAGACAAATTTTATAAATTTTTAACTTTATGAGACAATGCCCACCAGAAGGTGCCAAACTTGCTGGTGTTGATTAAGTTGAAACGAGGGTTCATCTTTCTTGAAAAATCAAGCATCTCCACGAACTGACACTCTGTTTCTCTGTATGTCGACTTCGTCCGCAACAGCTTTTCAACAACAAGATTTCCTCCATTGTCTTTGTTACAAACGTAATAAACGCAGGAGTTTAAACCGTCGGACTGGCTTAGAAGTTCAAATCTTGTCACAGGTCCACGTTCACACCAAAGAGCGTATTCAACGATGGTGGGAGCACCAGTCAACGCATCGATTTTGACGACTTCACCGATAAAGAGGTTGTTTCCGTTTTGAAAAATTCCGGTTGAGCCAACTTTCATGGTCTTGTCATCATCGTCATTATCAACAAAGTCTCTAATAGTAGACTTGAAGGACACAGCAACCTCGAGGACTTTGTTTGAAGCTTTAACTGGATAATCCTGGCCTGCCACCAACCAAGAACCACCAGTCAATACATGTCGAGCCATCAACCTCTTTGCAAAAGCAACAGCGGCATCTCTTGAAGGATTATGTCTGTTGGTACGAAACAGACACTCTCGAATGAATTTATTAAATTGCTCACCCTTCTCAGTTTCATAAAAGATTGGGGATCCAAATCGATAAATATCATCAACAAGATGATGCATGATGTGCATTTTACTGGAGTTATAAACGGAGCCACCCCTTCTGTTAGGATACTTTCGCTTCATGTAAGCATCATGCTCCATCACCGAGACACGAAGATCATTGTAAGTGAACTCCACATACTTCAGGTACGAATCAGACTTATGCTTGATTTTGCTGATATAAGAAAGCGAAGCTAACTTGCCCAAATTTTCAAAGCAGGTCTTGATCAAGAGAACACCGTCATCACGTCGAATTTCACCAGAACAGATCAATTGATTCAACAGAATTGGTACTTGCTGAACGAGGATTTTGTAATCCCTACCTAAGAAAGATCCATGAAGACGCAATGATGAACGCAGCTTTCGGGTAAACCCTTTGCTAACGTAACCATGCAATCTTGTTTCGAGGATACTTTTCTCAGTTGGATTCAGATGGTCTTGCAACAATGTTTTTACCAAGGCTTTGCCGACACCAAGCATTATCGTATGAAGGAGCTCGATTGGACAATCCAACATCGTATCGAACGATTGAAGGTCTACCAGAGCCTGACCACCAACAAGTTTGTAACCAGTATCGACATTTACCAACAAAGTCTTGTCACCGCCAGAAGCCAAATATCGCGCGTACATATCTGCAACCACTTTTTCAGAGCGAGGGTCACAACGATAATCACTGCCATCAAGTCGAGCTGGGGTTTTTAATTCCCAAACACACTTTCGGCATGGCATCTTTGAAATGGCACCGCGACTAGAGGCAAGCTCCGAATGACGCGCATTATCAGCAGTGATAAATTGCAACGGAGCAACGACAACGACAGCCTCACCACCAGGCAAAAACATCTCCACACCTTTCTCCAACAACAAAAGATCTTCAACAATAGCAGGAAGCATTTGCATTGCTGACAGCAAATGATCTGTACAGATGAAGGCTGTATTCTCAAGTGCATGTCGTTCAGCAAGAGGCAAAGCGGCGGGTACCATAATCCAACTATCAAACTTGTTGTGTTTCTTGGTTCGATTTCCACTCATATCATCAGTAAAGAAATTCAGGGGAATAACCTTAACGGGCTTGAATTTACGAGCAGAAGAAGGAGAGGGGCGCTTCAAAGGATTTGGCATTTTCAATCTACTAATAATGGTACTAGAAGCTCTAAGGAGATTAGAGTCATCCAGCACATTACGTTCGAAATCCAATGACAAAGTTTCCGGGCGATCACACAAAATGCTTGAAATGAGATTCACTTCGACAGAAACTTTCCTGGGCATGTTGTGGAGGTATAACCTACCATCAACGGGAAGAACTTGGTAACCTTCAGCCATAACGATTGAATGATTCAAGGTATAAAACCTCTCCACAATCACAAAAGTTTGACCTGTTTTGATCAGATCACCAACCCAGATATCCTTTGGGATGTTGTTGATTATGACAGAGACCATTGGATGTTGAAACATCTTGTGGGTACGCCATTTGTTCGACTGGTAACTATCGACAAGCTCGCCCTCTGTATGATCAGGAAGTTTTGATAAATGATCAGTGACAGAAGGGTTTGCAACCAACAACTTCAAGACTTCGGAGGGAGGATTCATATAGAACGGGAGATCTTCTTCGACTTCTTGACCATTCACCTTTTTCTGAACCTTGACGTAGTGCTTCGTCTGTCTGAGCAAGGGAATCTGGTTTCTTGTTCTTCTTGAATCATCAAAGTTGAATATGAGATCAGCTGCAGGTACTTTGGCTTCGGGATAGGCAACCTTGGCTTCAGTGACGTCCTTGACAAGCTTCACAATATCTTTCATCAAACTTTGAGATATGTCACCCCCAGACCGATAATAGAATTGATACATCAATTGATGTATCTTATCCCTGAAAGGAAAAAACTCGCCGTTGACAACTATGGGTGTTTGATCCTCGATTTCGTCGACTACAGCTTCCGGTTCATCAACAATGGATTCAGTGAATTCAATGTCTTCATCAAAAGGTTCATCTTCGTCCTCGTCGTCTTCCTCGTCACTGTAATCTTGGCATTCAGATTCGTCCTCTTGATGAAACACCATACGATCCAGACTGATGCGAGTAGATCTAATCGACTCAGGTAATGCAGTAACTTCTGGTCCATTCACTCGCCTGAAGGCCGTGTTGCTTGGGGTAATGGGTGCCTTAAAAGTGAAGGCTTCGGTAATTTTATGTGATTTTTTATGACGTGTAAGGGCGCTTGGATGCCGGAAGCGCTTGCCACATTCATTGAAATCGCAACGATAGGGGTTTTCGGTTTCGTTGGTTTGTTCAGGTTGAGTATTCATAATTCAGGAAGTAAAAGAGATAGAGATATAGTTTTTTTTTTTTTTGACTTAGAGGTTTTTTATATGCAAAGGTTTAGACCAGAATTTTGAACTACAGCTATTTCCAGCAGGTTCTTTTTCTTTTAGCTTCTTTTTTTTTCTTCATGTCTTTCTTTCCGTTTCTTTAACTTTTTAACTTGGTAAGTTATTTTCTCTTATTCCCTTTATAAACGCTAAAGCTATCTATCTTATAGTTTTTCACTTTTATGCTCAATAGTACACTCATAACTGACCCATCTATGTGGAAGGTATATTGCTAGCACTTTTTTTTTTGTTCAAATGAAGACTAAAAAAATTTTTTATAACAGATTTAACGCGTAATGAAGTGAGGTAAGTCTATTGCTTTTCGTGTACAAACAACATGCATTAACGTTCATACTTCTTTAGTCAAATACGGATTACTCTGAACGGCACAAGAAATAAGGTAAAGTGATTTTTATTCAACTATTCCAGTATCATTTACTAACTATTTTTTTATAGGTTTGTTGTACGCATCTGGCTATACATGCTCTATAGAACAATGCATACTGTCTTACAGTCTTCTGGGAGTAGTGGATTAAATTTATGCATTTTTTACACCATCCTGAAGGGATTTCCAATGGCTGGCAAGGCTGTATGGCATCCAAGCCATCCATTATTTTTTTTTAAATAAAATCTACATTTTAAGCCTATAATTCTATCCAATCAAAATAATTATTTTTAAACAATTTGAACCATTTTTATTTTGGCAAAAACGGTTCCACCGAAATACAAAAAATTCTATAACCCGACAATGTCCATATTAAGATTAACCAAAAAAATTGAGCTTTGAACGTCCGAAAAACTCTATGGGTGTGTAGTATCAATAGCATTGTATCACAACCCAGCACCTCAACTACGACAACTTTAGCAATCAATAATCAACAACCATCTGGTTTTAGATACCAACCGAATAATACCGTACTTTCTACCTCCTTACCATCCAATATAAGTCAGCACACCCAACCTCTTGAATTCGTATTAACTCCCTCTTCTCTATCTACACCTTCTTTGCGCAGTATCGAAAAGGACATCGACCAAGTAAGTTTGTTGTTTGAACGGCTTAGTTATTTTAAAAAAAAACAAAACAAATAATTAAATAAGGAGCGGCTTCAAAAATTGATAGGTAATTCAACACTGTAATAGTTTAGCAGATAATATGAACCAAAAGAAGAGCTCGATGATGGATGAGAATTATTTCAGTAACCCGACCTCTATGCGACCATGGTTAGACGATATGATTGGCAGAGCCAATGAAGTGCTTAATGCATTACTTCGATTGAGAAAACATCAATTGGCCGCTGAATATGCTGGAGTACATAGAGTTTCAGATCAGCAGCATCTCCAACAGCATCAGCAACGACGTGGTGCAGAGGTAAAAAAATTAATAATCAAAAGGAAAAAAAAGATAGTGTACAAAATGACTCATTTTGTAAATAATTGGGTAATCCCTTATAATGACCATCTACTAAAAAAAAAAAAAACTTTATGAAATCTAATAGGGCGACGAAAGCTGGGAAACATCACTGTCATCTTCCGTAAACTCGGTTAGACTTCGAAAAAGAGGGGTAGACTATTTTTCTCCCTAATCTATTAAAATTATCAACTTATCTGATTTATATTATGATAGAAACGACCTGTTTTTCAAAATAGATGCCATAGTTGTCATATAAGCGAGACGCCGGAATGGAGAAGGGGGCCTGACGGGGCCCGAACACTTTGCAATGCATGCGGTTTACGTAAGTTGAGATATATAATGACAAACAACAAAAAAGAAACGGAATGATTTAATCTCTCTATGTAGATTACGCGAAACTAGCAAAGAAAAAAGTAAAACAAGATGTAGTGAAAAAGGAAGAAGATAGAGATGACACAAGTATGAAGTAATGTGTCCTTCGTATTTTTCCCTCCCATCTATATAAAAATATATATTCTATACACATCCCACCTATATTTCGATTTTATTCTTGTTTGTGTAACATGAAGCCAGAGTTTATGCTTGTCAGTCATCAACCCTGAGCTATTTATAAATTCCCACTAGCCAATCAAAAGTCACTTTCATAAAGATTAAGTGGCTTTGTTTTTTCATTTGTAATTTTAGTTTAAAAAAAAGAGACATTTTTAGTCAGATCGCATAACATCAAACATAGCACGCTGATTAAAAGGTGTGATATGGTGACTCCAGCGTGAATCGTCATGTCACCCAGGAAATACGAAATATTTCTAGGATGGTTGATCGTTTACAGAGTCTGGAAAGCTTTCATCATACATTCCATTGTCAGGAAGATTTGTCTAAAGAAAAGCAGGATTGCAAATTTTTCTCTGTCTTTTATCCTTTTTTTTTTCCCCAGCGGTAGTCGAAAACACGACTGTCAAAAAAATAATTTTTTAAAAAAAATAAATTTATTGTACAGTCACGAGTTTGAGGAAGTGACTGGTGGGATTGAATGCTTACATCGACATTGTTAAACTTCAAATAAAACGTAGTGTATCTATAGTAAGTTGTAGCTACACATATAACCCTTCCTGAACAATAGTTAAAACAGATAACACGCAAGACATAAACTGTAACTTTTTCTATAGTTTACGGAAGGCCGTGTTGCACAAGTCTTATCTTTTTGGGGATATCTTTTGCTAATAAGCTTGCTATTCTTTCAGTTAAAATGCTATCAATAATTCACTCATATGAAAATACGCGAGAAGCTATTATTTAATCATATTCTAGTAATTTTGCGAAATGTTCTTATCAAATAGCGGATGGAAACCGGAACCATGACCCCCTTAGAGTTTAGAGTTTAGCACCGATATATTTCTCCGTATAGGTATTAAATCAGTATGTAAGTATATGACCCACATAGAATTAGAGTTAGCTTGGACTATTTTTAGTTTCTTGTTTTCAACACAATCATTACAAGACTGGGATGCTCATTTTAAACAAATAACCGACTATCACCACCGTTTCTAGTCTTGCAATAGTTAGATACTTTTTGACAATACGTTCAAATCACTGTGAACAATCCAGAACTTGGTCATATTACTAGCTATGTTTTTTTTTTAAATCTCGGATTGAAAGAAATCAAATGTTTATTTGTTTAAATCTTAAAGTAGAGACTGAGGGAAGTTCATTATTATCGTCCAATCGTTGTGGGTACTCTCTATTTTTAAGATTAACTGTATGTACCACCATCTAGTCATAACTCCTCCATCGTACTCACTCAAATGGGATATTAACAATCAAATTAAGGCGTGGTTTTATAATAAATACAAACAAGGGCGGCATTTATGTATGCACAAGCGAAGCTCATTGTGATTTACGCGTTACATTTTAGGCTGATGAAGGGCACTTCATGCAACAATTAAAGATTATTTCCTAATGTAGCGAACAAAAGAGATAAAGAAAGCACATTCTTCTTCTTCTGTCGTGCGCAACGCGTATATAAGAGCGCTTCATAAAGAGTGGCAGAGTGTTTATTCATACATTTACTAGTAACACCTTTCAATCACAATATAATCATGTTCCCCACCCTTTTTAAAGCTTTTACCGCCTCTGCTTTTGGTTCTATCAAGACGCTTCCAATCATTCCTGCTGCCAAAGCTTTCACTCATGTCAGAACCTACAGCGCTACCAACCATTTGATGGATTATGACTTGTTTCCAAAAAAGTCTTTGTCACCCAAGGAGTTGAAAACATTAGTGAAAACACTCGAAGTCTTGCTTACGGCTTTCAAGGGGCTTCCAGAAAATCAATTGAAGCCTCAGCTGAACAAGTACCGTTGGAGCCCTACCGAAAAGGTGAATATGTCTGTCGCGTTATTGGTATTACAGAAGGAGCCTAAGGATGTCAAGGGTGCTGATTTTAAAAAAATTGCCCAGTACGTACAAACTAGAAACGCTCAGCAATGCCGTTCTTTCTTGGATTATCGTATTAGAATTGGAATGGTAAGTGTGAGTGGTATGTAATTCTGTACATCGAATCTAACTTTTCGTAATAATTTAGCCCGGTTATGTTTAAATAGTATTAACGCCAGTTATTTCATACCCTCATTCATACATATATATATATAATTACATCGCTCGGTCTAATTGTCAATAAAGATATCACCATATTTCAATAATTCAAGTAGAGAATTATCATTTATTATAAACATTTAATGACTCCTTTAGCAAAAATATTACAGCAAATTATAAATGTCTGTGTAGTTAATAAGTTAGTTTGTTGCGAAAAAGAGTTTGGTCTAGTAGATGCAGGATGTGAATCAATGATTAAATCCGTAAAATTACATTGCTGTCTCGACGAGCAAGTCGAATATTTCTGAATAAAAGACTGCAGCAAACGGAGATCATTTACATGATAATATAATGGCAATTCGATTTTGAACTAATTTTTATAAATCGTATTGATCACATATGTTTGAAGCTTTGAATGACAAATATTTATTGTCTGATCAAATGCGGCGGTAGTTATCCTTCTAAAGCAAGATATCTCAATTTCTTAACAATCAGGTGAGTCAAATTTCCTATATAACGTTCGAAATGAAAATTTTAAATTCTGGTGGCATTAAAAAGAATTATACCGGCTGTCTTTGGAAATGGTTTCATAACATCAAGTCTTGTGTTCGCATAGTTTACGTTACGGTGCATCAGAAAATATATACAAGCATCTATCATTATGGCCGGTACTACGTATTGTGGAACAAATTTGACTTTTAAAGAATAAAGACGACCTGCCATTTCTTTTTTGTTTTTTTTTTGTTGGTATAATCTTGCCTCCAGTGTAATGAGTTCACAGATAAAATATAGCATTTTCCTTGATTATTTTAGTTCCCTTTTAGTCTAAAAAAGTAAAATGAAAGGGATTGACTTTCAGACTTTTTTTTAACGAAAAGTCTAGAAACGGGTATTGTTAATTAAATGAGAGCTACTAAATAACTAGAACGGATTCTAAAGATTTAGTCAGACACTACTCAAAATCAGTCTAAATATCTATTCTATCTCCTTTTATCAAATGACGTTCATCCAAATATCAATTTAAGTGAAATAAAGGGATTCTCCAATTACAGATGCTATATATTGTAGTATATGAAGATGGCTCATCCCAACAACTATACTTTATTTAAAGGTATAATCAAAGTCTGCTGTACAATTAAAAATAGCAATTCATTGCCTTCAAAAATCCTGATATAGACTGGAATAGGATGGTTCATTGTTGTATAAAATTTAATATGAATCACCCACCCACCTTTTCTTTGAACTGTAGGACCTTTTTTATCTTTTTAACAGATGTTAAAATCAAGACCTTGTAGTTCTACAAGAAAACGTAAGGTGTACTGGTGCGTCAATTACAAGGATCGTCATACGTCTAAAGCAAGCCGATGCACCATCACCTGTGACACCAGCACGACGTTTGACCAGCTTTTACAAAGGGCAAAGGAAGCGACGGATCTTTTACAAATCACGGCATTTCGATGCATGATCGGTCCCTGTAAAACCATTCATGATGATCAAAGTATGGCTATTGCTATGGAAGCGTTTGGAAGCAGTAGCGAGTCATTAGAACATTGGAGAGTTGGAATCATGATATACGTAATCGAGGGGAATCATCGTATCGATTCAGAATTGGGTTTGGTATCCGCCTTGTTTCTGATGTTTATCGGATATGGCTACATGTATCTCATGTATGTGTTTATAATGAACTACGTATACAATTAACTTTCTTGTTATTTGTTTACAATAGCCTTGTGTCATTATAATAAACAACAGGGTCTCTATGTTTCAAAACAATCCTAGGTAATATTGCATTTACACAGTCTGAGACGTAACTACTCTATCTCCCCCCTTTTTTTTCATTCTGCTGGAAGTCATGCATTGTATTTCATTAAATGTTAATTTTATTCTCTATCGTGTGATCAGGTGGAGAGGATTCTCCCTACTTTATAAACAAATCTTTTGTTTCTTCTGCTGCCAAGATTATGTATGAGGTTGGATTTGGAAAAAGAAAAGTGTGCGTAATTCTACTTTTTTGTTTCCAGGATTTCGAAACAGCATGTTATTATTTATCTTTGCTTGACAGATAGTTGGGATCATAACCATGAATGCCATATCACGAATTCTGCTGAAATAAAAGCCTCATCACAAGAAAAAAATAAAAAATAAAAAAAATAAAGGGCTCATCAATGATAATAAGGGACACTAAAATAAGTTGTTATTTTTTTTTAGATAGAAAATTATAGCTAATGATATTGTTGATGGGATTGCCAGCCATGTTGTTGTTGTTGTTGTTGCTGCTGCTGTTGATGCTGTTGTTGTTGCTGATGTTGTTGTTGTTGTTGTTGTTGTTGTTGATGGTGTTGTTGTTGATGGTGTTGTTGTTGTTGCTGATGATGGTGTTGCTGCTGTTGGTGTCTCATATACTTTTGATGATCATTCATGGATTGGAATTTATTCATGCTACCCAAGGAAATGACACCTTGCATATTAGAGCTACTTGCACCCAAGATATCCTCACCTGTATCGGCTGCTTCTGCTGCAATATTCATACGAGCTTTTAATGCGGCACTGCGCTTATGTGTTCCACCAATTTGGTCATACATATTTCCATTCAAGAACTGATCGTCGGTTGTTTCTTGTTGAGGTGGTACGGAAAATCCGGTTCGGTGTGTCTTTTGAGGCTCTCTATCTGGTAAAACAATACCACGTCTAGCACGAGTACCTCGTCGTTTCCGTCTACAGAAGAGATATACATATATGAGCATTTCTCACTCTCTACTTTTTCATAGCAGTTCACTTTACCTAGCCTCTCTCATTCTGTCCTTTTCCATTTTTTCAACAGCGGCGTCGGATAATTCAGTGATGGAAGGTGTAAATGTTTCAATGGTTGTGTTATCACGCACAATATGCTTAAGACAAGGTAAAAAGCTGTGTCTAATTTCATCGTCAATTAGGGAATCATTCGTGAATTCGTAACCCACAAGTAGTAAAGACTTGATATAAATATGAATCTGTTCTCGAATCGAATGTGCAATCGCGGTTCTTTTTAAAAGAGGTAAATACAATGCCATTGAATTTATCTCTTCTCACACTTACTTGAATTCGCCTCCGAGGCCCAATTCAATGGTCAGGGTATTCGCGAATTCCTCAGGCGAGTTACGTGGACAACTGATATCCCACTCAAATTGATCTACCAATTCCCTATTTCCTACCGTGATATCTAATTTGATGATGGTACGTAATTCGATGCCTTTACTGTTGCTGTTGAATAGGGTGCCAGAGGAGATATCGTTGGATTCTTGAGAAATTGTGTTGAGTGCCTCTGTCTTTTGTTCGGGTGATTCCTCAGCGTCATCCTTCATCATGCTAGAAGCATTCAAGTTGTAGTCATCAATTTGTTCTTTGATTGCCTTTGCGATTTGGTCCATGAAAATGTTGGAAGGCAATTTCAAGTCCTCACACATCACTTCAGCAAACTGTTCTGGTGTAATTAACGATTCTATCATACGAAAAAAAAAAAAAAGTTTTTATATATATAGACGTGTGTCAGATTTCTTCCTGTACAATATATATATACCATTCAAGTTCCAAGTAAAGGTATCTCTCAATTTATATCCTTCGTGTTCTAAATCAATTCGAATAGGAACTAGAGTATCTTCCTTCTTGGCCTGTTCTTTAATGGCTTCTGCTGGACTACGAGACGATTAATAACCAACGTTTTAAAAGAGTGAATGGTAATACCGTACAATTTAAAGTCTCTTCTCTTCTTTTTGTCTTGAGGAAAACGAATTTTACTACGCGTCCCCGTCTTACCATTACCATAGCCTTGATAACCAGGACCAAAGGTAATGATGGGACCACCAGGTTGCATTCGATTTCTTCTTTCCAAACTAGCAACCTCTATCGATCTTTTTTTGGTCTGTGCTAATTCAATATGTTTTTTGTGTTGTAAATTCAATACATCTTGATAGGTTTCATCTCGGTATTCATATTGCTGTAAGTTTTTCTTTTGCAAATCAGTTTTGACCACGATGGCCTTGGCATGATTGGTCGCGGGTGTGGTAATAATGGGAACGATGGGAGGTTGAGGTGGCGTAGATGATTGTACTGAAGCAGCAGCAGCAGCAGCAGCAGCAGCAGCAGCAGCGGCGGCGGCGGCAGCGGCAGCGGGTGGTAACATGTTGGGAGGTCTCATCATGTGCATGTCTTTTTGACTATTATTCAACATGCGTTGTTGTTGTTGTTGTTGTTGCTGTTGTTGTTGTTGCATTTGGAATAATTGCTGTTGCTTATTGAACCCTTCATCCCAAGGTTGTTGCTGCTGTTGTTGTTGAAATCCTCTTTGCTTTTGTTGCATCATGGATGCTAACCTTTGCTGTTGTTGCTGGATTTGCAACTGTTGATACTGTAATTGTGTTAAATTCGATTGCATGCTTTTTCTTTTTTTTTTGTTTAGGCTGTAGAAAAAAATAAAAAAAAATAATAACAATAAAAAAAAATGCGTTTGAAACGAAAGGGAAAATTACTTTTTTTTTTCTTGCGCCCTTATTTTCTTGCTCGTAGCAAAGTCCTTCTATTACGTCATCCAAGCTGTCTTCTTTAGAGGATCAGAAAGGGAAAGGGAAAAGCAGTAAGGCAAAAGTGTATTATTGGGGTTTTTTTTTGCGATTTTATACATGTAATTTCAAGAAAATTTTCACACGTACATTTTTTAATCTGTCATGACACAAGAACGATACACAGTACAAGTACGCGCGCGTGTAATCGTGAATAGACGCGTGTGCTGATATCTGTCTCTAAAGAATGAAACCATTTTGGTGTATTCCCATACAACCACATCCAAAAATCGATTGAAAGTGACTGTGAGTATGCTCGCGGCGGGCCCTAACCTTGTGCTGTGTTTCCTCAAAAGATTAAATTTTGACAGCGGCACCAAAAACTTTTTATTATTTTTTATTCTTTCTCATCATCATCTAAATTAAAATAAAATGGTAAACTAAAAAATAGAATGTTATAGATGAGAAACGCGTATTAACATCAAGATGTAGTCTTTAGCTCCTGTAAACATCTTCCAGGATCAAGCAACCGAAGAAAGAGCTGAAAACGCTCGTTTGGTAAGTGATGAGTTTTATTATATAGATGCAAGATCTCTCTCTTTTTTTTTAACAGTCAACTCATATTATTCTTCACTAGTCTTCTTTCATTGGTGCTATTGCTGTTGGTGATCTCGTCAAAAGTACTCTTGGCCCCAAGGGCATGGTAATTACTTTTTACATATATATAATCTTGTGGAAGAAACTAGAAGGAAAATTTTTAATCTCGTCCTTTTTTTTTTTAATGATAATAGGACAAGATTCTTCAATCAGCTACCACTGGTGAAATCTTGGTGACCAATGATGGAGCCACCATCTTAAAGTCCATTGCTTTAGATAATGCTGCCGCAAAGGTGCTTGTAAATATTTCCAAAGTTCAAGATGATGAGGTTGGCGATGGTACCACTTCTGTCTGTGTTTTAGCTGCCGAACTTTTACGTGAAGCCGAACACTTGGTTAACCAACATATTCACCCTCAAACTATTATCGAAGGTTACCGTCTTGCCTCTGCTGCTGCATATAAAACCCTTGAGGAAAGTGCCATCGATCATAGTTTAGACAAGGAGCTCTTCCGTTTGGATTTAATCAATATCGCAAAGACCACCCTCAGTTCCAAAGTCTTGTCCCAAGACAAGGAGTACTTTTCCAAATTGGCTGTTGATGCCGTTCTCCGTCTCAAGGGTTCTACCAACCTCGAAAATATTCAAATCATCAAGAAGCCCGGAGGAAAGTTGATGGATTCATACTTGGATGAAGGTTTGGCAGAGAAAGAGAGAGCGATAGAGTGTGTGTATACTAAAAAGATACGTGTAAAATAGGCTTTATTTTGGATAAGAAGATTGGTGTTAACTGCCCCAAGCGTATTGAAAATGCAAACATTTTGATTGCCAACACATCCATGGATACCGATAAAATTAAGATCTTTGGTGCACGTGTTCGTGTCGATGCTACTGGTAAGCTTGCTGAACTTGAACGTGCTGAGCGTAATAAGATGAAGGAAAAGGTTGACAAGATCAAGGCGCATGGTATCAACTGTTTCGTGAACCGTCAATTAATTTACAACTGGCCCGAACAATTATTGGCTGATTCTGGTGTTGCTACCATTGAACATGCTGATTTTGAAGGTGTTGAGCGTTTGGCTTTGGTCACTGGTGGTGAAATTGCTTCTACATTTGACCATCCCGAACTTGTCAAGTTGGGTCATTGTGATTTGATTGAAGAAATCATTATCGGTGAAGACAAATTGATCAAATTCTCCGGTGTTGCTGCTGGTGAAGCCTGTACCATCGTTCTTCGTGGTGCCACTCAACAATTATTAGATGAAGCCGAAAGATCTCTTCACGATGCTCTTTCTGTTCTCTCCCAAACTGTACGTGAACCTCGTACCGTGCTTGGTGGTGGTTGTTCCGAAGTCTTGATGTCCAAGGCTGTTGATGAAGTTGCTGCAAAGACCGCTGGTAAGCGTGCTATTGCTGCCGAATCCTTCTCCAAGGCACTCCGTCAAATGCCTACCATTTTAGCTGACAACGCTGGTTTTGATTCTTCCGAATTAGTCTCTCAATTAAGAGCTGCTCATTATGAAGGTAAAACCACTGCTGGTTTAGATATGGTTAATGGTGTGGTTGCTGATGTTAGAGAGTTGGGTATCACTGAGTCTTACAAGCTTAAGAAGCAAGTTCTTTTATCTGCTTCTGAGGCTGCTGAGATGATCTTGAGAGTTGACAACATTATTCGTTGTGCTCCTCGTCAAAGACAAGGTTAAACAAGATTAACAACAAAAAATAGGAAAAATACATAGTTTGGGTCATTTGTAATAAAAAAAAAAAAACCATGATATATCTAAAGGATATATGCATATTATACACACACACACACACACACACACACACACACAGACACGAAATTCACTTTTAGTTTCAGATTAAGAAAAATATGTTACCAGAGTACTGGGTTTTAGTAATGCGAAACAAAAATGCGGGGGGGATTATTCTATGGGCCAAGTGTTTGATAGCATGTATCTCTGTGTCATGGTAGGCCTTGTATCGATTCGTATGCCAGGTGTCTCTTATTACGAAACTTTTTTTTTCTGGAAGTGCGCAGCCCCAGCAAGCTACAGAAAAGAATATTATTTAGCGCAATCAGGACATAATCTGGCTGCATGACCTGGGAGCGTGCTGCAGAAACAGCATTTCTCTGATATGCAATTGATAAGCAAGAGGGACATTGCTAAGTGACTCTTTTTTTTTTAGCGCATCATGGGATTTTCTTTTAATAAGGATGGCGTGTTGACCGTAACACATCATAAAATGGCGAATAAATCTTACAATTTCGGACTTTTTTTTTTCTACAAAAAGCAATAGAATCCTGGGTTTCATTGTTGCAGGAAATACGGGAAAGGCATTTAGCCGACAGAACAAGATAAATAAAACTAAATAAAGTATAGCTAGAAAAAAAATCATGGGGGGAGGGGCGCGATAAACAATTTAATAAAGAGATTCATGATTGCTTTTTCTAAAGAGATTGAAGTTCCGTTTCAGATAGTAAATAAAAGTGTGATTCTTTTAAAGTATTATGCATTTTTTCCCCTGTATTTAAATGACGTTGTCCAACCCATTGACATGAAAAGAAGATATTATGGTAATGAGCGGCACCTGAATGGATCCATGACGCACTTAAAATTGTTCAAAGGTCCGTCCTCTTCTTTAAAAATATTCCGGCAGCGCTGGGTGTGATGGTAACGATTCAATTAATAGCAACGCAAAAAAAAAAAAAAGTTGGAATCTTAATTAGAATAAAAAGGTGTGATTTTCTCACATTTTAGAGTGCATAAAAGTTTAAACCTATACTCGATAAAAAAAAAAAAAAAAAAAGCTTAATTTTAAAAGGCCTTATCAAAGAACGTAAACATTGGTTGTTTGGTTAACAACTGATGCCAGAACTCTTCTCCCAAGCCCCTTTATTATGTGAGTTGTAATATAAATTTCGTTGTCGTGTGGGGTAATTATGCCTCCCGTTACCGATATATAATAAGATACGCAGAGATTTATATTTGTTATATATCGGGAAACTAAATCTCCCCTCTCTCGCTCTCTGTTCCCCCCAAGGCCCCCCCCCCCCAAGGTTGCATTATCCATTTACACAAGAAATTGGAACTAAATGTTGCACTCCGTAACTCACATGTGTGGCACTATGGAAGCAATATGAGCCCTTTTTATATAGGACAAATGACTATGATCTCATAATGGGTGGTTTCAAATGCTTGTCAAAAATAAAGTATATATCGGGACATGAGAGATCTAAGCGAGGAAAGAGTGAGAGAAGAGAGACACCCGGCTCAAACAGGTAGGCGGAGTTATCGTCTGCAAAGAAAAAAAGAATACGTAATTTTAGTCTTATCTCTTTCCTAAATCCGACGAAGGAATGGGCAATGCGGCATCTCAAACCTATCAAATAACTCTTGCTCTTATATACAAAAAATAATATCAGGAACCCTGTGACTGAAACATTTTTTTTTTTTTTAAAAAAAAAAATATATATAGAACGGGATATAATTCTAAATTCTAATTATTACTTTCTTTCTTTTTCTTACTCTATAAAATAAAACACACACACATATATACATATACATATAAATACAATGGATCTCATCAATAAAGGCGTTGAACTTATCAGACGATCAACCTTAACAAAGAAACATCAAAAACATACTAGAAACCTGAGTGGAGAATCCGATGCATCTTCATCACCCACTAGTATTTGTAAAACACCCAGCATCACCAGCAGCATAACCAGTGATGAAGGAAGTTGCTATTCAGGTGGATACAATAGTAATGTCATTACCCCCTCACAAACACCTGGTAGAAATTCTGCTTCCAGCGCAACACAGATTCCCTTATCTTTCACAATCACTCCTGCCGTGAACACACCGCCACAATCACCTGTAAATAAAGGTAATGACAGATATTTCCTTTTTTAGCCCTATTTATTAATTTTTCTTATATATATAAAATAGACATACCTTCACCATACAAAGAACACTCTATTCATCACATGCCAGCATCTAATTTCCCTTCCTCTGCTATCCCCGACTACCTCTCTTCATCTCCTGTATATGCATCTCCACTCTCCCCTCTTCCTAGACTTGTTGAACAACAACCTTCCGATGGTTACTTTAGTATCCCTCCTTCCACAGACAGTAACGTCTCTACTCCCTCTTCTAAATTAGTGCCACAAAGATCTCCCATGAAGGGTGTTTATTCACCTCGTCCTGTACATGTAACCCGTGTTAGCACAAACGCTATCCCTCGTACTAAGCTCAAAGACAAACAAAGACGTCGTCAGCATCGTAAATTGAAGTTGGATGATTTCGTCCTGAAGCGTACTGTCGGCACTGGTTCTTTTGGTCGTGTGCATTTAGCCCAAAGTAAAGTCAATGGAAAGCATTATGCGATCAAGGCATTGGACAAATACGACGTTGTTAGACTCAAGCAGGTCGAACATATTAATAATGAACCTTCCATCTTGCGAGATGTGTCTCATCCATTTTTGGTTACCTTATGGGATGCATTCCAAGATGATACACATTTATTTATGGTCATGGACTATGTCCCTGGTGGTGAGTTATTTAGCATCCTGAGAAAGCAAAAGGTAAATAATAAAAGGCATAAACAATAATGCTCTGCTTAGTGTACTAAAAATCTCTTCATAACAGAAATTCTCTGAACAAGCAGCCAAATTCTACGCTGCAGAAGTAATTTTGGCCCTGTCCTACTTGCATGAAAATGGTATCGTCTATAGAGATTTGAAACCCGAAAACATCTTAATTGATGCACGTGGTCATGTTAAATTGACCGATTTTGGCTTTGCTAAACGTGTTGAGAATGTCACTTGGACTGTGTGCGGTACACCCGATTATTTAGCTCCTGAAATCATTCTCTCCAAAGGCTATACAAAGGCTGTCGATTGGTGGGGTCTTGGTGTGCTTATCTTTGAAATGGTGGTAGGCCGTGCTCCCTTCTTGGACAAGAATCCTGTCAATCTTTACCAAAAGATTTTGGAATGTCGTGTCGATTGGCCTGAAGATATCAGCCCAGAGCTTAAAGATCTTTTGCAAAATTTACTTACAGCTGATCTGGATGCTCGTTATGCTAGTGATCAAGTCAAGTCGCATGAATGGTTCTCTGATTACAACTTTGATCAAGTGTTGAAGCGTAAAGTTAAGCCTCCATATATTCCCAAAGTCAAAGACGATGGTGATGCCACTTGCTTTGCAAAGTATAAAGAACCTGCTCATCTCTATGGAAACATTCGTGGCGATCCTTTTAGATCCAAATTTCCTGCATTTTAAGAAATCCTCTCTTACTACAAATCTTATATCCCCTCCCCTCATTCTTCGCATTTTCTCATAATAAAAAATTATCAATTAATATGTCTATATACTATACTAAAAAACACAATCTTTTTTTTTTTCTTTTTTTTTCTTTCTTCCCCATGAAATATTAACCTTATACGGCTATCCATCTTACACAGGCATCAATCTAAAATTGTGCCGCTGATATCCGGGGTAAATAAATGAAAACAGACCATGACGTATATTTTTATTTCAACTGTCATTTACATTTTTATAACAAGCGTATCTGCTCTCCCCGAGGGACGTTTCTCAGTTCTTTATTGATTCATCGTAGTTAGACCGGTACATTTTATGATCTAGAAGGAATTTTTTTTCTTAAATTGCCTCAGTTTTAGCCTGTTTTTTTTTAAAAAAAAAAGTCAAGTGTTTCGCCTATGATTTTAACTTTATTATTAAAAAGAAAAAAAAATGACACCTACGTCGTATAGTAGATAAGAGGTCATGAATGGAGAAATGTATTTCATAATTATGCGCGCATGATTTTCATATGACACAATTGAGCCATTTTCTAATCCTTAATAAGCAAATGTTTACGATCTTTTTTTCTAATCGTTCATCACAAACAAAAAGGATTAAAGTTTGCTCTAAATCATCTTTTTTAGTCCCTTAAAAATTCTTTAAAAGGCAAATATATAAAACAGACGATTATGTAATATGACGGACTAAACACACGATCCAATTTTATTTTATTTTGTACACAGTTCTAATCAAGAGGAATCCAATCTCTAGGGTTCTTTAAAACTTCTTGTAAATCCTCCTCTCTTGAACCTTCCTCAGGCTCCTTCATATATTCCCAACGAGCAGTCAGAGGCAACGTCATCAAGATGGCCTCAATACGAGCACCAGGTGTTTGAAGACCGAACTTGGTACCTCTATCCCAAACCAAATTGAATTCGACATAACGTCCACGACGAAGTTGTTGCCATTCCTTCATCTCTGTGGTATACTTCATATTCATTCTCTTCTTCATAATGGGAATATAAGAAAGGTTGAATCTATTACCCATTTCCTTAATAAAGCTGAAAATCTCATCTGCAGGTTTGTCATCCAAATCATCAAAGAAGATACCACCGAGACCTCTAGCCTCTCCACGATGCTTGATGAAAAAGTATTTATCACACCATTGCTTAAAATTGCTGTAATATTTCTTGTCATATTTATCACAGCCATCCTTAAGCACCTGATGGAAATGAATGGCATCTTCCTCAAACAAGTAAGAAGGAGTCAAATCAGATCCACCACCAAACCACCACATTTGAGGTGTGCCATCAGGGTTTTCGATCTCGAAATAACGGTAATTCAAATGAACGGTAGGCGCATTGGGATTATGAGGATGAATCACGAGCGAAATACCTGCGGCGAAAAAAGGAACAGGTCCATCGGCACTGATATCTTTTCCACGATCATGACGCATCTGTTCAACTGCCGCTTTGGGTAATTGGCCATACACAATTGAAATACCTACACCGGCCTTTTCAAAGACATTGCCGTCTTGAAGCACACATGTGATACCTTCACCTCCTTCACTACGCTCCCAAGCAGTACGTGTAAATTGCTTTCCATCTAATTGTTCCATTTCAGAGACGATGCGGTTTTGAAGTCCCTTTACAAATGCTTCCATACGAAGACGCATAGGATCTTTATCCGTAATAGGTCCCTCAGCTTTCTACATGCAAACAAACAAAAAAAAAATATCAAATTCCTGTTTACTCTCGTCACTCAGTGTGTGTACTACTTACACGTTGTTTATCTTCAACTACAGCATCACAATAGACCTTTTTTGTATTGTTTTATTAGTTATTTCGATATAAGTTTGGAGACCATGCTCTTACCTCTTTAGCACTTAAAGCACCTAAACCGAGAACGGCGGAACCAAGTACAGCAACACCGGCCTTATTTCTCCACCCATTGTTGGCAAATGCGGTTCGGGCAGTAGAGTAGAAACGTTGGTTATTGCCGCTACTTTTTTTTTTTTTGACACGTCAATAAAGCCGATTCACACCAATGTATTTCTTTATACTTACAGCAATGGACGAATTGAACGTGCCGTATTAACAACTAAAAAGAGAGAATAATTTGACTTTTTTTTTAAAAAACTGTATCAAACTATCGTGTGTTTAAGATAAACTAACATAATGATCTACTCTTGAGCATGATGGTTACAATGTTTGTTCTAGAGATGATACAAAAAAAAAAAAAATTGGTTTTTCCAAGGGTAACGATTGATTTAAGACTCCGACTGTAACACGCATTTTAGCGAGAGAGGGAGAGCGAGCGTCTGAGGTTTCCCTGATCACTCATTGTTCATTAAGTTTCGTCTCTCCGAAATGAATTTTTTTTATAATGATCCCATGGAGTACGAATATACGCAGTCTGTGAAGGCTTCCTCAGCTCCATGCACTCCTGTCGATCATGAAACGATCAATAGCGATGCGATTGTGGAACAACTTGATAGCTTCACTTTGGATGACTCGGTACAAAATCAACAAGAGCCTAACTCTCGTCAAGATTCCACAGAAATGGTCAAAATACCTCCGAAGGAGCCAACACCTACCAAAGAACCAACACCTGCGAAGGCATTAACACCTACCATGGCACCAACACCTACACAGGAAAAAGAAGAGGTAAAAAAAAAAGAAGAAAAAAACATGGCCTGGAATCTGACTTTTTTCTCTCTTCCTTATAGCATTCTGTAGTTCCCTTTAAGACAGACTTATCATTTCAAAATGAACAACAAATACCAACGGATACCCCTTTAACACCAGCTTTATTGAACAACAACATTCTCAATTATTATTCACCTGTTCAAGATCCTGTGAATCACTTGACGTACGTTAAATATTTAATTATTTTTACCTTCTTTTGTGGTGCCATTTACGTATGCTCTGTTTTGGGCCAAACGATTCGACTTGACATGAATGAAATGATAGCAGCTAAGGAAGCAGGTAAAAACAAGCTTATTTGATGGTACGGGGGGGATGATAATATGTTTAGTAAAATAGAAACTGACGTTGATGGTCTGTTTTTTAAATATTTGAGGCATGTTGAGTAAAAAATACGATTGCGCAAGAAGTTTTGACCTGAATAACTGTCACTATGAGGATTTGGTCCCTGCAGCCATCCCTTTCTGTCGTGAGTGGGAGGAATGTATTCATGGACCCATTATCGTCAACCGTCTAGAGTTAATGGCAGACTACATTGGATCCATGTACTATGCATTTTTCTCACGACTGTCCTGGCAAGACAAGGTAGAATTTGTAGTACTCGCAACTATAGCAACCTGAATTCCCTAACATTCTTCTTCCCTAGATTGTTTTTCTTTCCTTGTTTTCTGCTTGTCTTTGGGCAATTAAATGTATACTCATTGCCCTTGTTGCTTCTTACACTTGATATAACTTAATAAAGTAGAGGAGGCTTATGTTCAAGCATCCTCACGTCAAAATGTTTGCAATTCGTTAAGACTCACTATGCACAATTTGAGAGTAGCTAGGGAATCCAGAAGATCCGTCTTCTGCGATCTTGAATAAAAACATGAGTTGTGGAAGATGCTCGATATAATCTATACAATTCATGCGACCCTTTCTTTCGTATTATGAGAAGGCAAAGCTTTGTTTAGTGTGCAAACATGAAAAGACGAGGACTCTCCGGACAATTGTGACAAATCCCTTTTTCTCATTTCAGATATGAACTTAAATAAACGTACTCGAGTTATACAGAATACCCACTTCATAAAAAAAAAAAAAAAGCACGGATAAGGTGCTATTAGGCATGGACATAAATTTTTAAAAATAGTGTGCTTCTCTTAGTTCCCAACAGAGAGTTGGTTAACAGGTCAGACCACGAGAAGGTGAAAGCACATCCTGACCCAAAAAGGGTTTTACTCTTATAAATTCTTGTGGTACTCTCGAAATACCCGTTTCCTCCTAGAATTACAGGCGACTCTAATATCTTCCAAGTGCTGCCTACCCACAATGCACAACAAAGGAAGTATAAAAGACCCAACTGCCACCGACGCCATGTTGGGGTGACGTTTTTGCCAACGCGTTCACAGCACGATGATTCGCATATTGGACCAACAGTTGGTTTAGGACTAGATACCCCGTACCCACAGGAAATAGTGACAAGGGTGGCGAACCAATACACACTATAGGGGACTCCACTATCTCTAGCGTAATAAAAAAAGAATGGAACCCCCAGCGTGATTTACAAGGTTTGAAATGAATGCCCCTTACCTAAAGACAATGAGGCTTTTTCCCAGCACCTACAATCGTGCTAAAGTACTGGTACGTTCACCTTACCGCTTAGACCACCTTGCAAGAAGATGTAACTAGACTGCGATAAGAGTAATGGGTCGAAGGAAGTACCATAAATGCTACAATTATAACCATGACAGAAAACCTGGGTCATTTAAGATTCATTCCAAGTCATAACTTTTAAAGAACCGGACTCCTTTAAAAGAGCTACACCGACAAACAGCCTGTCTTCCTGACGTTCACGGATTTTGGAATATTGCCCGATCACCATACTAGAAGATAAGAGTAAAGAAAGAGTGAAGAATACGAAAATGCGCAGCTATCTCCCTTTTACTGTGAGAATTTTTTTTGTTGTTTTTTGTTTGTTTATTTATTTTATAACGTCATATTGATATATGCGTGTGAACATGGCCTTCAATTCACTATTTTATCATGAGAGAGTAACACCACTAGATTCCTTATAAAATTCTGATTCTTACCATGTAAAAAACATGGTGTTGTGTAGAGTAATTTGCTTCATAAATCAAAAAGACTTGAAGAACAGTATTTACACTGTGCAGTCATCTGAAACGAAATTTCAAAGTGGATATGTGAGCCTTCATATTATTTAAACACCAAATATCATTATTAAGACTCATCGTCAAATTCTGCTACGAATCATGTTCGTAACATTATATATCACACGAACGGAAACCAGTCAATTCGAGAACCAACAGTACAAAATGGATGACGCTTACTGTAAATGAAGCCAATAGTTTACACCTCATTTGTGTTTCAATCGCTTTCTTTTATCAAATGGGAAGTTATAACTATTCCTAAAAATATAAGTGTACATCATTGAATGTAATAAAAGGGAGGATGACTTTCGCAATTAACAATTGATCAAAAAAACAATGTATGCATAAACAATAAACAAATTTCAGTCGGATGAATTACCAACATTTTGGGGATGAATGTCTGATTTTTTAAAAATGGATGAGGTCCGATTTAGACTTTTATAAAATCTCTCAATTTTAGCAGCGTCCCAAGCTTTTTGCACAGATAAGTTACACGGACCTCATCCATTTTTTAAAAATTGGCAAGAATGGTCTTTTTTTTTTCATTTTTCATCCGACCCATCCACCCAAACCCACAATTCTGGTTATTATAAAATAAAACGTCTGTTTCCCTTACAAGTGTCTCTTTAGCATATTTGGCTGTCTGGGAAACCACCTTTGATTATTATAATTTTTATTACCATGCAATCCTCAGCAGTGAATTACTAATTTTTTAACACTATTCATTGTCGATATCAAGTATTCTTATCGAGATATATAAATTGTCGTTACTCTAGATTGCAAAGAGTCTTTGTGCATCAACTCTTAATAATGTTCCCTGCATGTGCGTAACTATATGTAAATAAGAGTTATGAAGTATTAAAGACGAAGAGAGCGTTGTGCTACTGTAGAACGGGTTGTTTTTTGTTTAATCTGACGTGAGCTTTTTTAATTAATAGTGCCATCAAATATAAATAATATTAAGTCTAATAATAATAAAAACTAATGGGCAGCGGCGTTTTTGCGACGCAAGATTTCAGCTTCTTTAGGACCAAGTTGCATACCATCAGCAGAAAAGTCTTGCTTCCAGAGCACTTCTTCAGCAAATACTTTGTCTCCTAAAGCACAATTTTTCTTACATGTGTAAACAAAAAGAGAACCCCAATCTAAAGAGTCAGCAGCGATATGATTAACGCCAATGAAATTTAACAAGGTGGACAAGATTTGGAATTCAAAGGTACGAGGACCATGACAAAGTTCACAAGCGGGTATAGATTCCGGTTTATAATTTGCTTGTACCCATAATGGTTCACGAGTAGGCATATCATATTCTACACGATCATAACGAATCACTTGATCAGGATAAAGTTGAATTCTTAATTGAAATTGTAAGAAAGTATCATCTACTGCCACTTGTGTATCCTCTTCTGCTTCATCTCCCGCAAGTACTAAGGCTCTCGAGTCAGAAGAAGGCTCATCTGGGTTATTTTCCTTGAAAAATGCTGCCTGACTTTCCTCTTCTTCAGCATCCTCTCCTTTTCCTTCTGGCTCACTCACAATTTCCTTTTCAGTAAAGATGCGAGACGCACGAAGTTCTTCCACTACTTTTTTATCGGCCTCTGTCATTGGCTTGTTGCAAAACTCCTTATGTCTGCACATATTCCAATCTGTCATTTGATGTTCACGTGAGCAATAAGCTGTCATGCCACATTTTCCGCATGCTTTGGCTCCTCCAAGTCCACAAATCACACATTGCACAGGTGCTTTGAAAGTCTTTGGTGTAAACTCTTCATTCTCTTCATCTTCATTGTCAGATTCTACAGGTGGGGGATAATATGGGTTCTCGCGTGCTAATTGAGATCGGAACACTTTGAAACTATTTCACTCATGAATACGCAATTATAATCTAGATCAGAAACAAGACACATACCTACGAGTCCAATCCTGTTTAATACAACCACCCTTCTTACAACAAAATACGTATACTGTTCTATGGAAAGCTTCTGTAGGTTGATCTTCAGGTGTATAAAGCTATTTTATCGTTAAAACCCTGTTTTTTTTTTGGTACTTGGACATTTTAAGAATACATTACTTGTAATAATAAACTCATGGGCTGTTCACAGTTTCGACAAGTAACATCGTCAACGGTCAAAATAGTTTCAGGATTTAACCAAGCCTAGAAAGAATGTTTACTAAGGGTATTGGGAGAGTGTGACAGCATGACAACTTACGGGCTTTCCACCAGACTTACTAGGAAAAGTTTCTGCCGTCAAGGGAAATTCAGGGTCTTCGGCATAACCAAGTTGAGGAGCAAACTTGTCAAAAGTAAGAGCCTCACTCAACTCTTTAGGATCAAGTTCAGATACGTCACTATCAGTATCGTTAGCAAGTTTGTTTGACATTGTACAAAGGATACTATAAAGAAGAGGGAAAGCTTTTTTTTTCGCCCTTCTACTTTTTTTTTTAAAAAAGCCACCGAAAAACGGCCCGGAGTTTTGGGCACACACATTTTGAGGTTTGATACCAAAAGTGATCTACTTCACATGTATAAAAACAGTAGTTTTTCATTTCTGATTCTAGTACTACGAGTAGTTGACAAAAAAGCAAAGAGAACTTCCGTATCTAATAACCAATCAATGTCACGTTAATTCATACTTTTTGATAGAACGCCATCAGAGCACGAGTCACTGTGATACGGTTCCTTCAGAAAGTCCAGTGATACGGTAGTTCCATGAGATCCGGCTATATTTATAGGTGTTAATACATGCTATTGTAGCTGTTGGACAATTCATAGATATAAAACCTAATGCGTATGTATAATTCAGCCATTTCCTATCAGTTGGCAATTGGGGGATGTATATGGACCTCCGCGTCACAAAGGAGGATGGATAGAAAAGGAGGAGAGGCAAGTCTTCTTGCCGCTATAAATCTAGATAATTTACACGCTAAAAATTATATTAAAAACATTTGTGTATACATTTTCCTAGTTACTTTGACGCTTATGTCAGTTACTTTTTAGTGATTCAGGGTAAAAATGCCGAAATCCGCCTGTAAATGAATGTAATTGGCTAAGCATAAATCGCCCTTTTAGTCTGAAGTTTAAAATAAAAGAGTAGCTGGATTCCTTTTTTTAGCTCTTCTTTACTACTTTTAGCCATGACTGAAGGTATTCTCAACTTTGATTTAGATCCGGAACATGAGTTTCAACTATCAAAAAAGTTCAAGGCGTTCCAAATACAATACCTTGCAGTTTACTTGACAGTTATGGGTAAAGAAAAAAAAAATAAGTTAAGGGCAGGAATGAATAAAAACGGCCATCTAATACAGTTTTATATAGGTGCTGACTGGATTCAAGGTCCATACCTGTATAAACTTTACAACTCTTACGAATTAGACTTGACACAAATAGCCATGTTGTTTTTAACTGGGTTTGTCAGTAGTGCTTTTGCAGGAACAGCAGTAGGGAGCTTAGCTGATTCATGGTAGACCATAACCAAGAAAAATAACTATCCCATTTTTACTTACACCACAGAAAACTTAACATAGGGGACGTAAACGAGTGTGTATAGTATTTTGCTTTACTATGATGTCAGCCATCACACTGAGACTTGTCAATAGCTACCCGCTCTTATTTTTATCCCACATCTTATCAGGACTCTCTACAGCTTTACTTTATTCTGTATTTGAATCTTGGTATGTATCAGAACACACCAGTCGAGGATTTCCTGCTGAATGGCGTTCACGCACGTTCGCATTAGCTACATTATTGAATAGTGTAGTGGCAATTTTAGCAGGTTTATTAGCTAATTTATTGGTGGATATTTGGGGATTTCGAGCTCCTTATATTGCATCTATGGTTTTAGTTGGCCTAGTGGGTTTAATGGTGACCACCACTTGGTCAGAAAATTACGGTAGTAATCAATTTGTAAGTGTTCCATTGCTGGTTTAAAGAGAGAAGGAAGCTAAAATCAAAAGTTGTTGTAGAAGGATATTGATTTGATGCGAACATTACGCAGTGGATTAACCACCATGATCAAGAGTAAAAATATTATGATTATCGGCATTGCACAGACTTTTTTCGAGTGCTCCATGTATATTTTTGTGTTACTGTACATTCCTGCTATTGAAAATGCTACAAAAGGCGACGATTTGCCTCTTGGATATTTGTTCTCAACCATGATGGTTGCCGTGATGGTTGGATCCATGACATTTCAATTGTTTGAACAGCAAGCAAAGACAGGACCACGATTCTTTCTTCAGTTTACCGAAGATAGATTATTAACGATGGCACTTGGTTTAGCATCTTGCGCATTCATGTTAATGGCTTATCATGGAAATACATCGACAACCACTTTATTAATGGCCTATCATATGTTTGAATTTACAACTGGTTTGTATTATCCTTCCATCTCCTCATTAAAAGCTGAAGCTATTCCCGAAGAGACAAGAGCAGCTGTCATGACCTTGTTAAGAATCCCAATGAACTTAAGTGTCGGTCTCATCATGTGGCATGTAAGTTATATTTACTCTACACATAATCATAATGCGATGTTAATTTGTGTATTGTCTAGGTGGATGACATGTCTACTGCAATGATGTTTTCTATCTGCGGCATCATGACTTCCGTGGGTTGTTTCCTGGTGATAGCGTTCTATAGACATTAAAATTATTCCTCCCTTATATTGTACACTAAAAAAGCGGTCTTTTTTATTATTATTATCATTTTTTCTTGTGTGGGTTATTTCGAGAGTTGTTGTCTTTTACTAAAAGGCGAGAGAGACCGCGATGGTGATCTTCTGGGGGATGGTGAATCACGGGGACGTCTGTCACTATAACTACAAGAGGGTCGAGTATCGTCCTTGAAACTACGTTTCTCATCCTTGATACTACGCTTATCGTCATCCAAGATATCTTTTCTTGGAGAAAAATATTCTTGCTTCGCTCTGCTTCTATTGACTGGCGAGCCATATCTATCTGCAGAAGAGCCACGTCTATCTCTAGATCTACGTCTGTCTGATGAGCGATGGCGTCTACGTTCATCTGGTGATCGGTGGCGTCTACTTACTGGTGAGCGATGTCGTCTGCTATCTTCAGGTGAACGACGGCGTCTGTGTTCTTCTGGTGAGCGATTTCGAGAACGTCTCTCTGGAGATTCATCTCGGCGATGTCTACGGCGATGCTTTGATCGCTCCTCTTGTTCACTCTCATCGTCACTATGATGGCGACGTCTCTTTTTTTCACTTTTATGTTTATGGTGCTTCTTATGCTTCTTTTTCTTTTTTTGTTCATCTTCATGCTCTTCGGATTTTACTACAGGTGCTGGGGCAAATGATCTAGCATTATTTAATAACGGCACAGCATTGCTACTAGTCGCGCCTTGTAAACGACTAGCTTTACCATAACCTAAACCCTTTTCAGACGAATCAAATTCAGGTTGTTCGCCCTCATCCGAATCGTCGTCTCTGTTCAAAGCATGTTTTAAATCGTCTTGAGTGACATTACTCTCTAAAGTTTTCTTCTTTCGAACACCACTAGAAGCAGAATTAGTACATGTGTATAAACATAAAGGAGGGGGGGGGGGTATATATTTACAGTGCGATAGCCATAGCTTCAGCTTCAGCTTCCTTAATTTTAGCTAATTCAGCAGCGTTGGCTTTAGCTTTTGAATCGTCTTTTCCATCTTTTGCATACCAAGTAAGATCTTTGCCTATGCTTGGTTGTGAGTAAAAATCAAAAGAAAAAAAACTTTAGTATCTCTTATATTTTACCTTTCTGCCAACGACCAACAGGTGCCATCAAAGAATGGCCAAGGTAATTTTCACGGTGTTTATCTCCCTTGACATCGTCCCAATTGAACTAAAAGATTTGTTTAACAAAATGCTTGTTGAAATGTATTGTATAAAGATTTTACCTGATCTTTACCTCCTCTAACACCTTTATAAGTAGTGTTAATAAAATTATTTAGTATATATAATGATTGGTTTACCTCCTCTTGATGGGTGGAACATTGTTGATATAGTGTAAAGAAAATGAAAAAAAAAGGACAGAAAGTGATGTGTATTTTTTTTTATCACAGTCAAAGATTAAGTGACCAATCAAAGAGTGGGGTCATGCTTTTCTTATATAATGGTTCTGAATGAAATCTCATAACCGCAGTTTTACACCCCTTAAAAATGTTGTACAGATGCCTTTGTAGTATTAAAATCGTAGCCATGCAAGTATATTAGAATAAGTAGATATCAAGGCAATATGTGAATAAACAAGTCTATGGCTATTGTGCATTTATATCGCTGTAGATGCCATAATTTCTTCAGTATAATAAATCGATTCAGCATAATCCAACAAGGCAGTTTATTTATATATAAAAAAAAACCCTGAGTTTTTTATTCTTTATTTTATTTTCTAAATGGAAGGTATGTGAGCATAGAAAAAGTTGTAGTTTTGGTGCCTTCTAATAAAAAAAAATCGATATCTGTATTTATTTATATGTCTAATAGTTCACAGCAGTTTTGATTGCATCATAGCAACGGATCATGCTTGGTACATAAAACTTTTCGAATACTAAAGGAAACGGTGTGTCCCAACCACAAACCCGTTGAATAGGAGCTTCCAAGTTTAAGAAACAATGTTCCATGACGGTAGCAGAAATTTCTGCACCCACGCCAGCGGTCTTTGGAGCCTCATGAGCAATCACCAAACGACCGGTCTTTTTTACCGACTCAACAACGGTTTCTACATCCCAGGGCATGATGGTACGTAAATCAATCAGTTCACAGCTAAGACCTGGCATCTTTTTTTCGGCCAGCTGTATAGCATTTTCAAGTGTGTACATTTGAGATCCATAACCAATCACTGTAACATCTTTACCCTTTTTAACAACCTCTGCTTTTCCTAATGGAAGCTCATAATCTGCTACTGGCACCTCTTCCACTTAAAAATAAAATAAATACATATGAATAAAGACTTTACCCAACGTCAACTAATAGATGTAAATGTCATACCTGCAGCACGGTAAAGAATCTTGGGCTCAAAAAATATAACTGGATTTCTATCACGAATTGAAGCTAAAAGTAAACCTTTGGCTTGAATGGGACTTCGGGGTGTAACAATCTAGTGTAACCATTCAGGGCGTGAGAAAAAAGAAGCCGACAACGGTGAGAATTTTTTTTTTTATACCTTTAATCCGGGACAGTGAGTGAAAAAGGCTTCAGGACTTTGAGAATGATAATGACCACCATGTCCAACAGCTGAAGAAGGAGAACGGATAGTTAAACCACCAACATTAAATTGATTGCCTGATCTATAACGGAATTTGGCGGCTTCGTTTACAAGCTTTAAATAGATAATGTTAATAAAGGGGATATATAAATATGAAAAAGACATTTACCTGATCAAAAGCGGGAAAGATATAATCTGCAAACTGAATTTCAGCAATGGCTGTATGACCTACTGAAGCCATACCAACAGCAAATCCAGCAATACCTTGTTCTGTTAAAGGTGTATTGAATACGCGATCACGTCCGAATTGTTCTGCTAAACCTGACGTGGCCCTAAATACTCCACCAAACGAAACATCTTCACCAAATACAACTGTTAGAGAAAAAGATAAAAAGTTGGGTTAACAAAGGTTTTATCCAGATAGTGTGAATATCTTGCCTGCTTTTTCATCTGTTGTAAGTGCAATAGACATTGCATCATTTACTGCTTGAAAAAGGTTCATCTTTTTGGTCTCGCCTGTAGATTTTGGATAGATTGAGTATGGATTTAATGAACAGTCAGATATACTTACTATTATTTGCACTCATATGAGCCAGCTCAGGTGAACGAAATGCTTCGGTAGGTTCTCTTTTCAATAAATGAGAGAAGGCGACACCTTGTTGAATACCATCATTGGCTTGAGTGGCAGCTGCATAATTCCGGCTCTTTAAAAGCAAAGGCTTCAGGGCAGATGCATTTTGAATCACTTTATTTAAAGTCAACATGATAACGCAAGAAGGAAAAAAAAAATGTGAAAAAAAAAGAAAGATAAAAAAAAAAAAAGAGAAAAGAAAAATAAAATGAATACAAGATCCATCAAAAAAAAAAAAGAAGAGAGAATGAGCGTGGGAAATTTGGAGTTCAGATGACGTCTAAACTCGGATTTCGTTAAATTCAAGTTTATCAACAGATTTGCATAATAAAAGAATAGCACCAAATTGTATATCTTTTTCCCAAAAGTTCTTTTCTTGAAATGATTTCCTTGGAGACGAATTTTTAACGGCCTTCCATTTCTTTTCATTCATTTCAAAATTAGCAATGATGGCAGCTTCTTCTGTTGTTAATCTTCGTAACTGCTTTTTCATCTTGAGGGACTTGTAAACATGATAAAATCTCCACATCTCTGGTGCTGGATCCTTTTTCCTCTCAATTTGATAATCATACCTAGTTGATTCATAAAACGATAATAAAGCAATGCTTGTTTCACACTTTCCATTTGTACCACCAGGATTCAAGTAGAGTGAGTTTAGTTTGATTGATTGAAATCGATGATCTGGCATTCGAATCACAATAAATGCTGATCTACGAGGTTTTTCTTGCACAGAATTAGTGATCCATAGATTTTGTAAATTCTTACAAGATTGTGATATAAAATCCATGATATGGTCACCCAAAATAACTTGATTCAATTCCAACAGTTCTAACCTAAACCTTTTCTTTGACTTTTCATAGCATTTGGTGGTTGTAATCAATACTTGAGATAAATGTAGTTTCTCTAATTGCTCTACATTATCTAATAGTAAATCTAGTCTAAATCCATTTTTTAATTGTACATCGCAATCCAGTTTCAGTTCGGTCAAGTGTTTACAAAATTTGAGATTCTTGAATAGTGATAAATCTGTTTTCTTACCGGTCCAAGACCATTTAAGATTTGCTTTGGATAATAGGCCTGTTTGCTGAGTTACAGCCTTAAAGGATGAGGCAGGATCGATTGTTGACCACCAAGCATAATCAGTCATCTCCACTTTTACGTTATTTTGGTGAATATCTGATATTTCTTGAAAGAAAGCATCGTAGGGGAATGGAAAGACTGAGGTACTAATCTTTCTGAATTTAATCTTTTTAAGAAATATACACAATTGCGCAAATCCCATACAAGCATCCATCGATTGTTCGTATAATTCAATCGTAACATTTTCATTATAAAACCAATCAAATGTAATATCGAAATCAAGCGTTTGTACGTGGTAAAAAGCTAAGCTTAAAAAAGTGATCATTCTCCAATTCTTAAGATGAACATCGTCTAGAGTTAATGATATAGCTGAAGTAAATAATGGAAATGTTGTGGTTGAGCCCATATCGTGTTCGTCCAGTGGTAGTGTAACACATGCGAGTGTAAGATGCTTCAAGTGAGGTAACTGTGCACCCAATGCCATAATCATCTTTACATTTAAATTGACATAATTGTTGCCTCGAATAATCAACTCTTCAAGTTTAGGTATACGATTCCAAATAGAGGTTGTCAAGTTATTATTCAACAGGTAATCTGTTGATTCTCCGCTTATGGATAGATATGTGAGTTGTGATGATAAGTGTTCGATAATAGGCTGGAATATAGTCTGTCTATTCAATGTTGGTAATCTCTTTAAATGTTTCATTTGTAACCATTTTTCACTGTATCGCATATATTTCCAGAGCTTTGGGTCAAAGTCCAATACTTGTAATTGCTTGAACAAGTCTGGAAAACTTTCTAATTCATCTCGCGTTATCCCAACTGCATGTTTTTCTTTTAATCTAGTACCGGAATCGTATGCAAAAGTCAACTCCTTTACATGATCACCAAGTGCATCTTGAATGAGGCTCGACATTTCAATCGTGCGGTAGAAGAGTCGAAATTGATTACGACTGTGAATGTGGACTTTGGTATATAGCAAGTCAAGAAAGGGTCCATACCAGGCATAGCAAACACGTATACATGACCCTTGTTCTGATAGGGTCAGGTATTGACCTACCTCTTTAATAATATCTGTTGGGAGATACATTTCCTTCAAAATGGGGGGTGGGAGAAAAAAAAAAAAATATAACCGCGGTTTTTTATTATTTATTTATTTTTTTCATTACTTAGAACTCAACAGCAGCAGGGAACTCAAAAGTGACATCCTTACCAGTGAGCTTCTTATAGATTGCAGAGAAAGAATCAATCTTGTATTCAAGAGAGGTAGCATCCTTTGTATCAAGGAATACCTTGAGTGTCTTACTACCATCCACCTTTTGGCGAAGTCTCTTACCAATAATCTCGGTAGGGAACACAAGATCGTCCAAGATAGCATCATGAACAGCAGTCAAAGTACGAGATCTGGGACGAGGTTGTTTGCCAGTGTTACGACGAGTAGGAACAGCCAAGATACGTCGCTGGGCAACGAACACAATATGACGGTCTGAAAACTTCTTTTCAAGCTCACGAGTAAGCTTAGTTTGGACCTTTTGAACTGCCTTTTGAATAGGAGCAGGAACAAATACAACAATGGCCTTCTTACCACCACCGAGCTCAATCTAATTACTCATTAATACTGCAGCATAAAATACACAGAGGAATATTTACCTCCTTGGCTGCTGTAATAGTAACAAATCTTGATTCAGGAACAGAGCTCTCTAAATCTACAAGGGCTTGAGCAACAGTAAGCTCAAGCTCATCGGGTTGAACACCACCAAGTTTGACAATCTTGAGAGACATTATTTGACAGCTATATTTTATTTGTAAAATGATGAAATTAATTTTGACATGAGCGTTTTGCCAAATATTTCAATTTTTTTCTTTTTTTTTTTTTTTTTTTTTTTTTTGTAGGGTAAACTTTTTTCACACCCCCTCGCAAGTTACGCATCCATCCATCGCAAAAAGCATTTTTATTTTACAACCCGTTATTTACATCCATGTTTGAAAATGCGTAACTGCTTATTTTTTAATTTATTGATTTTTTACATACACGATATAAGGGAAAAAGGGGGAGGTTCTTTGCCTTCCCTTTTACCCCACTATTTGTCCTATTTCGCCCAGAATTAAGCGGTCTTTTAAAAGACCCTTCCTGCAATGGCTCCTCCCACTGCTCCTCCATAGAACACTATGCCTGTGCGAACAAGTAATTCGATACCTAGTTTTAACGTCTCTACACGGATATTGGAATTGGCTGGCGCATTGGCGAAAAACAATCGATGTCTTGTATGCGCTGGGAACGATAACTTGCTTAAAACACCCACCGTACCTATTGTACCCACTGTCGCCGCTATGGTCGAATTTGGTTCTTCTATTATTTTATGTCAGTTTAAGTTTTCAAATAAATGAGAATACGTTACCTTGCTTCTTTAGTACTTGAGAAATTTGTCTGTCTGCCGTATCAAACACTTTGGCCCATGTAAAATACCCAATGGGTAAGCCGATAATAACTGGAACGAATAATGCCATTTGTTGAAAAGTGCAATGACGAACACAAAAACCCCTCCAAACTATGTGCAAGGCGGTAACTAAAAACGTGCCCCCCGTGTGTGTAGCTTTCTTTTTTGTATTAGACCTTTTTTTTTTTTTATTTATTTTAAAAAAAAAAGGTATGTAAAGAAGGGATATAAATATATATAATGCTTTTTTTGTCTATAATAATATTAACTAGTGTACAAATGGAAAAATGCTTGATGTAAAAAAAAATAAAATGTAAATGAGAAAAGTTTATGCAGCAGGAGCAGCAAAACCAGATATCCAGCCAAGTGGATGTGTGTTACTTGACCAACTGCCATTGGCATTGTCAACCCTTTGAATTATATCACCAGCAGAAGCATTCTCGAGGCAGTAGCGGAGCAAAAGCTGACGAAGACGTTGATAAGAGTTTCTACAACCAGCCTAAATAATACATATTAGTACAAACAAGTCAAAAAAAAAAAAAGGGGAGGCCTATGAAGTACTTACAGTTGCTGCACGCTCATACCAGACAAGAGATTCTTGTAAATCAACTTGAGTTCCCAAACCCTTTTCGTAACACAATGCTAAATGATATTGTGCAGCCACCTGACCCTGTTGAGCCGCAAGACCAAAGTAACGTACAGCCAATTCGGGGTTTTGTTGACATCCTATGCCACCCTGTAAATGCAATGCTAATTTCTGTAAAGCACGAGCATGGTTTTGTTGAGCCGCTTTACGGTACCAATAAACTGCCTTGGTTGCATTCTCTGCAACACCAATGCCGCTGGCATAACAAAATCCAAGGTTACACTAGATTGTAAAACGTGATGAGTTAATCATAAAAAAAAAAAAAAACCTATTTTTATACTTCATACCTGAGCCCATGGGTTGCCTTGCTTAGCTGCCTTCAAGTACCAATAGGCCGCAAATTTGGCGTCCTTTTCGATACCAAGTCCTTCTTCATAACAGAAACCTAAGCTATTTTGTGCAAGAGGGTTGCCTTGTATAGCAGAAAGACGAAACCATTTGACGGCTTCTTGCTCATTCTTCTCAACTCCCATACCGTTTCTAAAAGCAAAACCTAAAGATAACTATATTTAAAAAAAAAGGTGATGTTAATCATCAATGCATATCTATTTGTTTGTTTTTTTATCTATTTTTTTCTCTTAAACGTACCTGGGCTGGCGCATGGTTGTATTCAGCGCTACGGAAATACCAATAAACAGATTCACGTTGATTAGCTTCTACACCCAAGCCATTCTGATAACAATAACCCAAGCTATGAAAAGCAAAGATATTTCCTTGGTGGGCAGATTTAGTATACCAAGCGACCGCCATTTGTAAGTTTTTGGTGACGCCAATACCATTTTGATAGCAAAATCCGAGATTATGTTGAGCTCTTGCATGGCCTTGACGAGCTGCTTGACCGTACCAGTATGCACCTTGGACGGTGTCCTTTTCGGCTCCGATGCCATTCTGATGACAATAGCCCAAATTACATTGAGCCCAAGGATAACCTTGTTCAGCGGATTTTCTATACCAGTTGGCAGCCATAACTTTATCTTGAGGTAAACCAATGCCATCCTCAAAGCAATATCCCAAACTGTTTTGAGCAAAAGCGTTACCCTGCTCTGCAGCGAGCATATACCATGTAGCGGCTTCGGCATGGTCTTTCGGTACACCAATACCATCCTCGAAACAGTAGCCAATATTATAAATAGCCACAGTCTCCCCCTGGGCAGCAGCACAGCGGTACCATTCCATGGCTGTACTTTCAGACTTTTCTACGCCAAATCCCTCGCCATAACAATAACCTAGAATTCCTTGACCACGACAATTGCCTTGCTCCGCGCTAAGTTTGTACCACTTGAATGCTTCGTGTTCATTCTTTGAAACGGCGATGCCGTCATGATAGCAAACGCCATAACAATATTGGCTAGAAGAACACCCGTCCTCTGTTGCTGTGCGACGAATCCAGTTGATGGCATTGGGACCTCTGGCATTAATTTTGGACTCCCAATATTCTGCCTCGATGCGATTGATTTGCACACCGGGTCGACCGTATTTACGTAAAAAAGCTAATCGAGCGATGCCTAATAAAGTGGCGTCACTTAAGGGTAAAAGATCGATGCCATCATCCTTAAGCGAGCTGTTATTTTCGGTTAATGCGGTTTTGACGGACATGATATAGTAGCGTTCAGCTTCTTGAAAGTTGATGCTAATCCCGAGTCCAAATTCGTAACAAAAACCGAGCACGGCTTGTGCTCCAGAATGGTTTCCTCGATTGGCTGCATCTTGAAGACAAAGAACTGCAAATTTCTGGTCTTGCGATTTGTTATGACGTCCGTACAAATGATTTTCAGCCATTTGAAATAGGTCTTGTGGCGATAAATGATCTTCCATTGATATCAAACTACTCTTACTCACAATGCTACTAGATGAAATCGTTGATGTCTTTGTGTTGGTGGTAGAAAAAGAAGGCGAATTGGAAGATACTGTGGATGATGAAAAGGTGGACGATAAGTTGGATGAAGTCGATTTATTAAACTGGTGATGTGTAAAGTATTTACGATTGAGTTTTGAAAACATTCGTCGCGAAGCTATAACTATATGTGACAAAGATGTGGAAGGCATGGTTTAAAGGAGAGAATAAAGAAAAGAAGAGAAAAGACAAGAGGGGAAAATTACTTATTTATAATAAAACAAGTGTCACATTTTTGAAAATGATCGTCTGTTGCTTGACCGTTACTTTTTTTTTTTTTTTTTGTGTTTGTTTTGTATTTAAACATGGCTTGTGTTCATCTTCCACATAATTTTTTTACAGTTGTCATGTGGAAACACACAGTACTTCCCAAACAGCTAAAGTACGGCTGCAGATGTCCGAATTACTTGATACTTGTGTCACTTGTTAATTTACTATTATAATAAACTTGAATATGTCATTTTAGCCTGGTTATTAATAGGTAACCTCTTTTATTTAATACACTTATTGTTTAAAGCTGTCCAATCATTAAATAGACATTTATCTATAATTGATATCTACTCCGTGTGGACAATTAAGGGGTGGGGAGCGAAAAAAAAAAAGTAAAAGAGTGGCGGATTATCAAATAAAATTTAATAATAAATAACAATAATATTTAAGACTCTTCCATTATCCGTTATAATCGAAATTTTTATTTGGGGTAATGTATGTACACAAAATGACCGTGCGCGGCCATCTCTTCTTTAAATATATTACAGAGTAAATATTACTGTAGTATACTGTATAACTTCGGAATAAAAGTAGCTTGGTTCTCTTGTCTCGTTTAACGTTTCACACTTAATGTCACGATTTTACTTTTTTTGTTTCGATAACATTTTAATTGCTGGCCTCATCGGTAGACCCAACGTTCAATACCGGTTTATTGGTGTTTCAGACATTGGTTAAATATATAATAGACTCGATAACTGTACAGCTACCATTATTCGCCTGTGCTACAATCATGGCTGAATCTTTTTAGTGCCGACCTTTTGAAGTATCACGAAAAAAAAAAAAAAAAAATGTTGTCCCTATATGAAATGGTAGCAATTGTATATCGATTGTGATTGTATTCGCTTACATGGTTACAAAGTGAAACATATTTTTTGCATAGATGCTTTTAGTGAGCACACACATACATACGTATACGCATAAATACACACATCAATTTGAATAAGCTCTTATTATATCTCGATTTTGTTTTATTGACAAAAAAATTCATGACGCCCATTGTGACTTTAACCTTTTGTATGCTTGGGGGGATCGAGTCCTTCATCTCTATATTAGGGGTAAATAAACGGTTTATTATTGTTATTCGAGACAAGTGTTTTTTCTTTGTTGATAATTTGATGAGGTTAACGGGAGCTCAATCCCGGTAGGTTGTACTTACACAAAAGTTATTACTTGTTAGCTGGTTTCAGTCATTCTGTTTTGTTCTGTTCTCAGTGCCATACGATAACAATAGGAGTGTGATGCGATCATCACATTAACATAGAAAAATAAAATTGCAACGAATGGTCAAGTCGTTTTTTTTTAAAAAAAAAAACCGAAGCTGCAAGAAAAAAATTCCTAAATTGTATGCGTCCCATGATGAATTCCAGGGTTGTTTAGGCTAATTTTGATAACCCCATCAGTTCATTTAACCTGACCCTTTTTTGACATTTCAAAACATATGCAGTTGTTTTCAATTACCGTATCGGAGAGTCCCCGAATATTCCCTCTCCGGTTGTTTGTTTTTGGGCCTGTTCTTGCCAACTTGGGACAGTTAGAGGTGAATTTCACATGCATAGCATGCGGCACAAATGATGAAGTAAAGCTCAAATTTGTGATGTATGTTCGCGTACAAAACCCAACTTTATAAAAATACGACATTGAAAGTCCTTCTAGACGCATTGATTGATTCAACATATCTCAGTTGAAATAAGTTACACATATGCAAAGTTTGACTTGTTGATCAAAGTTTATATAAATCAAGTTTCCATGTGTACTGATGTAGAAATACTTTATCTATTACTATAAACACTGAAAATCCTAATTTGTTTTTCTACTCCAGATTAAATGACATAACAATCGCACAACGTATCACACAAAAGCGTATCATTTATTTTATTATTATTTACATAATATCAACGAGTTGATGTTTTTCTTTGGCTAGAGCAAGAAGTGCTTCATATTCTCCCGAATTTTCACACATTTTCTTGAATAAGGAATTCGGCGTGTTCAACAAATCTAAAGGGCTTGCAAATTCCGCGATTTCTCCATCATCCAATACCAGAATCCTGTCATATTCTATTACTGTGCGGAGTCGATGTGCAATGCACAAAATAGTACAATCCGCAAACTCTGTAGCAATTGTTTTTTGAATCGCTTCATCAGTTTCGAAATCGACACTAGCCGTGGCTTCATCCATAAATACGATGCGATTTTTTTTTAAAAGGGCACGAGCAAGACAAATGAGTTGTCTTTGCCCTTGAGAAAAATTTAAGCCTCCTTCGCTGACAGGGCTGGAGAGATCAGAAAATATGTTAAAGTTTAAATCTTCCATGCTTTCATCATGACATGAGGAATCAATGTCCGCCGGAATTAATTCCACGCGTTTCAATGCAGCAATTACGCTTTCTTCGTCAAATTCGTCAAAGGGATCTACATTTGACCGTAAACTTCCAGAAAATAACACAGGATCTAGTTAGGGAGAAATGGGATTAAATAAGGATAATATGAATAAAAAGCCTATTTTTTTTTTCTTACCCTGTGGAATAATTGTCAAATTACTACGAAGATCTTGAGTACCAATGTCGCAGATATCAATCTCGTCTATAGTAATACTGCCTTCTGAAGGTTCAACAAATCGAAAAAAAGATAGAGCTAGCGTCGATTTTCCGCTACCTGTTCTGCCTACAACCCCAATTTTTTCTCGGTGTTTGACAGAGAATGTAAGGCCTTTTAAAACGGGATCTAAACCAGGAGCGTACCGAACCACAAGATTCTTGACTTCGATTACTCCTTGACTGGGCCACTACAAGGGGAGCGGAAATTAGTAATTGAAGTTCCATGTGTATATTGTATTACCAACCTCCAAAGGAGGCCTCAGGTCCGTAATCGCTAATGCTTCTTGATCGATTTCCATATATTCGACAATTCTTTCAACTGCATTAAAACTCATTTCAAGACGCGTATATCGTTTAATAGCCATCGTCATCTATTCCAAACGCATTCATTAGCAAAATTTTGTAATATACGTTTTTGTTTTCTAATTCTATACCTGTGAGGTGTAAGACAAGACAAAGCTCAGACAAAAGCCGGCAAGTGAGGCGTCCATAAAGTCCAAACTTAATAAAATAAAAATACCAGTACAAAAGTTGACAGCCGCACCGAGCGATGAAAAACGAATTGCCACCCACCGATTACTAATCCAAACATAATAGTAAGGTCTTGAATTTTCATCAATTTTTCTAAGCATTTCGTTCATAAATTGCTGTGTTGCGCCATATGCACGAATTGTAACAACTCCCGCCAAGGTTTCACCAAAATGTGAAAATAACGGCGACCTTGTCACAGAGTCCATGCGTCTAAGTTCTCGCGATGCAGCACTGTACCTTTTACCAATCATAACGTTCAAAAACGTTACCAAAATCATAGGAATAACAAATGCAGGCAGCACAACACATACCGTCAGAATCGAGGTAAAAATAACTAACCATTGGACGATAAAATACATAATATCATTTGGCACACCGGAATCAATATACTCGAAATCTTTTGAAAACCGGTTAAGAATACGACCAATAGGTGTTGTATCAAAGAAACGCATTGGAGCGCGTAACACACGACGAAGTAAAATTTGATAAATAGTTTTACTAGCTCTTAATGTACCATAGTAAAGACTTGCAAAGCGGCCAGCACCAATCAGTATATTTGTCATGGTGATCAGCATATAGATATTTAGGTACATATCCAGTTGATCGCTACCAGCATCTTTTATAAAAGCTTCCGAATAAGTACCGGCTGTGGTTGTACTAAAACTATTTTCGATAGTGGAAGGTAAATTTGATGGATTCATTAATAAAGGAAAGTTTCCCATCGCCGATATTAAAGTTCCATTACTGGACGATTCACTGGAATGCACCCATTTTTTGATCCACCAGCTTTCTGCTACATCAAGTCCGCGTGAGCCAAACACAAAACTCATTACAATACACCAGTACCATGGATTTCCGACCGCACGTAAATACATTGCATACAGTTTAGCTTTGATGTGACCAACCACACGAGCTAAATACCGAAAAAAAAAAACTAGTGTTAAGATTATAAATGTCACTCTTTTCATCTCCTGGTTCTTACTCTCTTCCTGTATCAAAACCCTAGGAGGTGCTTTGTCTTTTACTGCGTTCTTAAGCAATATAGAATCCAAACTAACTAAAGTCGATTCGGTGGTGACTGTTACAGGCTCTCTTTCGCTTGTTTCTGAATGATTGTCTTCATCTGTAATGCCTACAACATCATCCAAAATGGTTTTTAAGGTACCATCTGCTTCTAGTTTTTCAGGTGAGCCACAAAGATTTATACGGCCATTCTCTAAATGTACAACATAGGCAGCTTCGGGAATACATAAACCAAGATGATGGGTAACAAGAATTCTTGTGCGACCTTTCATCAAGGGGCCAAGGAGACATTTGTTCTGGATATGCCTGGCCGTATGAGCTTCTCAAAAAAGTTAACAAAATAATATTGCACTACATTCATCATCTTACCATCGACAGCACTAAGTACATCGTCCAGTAGCACATTTTTAGCCCTTGAATAAACCGCACGAGCTAACGCAACACGAGCTTTTTGACCTCCAGATAGTGTAATACCCTTCTCTCCGACTTCCGTCATATCACCATCTTCTAAAATATTCATGTCTTTATCCAGAGAGCAAGCGTACAATGTATCGTCATAACGTTTTTTTATCATAGGTAGACCAAACAGGATGTTTTCACGAATCGAATCATTTTGTAACCAAGCAGTTTGAGATACATAGGCTACTGCATGATCCAATATCCAGTCTCTTTTGTTAATTGTACCTACTCGGTCCGTATTGTTTACCAGTGTATCAGAAACAGCAGTTCTAGGACAAAAACTTTCACCTTCCAAAAGAGTTGTTTCTCCCAATAAACTCAGAAGCATTAATGTTTTTCCTGATCCAGTTGCGCCACATATAATACTGAGTTCACCGTTAGGAAAATGGGCATCAAGATTGTGGAGCAAGAAAGTATCAGCCTCTTCAAATGTCGATGGAGTTATAGTAAATTCAGCCGTAGAAGCAGCACGAGGTAACACATCATTGATGTGACTGGGTAGGCTAAGATGACTATTGTCATCTAATACATCGTTCCCTTCATCAACATGTGGTACATCAGTCCAAGAAACTGTGGCATTTCGAAACCCAATCCTTACCCTGCAGTTAGGGTCCAGGTTAGTTGAAGGCGGAGAAATTTCTTCTTCGTCCAAATAGGATTCAATACGTCGAACACTAAATGCAAAGAATTAAGTTAGATAAAAATATTAATTGAATAATACTTTAAATCTTCTTTTACCTGATTAGAGCTTGAAGAATATCAACAAAGGTCTCCGGCAAACTATTTAATGCAGATCTTAGCTCTGTAAAGATAGTTATGGCAGTAAACGCAATAGGAGCAGTCAATTGTTGACCTTGGATTTTTGTAAAAGAATAAAACGATACGATCGTAACCAAAAGCGGTGTTCTGTAGTTTTATCGTCTGTTAGTGAGAGTATAGAATAAACTTATTCATCAGGCATTCTTACCCTTGCCATAAGAAGTTGAATAAAACTTCGCTAATATAGGTCTTCTTCAAATGTCTAATTTCTTCGTTTCTTGCCTCCAATACACGTTTTTCCCAACTCAATTCCCAAGCAAAAAATTTAATTTGGCGAATACCTTGTAATACTTCATTCATAAGAGAGACACGTCTGTCACGAGCTTCCATTAACTTTTCTTGGGTTTGCGCAAAGAAAACCGAATTATAGTGGTTTAAGGGCAATGTTATAATCATGACCGATAGGCCTAATAGGCAGGAAGAACCCAGCAATGAGTAAAGAAAGGTGATTCCGACGAATAATTCTATGGGTGCTTCGATGATTGTAAACCAGGATGTCGTAAAATCTGATATACGCTGGGAATCTGTGCTCATTAAGTTTACAATTGTACCTGTTGTTGTGTTACCAGTCTCCCCAGTCGTGCTTGTCTTCTTATCGTCAATTGAGCCTGTATCTCTTGCCATATCTGGAACATCCATACGTCGAAGTGTTTTTCGATAAATTTCCAAATTCAACATGCCTTTCATTCGTACTCGTAATGAGGAAGAACCTAAATTGTTATTAAAATGAGCTGTCAGGAGAAAATTTAAGGTATTTATACGTTACTCAAATAATAGAGCTGTCCCACAACTATACTCAGAATCACAAGTGATAATGATAAACCCGATACTATAATCACGCCTTTAATAAAATAGAATTCATCCTCTTTTCCCGCATCCATATCTTGAATCAAATTTAGAAACTTGTTTAGAAAAAATGCCGGACCATAGTATAGACCAGCTGCAATGATAGTACACACCGATTGCATGATGATAGCGGATCTGTTTGCATGCACTAAACGATATATGAGAGATTTTTTACGTTCTTCTCTAAAAATGTAATATAGATTATAGGATCTGAAGCTATGTGGTAAACTTGGCAGCAGAACATGCTGAGCATTTGTGTTTACACTGTCAATAATAGGGGTAGCCCAATTAAAATACAAAATACTAAATATGGATGCTACTGTAAGGCCTGCTACTGGAGTTTTATCGCCATCATCTTCCCCTTCAAAGAAAGGGGGCCCTTGATCAATGGAGCCGGTACTATAAAATAGATCTAATGAAAAAATTATGCCCAGCACAAGAGGAAGACCTTGGGCAAGCGAAAGCTGACTATGGAATAATCGGAATGAATCCCAAAGACGGTAAAGTGACACGAATAATGACATCATATAGAAAATAAACAAATGAATATTGAGAATCCATCCCCATTGATTAGGCAGTCTATATCTTCTTGAGTTTACAGAAAGAGCAAGTATGTAAATCCATGCTATAAGCACAAGCGCTGTGGAAATAATAGTGGACACCGTTGCACTGCCATGTTTGTTATTGTTAGATAATTGAATTACCGCTTCATACAGGTCGTAAGCACTAATAGCTGTCATCACCATTGTTCCAAATAGTAACCGTGTAAGTCTAGAACTATCATCAAATGGTACCTTGTAGTCTCGAATGTGATCCAATTTTATAGATGAAGGGTCTTTTCCATATTGTAGTGAAACTGTTTTCTGATAATAACGACGTTGTGTCGATAGTACCACTGAACTTATGCAAGCCACTCCCGCTAAGCCTATCGCCGACCAAACTGTGGCAGGATATCCTTCGTCTAACATGTCTTTTTTTTTCAAATATGAAGCCAAAAGTGAAAGTGAAAAGAAGAAAGAGGATAATCTTTTCCATGAAAGAAGCCAAAGAATCCGAGTCAAAAATAGCGCAATTTTCTGTCAAATACGTGACTGTTCGAGCATAAAGCTAGCCGAGACATATTTCAGCCTTTTTTAGGAGAACATCGTCTTAATCACTGCCAATTCACGATTAAAAATGTAGTTCGCCCTACATTTACCAAGTTTCGCCGCTATTAAGTAGCAACGATCGTCATTATTAGCGTTGACAGAGCACATCATTAAGTCTAAGGTCTCAATCACGCCCCTGAGATCATTCTTTAACCCAAATGCAGGGAAGCCGATTCTTAATTATGCACACCATCGTTTACTAATTAGTGTTTAGGGAGAATACAGCCTAAAATCTTGTACTAAACATGTCTCTGTATTAAAGTATTCTCTAACACTTAAAGTTTCCAGTATCGAAAAAAAAAATCGTAGATGAGTATTTTTCCGGCCATGATGGTCTACACGTCGATTGACATGCCATATCGTCTAAACTTCGTAGGACGATCGATCTCTGTTTTTCATAAAATCTGCTTCACAATCATTAAAAGATACTACTGGAACGCAGATAGACAATTACCAAGTTCTGAATTCCTTGAAAGGTTTTTGCAAGTGTTTCTATTTTAAGTAAAGGCCCAAGCATTATGGAAGATGAAACAAACACTTAAATCATTCTGACATATAAAGCTCTTGTTTATCAGCCTACAAATAAAGCTGGTTCACACACTTTATTCTTCTCCTTTTCTTTTCTCTTAACATATTTCTTCCATCGTATGGAAGTAACTGATAACGTAAAAAGGTTAGTTAGTAATGACTCTTGTTTGTTTCAAAAGACGTTAAATCGAAAAAGATATATTGCAATATTGCAGCTGCGGCTAGTCTTTGCTATAGGAGGACGATCTCTTAGGCAGGGTTCTTGAGTTTTTTTGGAACTCAAGAACCGTAAATGGCTGTGATTGGGCTCTAAATAGTCGTAATGATACTGGCCTGCTGGTCTTGACCAGAATTATTGTAAGCGATATATAAAAAATACATTTGATGGCAAAAAGCGTAACAAGAAATTCCTCCGTCATCAAGATAATCACTTCGGCTTTAATCAACAGCACAGATGATTACATTGTTGCAGACAGTGAATGGTCTAATGGTTGTCGATCAGATTTAGTACTGGAGCCAAAATCCCTGTCCAGTGATTTATCCCCTATCATCATTGAATTTCAACAATCAGTCAACAACGTATTTATGAAACGTGCCACTGAATACGCTTTACAAGCTTTTAAACGTTACCAAGTCGATCCAATCGTATTGATTATTTGCATGAATAACGTTTCCAGTGACATAGAATCATTAACCACACCAAGCAATATCCTTGGATGTCGTTCTTATCCTTCCCACAATTGGGCTAGAAATGGAAATGTCTAGAACTCAAAGGTATTTTTTAGAATCACGTGAAGGTCTACACGTCAATTGACATGCCCTATCGTCTAAACTTAATAGAATCATCGATTTTTCTTTTCTATAAAATCTGCTTTACTATCATTACAAGCTAGTACTACTGGAGGGCAGATAGACAACTACAAAGCTCTGACTGCTTGCTTGAAAGGTTTTGCAAGTGTTTCTATTTTAAGTAAAGGCCCAAACATTATAGAAGATGAAACAAACAATTAAATCATTCTGACATAAGCTTGTTTCTGGATGATAAGAAATCATCCTGACATAAGCTCTTGTTTATCTATAAATAAAGCTGGTTCGCACACTTTATTCTTCTCCTTTTCTTTTCCCTTAACATATTTCTTCCATCTTATGAAAGTAACAGATAATGTAAAAAGGTTTGTTTAGTAGTGACTCTTGTTTCTTTGAAAAGACATTAAATTAAAAAAAAATAAAGTTGCGATATTGCGGCTGCGGCTAGTCTTTGCTATAGGAGGGCGACCTCCTAGGCAGGGTTATTGAGTTTTGGAACTCACAGGCTGTAAATGGCTGGGATTACACTGTAAATAGTTGTAATCATACTGGCTGGCTGGTCATAGCCATACGGAGGTCTAGACATTTCCGTACCAGTCTTCTTCAACTTATAAATATATAAAGTACTTTAAAGAAAAGCCTTTATCCGATTGGGAAGAAAAAGATTTCATTCGCTTCTATAATGGCAACGATGTCAGCGAGATCAAACAAAGGGGTTTGCAAGCATCCTTCTTATATTACCTGAACTGCATAATTGTACAAGATTAAGATGTGCCCGATGATATGAAGGAAGTTGTCAAATTGAAACGAAAAAAGTATACGCGTAAGTAAAGCTAAACGAAGTGGTAAAATAGTCCACTAATACATCACTTTTTACCAGTCATCTCCCAGCAATACCCCCCAAAACTCTTTACGCTTTTCTTACGGACAGCCAGTTTTTCCTTAGGGACAGCCAAAGTGCATGTAGTCGCATCGTAAGATATGTGATTTGGATGTTTTGTAGACCTAGGAACAAGGGTATACAATCAAAAACAATGTAACAATCACAAAAATACGTCGGTGTACCTCGAGGAAAATCCCAAATTTTACAAATGAACCTTTTGAATACCCTTCCTATGGGCGTAATGAAATATGTTCTTATATAGACATTGTCATTATTAAACGTAGCATAGCACAGTTTTTCGCTCATGCCTCGTGTATCACAATGCTTTATCTGGAATCCTATTTTTGAAAAAAGACAATTAACACCAGGGCCTGATCAAGAACCACTTTAGTACTGAAAACTTGAAGATGATCCATAAGGCAACCAAGTCTGAAATCACAAGCGGCAAGATTAGTTTCAATCAAAATTTGTATTTTTCAGTCAAAGAGGCGATTGATGTAAATGATATATGAATATGTATTTTGCACATTACAAAACTAATGTATATACTTGTATATCTGTTTATATAAGCTTGAAGAGGATGAAGAGGAATTGGACTTCTCAATCAATCTGCTCGCCCTTTGCAAAACTGCTTACCGATATGAAGCCAGAGCAATTAGTTAAGGCAATTGTTTATTTATTTCCAGAACTTATTTCAGTAAAAAATCTTTACAGTATCTAAAGCTCATTTATCGGCCAGTTTTGTGCACCCAGTCATAAGATCCCTCTTCTCTAGTCCTAACGACATCAGCCATTGGTAAATAGATATTCCTTTAATATGTTGAAAACTTCAACTGACTGCATTTGATTCATAGACTATAAGTTCCTATATTCATCAAATTGACTTGAATCGTCCTGACTATAAAGTTGATGAGTACATTCACTATCAGTACAGCTCTACTCCTGTGTTTGGAGAGCTTAAGACTCCTGTCTATAGTTCCAACTGTGGTGACCTAGCAAGGCTATAGCCATATTAGAGCTAACAAAGGTTTATCCATGCTGATACCATTTGTGATATAAGCTTAACAATAAATGTCATAGTAAGAACTATAAGGATATTACATCACAAGTCTAATTTAGTACGTCTGAGAAAGACTTAAAATTTAAGAAGACTTAACATTTATTAGAAGAAGACTAAATTAGTGACTATGTAATAATCATATACATTTTTGGTTAATCAGTGATAACTTCAAGATAGCACTAGAGATGTGAACACAGCAGACAGTCTTTTATATAAATACTCGTATATTTCATTTATTAATAAATGACAAGCTTATAAACAGTCTCAAACTACTCCTATAGTCTTTTTATAATTTAACCTTACCTTAAAACACAACACCAACACTAAGCTCCTTATTACTGGTTTATGTCGCTTGGCCATCTTTATGAAAAACGAGATTGATGAAAAAAATCTTCGATTGACAATAGGATTTCAAGTTGTTGGTAAGTTTTACGTCATCGTGTTGAAAAATTATCTAACAAAAAATGTGTTAAGTTTTATACATTTATTTTTACGCAATGGAGTTGACGTCTTCTCGTATATACAAGTTTGTTGAGTTATTCTCTGTACAGTTGCCAAAAAACATCAATAACTTACAGGAAACGCTCCTTCTTGACCCCATATCCAACATCAGTCGTATCTGTAAGGAAAAATGTGTCATGTCTGTCGTATTTGACGCCCAAATAAATCAAATACAATTACTATTTAATCTGTCTTGAGTTGTAATATACCTTATATATTATAACAGACACAGTACTAGTTCTCAAAATCTTCTACCTGGAAACCATAACCTACATTGGACCCCGGCTGGCTGATTTACTGCCGTTCCTTCCAGCACCTACGATGTGTAATCAAGTGATCCAATCATCGCACATATTGCTAAATGGATAAATGATTCCTCTGCTAAAAATTCCGGACATACAACCATAGGATTATATAATTATATTCTATAGGCCATGTTCCATGTCGTCACTAATTTATATTTCAAATCCAACAATTCCCAGTCTCTGGAAATGTTTATTCGATGTACGCAGAAATTAATGGAAGTAATAATTTAAAATAAAAGGACCTCTACTTTGACAAACTCGCCAACTGATAGTTAAGGATTGAAGAGTCTCATTTCTTTACTTGTTTAATTTTATCTTTATATTTTACCCTTTTGTACTCAAATTATCACCAAGTCGGCTGCAAATTCGCAACCATTCCAATGTCCGACCCTGCCATTTAATAGGTTATCTTGTTCAGCACTCATCAATTGAAGAGTATGGAAAGATAAAAAAAGATATAATAAAAATGAAAGAAGAGTTTCTCCGAATGATGAGAGCAGCAGAGAGTTGTTATTATTGGTATTGGACTCAATCATTCCGATGGGTTTTTAGTTTAGGTAGCGAGAAAATTAAATGGCGATACTTTGATATAATGCTTGCGAAAATTGAGTAAATTCAATACTTTCATACAGGTCTCTTAGGGACAGCCAAATTTTCTTAGAGACAGTCACGGTGCGCGCAGGCATGATGTTGGGATTATGATGCTTTAATATACATCAAGAGGTCAATATAACTTAACAACTTGAAATATATACACATTTGTCACAACCAACATGGTTTAAGCCAGTATATGTGTTTTACAGCTTACTTTTAGCTTCTCGTTTGGAATTCACCTTAATATTTCTGCGTAAGATTAAGATCAAACGAGTTCAAAGGCGAAAGAGTGATGATGGAATTGTCAAAATAAGCATAAATCGTTTAATAAACATTTAAATTCGTAATTTTTACACTGTTTTTGATTGTATATCCTTGTTCCCAGGTTTACAGAACATCCAAATCACATATCTTACGTTGCGACTACGTGCACTTTGGCTGTCCGCAAGAAAATCGATTTTCATATTGTACGTTAACGCAATGGATTATATCGATGTCACATAGAATATAGATAACTTAAAGCCTCACTTTACAGGTAGTTTGAGCTCAAATGAATCCAAACGCCTAAAGAAAAACATGACAAGGTGGTGCTAATACCAATCACGAAGAAAAAATGTCTGTTTGTTTCAGCTGTTATTAAGTAGCCATGACGGTGAAAGTTAAAAGCAACGCGTCAACTACAAGGCAACAAAGGCAGATAAAGTACATGCCTTATTAGGAAGCAACACTATCTCTGTTACAAAAAGATGAAGTTGGAAACAATTGTTAGCCAGAATACACGGCTGTATTTTTGAAAGGATATGATTATACTCGCAATAGTACAATACGCCCTCAATTATTTGTGAACTATCACACATCTATACCAATAATATTGTCGAGTTCTTTAAGTCCAAACCGACAGCCTATTTGCAGTTCACAATCTCAAAATTATTTAATGTTCAGGTTTTTGAATCATACTACTTTATTGGGTAGTTACACATGCCTAATAGGTTTAAATTTTTTAATACAAAACCATCATATATAATAAGAGGTTGATTAAAGCCAAGATGAGACGTATAAAACTTCTAGACACTGTTGTTCCCTTATTAAGTTGAAACAGCCAAAAAAAAAAAAAAAAAAAAAATGACACGACAGTGCTTAAAGCGAGATTTGGTATTCAAGCTGCCTAATCTTTCCAAAATGAAGCTTTGGCTTAGCGCAACTCTTGTTTTGTAATATTAAAAGGCAAGCTATAAGTCCTGGACCCCAGTTTGGTGGTTAGACTAAAAAAAACCAAATACCTCACGATTTTTTTCACAACATACAAACTGATATTGTGCGGAAAGTATATCAAATTGAATCATAAAATACAGTAGCTTGTACTACAAATTTATGGGCCCAATAAGATAGCTTAAAGTAAACTCATGTAGTTTTTGCTACGGCATGTAAGCTATTTCTTATCAAGATTTGAAGCATGAGAAGTTCCATGATGCATGTTGAGCGGCATATGATTGGGCGATTAAAATTAATGCTATATTTTTCCAGCGAGGACTAAAAATTACCGCCCTGTGTTGTCAGACTAAAGAGCAAAAATAAATATAGTTTAATTGCTGTTTAGTATAAATGATAAAGTTTCAGGGATTTTTTTGCATGATAGTGAAGAGATATTTAATTAAGAAATGTCTTTATATGTAAGGGATCATAAAAAAAAGTTTCCAGATTATGCAAATATTCCAGACGAATGAAATTAGAACATGGCATCTCTCGGTGAATAGCTGTGGAGAAACAGGAATTAAATTTAGAATGTGTGGGTGGGAGAATTGCTTTTGCATAAGCGATTGAAGATTGGTTCTTTATTTTTTCCCTGTTAATAAGGAGCTTATATAAATCATTTTTCCTTCTTAATTAAATTTTTTTCGTTTCTCTTTTTTTCTTTTCTTTCATAGATATAATGATAGCCTCTCCTCCTTTACAACCGGTTGACCCTTTAGAAAAGCAAACCTCAACTGAACCAAATGCTACGCTTCCAGGTACCCCGCCTGGAGAAAAGGCTGCACCAAGTGACAAGGGAGACTCACGTCAGGTATGTCAGGGTGAATTTGAGCCGGAGCAGCACTTTTATCCCCGAGTCTTGAATGCGCAAATCCACCCGCTAGTTCAGTCATTTTTTACTTTGGGAAACGAGCGTATCATTGCTCGCTACACTCATTTAAACCCTCAAGTTAAGCCGAACGATTTAAAAAACATTCTATCCTATACCCCCACCCATTTTCAATGGGCCGGTAAGTCATTATATCTGTCTATAAACCAGAGGCATATATTCACACCGTATGTAGGTTCTGACTTGTTCAACGTAACCACTGCCTCCGGCCATCGACAAATGATTGTAATTGAAACAAACTCATGTCCTTCTGGTCAAAAGTCTATGCCCTTATTGTCAGAGACAGATGAACATAATGAACAGGGTGGTTATCGTCTTGTGATAGAATCTGCTTTTCAAGACCAATTATCGAAATCGGATCTGAGTTTAGGCGGATTGGCTGTGGTTTGTGATAAAAACATGATGGAATCAAGTGGTTATGCTGCAGTTCTGGCGGATGTCGCGAAAGAGCATGTTTGGCTTGCTGAATGGCATGTTGATGATCCAGACCCTGATGTAAAGTGGGTGGACCGGGTATTACATATCAGAGACAAGGAAAAAGGTAATGGTCTCCCATGATACGCGGATAAATGCATTATAATGCTTTACTAACCGTCCGTGATAGTTTGGCACCCTATCCGTGCTTGCTTTCGTTATCTTACTCAAAAACCTTGGAATCGGTTTCCTTTGAAGACAAAGACCATTGTTATGAATCAAATTATCAGCTGCTTAGCGGGGGGTCGTAACAAGATGATGGCTGCAAGAGCATACGATTTTTACAATTCAGACATTGTAGCTACAGGTTTAGAGATCAAAACGCCTGAAACAATAAACAATGTAACTCGTGGAGAAATTCCCCTTTGGTTAAATTCAATGGGCGGGCATGCAGTGTTAAAGGTACCTTATAGTAATGCCGGGCAAGGTGTTTATACAATTACAAACAAGACTGAGTTGGATGATTTTATGAGTCAAGACCATCATTATGATAAGGTAAATATTGATTTTTTTTGCTGCCTGTTTGTTTGTTGTTAATAAATTCTCGTGTACATTAACATCTCAATCCAAGTTTATTGTTCAATCTCTTGTAGGAAATGCAACATGGTCAAGTGTAACTAGATCTGGTAAATTTTTCCATGTTGGAACCATTCCGAATAAAAAAATCAATACGTATGTTAGCGATCTTCGAATGATGGTAACTGGTAAGCTCAACCGATTCTAAATGTTGTTCCAGCGACTGAAAACCTAAAATAGGAAGCTCACAAGGGTTCCGTCCTATTTGTATATATGGTCGTAAAGCTCGACTTCCACTTACAGGTGAACTGCAACCTGACGCTAATACTTGGGACATGCTTGGTACAAATTTATCTGTAAAACTCCCTGATGGTGGCTGGACGACCGATACCTCTAGATTAATTTTGATGGATCGTAAAGACTTTAACCAGCTTGGATTAGGAATAGACGATCTTATTGATGCATATATCCAAACTGTGCTGGCTGTAATTGCTATTGATCGCATGGCTACAAGACTGATGGCAAATGGAGAATTTGATTATAAATTATTTGAAAGCTTAAATCCTGATAATGCATTAATGGACGAAATCCGAGAAGCGAACGGGGATTTTTAAGCAAGACAGATAAAAAATACCGAATAAAAGAAAGAAAAATAGTTATGATAGGGTGTACATCTCACTCCGTTCTCCTTTTATAATCTCATATTTACTTGATCAATACAGTATTTTTAAGCTTTTTGAGAATAAGTTAATAATAGTAATATTAGTTACGCTGAGTTTGGTTGGGATCATCCGTGTCACTGTAAAATAGTCTTATGACACATAATATTAAGTTATAAAATGTGCGACAGAAGACGTAAATAGTGCACTAGTTTTAAGGAATTTACACTTAATAATACACAAACAAAAAATAAGGAATAAACGCGCAAACTTTTTATTTAATGCATGTCGACGAGCACGGCCATTTACTCAAATCGACTTGTTACACTCTAATTTGGCCGAGACAAAATCATGGAAACATAATATTTGTACATGTACGTGCTATTAAACTTTCAACAACCCGAATCTAAGTCCTTTTGCTAAAAGTTTTGCTTATACTTTATTGATGTCTCGGCTTACTAAATTACAATGCAAATGATTTGTACTCAGTCTCACTTTCAATAAAAACTAAACGAAGAGGTGTGAAGCATAAGTCACTGTTTTCTCTAAGGCGCTTGTTTACGAGAAAACATAAAGAACTTACATTCTCTTCCACGCTTGAAAAGAAGCTTTAAGTTTTTATAAGAAATGATTTTCAAGTGAGTATAGACTTAAAATCCAAAAAGCGCATTATTACCTTCAAAAGTCAGTCACAAGCGTCCAGTTAAGAATTGAAGGTGGAGCTTCCAAACCTACAAGATACACAGATTGATGTGGATACCGCCTTTTTATCATTATTCCAACATACGCATATGCAATGAAGGCCATACAGATATATTTACAGGCCTTCTGGTAATTAATAAAGCACTGGCGTCAAACGTTACACTACATATGCCAAAGACGAAATTGACCTCTTCGACTTCTGTTGCTCGCTTTCAAATTTCTTCAAAATGAGGTTTTGTACACACGAAAGTCTATCAGAGGAGGGGAGGCGTACCAAATAAAGTGATTTAGTTGTTTATAGGCAGTACTTCTGATTTAATCAAATTGCATATAAAAATGATCGGTAAGTGCAAAACATCAGAAATTGATATTATTACTTTAGCGGTAAGCCATTCGAACTGAAACTAAGAAGGTATATTTGAAAAAAAAGAGCGGTTTATGTAATATGCAAATGTTTAATACACGAAAGTGTCAGATACAGTAAGAAGGCGTCTACAGAAAGCAGAATTAAAAACCGTCTTCATACTCCTCTTGACCACATTAACTAAGCTAATAAGACAATTATTACTTTGCAGATGGAAGCAAAGCGGCACCGGTCCGTTTTATCAAAAAGGCTTTAAAAAGTACTGTGGGGGAAAGTTTGGAGTTGCCGCTGATAGACGGGTATTTTACGTGTCAAATTTGTAATAGCTGTAAAAGTAGATATATGGAAAATGTAGTAACCAAATAATCAAAATGAGGAGTACACTTGGTATTGAAACGCAAACAAAATTATTTTAATAAAGTATGGAATAGCTACCCGCAGCATATTGAACATTTTTTTATTTACACAAAAAACAATGATGTTTTTTTGCACCCAGGTACAATTTAAGTTGTATCTCTTTTTCAGGTTTAAAAGATATAATAGCATGTTATTTTATAAATAACTTTTGTATTTTCTTTAAAAAAGTTATGCTAGAATTCGACTGGAGTCCTTATTTTTGTAAGCTATTGTCTAAAAATGAATTTTGATTCGCCCGAAAAAAACTAACGTTGTCGGATTTTAAGCGCGATGCTGGTAGATTGAGCAAAAACAGGCTAGAACAAAAGTGAAATTCGCCAGATCTTCTGTAGCATCAAGACGCACAAAGTCAATTTTATTGATTAAGGGGTAGATTATCTGTTTCTGTTACAGAACGAAAAATTTTTTGTTCACCGTCTTTTTAGTGCCTTTTCCATCCCGCCACGCGTTCTATTTATATATTAATCTCGCAAAGTACTAAAAAAAGGAAAAGAAATAGATAAACGCTATTTACAGATATATGTTAAAAACAATAATGTTTTGATGTAAAAATAGGAAATGCAAGGGGATATAACAGCTAAATTGAATTGTACAGTAAATATACATTGGTTTGATGGAAATAGCGGAAGCATAATTACAAAGGTACGTAAAGTCGTGCTTGATCTGTAACCCCCATTGTGTTTGTTGTGCCTATAGACATTAAATTCTAGGCTTTCATTTAGCTCAGCCACATTTTGTTAATTAAGAATTCCATTTAAACACAAGAGGAGATCACGTAGCATCAATCCACAGTGTCAGACTCTTATAAACAATATCAATAGCGACTCTTTACATGTTTGAAGTGTGCATTCATTTCGCATTAAAATATAAACAGCCGACAGTCCGCTACAACCCTTTCGTCCATTTACCTAATAACACGATGGCATGCTTGTTATTTGTTAGGGGATACAAAGATTGCAGGTATCCGGACTTGCTCTGAATCCGGCTTTTCGGCAAAGTGGTAGCTTTCTTCCGGGATATCGAATTCGCAACAGCTTCGTTATGTACTCCTAATAGTAAAACTTAGTTTGAAAAATATAACATGAAAGTTAAGAGAAACTGAAAAGGGAAGATTACCAAGTGATTTGAAGGCGGTGGCTCTGATATGCGCTCAGTGTGTCTTACACATTTTCTAAAGCGATTTATAGGGACTAAAGGTATACTTCTTATGAATATGCTATGAATCAAATAATCTTTTGACTATGTGGCCTTTTTTTTTATTTCTTTTTTGCCACGATTATTGCTGGGGGACAATTATTTTCGGATCTCAAAGTAGTAATCTGACAAGATAATTTTGAATTGATCAATTTAATGTAATTTCCAAACCGGTTTGTGATAGGAGTATTCTGGTTGTACCGGTGTCTCGGTGTATATATGTACAGCATCCATTTTAGTAAGGTTGTTGGCTGTGATTATGAAGAAAACACTATGTTGAATGCGCCTTGAATCAAATATACTACATTGTTTAAATGTAATAATAGTACGATGTGGTAGTATGAAGGTATGCCAGAAGAATAGGGGTAGACATGTGGCGTCTGAAAAGCGATAAGATGTACGGCTTTATTCAGAATTGGTGATACAAATGTTTAATATTTTGTACAGCATTGTAAATCGCGCTCGTTAGAACTGAATATTGGAATTTAAAATGTTTGTGTGTATATTTTTTTTACTCTCCCCCACCCCCGCCCCCCTACCATCGGCAGCAACTTTACTTTTTACAATTGTTTTTAAAACGTACATTTTGGTTTAAATGTTGGTATCCAGTAACAGGGGGAATCTCCCATGTTTACATTTGCGGAACTTGGAGGCTGTAATCAGAGCTGTCAGGGGGATGGAAAGGGAGCAATGTATATATATTATTGATTGACTTTTCTAGAATGAGCTCCTTAGCTAGTTTAATGATGTACGCTATCAATATTATCTTTCGATGGAGGTGTTTCTTTTATCGTGGGTATATTGTGTGTGCCCCCTGATTTTCCCGCAGGATCAATCACGTTTTGAACACATATAATCCATCAAAATTATCTTTTATATGGGTTTGCTTACCGAAACAACTGAACATTATTTTGAACTGGAGTGACCAGAGACATTGAGCAGTCAGCTGTATTTGAAGTGCATAGATCGACAACAGATAAAGTTATACCCTCTGTAAGCTTGCGTAATAAATAGCTTCCTTTATTTATTTACGTTATAGAATCCATCATTAAAGTACGAAACGCCAATTGTAATCGTGCATTACTGGTAATTGCGAAAAATTATTCTATAACGTTCTATACATAAATTATAATTTGTCCCTCTTGGGTTTCGTGTGTTTTTTAAGAAAAAAGAATGGTTCTGAAATCAATTTGTATATTACATTCGTTTTAAAAATAAAGCTACTATTGATAACACTAATTTCTTGCATATGTAAAGTCGTAAACTTGGATGCACGGCAGTAAAGTTTTTTTTGAGTCCGGGACCATATATACTTTGAGCTTAATTCTATTTTGCTTATAATACATATATTTAGTTATGTGTCTCTCTTTTGTATTTATTCATTTGTTTATATAGAAAGACCCATGTTTTTTATTTTTGATAGTGTAAAGATGCCTCTATGTCTTGCTGTTAGGGAAAAGAAAGACCTGGGCGCAGAACACAAAAGTACATGTAATACCCAAATTATGATACGAGTTTTTTTTTTTGCGTTCAATCAAATCCGGTGAAACCTTTTTCCTTCGTTATTACACCTAAGCTGCCGATTGATATGAAATTTGTTTTTATTATCCCATAGTTGAAACTGGTAGGTAATACGTCCAAGCAATAAAAAATTACAAAAAAAAAAGGTGTATGGGCTGGAATAAATTTTTATTAACCTTTTTGAAGATTGCAATATGGGAAATTAAGGGTGAGAATTATGTACAGTTGAAATAATGCATAAAAGAAAGAGTCATGTAAATCAAGTTTTTCTGCAATAATATAAAGGGCATATCAAAATACAACGTACAGAAAGGTGACGTGAAAATGGGGGGGGGGTATGGATTTTTAACAATTAAGGGTATTTTTGTATTTTTGGGTTTCCTTTTTTTAGGCATCATTGTAACTATCATTACCATTTGTAGCAGTATTAAAGTATGATGGCCTCATCATGTCGGCATAGCCATTCACCATATTATTGTATTCGGATGATGTAGTGCCAGAGGGTAGAATATTGTCAGGATTAGTACTAGCAGTAGAGTTATTGTAGTAGCCATTATTAGTTAATCTTGGCTGATTGCTCCTGTTTGTTTCGTAACCTTGCTGATGGTACTCGGTTGCAGGTGTATTTCCACTATTAGAATAATTGGTCCCAAATGAATCTTGATAACTCATTGCCATCAACTGATTATAGGACCCTTCAGTGGCATTTAATTCCTGCTGCTGCTGCTGCTGCTGCTGTTGTTGTTGTTGTTGTTGTTGCTGCTGCTGCTGCTGCTGTTGCTGCTGCTGTTGTTGTTGTTGTTGTTGTTGTTGCTGTTGCTGTTGTTGTTGTTGCTGTTGTTGCTGTTGCTGCTGTTGTTGCTGCTGTTGTTGTTGCTGTTGTTGCTGTTTTTGTTGTTGTTGCATGGATTTATTGGTATTCTGTCTAGTATTATTACTGTCGTTTGATGAATATCCCTGCATTGGAAATGATGATGACCTGTGAGCATTTCTTTGAAAGTGATCAAGAGGTGGATGCTGTAAATTGAAATGGAATCCGTTTGTAGCATTTACAACATGCTCTTTCTTATGATCGTACACCGAATAATTCTTTTTGTCCAAGTCAGCGTTACTATCAGCAATTGCATATAGTTTAGCTCTGTCTGCTGAGTTTGCAGAGTTTATCATGTTACTATAGTTGTCTTGGAAACAACGATCTGTTTCCAGGTCTTCGTTAAATTGGCTAGGATCTATACCTAAATCACTTGCTAACGATTCGATATTCACTTGGAGCATGTCAATGTCTTGAGTAATTGTCTGGGCAGATCTAGTTGCGGAATTTAATGTCTTTGAAAAATCTATCAATGATGGTTTATTGTCGTCCTCTGTGGCTGTTTCGTGCGGGGATTGAGGATATTGTAACGAATCTGTCGAAGATGAAATGGATGTATGTCTGTCATTTTTGTACACATCATGAGAAGATATCTCCGGTGGAGTAGGTGGAGGTGCATTGTTGGAATATAATCTCATAACAGATGAAAGTATGTTTGTCAATGATGATGCTGGTGTTGCAGATGGCGATGACAGAAAATCCGACTTTAATCTGTTGGCTGAAGATTCGTCAGGTTTTGTTGACATACCAGCTAGTGAAGCAGCTTCTTCAATTAAGCCTTTTGGAAGCGCATCCGCATTATCTATTGTAAATGATTAGTAAAATGATAAAACATTTACTTTGATTTTTTTACTTTACTCATACTGATTGCCAAGTGATCGTTGGCAAATATGGCTGTTAGGAATTGTAGGATTTTTTCAATGGCTTCTTGGTGTCTTTGATATTTTTCTCTGGCATTCAATGTTTCTTGCCAAAGTATCTCATTATCGCGATGTAAATCTCTGAGGTCTGTACCTATTGTTGATTGATATTTTTTGACAGTAGCTAAATCATCAACAAGCGTAGATAGACTAATATTCTCAGTATCTACAGTCTCTCTATCTCTATTGCGTTTACGGGTAACGAGGACTAAAAGGTCTGGTCGTCCTCTCTGAAAATGAGGGTTACTGAATTCCCAGATTTCATGTTCGCTTTCTGCTATTAATACGCCCTGTTGAAGGTGTGGTACTTTGTGAAAATCGTACATGTTCAATTGACGTACAAAGGATGCAAAAGTATTATGCTTATAAAATCGAGGTAACACATTTTTTGCAAATTCTTCATGTTTTTCCACTAGACTAGAAATGTCAACAATAAAATAAAAAAAATAAAACGCTAAAAAAATTTTTTACCAATAAAAGAAGTGCCGTCTTTAGACCATCGAATCAAATCGTTTGTTGTTAAATCTTCAACCATACTATTATATTATTTTTTAGTATATTTTTTTTTTTTTGGTGTATAAATAGAAATAAAACGTACTTGTAAAGTTTGTTAAGAAAGGCTGGAACACTTCTCTGTGCTATTAATCTAGGTGGGATCGCACCTGGTGACGTAAACAGAGTGGATGTAATTGAACGCATTTGCGGTGATGACGTATTCCCATTCTCGATTGGAGCATCAACTGCTCTCTTCTTTTTTGTGGTGATATTGCTTTTAACAGAAGTCATGGAGGAAGAACCAGAATCAGAGGAACTTGCAGTTGAGAACAAGTTGGTGGAAGGAGATCCTGATGAAGTAGATGAGGAAGAAGAATGAGATCTCTTTCTATTTGCAGGCAACTTGGTGTTGGTTTTATTGACTATTGTGCGTCTTTTTAACTGTTGTTGCTGATTATCCATCTATTATGAAAATAACAAAAAAAAGACGGTTTTTTTTTTTTTAATATGGGTATTTCAAACAATTAGCATTTAATAGTACCTAAAAAAATAGTGATTTTTTCTAAAAAAATAAATAAAAAAGTGATGAAAAGGAAAGAGAAAACCCCACGATTGCCGATTTCAATGAGATGCGTATTTTGCTTTTTCGGTTCTGGGTCAAAAAATCTAATAAATTGCCCATCTGATCCAAAAATGGAACTTTGGGCGTTCCACAATGCGATAAGTGTGTATTTTCTAATAGGGGCAATACGGGGTTTTATTAGGGGGGTCAGATTATCATCCTTTGCACACTTTCCAATTGTCTCCTTGTTATTAAAAGCTTAAAATATTTTTGCTTGTTTACCTTTTTTATTTTCTTTCGACTGAAAAATTTTTCAGCATTTTTCCAAATTAGTTATGGGCTTGTTGCGAGTTTAAAAAACCGTGTATTTTATTTTGAGGTCACTTGTGAAACCTGTATTTGGTTTAGGGCGTTTTGGGGATTGCATTGCATATCAGATGGTCTCCTTGGAAATAACAACTGAATAATCATAGAAGCCATTTCTCTATTTTTACGGCATATAGCTAAACACATCTATATATTCTACGATCTACTGCAGTCTTGGTATCTGTGGCTACTATTTTTTTTTTCTTCTATATCATTCTACATTATTGTTTTCTTACTCCCTTTTCCGTATATTAGCTAAAAGGGGGTGATTGTACCCACAAAAACGGTAGCAAATGAACAACCCAACCTCACGGTAGAGTAGTACATGCACTGTTTTCAAATGAAAATAAAATCATTTTATCTCCAGGGATACACACATAGCCGCTGGCAACCAAAAATAAAAATTAAAAAAATTAAGATGCCTATGTTACACTACCACGAGAACATGATTGAAATGAAAGACCTTGCAGGAGCTCGCTTATCGTCAAACCTTCGCTCGAGGAGCTCACGTTTTTTTTTTTTTTTTTTTTTCATTTTTTTTTTCTGTCTAAGCATACCTCTTACATAATTTGCTTTTTAAATTAACACTCAGATAGCGTTTAATCCTATAGCCTCATTATTACTGCAGATTCAATTATAAATAATAATCCACTTAACGTTCCACAGCTCCCAAATGGATTAAAAAACAACCTGCTAAAGGATTTCAGAAACAAAGGGTCGATCGAAAACACATCATAAAGGTACTCTATAAAGAAAGAAAAAAATCTCTTTTAATTTGTCACGCTTTAAAAGACAATTTACATATATGCAATAATTATATATAAGGGTCACTTACAATCGCTTCATCTTTGTCAAGTTTGATAAAGCTTACGGGAGAGCCGGCAAGCTCAAACAATGGAGACATGCTGCAAATTTGAATTAAGCTGAGTTTGTTTTTAATATTTAACATGACAAATCTTTTGAATGACAAACTTTGTATATCTAAAAAAAGACATTTTGACTGATATTATGAAGTTATAGGGTATACAATGTTATGACTAGTGTCTATTAGGCTTTTATTGATTACTAGATTGGCTAAGATTATATCGTAAATCCATTTCGAGACAGGTGTCGTCCACTTAGGTCAAAACTTATTATAAATTTGTATCCGGGAAACATATAGTAGCAGACAACGACACTCCGAAAGGAAGAACTATTTCTCCCAAAAAGTTTCCATAATCCAGAATCTTTTTATATAAAAAGGGACAGCGAAAATTACCCGCATTTTTCCAATAATTTTCTTTTTTCTATATACCAAGATATTTTTTTCTTACATTACCATATGTCTGCAGATAATACAACTTCTCTAATTGTTGCTCTCAAGGGCACATCCAATATCGAAAAAGACGGCCGCATCATCCGTTTTGGTAACGGCGCTAATTTAGATACCATTCGAGGCCTTGCTGCCGAAAAATTAGGCATTGCCGTTGGTTATACCGATATTCAACTTTTAAACGAAAACGGTGACTTATTAGCTGGTATAGACGCTGCTAAAGATCAACAAGTTGTTTACATCGGCTTAAAGCAACAAATAAAAGATGTCATTCCTGGTCCTGTCAATCTTCCATTCGTGGGTAGTTTATACGAGTTACTTCCCAATCTGTAAAGTAGACATATACACCTTCATATTTTTTCGTACGTACTAACAATAACTACTTTAGTACTGATGGTTGGATGCGTCAATTCAAGAAGCATGGTTCCCTCGTAGAAGTGAATATCTTGGGAAGAAAGGTCGTCGGTACAAATGATCCTGAAATTGCTGAACTTTTCGCAAAGGAATCTGAATATTTTACTAAAAAGGTTGGCGCTACAGGTTTGAATGAAATTAAGGCTTTCGCTCGTCAAGGTCTTTTTACTACTGACACTGAAGAAATGGATTGGAAACTTGCTCATAAGCTTTTAATGCCTGCATTTAGTCCTCGTGCAATCAAGGTAAAACCGATCGTATGTTACACGATATGCCTGTCAAACTAACGTTACATTTTAGGTTTATCAACAAGAAATGGGTGAAATTACTCAACAAGCTATCAAAATTTTCGAACAATTTGCTCCTTCAGACCCTGTCGAAATCATTGATTGGACAACTAACATTACTTTCGAAACAATTGGTCGTGTTGGTTTTGGTTATGACTTCAACTTGCTTGCCGAACGCGATCAACCACCAAATGCTTTTATCGAAGCTATGGGCTTTTGTTTGAACCAATCTATTCAACGTATGCAACAAGCGCAATTTATCAAGCTTTTACCTATCGAAGCCAACCGTAAATTTGAACAATCTATCAAACACATGCATCGTATTGTGGACGGCGTTATTGTTGAACGTAAGAACGGTGAAGACGCCAAAGATATGGAGAAAGATTTATTAGGCTATATGTTGAATGCTCGTGATGAGAATAATTTGGGCTTATCTGATGAGAATATTCGTGATCAAGTCGTTACTTTTTTGATTGCCGGTCACGACACCACTGCCAATACACTTGCCTGGACCCTTTATGAATTAGCAAGAAACCCTGATATTCAACAAAAGGTGCTTCAGGAAATTGCCGATAACCATATTACTTGGGATGTCTTACCCACTTCCGAGCAAATTTCAAATCTCAAATATATCCATCAAGTGATCAAGGAAGTACTTCGTGTTTATCCACCAGTCAGAGTATTGGGCAAATATTGCAAAGAAGATTGTATTGTACCCGGTGGTTATAGAATCAAGGCTGGCACTACCTGTGCGCTTCATGTATATGCTATGCACCATAACGAAGACGTTTATCCTGATCATAGCCGATTTGATCCTGATCGTTGGACTCCTGAAGAAGAACAAAAGCGTTCTCGTTTCTCTTGGTTACCTTTCAGCACAGGTGTCAGAGGTTGTATTGGTATGGCTCTTGCCTTACAAGAAGCAAAAACTGTTTTGGCTATGCTCTTAAATCGTTTCGAATTCCTTTATGATGGTCCTGATGTTCAATATGATCCCAAAGCTGCTACTACTAAGCCCGTTGGTCTCCATATGAATATTCATCCCCGTGAAAATTTCCCTAGCCCAAGTTCTGAAGCCAGCGCTGCCAAGGAAGCACAAAATACCGCTAAGCCTGTTCCAGTTCGCAGCCTTCCCGTTGTGTCTCGCGATGCTGTTCCTACTGATGCCAAGTTACCTCCTATCACCTTTTTGTATGGCACACAAACTGGTACTGCTCAAGATTATGCTAATCAATTGGCCAATCAGGCTCAAAACTTTGGTTTCAGCAATGTCACTCTCTGTGAAATGGACAAATGGAAGGTGATTCAAGATGGAAAGTTCAGCCCAGAAGATATAAGTAAGCGCACGGATAAGGAAATTGTTGTGATCTGTACCGCTACTTATAACGGCCAACCCCCTGATTCTGCTGAAAAGTTTGACAAGTTTATCGATGATAAAAGCAAAGAAGAAGGTCACGGAAGTCTCTTGAATGGTCTCTCATTCTCTGTATTTGGTCTTGGTAACAAGAACTGGCGTACTTACCAACACTTTCCCATCAAAGTCACTGAGATGTTGGAAGAACTTGGTGCTCATCGTTTCTTTGCTGGTGGTGAAGGTGATGCTGATAAGGACATGGATGCCGTTTTCAATGAATGGTGTGCTCATTTCTGGACTCATACTTTGGATAGCTATGGCATCACTGCCTCTGAATCTAACTCAGTTGTCCCTGCCGCTGCCACAACTGTTGCTAGTAAACAAAGTGTTGTTAAAGTAAAATTCATTCAACCTAGCGAAACTGAAACTTGGAATAGAGCCACTAGAAATCAAAATGGTGAACCCAATGCTACCCTCTATACCAACCGTGAAATTCAGAAAGAAGGTTCTCCTCGTAGTACTCGTCATATCGAAATCGATATTTCCAAGTTGTCTGCTATTGGTGATAAGAATCGTCTTTATAACTCTGGTGATCATTTGGAAGTTTTCCCTGAAAACAATGAAGCCACCGTCGAAGCTGTTGCCTTAAGCTTTGGTTGGATTTTAGAATCTGTATTTGAAATTGAACAAGAAACACTTTCGAATGTATCTCCTCGTTCTCTTGCTGCCAATGTTAAAGGTCCCTGCACCGTTCGTAACATGCTTACTTATTACGCTGATATTACCTCCCCTCCCTCTCGAGCCGTTCTTGCCTGTTTCTCTGCCCAATTAAAATTAACTGCTCCCGATACTGCTGCTACGTTTGAAAAGCTGATTATGCCGGATGAGAAGAATCAAGATCAATATCCCGACTTTATTAAGAAACACCGTACTATGTTAGACTTACAAAATGCTTATCCTCAAGTCAATCGCTTAGATTTGGGTCAATTTTTGGCCTCTGTTCCCGTGATTCAACCTCGTCGTTATTCCATTGCTTCTTCTCCTTTGGCTTATCCCACATCGGCTCATTTGACTGTAGGTGTTGTTGATGACATTTGTAATAACAAGCACTATAGTGGTTTAGCCTCTTCTTATTTGAAAAATGGAAGAGAAAGCATGGTTCTTCGCGCTGCATTAAAATCCTCCAAGAGCACATTTAGTATGCCTAGCGATCCCAATGTTCCTTTAATTATGATCTCAGCTGGTACCGGATTTTCTCCTTTCCGTGGGTTTCTTCAAGAACGCAAAGCCCAACTTGAAGCTGGAGAAAATGTAGGAAAAACTGTTTTATTCTTTGGCTGTCGTCGTTCGGATCAAGATTATATCTACCAACAAGAATTGGAACAATTCGAGTCGGAAGGTGTTCTTACAAGTCTTCACACCGCCTTCTCAAGAAATGAAAACCAGTCACCCATTAAATATGTTCAACATGCACTTATCTCGAATGCTTCTGAAATCTGGAACTTACTTTATCCCACAGATCCTGAGGCTAAACCTGCTGCTATTTACGTCTGTGGAAGTGGTGCTATGAGCCGCGATGTGCGTCGCGCTTTTGTCAATATGACTATTTCTTTTGGTTTGTCTAATACCGACGAAGAGGCCGAGAGATTAATTGATAACCTTATGGATGAGAAGCGTTACTTGTGTGATGTCTGGGGTTAAATATCATTCGTCCCCCCTTTTTTCTATAAAATATAAATAAAAATATTCAAAGCATGATCCTTCTTAAAAAATCTTTACTCATGACATAATCAATCCCTTGTTTATCTGCTATAATCGAAGGAATCGATATTGCTTGCATCGATAGTTTGTACAGGTTACTACATGGGACGAGTGTATATTTTTAGACAAATGTTTTGGTTTTAGCTCGATCGTAAACACAACAGCTTTAGTAGGTTTCACCCCTTATCACCTTTTTTTACACCAAAGTAGAAAAACATACCTGAAGTCAACTTCCTTTAAAAGAATAGTATGACGACACTACAGCTGCTAGTGCTATCATCCTTACTAAAAGGCAAGCTCAGAACTACTTGACGTAAAACGAGTTTGCTGTTTTATAAAAAGGAAAGGCGATGTCACTCCTTTAAAAAAAAAATAACAGAAAAGCTCGTGATAAAAAGTAACGATGTAGTCTTAAATATTAGTGTAATAATGCATTAGAATTGCAATAGATGACTCATGTGTCCAGTCACAATCATGTAAAATCGCATACTTGCAGTGCTCGGCCTAGTAGATTTGTCAAATTTGAGATCATCTTCATTTATCAGGATTTTTTTTAGAAATTGGACATTTTTTCAAAAACAGTTATAAATAATCATACGTCAGTTTTGTTGCTTCACCGTCTGAAGCGCAAAAAAAAAAAAAAAAAAAAAAAAAAAATCAATTGAACTTTTCATGGCCTACACGAAATGGCTTATGAAATTTAATTCACGCTCAAATTTCGTTAATTGACCACCTCACTCCCATTGACGGAAAGTCTTGTGCTGTTATAAATTTCATTTGCAAAGAAGCTTACACTGACAGCTTACTTATGGAGGAGGATTTTTTTACACCTCAGAAATTCCATCATTCTAACTCTTTAAATGTACCTTTTCAGCAAGATTCGCTTATGAAAACTAATGTAAAGCTTATATACCAGTTCCTTACAAGTATAAGCACTTGATTATTTACGCTTAGACAGACTTTATGCAAACAGGAAAATTTCGGTGTAGGTCAATGTTATACAAACAAATCGTGTTTAATCTTGGACTACTAGACCAAATATATGATAGCACAACTTGTGAAGTGCATCAACTGGGATGTTTAATAGAGTATGTAAAATTGACCAAGTTGATTCGACATACAGCCCATTTCCATATTCACGCGTAACAAAAATAAACCCTTCATTCGATTGGTAACTATTATGAGCATTGAGTTGGACAAATTTAAATACAATTTAAATTTTTACAATAGGTGTACAACCATTTAATGAGATAGATGGCGAAAGCAAGTGCTTTGTAATATTTGCTAATTTTTATTGATTGTTCGTGGATGCACCATATTTCCAGGAGTTCGAAGTAGTGACATTATAAGTTACGGCACTTTACGCATATGTTTTAGATATGCTGAGTAAAGAAGTTGGTGCTTTTACAAATTCAAAAATAAAAAATATGAAAATAAATAAACAAAATAGCAGGCGAGAAGTGTAAGCAATTTGGCAAAGCAATCGAAGAGATTCGACGCATGTCTCCAAAAGTATCTTCAATCTTGCGAAAATTGGAAATAAATATTTTGGTTGAACGAAATGATCATACAGGCTATGGACCAATAGTATCAACTTCTACTGTAAAATACGCAAGACATGCAAGACCAAATGATGACTATATTTTAACCCCTTTGATGTAGAATCATATAATTTTAAAAATGAGCGGCTATGAAGATATCGGGTGAGCTTAAAGAAAGAGGAACCATACCGACAAATGCTTCTATCATCCGGATCATAGCTTTGCTCC